GGAGGACACGGATGCAAGTCAGGCCAGGCGACGCTATGTACGATTGATTGCTTCGGTCATGGACGAGGACAAGATTCAGTTTTCCCTTGACAAGAACCAAAAGGACGCACAGGATTTGGCAGAGGAGATCAAGCAGAAGATGTGCAAGAAAATCGCCAAGAGGTACGGCTCGCGAGAGAGGAGTTCTTCCATCGAGCGTGATGCTGTCGAGTCGTTCAAGTCTAAGGAAGGAGAGACTTTGAAGACCAAGGTGTTCGAGATGCTTAGAGACAATAATGCGAGCCACCGAAAAGCAGCGCGATGTGTGATTCGTGTGCTTGGTGATCCGTAAATCCTAGCAAAATAGTCACAGAACACTGAATAACACCCCTTATATTTTCGCAAAAAGGAGTGTAGTCTATAATAATGGCCTCACTCATTTTTCGAGATTTAATTTTAAAAATTTATATCTCACAAAATGAGTGAGGTCAATCATGGCATATTGTTCCAATGATTACGATGCGTTTTACACTGAGTGTAATACTTTTTGCAGCAAATGCGTGCATGTTATGTCCTGTAGAACGGTTTTTACATGGTATGTATGCGTTGGTCCTCCCTTTACCCATTCATTGCAATGTATTTTACAATAAATGCATGCAGTCCAGGTCCTCTTCCTCTTGTGCTCCACGAATAGGAGCATAAGTACGGCACCAGCAACCTCATGAACTTATACATCCAACACCCTAATCCCTGAGCAATATGCCCAAAGTTTCGAAATGCGTCTTCTTCAAATGTCACTACGGGTTGTTTAAGTAAGATAGAGAGAATTATGGTCCATGGGACGAACACCATTGGAAAGTAAACCATACAAACGAGCCATTCACCTTTGAATGTGTATTCACAAAAAACCAGGTTGTTCTCTACCACGATTCGGACATGAATGCAGGTACTGCTGCGTGTGCAAAAAATCTGCCCTTCTTTCCACAAACTCAGTGAGGCGCCATTATGATGGGTGCACAGTTGACAAGGACCAAACCAAGGCGCTTAAATCAGACCTTGGCCCACCTGGCTTCTCTGATTCTTCACCGCCTTCTCCAGTTCCCAAGGAAGTTGACCCACCATAAGGTTTTATACGCGATCTGAGCCCTTCCGCGTCGTCTACTGTTGAATATACTTCGGTAATTTCAGCCATATCAAGCTTTGTGGAAGGTATAGAGGGTGAGGACGAGTATAAAAGTATAAACTTTAAGGGGTACAAGTGAGATAGCCTTGTTCACGATGAAGATGAGGATGAAGAGTATAGAGCAGGATGTGGATGTATGCGGATTGATGGCAAAGATATCGAGGACTTTATCTAGCAGTCTTTTATGTTGAGTTCTATACACGCGCGCGAAAACGCTGACCTGCAAAGTTGATTCGCCTACTTTAGGAACACTATGAAGCTGGCGAACATTAGCCGTGTTGTAATGCGTGCCTAAAGTTGCCGGACGCCGTCATTATCGCTAGTGCTCATAGAGAACGTGGGTAGCAAAAGAAGAGGATGAAGCACAACAGACTGAAAGATTTCAAAGAAGGGACAATCTATTTGACAATCCGGGTTGCCACTGCTATTTGGCAACCCCTATACTAACCCCATGTAAGGCCAACATTTTTTAAATGTCGATTATGCCAGTAGTCCTTATGGTACATGGCCCCGGCTCTTTAAGCTAGATCGTCATCTGTCTCTTAAAGGACTCCACAATGTAACTGATTTCCCATTTCGTCATCGCTGAGTCCGTCATCGATAAAACCCTGTTTTCCGTCATGAAGAAGGCTTCTCCCAAGGTCGCAAAAGGTTGCATGGGGTGCCAGGTGGAGGAAGGAATGGTTCTCAACCTCTCGCCGCGTTGTTTCGACTTGAAATTCGCAAAAGATACGAGTCTTGTTTTACATGGGATTTGTGCAGGGGTAGCCAAATAGATTATTCCTTCAAAGAAGGGAAAAAGTTTGGAGCAGCGGAGGATTGAACTCCGGGCCTCTCGCATGCAAAGCGAGCGCTCTACCACTGAGCTACAACCCCAAATCACTGAATATCGAATGGTGAATTATACTATATATTGCCAATTTTCGCCTGTCACTACATTGGCGGATGTTGCCCAAAGCTTGTTTTTTTTTTTGGCCCTTTCTGCAGATTGATAAGTGGGGACGAGCTGCAACGACCGCATACAACAAGAACAGCAAGAAGCAGCAAGAGCGTGATAGGATCCGCGCTGGAGCCGCCGCTGCTGCACCGAAACCCATTCGATGGGTTTGTCCTAACAACGAGACCCACATCCGAGGTCTATCCTGTATCGCCGGGACCCGATCAATGCTCAAAAGCGACGAGTATCATGACCGCTCTCCGGATCTGACCTGGAGCATCAGCGATTTATGCCGTGGCATCACACCCGTCAGCCTTATCAAGGAGTGGGGCAGTCTATTTACCTCGCCATCGTCGATTGCGCGCCAGGTCATTCACAAGTTCGTCGGCTTTATTGAGGAGAAAGCTACGGAGCTGCTCTGGAAACCACGCTGCAAGGCCACTATTGCTCGAGAGCGAGAATGGGGGATCACAGCCAAGATGAAACGAACTCCATACAAGGGACCGAGAGGGGACTGGAGTGATGGGTATGGATACATTAGCGACGATGACCAATGTCCGTGTGGTGCATTACTCGCTGACCATGTAAACGGGAGCTGCCCTGGCCTCCTGCTTGACCCAGACGCAGCGGATCGGACGCTGCTGGATTGCCTGCAAGGGAGGAGGCGGTTGACAACTATGGAGGGGATGGGGAAGATACCCTTCTTGTAACAAGGTGTTTTCAGCTTTTAACACACTGATGAGGTGTGGCAATTGTTGCGCAGGCCCTAGGGCAGGCCCGGGGAATGTGACCTGTCTTTTGGCGACTGTGGATCGGTTCCGCTTTGGTGGTGAGGACAGCGATAGTAGATCTTTGCTAGTTAGTCTGATAGATTCGCAGAGTCAATTGACTCGAGAGACAAGTTGTTATAAAAAAAAAAAAAAAAAAAAAAACTCATTGCCGACATTGCAGGCGATGAAGAAACGACATCCAGATACCTACCAAACGGACATATGTCGTAGGTGTGAGAGGGAAGCAGAGACGAACGATCATCTTTGGCGTTGTTCGGCTACCTTATGCGACCAGCGACAAGAGTGGAGGGACGCGGTGGAGGAAGTGGAGTTGAATGGATATCGTGCATGGAGACAGGCAGTGCGAAAATGGGAACAGGAGAGAGAGGAGGCCGAACGGAAGGACAGGCTCTTCACTGCGACTTGTCCCACCTTTTCGGCAACAGGAACGAAGGCTATCTGAGAGTCAATGCAGTGGATTCAGGGGACAGCGGAAAGACGAGGGACATATCACGTTGCGGAAGGAGAGGTACCGGAGAATGATGCGGATTGGGAGGTCAAGGAGTTATATCGAGGTTTGGTGCCAATGAGACTCATTGAGACCTGGAAGCAGCTATTTACCACCACCAAGTGGATTGCGATGATCATGGTGACAAAGTTCGTGAGCAGGATCGAAGAGTTTGGCAGGACCAAGATATGGAACAAACGATGCGAGGACACTGTCGCCTGGGAAAAGTCAGTTGGAATCACCTTCATGAGCAAACGCGCCGGAGGACGCAACGGTGATCGGGGACACCAACGTAGTGTTGGTGATTTCTCTGATTTGAAAGGGAGACGGTTACTTGCAACGGAGATCCAGGAAGGTAGACGGGCCGCGGATTATAGGGTGCTACAGCATTGCTTGGGGCGAGGGAAGTTGGACATAATGGAGGGAGGGTTTATTCGGTTTAAAAACAACTTTATTAACATTGGATCTGGATTAGGAGACGTGTATCGCGCAACAGGTCACGTAGGAGTTAGGTTAAACTAGCTATGCGACATGGGTTATGAATCTGACGCCTCAAGCCAACATAGTTGGTAGGGAATGCGGCTATGCCGTGCATGGAAGGCATCTATGGCTTCAAGGCCTTTGCGGACCATGCGTCTCGTGCTCATGGGGATTTATGTTAATAAAAAAAAACGCAGTGAGCAAACGTGTTAAGAGGGGCACCAGGTGTGGGGCCCCTGGTGTAGTGGGCGGCACAGGCGACTGTGGGGTTGCCTCTGGACGATCCCAACGACAGGAACTAGCATTGAACACGCAATAGCTATCAAGGACGGCGGACGAACGGTTACTGAGTCAGTACCAGGGTCGTTTGAGGTTGGACGTGATGGAGTGAATGGGAGGGCTGAAGTTCCTAAAAGCGCAGGGATAAAACTAAAAGACGCCGCGGGAGCAACAGGTCGCGTAGCGAGCAAGACACGTGCGGTACCTGCCCATGCGGTCAGCGATTATGAAACCAGGATATTTGTGTCGGTATAGGCCGGGATAGATGTAGTTATGCTTGTGGACTACAAATCCCATATCGTTGAGGATCCTTATTAAAAATGCTCGATCCAGACGCAGCGGATCGAACGCTACTGGACTGCATGCAAGGGAAGACAACCATGGGGTGGATGGGGAAGATACCCTTTTTGTAACACGTAGTCTTCAGCTTTTAACACACTGATGAGGCGTGGCAATTGTTGTACAGGTCCTAGGAGTAGGCCGGGGTAATGTGGCCTGTCAACTGGCGGCTGTGGATCGGCTCTACTTTGGCGGAAAGGTCGATTGTAGTGGGTCATTGCTAGTGAGGTCTGATAGATTCGCAGGGTCAATCGATCCGAGAGATAAAAAAAAAGAGGGTTCTCTTTAATAAAAAGCTCTGCTTTTGATTTTTTGCTTTCTGCAGATTCAGCTTTTGGCGCTAGCAGCTTGGATATAGAGGGGTATTACTGTCATTTGAAACTTGTGAGAAAAAAGAGGCACCTGTATACGATGGTTCATGTTCGAACCACAAACCGTGATTGATGTTTAGTAAATAAATGAAAGCATGTCGCTAGTCCAATATCTTTTTTTTTTTTTTTTTTTTTTTAATATCTGTGCTTTATTGCACACGTCTAATTCACGATCGGTATGTTGTTATCACCGCTGAATTATGCTTTCGAATTCATAGACGATACTACCGCCATACGGAAACGATCTCTCAACATATCCACATCCTTTGTGTTAATGAACGAGAACTCAGCATAAGCCAGTCCCAGCAATTGATCCATGAGCCTTATTCCGGAAAGCGCGTCCTCCTTTTGTCGAGCCCTGGTGCTGCCGTAGTATTGGTTGCCTTCATTTTTAATCGACTGATTCGTGGTATCATCCTCGTGCTTGTGTTCGCCGTGATCCTCGATCTCCGTATTTCCCACATCTCTCCTCTCATCGTCTTCATTAGGTAAAGGATCCTTGAACTGCTTGAAAAATGCCTGCATTGTCAGCACAATCCCTTCATCATTTTCGCACTGCAGCAGCAAACTTTGACAGCTCTTCAAGATCGCTAACCCAAGCATGAACAAGAAGGGAGGCCCTTGATAGAAGAAGCAATCTAGAACGCGCGCCGCCACCATAGGCGGAAACATAGACTGGTACAGACATAGGAACCATGGGATCGTGATCGTGGCCTGGTCCAAATCGATTTCTTGGAAATGCGACGCAATCGACGGCAATGATATCCTGACAAGATGTGAAAACACCCTTTGATCGACCTGAACACCTAGTAGCGTCTTGGAGTAATAGTCCGGCAAAAGCTGCTCACACAACGTCGCCAGGATCCAGAACGCATCTTCCTCCTTCAAATGAAGCAACAACATCGATGCCACAATGTTCATCGACTGTGCATACCCGATCGAGGGGTTGCGCCGAGAATAGTTACAGAGGACACGACGAAGGGCACCTAGGCCGATGGCAGATTGGAACGCTGGGTGGCCAGGCATACTTCTCACCACATCCTTTTCGATCTCTGCAAGGACATGTGCTGATGCTGCCTTTTCGACGCCATCTTGAATGCTTAGTCGGTACGAATCGTCCCCTGACCGGAAATAGGATGCCCCGGAGAGAACCATCCAAAGCTGGGGGCGGAAGGTCTCGGTGACGCCTTGGAGTACGAGGGCCTGCAGTTGCTTTGTCTTTTTTATCATGCACACATCTCTGCCGTATAAAGCAAAGTAGTCGACCCATGCGCATTCCAGATCTATTTCTCGACTTTGGCTAACCTCCCGCCGAGAATGGCGTCCGTATTTCTGATCAATCGCACTTGCAAAGAAATGCTGGAGTCCGAGAGGAAGTGGAACGGTGATCTCCTGATCGATGGCGCCAAATATTGCATCTGTCTGCTCATCCTCATCCACAAGAGTGCTAAGATCCTTTGACTGACCGCTCTGGGAATTCTCTTGCGACCGTGTCAACGTATCTTTGGCACTATTTCTCAAAACATCCTGACTTGTCTGGATTTCAAGGGATTTGAGCAGTGCAGTCGAGTTGCTTGAGGAGCGCCACGCCTTATCGATCATCTCGTAGAGTTCCTGGTTTCCACCTTGGGTGCGCGTGAACCACAGGGTCATTCTCGAGCGTAAAATGATCATCACACCTGCTTGAGGACGAGCTACAAGCGACATAATGCTCGCCAATGTCTGTGTTCGAGTTGGAGGACCGAGACCCGCTTGAAGGCTCTGAAACGATCCTGCCTTGGCGGTGTTGCCGCTGTTGCTGACGGAGGAAGGGCTTGATTCACGTTTCATCTCCAGAACATCGGACAAAGGAATGACCAAGATCAAGACTGGGTCCAAAAGGTCGACGGAAGATGATTCAGGTGAGGCGATGATTGAAGAAGCGGGTGGTCCGGACATGTAGCAGATAAAGTTCTTGGACAGGAATATCGTGCCCTCATAAGTATCGACCATCGATCTCGTTTCCAGAGACACGACGAATTCCTCCATTGGGAATTCTGTAGGAGGTAGGCGAAAGATAGAGCGAAACCGAGCACGTCTTTGATATTCCTTCAAGTCCGAGGCGGAGTTGACCAAAAATGCAGGGATTTTGTCCTGATGGTGGCCCGAGTCTACGGAAAATGGCGACTCCGCCGATTCTCCTGATACCAGTAACCTCATATATGCATTGCAGAAGTGCGTCAACATCTCGAGGATTTCCCGCTGATGAAACGTAGGAACAAAAACGCTCTACGGAGGGTAGAGTGAATAAGCGAATGAGCCAGGCGCACGAAAAATATCAGTAAGTACACCGAGTAAACTCATGAAAGCTGATTTCTAATATACCTTTGAGGTTTGCGTTGTGATAACAATATAACCTTTTTGTCCTTGATATTCATCTTCGATGGAGATAACGTCCTTGTATGCGGTCTTTGTGCGAACAATAGAGTCGGCGTCGTTGGGAGTGTTATACGCCCTTACAGTATCCGATGTTCGCTCTGTCATGGTGGAATTGTGCCAACACACGAAATTCTTGGTCAACACAATATAACCCGCTAAAATAGAGTCATTATCTTGAACATATCCCGATCTATAGACTACATAGAAAAAAATATTAGTAACAGTTCGCCCTTCTCCTCTTCCCCATTCTCACTCCTAGTAAGGAAGCGCGTATGATTGCTGTTAGATTCACTTACAGCATAACAGTTCCTCGTTCTCGAATCGAAATATCCGGCATAGCTCAGCGCTCATAATGACTTTATCCTGGTCGTGATCCAAGGACACTGTAATAATGGGCCGTTAGTTAGGAGCCGATTATGGCGCCGCTTCCCCCTTTTTTTTAGTTCGTCCATCTATTTGTACTCACATGCTTCACTAAGCCGGTCTAGCTCGTATATCCACCTTCTATCCGATTCATTCTCGTCTCCTCTGTTGGATGTTGCCTCTAGCTCAAGTTCAGAGACCTGAAGTGACATATGGTTAGCGGGCATGCAAAGCAAGCCATGAGACCAATGATACGGCGTTTGAGCGACTTACCTTTGAAAACACCGTTTTGTGAATGCAGTCCCAATCAGCTCGAATGGTCGCCTCGTCCACAGCAACAGCGATCACATAGTTTTCAAGTGAACACTGCAGCACGACCCTGAACGTGGCATCCTCGACAGAGACGTTTTCGTTTTCCAGTCGGGCTGATTCAAGCATCTTTCCCAGAGTATTGTTTGAGGGTATCTTTGTGGTAATGGAGGAGGGCAGAGAAAAGGTTGATCCTAATGTTGACATATTGAGCGAAGGAAGCTGGCGCATGGTCCTTTGTGTCGATGCTGACATCTCCTTCTGAACGTTGCCCACAATGTTGCCAAATATGTCTCCTGCAGAGCTTAGGCTTCTTGCAGCATGGTGTCCAAACGAAGCGCGACGTTCTGGTGCGGGTAATGCTTCTGTCGGTGGTGTTGGTGGCACAGTGGGCTGTGACATGGTACGGGATAACAGTCTGCGAAACGAGGAAGAGGATTTGAACGACAGAGGATTGTGAGGCTGCGGCCCCGAGGAACCCTGTTGATGATCGTCGAGCCGGATATGTTCATTTAGAGGAGGAAGACTTGGCGAGAGCGAGGCTGGAGATGGGGATGGAGGCCTGATAGAGTCGTTCATGCTGGTTGTACCGATGTTGCTGACAAGACTCAGTGACAAACGCCGCAGCTTCTTGATCTGCTGGGTCGAGAGCAGGGGCACTGAGCGTGTTTGCAGAAGGAAGCGGTGATTCGCCTCCTCGTCCTGCCAGATGACACTCTGGTCCGTGTTGGCGCAGGGTATAGGTTTGATAATCATTTGTCCTTGTCCTTGTCCTTGTCCTGGTCCTGAATATGTGTGGCGGCTGTGCTTGACGGTTAGAAGAATGGAGAACAAAGGAATCAATTCACATTCATCGACCGTCTTAAGCAGAGTTGTTTCTTACTGTGTCTCTCAGCGCAATAGATACTAATCATGCGCTGCAGATCATGATCACCCCTTCTCCCCCTTTTGCCTGCATGTTTAGGGGGTGATGATGCCTCACCAAAGACTATACGAGGTTATAAAGTTATCAGCGAAGTGTTATTGGCGGCTCGCTAGTGTGGGTCAGCACGGGCCGCATGCAGCTTATTCGAGGAGTACCGCAACCTTATTCAAGACCTTGCTTATCAGGCACAATTGCACATGCAAAGACGCAGTATTTGAAGCCCAGGCCTCATTTTAACTGGCACTTTCGCCACCCTCTACGCTTTTTTCTCCTTTTTTTTTTATCGCTCAGTTGTTCATTTTCGTATCTTTGTTATTGATTCACTAGTCATTAGAGCTGCTACGGGAATGCTGGTTCATGCCCAAAACCTCGTCCAGACTCTTGTGGCGAGACAACTCTGTCAGCACAGTTTCATCCACAGGTATGATGGACTTTCGACGGAATTGCTGTGTCACTGGGCCATTGTTCTCAAAAGTCTGAAGTTCGCCACTGTACAAATCCTGGTCCGCGGTCCCAGTACTGTCAAGGTCCTCGTCCACTGCCATGTCTGTCAGATCATCTTGATCAAAGGACACTGGAGATGAGTAGCAATGATCGTATAGTTAGCAACGGATTGCACTCTACAAGCTACATCCCGCAATCCAGTTGGAGTACCATACCTGAAAGTGCCAGTGGTGCCTCTGCTAATAGCACAGGTGGGGACGCTGTCGTTACGGCACCTTGTGCTTTCAGATTAGCGTAGTTGTTAGACGCTTGTTGCTCTAGTCGCTGCCACAACTTCTCTCTGTCCATCAGGCGCTTTCTGTCGCTATTTTATCAGTAGGTTAAATATGAATCCAGTCAGTCTCCAGCGCGAAAATGACATCAGAATAGTACATAATAAAAAAATCCTTACTCTTGCCTAGCCTGGCGGTAGTGATTTGTGCATTCGTCAAATAGTTTTGGAGTCGCATCCATAAAGAGCTTCAGTGCGTTAAAAACAAGCCCATGGATCGTCCTAGAGTGGGATCAAATCAGCGACTAGTTATTATGCGTCCAGAACATTCATAGATCCGTCCCTGAACGTTGACATAGGAGGCGCAAACTGGATTTTCACCTGTTCCAATTCGCTTTAGAGTTTTTGTACAGGGACTGGAATACAATTGGCAAAATTTCATTCGCGTTGTCGTGGATCAGGTTGACGATGTACTCGTTATTCCAGAAGTAGAGCGCCCTTTCCGCAACCTATAGCCATAGAAGTAAAAGGATCAACGCATTTTTCACGACCTCTATGTCACAACTGAATATGGGGACAAAGACCTGTACCTGGAAATTAGGGCTAGAGACACAGCGTGCAATCTGAGTGAACAGAGGACCCTCAATCTTCACGAACTCTAGAGGCTCAATCACATCAAGGATCTCCTCGATTTCGTTTAAAAACATGACCTCTTTTGGACTGTTCACCTTGGGCCAGAACCGCAGAAGTCCATGAACAACCTATGAACAATTTCACCAGTTCATGAAGGGTGCTCTCAGTCTTTGTGTTCCAAGGTGTGAAGCAGCGTTCGCGTGGTGGAACGTAGGTATCAGTAAGGCGTACCTCTTCGGTCAATGTTGGATCCTTCTCCAAAAACTGGACAACACAGTATGCCAACTGTGGATGGTATAGTGAGAGTGATTTGGCCTTGTGGAGCGGCAGTAGGACCTTCGTCAAGAATGTCTTGTGTTCTTCCTTGAGGGGAAGTGCGAATCCATTGATGATACTGGGAGACCACGACAACGTTGCACAAAGGCGCAGGCGCCAAATATAATAGAAATTAAGAAATTAAAAAATTAAATTAATTAAATGTCCCGAATATACTGAAGTGATACAGGCAACCCCCAGATCGACAGTAATGTCTCTTACCTTCCGAGAATCTCTAGCAATTCCGCAATGCCATTATGTCGTTCTTTCTCGTAGATAAACTGGAAGAATACATGGCTGATCGATCGCCGAATGAATGCTCGTAAGTTCAGGAACTTGCCGTAGATGCGATGCAGCGTTGTCTTTAAAAAGTCTCGCTCACGGGGATCCTCACTATCAAACAGCTCCAACAACTTTAGTGCGCGTAAAACGAAGTAAGAGCGTCAGTTTAACGTGCTAGATCGCATCATCAGATTAGTTTTTTTTTTCTTCTGTCCCACTTTCGTGCAATGACTGTTGTACCCCTCACCTGAAGTATGAAGTGATGGTCGACGTATTTTTTCGCCATGTTGGTATTGAAATCGGGGGATTCGATGAATCGGAGGAAAAATTCGTACACGATCTGCAGATGCGGCCAGGCCAATTCCAGGACCGGCTCATCTTCTTCAGGGTCAAACGCATCGCCGGATGGGTTCACCTGCGGAGGTATTGTTCGAAAAAGATTGATAGCAAACTGTAGCAAGACAAAAGAAAAAAAGAAAAAAAAGGAATTTGGTCAGCTTTAGGTGGAGTGATATTGAAGAAGCCATGGATTCCATAAAATGCTTGACCAACATAATACCATGTTGATCACTACAGGATATACTGGTTCTGTAATGACGCCTCGATTGTTGGTGATATACTCCAAGATTTCTGACAGTGCCTGGCGCTTAATATCCTTGCCCTCGAGCTCCGAAGACGCATCATTAAAATCAAAGACGACGCTGCATTGACCGATCTTTCTCAAAAACAGTTCCTGTCGATCAATTTGTGCTACCTCTAATCCACGTCCAATGAAATGGATGTCAGAGTACTGAAGAACCCATTAATTGAGGCGTCGTCTCATCCGCCTCATCCCTTAGAATACTTACCATCCAGCGCCTCCAATCTCTCCAGGGTAACGCGTTCTGTCACATGGAATCTCGACGACCGCTGTCGACGTGGTGTTCTACTGATTGGGATGGCGTCCTTGGGTGAATTTTTCATCCTGTTAATGGGGCCGCTCTTGGGAACCTCTTTTTCGCCGGGTGATCTCAGGTGTGTTGCTGGACTGAGAGGAGAGTGCACACTTGGAGCCTCCATTTCCTGGCGCTGTTGGTTAGGCTAAAATGGGATTGTTGTGGAAGAGTATGACGCGCTTTAAAAACCGATCTCAACTACTGAGGAGAGAACTAGGACTATTTCTTTAGGAATAAAGCCAACAGTGCAACATAGACATACAGGCTCGGCATTTAGGATCACAATCGTCGGAGGATTATTTCTGTCGTGCTGTAGTTGAGGCTGCTGCTGTTGTTGTTGTTGCTGTTGCTGTTGTTGCTGTTGCTGTTGCTGTTGCTGTTGCTGATCCTTGCTACTAACAGCCACGCTTGCAGGGTCTGGTGTGCTGCTCTTGCCAAAGGGATTGCTGAAGGTAAATGAGCTTCCGGTTGCAGCTATTTGGCCGGGATGTCCGTTGGCAGTGGTAGTGGGGTTGATGTTGTTGGCTGGCTGCTGAGAAGGACCTTTAGCCCCTTCGTTGGACGTAACTGATGGGGAGACAGAGGAGCCGCCTCTGCCCTTCTTTGAGCCGTCGGAGGTGCCTGTGGACTTTGTCCTGGATAAGACACCCTTCAAACCCTTCATGGAGAATGCTTTCAAAAAAAAATAATAAGAGGGAAAGGGGATGAGAGAAGGGAAAAGGTAAGAGATGCAGAGGATGAGGGAGGAGGGAAAAAGGAAGATCAATAGGCAGGAGTGAAGAAAGGGGGAAGAGAGAATGCAGCAACAAGTGTGCAAAAGATGATGAAGCACAAGAAAAGATCTATTTTAGCTGCAGCCCGGGCCAACACTTACACACGGCATTCAGCGGGGTTTCTCTTTTGGGAATGACTCCTTGCTGCTGTATCTACTACGTACATGCGATTTGTATAGACTATCCACGCCTTCCCCCCACAAAAAATAAAACACATTTGGCGAAGAAAGATCATGCAGTCATGCGTGTCTTGTCCAATACCATACCAATTTTCTTGATTCTCACTACATCCGCGGATATTCAGATCAGAGTAATTTGAGGCGCGTCTTACTCGTTCTACATGGGGCGCACATCCTTGAATTGCACATTTGCACAGGTGTCAGATCTACTGCCTCACGTCGATAGATTGCTCAAATACTCATAAATAATCACTAACATATTTCCTGCAGTTGTCCGCTGTCTTTTCACGATAATGATATCCAACAGTACACATCGTTGCAAGCTCCATATCCAAGTCATAGTCACATTGATTGAAATGCTGCGAATTTCGTGTACGCGATCCAAAAGATGCTGGAGCTGATTTATTGCGGGGACACGTTAAACATGGGATCGTTTAGAAGCGGAGCTTGGTGAAGAACCACTTGTTCTTGCCGCTGTTATATCTAAGGAGGCGGCAGACAAGGAATAAAACAGAAGCGTTAACGAGCTTCCGTCGCCATTAAGATAATAAATACAGCAGGGTGCGCAGGATACATACCTCTCCTCGAAGAGCTTCTTGATGGCCTTCTTGGCCTCCTCACGTTGGGAAGGCTCCTTGAAGGAGTCAAGGGTGACAGCAGACTTCAAAGTCTCCAACTCCAAACCATAGCTGAGACATAATAGATGTAATGTTAGTTAATCTGCGTCCTTAAACATTGACAAAAATGCTAGTCAACGGCATCGTATTCTGAAATCCACTTACCGGGTGGGCATGACGTGGTTGTAGTTGATGACCTTGATGAAAGGCTTAACCTTGGAGCGCTTGGCAACGCGCTTCTTGCCCATGTTCTTGGTGATCTTGAGGGGATAACGCTCGACACCGGCAACAATGGCGTGACCGTAGCCGCGCTCCTTGGTACCCTCATCGACATGTAATAGTGGGCAAAAAGAAGACAGCAAGCAGGCAAAAGAAAGAAGAAACAAAAGACAAGAACGCAGGTCATACGAATCACACAAGTTTCCAATGCGAGGAAACATGTTACGAAGATAACGAAAAGAGAATAAAAACGAAGCCCATGCCATATAAAGCCCTCCTCTTCCTTGAAGATACAGTCCTTTCCCGACAATTCAGCTCAATGGTTGCTTTATGCTGGGTATATTGTCGCGGAGGGTCAAAGTACCATCCTACAACTGAAAATACTGCGCCCAATTAACGAGTTTTATCTTTTCCCGAAGTTCTCCTTTCACTCAGGCGTCTCCATTACAACAACCCAAGAAAAAATATCGCTCTGTGGCTGCGGTATATGTCGACAGTTGTCTGGATTGCTGAAAGATGGTTTTGACCCATAGTTGAACCCTAAAAGATGTTGGTGCCCTCATGAACAACTATAAAAAATGTGTGTTTCCTTGAAGCGATCCAGAGCGCTGCTTATAGATCCCGTATGCTGTTCAAGTAACGTCTGCTCCTTCATTGTTTCTGCTCCCGTACTAGTTGATGAAGACGCCTTCGCCTTCCAGCCATAACCCTTCGCACTCCATTGAAATGTAAACGATGATTCAAAAGCAGTTGTTGGATTGCTATTTTTCACGATGACGGCCTTCTTGCCAGCGTAACGGCCGTTAAGGATAACGACAACCTAATCGATAGATCCAGCAATAGTCCGGTTAGCAATCGATGCTTCGACCGATGGATAGACACGTTGATCCATCCCATGCTATGATGGGTGAAGACCATTGAGTATCCACTCCATATCACGTGCCTTTCCAGACTTGAGGAATCGAGGCATCTCGGTCAAAAAAGATTCGAAAGAGGAAGAGCAATCGGTTAGCAGCAGTAAAGCAATATGAGAAATAGACCTCTTAAGGGCCTTGCTGGGCTATATTCCTTGTTCTGGACCGGGTTCGATTCCCCCTTCCCAATTCATCATATATCACCATGAGTGCCAAAGGTGCGAACCAGCTCAAAATGAACGGTCACTGGTGGAGGAGACTATACTGGGAAGGCTGGATAGGCGATCATGGATACACGGATGTCTAGGAGCCAACCATCGACACATCGCCCTATCCATCGATCGAGACATTATTATCGGCACACAATCATTCTTACTGCAATTATTTGACCCGAGCTTCGACAGGACGTACCAGACCAGCAAGGATGTGTGAGAGCTAGGCAAACTGAGGCGGCGAGCGGCTTTTCGACATTGACTCAAACTGGACAAATTGATGCGACAAACCCATGGCGAGCCTATGATTGAGCAGAAATCTCGGACTCACGCACTCACGCGAATGAACATCAAACAGCATACAGGAGGGAATATTGGATCAGATGGCTGGTGTTGAGCAGTAACTGTAGCGACATCGTGCGTGGAGTTTTTATTCGGCAGCAAGCTGGATATATGTGTAAGGCGGCACATGTCCGGGCAGTCTAGAAAGGAGGGGTTTTTACAAACAGGACACCTTTCAAGACCTAAGGAGGCAGCTGAAATTAGAGTCGACCTTGACAGTCTGATGGAGTGACAGGATGGACTCTTCAACTACGGGGAGCTTATGTTCATGCAACCTGGACTATGTAGAACAGACGTCTAAACAGTCAACTACGTCTTCTGGATATGTGCAACATATAGGAGGAGCTGCTTCTGGAAACAAGTTCCGCATGACCTTGGGTCTGCCTGTTGGTGCCGTCATGAACTGCGCTGATAACTCTGGCGCCAAGAACTTGTACGTCATCTCCGTCAAAGGAATCCACGGTCGTCTCAACAAGCTGCCCGCTGGTGGTGTCGGTGACATGGTCATGGCTACTGTCAAGAAGGGAAAGCCCGAGCTGAGGAAGAAGGGTTAGTCATGACTGGACTTACTTACTAGATGTTGCGACAGGATACAACACTTTTGGGCTCGAGGCCCGTTAGGAGCCAGGCACTGATACGTGCTTTATTTTCTGGAACGAAATAGTTATGCCCGCTGTCATCATTCGCCAGCGCAAGGCCTGGCGCCGCCGCGACGGTGTCTTTATCTACTTTGAGGGTACGTTGTTCAACTGCACCGGCGGATTCTTTGTTTGTATTAGACGAATGTGAGACTAACCAGCTAATTTGTCCCATGTATTGGTATGGCGATATCTAGACAACGCCGGTGTCATTGTCAATCCCAAGGGTGAGATGAAGGGATCCGCCATCACTGGCCCTGTCGGCAAGGAGTGTGCCGATCTTTGGCCCCGTATTGCCTCTTGCGCCGGTACCGTTGTCTAAGACTCTTGTAGACGGAATTCAGGCAGCAGAAGTGAATAAAGAAAAAAATGTGCAATTGTGATCGTCGTGCAGCACTCTCAGAGAAGCATTGTACTCATGACCATGGATACAACTGGCGACCGGTTTACCATACTCCTCGAATATCGGCAGCGACACGTCGTGCCATTGAAATTTGTGGTTGTGCGCGTTCCACTCTCTCGGTACACGTTCGAGAAAGATGTTACATGGCTGCTAAACGTTCTCGCGGCTATGAAACCTGTTCCTTATCTGAATCCATTCCATTAAGGGTCAGTGCTGGGGCGAACAGCCGCCTTGAGCCCTGATGATACCGTCCACACCTATTTGTTCGTTGTATCTTCCCTTGCCTTTTCCCTCCGCTGGCATAGTCCGTCAGGTGTACTTTACTCCACTCGAGCTTTCTCGTGGGTCCCGGCCCCAGATTCACATCTCCACGCTGATGTGCACCTCATCTCCCCGCACTGCACACTTCGCTTCGTCAAACCTCTGACCACTGAAAACACACCTGAAACGACCCATGTCGACCCTGTCACGGATACCGGGCATTGCTCAGCTCGCTGCCTTCTTGGCTGCAACGTTTTCCCTTCAGACTAATCCCACCCTGCGCCGCTACAACGACGCCCTTGCCCAGACCTTTTATCACCATGGACGGTTGTGTGCGTCCAATCAAGCAACGGTCATGGTCCTTGTTATTGTCTTTGTTGGCATGATATCGTACCCGGGCATTATCACCTCCTACAACTCCTCAACCTATGCCCGTCAAAGGTCTGCCTCGACATCACCCTCCAGTCACAATCTCTCGTTATCTTCATGGCCAGCCGTAGAGTATCAAGGAACGTCAATTGCACAACGCCGGCGTCGGCGTCATGACCACGAAGGCGACTTGGATACGTTCTGGACCCACAAGGTTATTGCCCCGACATGGACACAGGACCCAGATTTTTTCAGCCGGAACCTCCCTTTTGCCGATCCATTACACTTTATAGCGCCAGTTATCATCAACGCAACCAATCTGTCCGCCAGTTTGGACACATCTGAGGCTTTATCGGAGAATACTACCAAAGACAAAACCTCAACGACAACTTCACTTTTTGGACTCGATTTGTTCGAATTCGCCACGCAGATCCGGCAACGTATCGAAGCCATCACTGTAGATTACAACGCAGATGATGTAATGCATGTCGGCGTCGACAGAAGTGCGGGATATCATAAGGATCAGCATAAAATCCCACGGCTAGTCTCCATCAAGAACATCTGTATCCTGGCATCTTCGAATCCAATGGACGGACAGAGTGAGGGCGATAGCGCCGAATACCGAGCCGATCAACGCAGTTGCTTGGTGCACTCTCCCCGACCTTATACTGAGTACAATCATGAGGGTCGTGATAATCGAACTGACGTATTGCCTTCATTTTTGTTCGGGAGTGCTAATTTTGATGGAGAAGCAGCACAGGAACCACGGCCAACGTCCATGGTTATCGCATATTTCCTGCGAGGAGACCTGGGAGGAGATGCGCAAAAGGATGGTAAAAAGCACCATAACGGCCGTTCAGCAGAGGATACCGAGAGCTCGACAAAGGACGGATTGGATGTGAGGAGAGTATGGCGCCTGGTCTTCGACAAGCTAATGGCTGATCTGCAGGCGGAGCGATCGCAGCAGGACCCACCTAGTACTAACTCAGGGTCGCATGGATCGTTTTCAATTGCAACCGATGGTATGGTATCGACCGGATCAACCATTATGGATGGAGAGCGGAATGCAGATGCCAATGAAGTCGACGGAGCTGCAGAGGCGGCGTCCCATCCCTCGTTTATGTTCAGAGTGGTTCCTGGTCCAGACGTATCCCAGCGTGTATCAAGACGCCTTGTCTCCGAGGTAGGCTTGATACCGGCTTCTGAATATTAATTATCATTTGTGTTTGTTTCCTTCCTCACCCTAACACCAGACTGTTCTCTATCGATACTTCGCGGGAACATAGGCGAGCTCTCAGCCCCGTACAAACATCTCTGCAGAATACTGGCTTCTGGGAATGGCCTACTTTGTAATGTTCTTATACATCTCGCTTTCTGTCGGAAGGGTCGATCTGGTCAAGTCAAAGTACGGTCTTGGCTTTGCAGCTGTCACCACGGTCTTTGTATCATTGCTTATGTCGATTGGTCTTTGTTCTGTTTTTGGAGTGACATTGACACTCATGCCTTGGTAAGCCCTTCTGCCGCTATTCAATTATATGAGCGATTCAGTTTGTTTGTCCTACCTCCATCATGGTACTTCCAACTAACTATAGCGTCACTCGTGTTTTTGTTCACATAGGGAGATATTGCCGTTCATGATCATCGTTGTAGGTGTCGAGAATATCAACATTTTGGTGCACGCCGTCGTGGAAACATCAATGGATCTGCCTGTTAGGGAACGAGTAGGTCGTGGGCTTGGCACAGTCGGTGTCTCCATCACGCTGACTTTGGTGGCGGAGCTCTGCCTGCTTGTGATCGGTGCTATGACAACAATCCCGGCTGTACAGGAGTTTTGTACGTTCGCCATTGCTGCCGTTACCATGGACTATCTTCTGCAAATGACATTCTTCATTACCGTAATCTCTATCGACATCCGGCGCTTGGAACTCTCTGACCTGGGTGCTCGACCAGCAGCACCATATCCGCGTCACCCTTTCGGCCCGCGGCATCCATCTGCAAAGAGTGGGCTCATGGCTAGCGGAATAGAGATGTTAAGATTCGAAGGAGCATATGCAGCTAGCGGACTATCCTCTTACGAGGACGAGCGAACTCGACACAGGAGAAATGACAGTACGCATTCGCATTACAGTGATGAAGAGACAGGATCGAGAGAGAAGCGCACCAAAAAGAACCCAAAAGGCCGCATCTTCACCTCCATTATCGTAAGTGATCGATGGCAATTTTATACAAATACTTGGATGGGATGTTGAATTGTGCGGATTATTTACACTGACAAAATGGTTGTTATTACATCGCGGGCTGGATATAGATGGTTGGAGTTATGGCATACCTCGGTTATATTTACGGCACTACCAATCAATCTATTGTTGGGAATCAGGAGCCTGTCATTGTATCATATTGGAACATCATACAGAAAGACACTGCATCAGAGTTTTGGTCGTTAGTAGATCCAGGCCACACAGGAGGATACCTGGAAATCGAAACGCCTGTTGTCGTGACTCTGCTAAAGCCTTCGAGCGAGAGTCACTATGCGACTTGTGACGGCTTGCCAGATCTTACGGAGATTGACGATTGCGAACCTGATCAAGGCAGTACCTCAAGCTTGCAGGGAGGCGTAGGGTTTGATTCATCGGTGGTTGCAGAGGGGCAGCTAGATCCACGTCGACCATTCAAACTTGTACGCGACGCCTTGGTTTTCATCTGCTTGTTCGCTGTCTGGCTTGTCCGTGTGTTTGTGATCCCGTCGATCATTTTGGCGGCCGCGATTCTACTACTGCTTTCTTACTTGCTGAGCCCTCAACGCAAGCTATTGGTCGACTTACAGTGGAGGTTCCCGTTTATTGTATTACCCGGCGATTATCAATCCAAGCGCAAACTGATGATGGAAGAGCTACTGGCGCAGGAGGCACGGGAGTTGGGTCAGGATGCAGGACCTTGCACGCCACTACCAGGAGCTGTTGAAACCTTATTCCAGAATGGCCACAAAACCGATATCGACCAAATGGATATTTCGGCAGATGGAGGGCTCATATTGTCATCAAGCATGGACGGGTCGATTCTGCTATGGAGTGGGGAGGCTGGTAGTGGACAGGACATACCGCTCGCGCGACTGGAAGAAAGAGCTCGAGGGGACAGATCTTCGTCCAGGAACTCGAAAAGTCGACTAGCGAAACTTCTAAAGCTGGACCCTCTCGGCAACTTTGTTGTTGCAGGCTTTGGAGATGGAGATGTTCACGTCTGGGGATTGAAAACCATTTCACACTCGTCCTGCGCTTCGTGGTCAGCGCCTATATTGAGTTCAGAAAGGGAACTGGTGCGGAGGACAGAGTCAACCACGGATGTTTCGAAACTGAGGGCAAGCAGTGTTTGTTTCTGGGAGTCTTCAGTGACCAAGGATACAGTATCATCATCGGGACCCAATACCTCGCTACTAGTAGGTTACCGCGATGGCCAAATATGGAACTGGAATCTCCTCACAGGCGAAGGTCGATGTATCATCGATTCGAAGGTACGAGGCGGAATATCGAAGCTAGGAATTATAGAATTAGATCTGAAAATCAGGCAGGAGCTGGGCTTGAGATGCAGGACGTATCTGGTGGTTGCTGGTAAGGATGGGAGTATACAGTGTTGGAGCATCGCCAGCCCTGGTTCGCACCATGACGCCTGGACATTATTATGGAGCAATACTGGACTTGGACAAGGAATCGGCATATCAGTGTTGTCATGGGACGCAGAGGTGCCCATGGTTGCTACCGGGTACTCGAATGGTGCAATCAATGTGTGGGATCTTGAGCAAGGAAATCTTATTTGGACGTTGTCCCGTGGACTGCTTGCGAGTGCTAGGTCGGCCGGATCAAACACAACGAGATATTTGGATAGGAGGCATTCACAGGCAGATAATCACCAACCTTCCCACCAAGGCGCCATTACAAAGCTCTGTTTCCATGCGCTGGAGCTCGAGGACGGCCTAACCGGAGAACCTGCTCCTCGCGTCTGGTTGGTTATTTCCAGTAGCACGGATGAGACGGTCATGGTATGGATTGTGGAGTGGGAGGGACTGATGTGCATGTCAACGCCGCTGGACCATTCTTCGCGACAGAAAACCGATCCCAGTGGAAGGCGAGTCAGTGAATCCCGTGATACGCAAGCTATCCCTCAAATATCACTAAACAACCAGGAACGACCGGGCCGTTTGCGACACTCAAGATCGTTCGGACCAGGAGAACCTTGGGTCAACAATCTTAATGGTGTTGGAAACGCGAATTTTCTGGGCACATTAAGCTCGTCTTTACCCGCACCGAGGCTCGTGGGATTCATGAAGCAGCGAGGTGGCAAAAGCATGACTGTCAGCAACTCTTGTTTATATGGTGTACGCCGAACAGAGTCTACGACAACACTCGCCAGCGAACATGGGGGCGTTCCTAAGCAGTCCCATGCCTCTATTTTAGATGTCATGGGCCCCGCCTCCAATGTCATCAGAAGTAGGAGAAAGAGCGACTCTCATGGGTTGACATATCCAGCGACGTCTCACGATCAAGCGGTTACAAGTAGCGGTCCAATGAAACGAGGCTGGGAACTCTGGGAGGCAGACCTCTACCAATGTATCTTCAGAAATCCTGGAGTGTGGGGTCTAGACTTGACAGTCAGAGCAGTCGACCTTCAGCCTCACCAGCCAACCCGGAACCGTCGTCTCGCACCACAGGGCTCGGATCAAACTTTGAGCGAGTCAGGATCGATTATTATCAACTCGAACGGATCTGCCATAGCAGTTCCAATTCCAGTGGCCCAGAATCCGTCAAGCTTGGCGGGTCATGAAGTAATGCGCCCAAAACTGCAGCGGAAGCCTGGATCGTTTACGCAACATATGCCTGGCCAGCGAGGGTACATGTACACTGCAGGACTCGCCATGGCCAGCCAGCCGCAACCTCAGCAATTGTCTGGACACACTCTGTTTCCAACCCAGTCTGGGAAGGCAGGATACTGGGGCGACAGTCGGATGGACAGTCAGCAGCAGGATGGGCTGGAGAACGCCGAGGACCTCTTGCTACCATTTGTGGAAACCAGGCTCATACACGCCCTTTCGAGACGAACGAATATGCAGCAGCAACCGGGTTTATCGCAACGTGGAGATGAATCTGGCGATCAAGGAAAGGAGCCGGAAATGAAGGATATTATCGTGGGATTCGGGAACTTTATCAAGATTGTTCGCCTGCAGGACGAGGAAGATGAGGAAGATGAGGAAGGAGGGCATTTCTGAAGAGGTCCGTTTGGTTTTGTATGGTTTTTGTTTTCGTATTTTCTCCGTAGATCGTCTTGAACACGCTCACTTGTTTGTACAATATTTTTTTTTTTTTTTTTTCGCTTTCAACGCTTGTATCAAATAATAAATATCCAAACATTTTATCTCCATTACGGTATGCTATATCGACTATGGTACATGTGCAATGCTTGTATTAGAACTTTTGCAATCCTGAGCTGGCAATGTATTGGTTCCATTCGTCCCAATCGATCGTGTTAGGTATTCCAAAGAACGGATTCGGGACCGCCGCGGTTGCGACGGTGTTTGGATTTTGAACACCCACAGCAAAATCTTGCTGCTGCGACTGCTGCTGTTGTGGAGGAAAAAGCGATAAGTTGGAGTAATCTCCCTGTCCGCCAGAGGGTATTGCACTGTTACTGTTCCCGTTATTATTGTTAAGAAAGCCGAATGCGTTGTTGTTGCTATTGCTTATCGAGTCCATGGTCGACACACCCGTATTCATGTAGCCGAAGCTACCATTCTGTGATTGAGGAGGAAGCTGCTGAGGTAAATTTTGTTCACCTAGGGCCTGCTGTTGGAACTGCATGTATTGCTGTCCTTGTTGCCGCTGTTGATCCTGGTGTTGGCTCGGCATGGCATTTGCTACTGGAAGCAAAGAAGGCTGCTGTCCCTGTCCACTGGTAGCAGGACCCTTGAACTGAAGCGCAAACGGAGACGAAAGCAGCGGTGTCGCTGAAAATGATTGCTGTTGTAACTGTTGTGGATCCTGCGATTGAAACTGGTGCAACTGCAGCTGTTGCTGGGTCATCATTTGCTCATAGTCCATAAAAGCCTGGCCCTGCGCAAACATGCCCGGCGTCGAGAGGGACGAGAACAAGAATAGCGAGGACTGATCCGAGGACGAAGAGGACGGCGTTGATGGTGCTGGAAGTGTACTACTGCTGCTTGATGATGTTGAGATGGGTGAGGATGGATTGGAGTGGAACAGAAGAGAGTTCCGCTGAGAGCTTGGCTTTCGGCTCTTCTTTATCGATCGAGAAACTGCAGTCTGCGCGGCATTAATATTGGCCGCAGATTGTCCTCCTCTAGATGTCAGAGCTGGCGTGACCGTAGAATCGTTCAAAGCTGCAGATGGAGTGTCGGATCCACTGCCGTCGAGCTTGTTGCTGCTAGTATCCTGTGCATCCGGATGGTGAACCATAGCCATCGAAGGCGAGGAGCCGGGCGTGGTCGAGGCCGAGGGAGGCGTCTGTGCTGATGTGGAGGCCTTTGGGGCAAATAGCAAGGATCCTCCTGAAGGATGGCTCTGGTCACGAAGTATGATCGGATAGGTTATGTCGAACTCCCCGACTTTAGCTATCGGGACCGCTTCCATGGACCGGCCTTCGGTTTGGTAGGCATCAAAGTTTAGATGCGCGCACATGAGGTCTTCCAAGATCAGAGAGAACTTTGCGCTGTGGAACCAGCGGCGGCCTAGCTTCTTCATATACGAGATGTTTTTGATGAGATTATTCCGAGCCTGCGTCTGCAGTCGGATATTTACTGACGCCGAGTTGGTCAAGTGGATCATAGACGAGGTAAAGACCTCGTACGTCGTAACATGCCATGTGTATCGGAGATTGTCGTCTTCATCCAGCTTTCCCAAGAGGTATGTGATCGAGTTGGCTGCCGAGACTGCAATGTTCAGCGAGGGCAAGGATTCGGACAGTTTCGTCTGCGTGAGCGACGTGGGGGTCATGTAGGGGCGGTGCAGCAAGATCAGCACCGTGTCTAGTCAACAGGATCAAAAGCAGCAGCAGCGAACGTACTTGGTTAGCGGCCATGCGAATGCCATCATTTTCAAAATATCTAAAAGGACTTACAGTATGCGCTGTGGATGGAAGCGACCCACCGATTGATCTTGGCCCCACTATTCGCCATCGTTCGGTGATCATATTTTAGATCTGACGGCAGGGCAAGCAGCCAATTGGTGAGCGTTGTATCGAGTTCCGCAGCCGTCGAACTGATCTGGAGCGGACCATGGTTCCTGGTCGTTGCACCATAGATCCGCTTCAAGACCTGTCCCAGGATCTGCGACAACTTGATCATTTCCACAAAATAATCCAGCGAGAACGACGTTTCCTCCTTGGGTCTTTCGCCATTGTCCAGCGTCGTTGTCGCCGGGCTGCCGCCCTCAAGTTCTGCCCAGTCCTCCTCGAGCGCTGAAGGGAAATCCACATCGCAGTCGTTATCATCGATCGACATGGGCCGTCCCATCGAGGCGCTAACCCATCGGTCCATCTGGTACAAGGCCCACCATAGTCGCTTGCGGATCTCCGTCTCCAGTGGTGGCAAGTGCCAGCGCGCTGAGTTGCGGTGCATACCCATGTCCTGTGCCATCCTTGTAGCCATACCCAACATCACCCACACACGACCTCCGGACTTGGCGCTCGTAAAACGGTAGGCAGTCATGAGCAGTAGCGCCTGAATCGACGACTGTCTGGGTAGCTCATATTCCAGATCCACCAAACGCTTGGCCCTATCGAAATACTCATCGCCGAACCCCTCGGGATCGTGCCCATGTCCAATAATCTCGGGATGATCCGAAAAGCGAGATGCTATCGAAAACATGGCAGTAAGTAGCACGATGGGCGGGCGCTTTCCAGGGTCAGGGTTTTGATATTGCTTCATGAAGGTCGACTTGTGAACGATAGGGATGTGTGGGTGCACATAGGTCCAGTAGCATTTAATCAGATGTTCAGCCAGATCCCTAGGTGGCAATGGCATCTCGGACGCCAGATTCGCCACGGCCGATTCTCGTTCTGTCAGCCACTCTTGATGGTCTCTCACTTTGATGGGTACCAATAGATATCCGCTCCTGAGAAGCTGACTTCTTTGTAGCAGGTCGATCCCAGAACTGTTGCCGAGATAGCGGATGAATCCTCCGTTGTCCAACGACATTGAGTCCATTCTGTCGGATAGCGCATTGATTTTGGCTCTCGCATCCCGGTCGTATTCCATAACCCCCTCTTCGTCCTCTTCTTTAAATTTATCTTCTGCATCGGGCGAGCGGCACACTTGATTGCTGGTGATAGGTCTCATGGATGCTGCAGTTCCTGTTGACAGGTTCGAGTCGATGCTCTGCTTGTGATAACCAACCTTTACAGTTGGAGTATCAGGCGAGTGTGGGGACCAGCTGGCCGAGTCTAGGACGTCCAGGTCGTCCTCGTGCTCCTCATGCCAGTTGTCAAGGTCTACCTTGACACGATCACCACCTCCCTGCACGAGACCTCCAAGGAGATTCTCCATCCTATGTAGCCTGTTCTCCAAGGCCTCAATGTATCCCTTGGGAGGACCCCTTTTCTTGGCAGAGTCATTGAATCTGCAATAGCCGCAGAGATGAGATAGAGCGAGTCAGTATGCTCTGTCATTTTCCTATGAAGGCTCACATATACTCTCACATATTCAAGAAGCTCGACTTACGTGCATTGGAAGCCAAAGGTTGTGCAGTTGGTGCAGGAGGGTTGTACGCCGTCGCAACGAACTTTTTTCCTTCTGCAGGTGTCGCTATCAATAAAAAATAAAAGAATGATGCAGTCAGGATTAGATGGTATGATGGTAGCCGCGAGGGAGCTACACAGGACAATAGGCAGAGAAGCAAGGACGAAGAGAGATCTACAGATCAAGACCGCCACTGAGTTATGGGCTGGTCGGCATAGACCAAGGGAGAAAGCAAGGTCCTTACCATGCCCTGGAGACCCTTCGTCTCTTCGCATCGAGCTGCTCCTGTGATGTCATGGAGAAGTGATATGTACTGAATCAGTTTTTGCGTGGATGTTAGATGTGAAAAGTAGCGAGACGAGAGTATGGTAGAGGCGAGAAGGAGGATGCTAGGCAGCTGTTGGGTTGGGGAGGACGGGTTGCTGAGAGTGTAGGGGGCGAGGGAGCCATTCAAGGGCGGGAAAGAGAACCAAGGAGGGACAGGTACCGGTACAGGCACAGGGAGGGATTAAGGTGCAGGAGGCGTGGAGTGTTGAGGTGTGCGATGTTAAGGATGGGATGGAGAGAGATCAGAACTTTGGGGATGAACCCCTCTCTCTTCTCGCAATCACAGGCAAGCGAGCGACAGGGGTCCGGAAAAGGAAAGAAAATACAAAAATGCGACCAGCGCAGCAGCAATTGAGAGCACACACAAACACGCCGCAAATAGCGAGAGCGAAGCAAGAGAACGAACAAATGGACTTACAGAGCAATTGGATAAGCTGCCAGCCAGCCACGCAGACATGGCCCGGGAACCAAAGATGTGTTCATTCGTTTTTGAGAATAGCGTCTTTTAATACAGTTTGTGGCCAATTACCAGCGATAGTTTTGTGTGCCAGTCAGCATCCAGCATATTTCCCGCACAGCCTGGCCTGTTGGGCAACAGATCGCGCAGCCCCCATGCTCAAGGATCAGGGCTCATCTCACGCGTATGCTTCGTGCTCTCTTTTGCTCCGGCAGGGCGGTGGCATTCCAACCTGTTCCCCACCTTTTTAAAAGGCTGATTTAAACATGTCAGGAACATCTCATTCGTCCCTCGAACTCTTTCCCCACGTTTGCAGCTATTTCCATACAGCATCAACACAGGAGAGGAAAAAATAATCCCCTCTTTCCAACTGAATTCCAATACCATTTGAACATATCATGAATCCATGAATGGTCTGGATGATCATGGCAGCTTTATCGTCGCAGATATTTACGCACCAGATAGGTACTACATTGCATTGGAATCTTCCTTCCCGTTTCCTCGAGTCGCTATCCCGGCGATCTCATATGTTGGATGTGATCTATAGATGGGGGGGGGGGGGGGGGGGGTGCTCTTTTTGGGAGTACTCGAATTCACCAGGGCAGGTACGGCACGGTATCACCATCGGCACGGACTGATCGGAAACCCTACTCGTGTAGAGAGCCTATTTACAGAAAGGAGGATTTGACCTACGGCCACTATTCAGTCGACATGATTGCTTCTATCGTGGCCGGCCAGGTCACAGCACTCTTCTTGATCGCCAATGGGAAGTCAGAAATCGATATTGAGCTTACGGGGCTGAACAACCGGATTAGATGGACGAATGTCTGGAGTAAGAATCAGTAGCGCCTGGTATCGATCGACCTTCCCTTTGACACCTTTGAGGATTGGCACGGTGCTCGATTGAGCGGCGGAAGAATTCTATTACCTGATCTGTGGACGTGAACATCGCGTTGAACTTCTCCGACATTGCGATTACAAATCCTTCGGGTGCCAACTACAGACTGGTTATCAACTCGTGGACACAAGTTAACCCTGAGATCAACATCAAATGGGCTGACCAGTTTAAGTACCCAAAAAACGATTGGGCACCTCAGGCACAGTTCAGGAATGCCCGTTATGAGTCCTAACTTTCCTCATATCGACGAGAAGCACATCTGCTTTGCCATATCTTTACTTAGATGCCTCACATATCATGTAGCGTATCATGTGTGGTATCTCAATTAAAAACAGTGCGGCATATCTATTTTTTTTGTCGGGTTGTTCAGCTTCCTCAATATATCAAGGATTCTTCACTGAGTTACAAAAAGGGCCCTCAAGTTCAGCTTCCTTCCCATAACGAGAAGCTCTCGAAGTTACGCATAAGGAGTCCCCAATGCCTTCAGAGGATACCCCCATTTGCTTTTTAAATTGAATCCTATGATTTTTAGGGACTAAAGCAGGCATGCATTGCGTCAAGCTGAATAATAAGAGTTTCTATTGCAGAGGCACTAGCAGGATTATCAAAGGCAATATGACCAAAAGGCCCGGGACGCGTGCGGAATAAACTCAGAGCACTCAAATGATCCTTGGACCCTTTGGATAGAGGGGATCAACTGGAGCAGCCAAACCACGTGATCAGTGGCACAAAACAACACAGTTTTGAATCTGTTATCATTCCTCTTCACTTCGCTACCCCTACCTCTTTCGACCATCCCATCTGGTTCCTATCATGGTTGCAACCACTCTCAGCAAGGACGAGATGTCGCGCATGGTGCGCGAATGTGTGCCTGATGCGGATGACGCCATCGTCGACTACATTGTTGGATACCTGGACGAGAACTCAAGTTTGGGTGACGAGGAGGACGCTATCTCAGAATTCGTCCGTCCCCTGTTGGAGGATGCCGGCGGCGAGCCCAAGGCTATTGACAAGCTTTGCAGCCGCTTCCAGACGCTTTTCGAGTCACAGGCTAAGGAACGACACACGAGCCAGAGTGTTGGATCGGATGGTCTTTCAAGGCTCTTGGAGAAGCCCGTGCACATGCTGAGTCAGGATTCCGTTTCGGCTACAGGAAAGATCGGAGCGCGCTCGGTGGATCTCGAGGCGCTGTCTGGCCGTAAGATCCTGTCCCAGGTAGATACTAAGAAACTGGAGAAGGCAGAGGCCAAGATCGCAGCCAAGATGGCCAAGCGCACGGCACGTGTCGAATACGCGGCCAGTAAATTGTTGGACAAGAAGGACGAGGTCGACTATATGGCTGTCAACCCGATTCTGGATTACACTTCAACAAAAGGAAAACTCAAGGACGTCAAGCTGGAGAACTTCGACATTTCTTTTGCTGGAAAGCGCATTCTGACGAATGCCAACCTAACTTTGGCATTTGGACGTCGCTATGGTCTGGTCGGTCGTAACGGTATCGGAAAGTCGACTCTTCTGCGAACACTATCCAAACGTGAGCTCAATGTTCCGACTCATATTAGTATCCTCCATGTCGAACAGGAGGTAAAGGATGTCATTTCGTTTGCTTTGATATTCGCTGCCAAGGATTTTCCATGATGCAACAGTGTATATTAACATTGTTTGGATTATTCTTTTCTTCATCGCGGATCTGATAGATGGTTGGAAATGATACCGAGGCGATGCAGGCCGTCTTGGCAGCCGATCAGTGGCGTGAGCATTTGTTGGCAGAGGAGAAGCGCCTGAACGCCCTCACTCAGGAAATGGAGAAAGGTCTGCCTGAGGGCGACCCACGATCTAAAGAGGAGTTTGAGAACGACCGTGAAAAGGCCTTGGCGGATCTTAAGGAAGTGTACGGCAAGTTGGAGGCCATCGAGTCCGATAAGGCAGAATCGCGGTAAGCCAGCGAAATGTTGTTTGTTTTCGAGTCCTTGACAATCTTGGACTTGAACAAAATGCTCACTCATTGCCCTTTTTCATGTAACAGTGCCGCGTCGATTCTCTCCGGTCTCGGATTCACCCCCGACAGACACCATTCACCTACAAGGAGTTTCTCAGGAGGATGGCGCATGCGTTTGGCACTGGCTCGTGCGCTCTTCAACAAGCCCGACTTGCTACTTCTGGACGAGCCCACAAACATGTTAGATATCCCTGCAGTCATTTGGCTCGAAAACTATCTCAAGACATGGCCCAATACCCTGCTTGTCGTTTCTCACGACAGAGGTAAGCATTTTTTCCTTTTTTTTTTTTTTTTTTTTTTTTTTTTCGTTTTAGTACATTAGATTACTCAATTGAATCAGATATACCTTGCTAAATGTTTATATTTGCTTGCCGTTTATTATCTCCACAGAGTTCCTGGATGAAGTGGCGACCGACATTTTGCACCAGCATTCCGAGAAACTGGATTACTACAAAGGCAACTTTACTCAGTTCGACACAACAAAGGCGGAGCGTCACAAGAGCCAACTTCGCGAGTATGAGAATCAAATCCAGTACCGCGCTCACCTGCAGGCATTTATTGATCGCTGGAGATATAACGCCAACAGAGCAGCCCAGGCACAAATGAAGATCAAGATTCTGGAGAAACTTCCTGAATTGGAGCCACCAGAAGTAGAGAATTCGATTTTCTTCAAGTTCCCAGATCCGGAGAAGCTTGGACCACCAATTCTGCAAATGACTGATTGCACCTTTGGATACACACCCGGAAATAACATTCTGGAGCATATTTATCTCGACATGCAGATGGACTCTCGTATCGCTGTTGTTGGACCAAACGGAGCCGGTAAGACTACTATGCTGAAGCTCTTGACTGGAAAGCTGGAGCCACAAAAGGGTATGGTCCATCGCCATGGACGCCTTCGTTTCGCGCTCTTCAGTCAGCACCACGTAGACCAGCTGGATGTCAATCTCACATCTGTCGAGTTTATGGCCAAGACCTGGCCTGGAAAGAGCGAAGAAGAATACCGTCGCCAGCTTGGATCTTTCGGTATCACCGGCATGGTCGGATTACAGCAAATCGCCACGCTGTCTGGAGGCCAAAAGTCGAGAGTGGCATTTGCTTGCCTTGGACTTCAGAACCCTCATTTCCTGATTCTTGATGAGGTATGTCTAATGCACGCTTTCTTCGATGTTGTGCTGAATGGCTCATTCAACATCGCATTTACATCTATGACTAACATTACTGTTGCTTTTTGCTGTTGTCTAGCCTACTAATCACTTGGACATGGACTCTATCGACGCCCTCACAAGTGCACTGGGGCAGTTCAAGGGAGGAGTCGTGATCGTCTCTCACGACGAGCGCTTCATCAAGTCGGTATGCAATGAACTCTGGGTGTGTGAGGGAGGCAGTCTCAAGAAGTTCCAAGGCGAGGGCATCAAGGAGTACAAAGAATACGTTCTTGCAAAAGGACTATAGGCATGAGTCTAATATGACCCAATTCTTCGGAGTGAGGACCCAGTAAAAAAAATAAAAGGTCGTCCTAAGGTTGAATATGTTGTTAAAGAGTTGTCAGAAGCACGCGTTTCTCTCTACGACGATGGTAGTCTGGAGCACGGGCACTTTGATTGCGGCGAGATGGAGACAAATCTTGGTGCGTAAACAATTATCATGGACACCATTATGATACGCCCTGGCTCCATCTCTGATAAGATCCCAGAGGCTTCAATTATTTTTCGTCAGTGCAATTGTTGAGCCAAGCGGAAGAATGAAGAGAAGTATCATCTTGTTCACATATCTCATATGTCTCGTAGTACCATTTCCTGCTAATCCTCTCAGCAACAGCGTACTGTCGACGCGTCTTTTTATTTTGTACATTCGGACAAGTTCGGGGATGAAAAGTTGCTTGTGCAACGTTGACTCGACTCTGGTTGGCTGGAATTGCAGCTCCATCCCGAGAAGCTCACTGGATCAGAAACTCAAACTCACCCGCGGAAAGAAGAGTGAATTCCCTTACTATCAGCATTACCCGGCATCCACATGGTTGCCGTAAATGTCGTAGCCACCGAAGGTTTTTGTGGGCGTAAAGCCAGTTCACTATGTGGTCTTCATATTGCACTGTGTCCTTGGGAAGATCAGTTTTTCTGGGTGATGGCTCCATGTTCTTTCTACAGCAGAGTTCTCTCTACTTGATATATTTCTAGGTGTACAGCGTTAACAACACGATAGTCGAGCAGGGGACAGTTTGTTTATTGACAGGCGCAAGTAGGCCAGGAGATGGAGGAGCGGTATGTCGCCCCACTGGGAACGCAGTGGGACCATCGCCGAAGTTCCTGTGCCTGGTGTGTAGTCAAAGCTTGAAGAAAGTCCAATTGAACTTTATTTTTATTTAATAGTCTGTCAATTGAATACAACAAACAAAGGAATAAAGCACACTCTTGTTCATCCACACCGACAACTCCACCTTCATCGCCGTCATTCATCTCTGTAGTCCCCTTTTCCCGTCCTTCCCTGCTGATTCCACAACGTAACCCCAATCCCATAGGGCTTAATCGTCGACATCCTTCTCCCGTTCAGTCGTATAGACCTTCATGTGTTGACCTCGCTACGACTCGAGGTGTACCATAAGAACTCATATGTTGGTCTCCCCCCGCCATTTCCCCGCCCTTCCCCACTTTCGATCGCACTCCTTCCCTCATTCCCACTTTCTTCATTCAACACTAAACACGCTAATTCATTATACTCATAATAGCCCTTCTCGCCATATACCCTTGACCCCCAGTTGAATCTCTTCTTCCGCAATCTTTCATCGCACACACCTCCATTCTCTTCCTCCCCTCCTAAATTCTTTCCTTACATCGTTCGCATCGTCGCTTTACCAATGACTCGCCAGGAGCCTGAGGGTGAATCGAAGGTGTCGAGATCCTACAGTCTTGCCTCGGCACCGCTTCGACTGCTCTCTCATTCCTTTCACTCCACCGCCAATACCCACAACACCAACAACAGCCATGGCTCCTCGTCAGCTCTCGCTCAGCTGCCAATCGACCATCTTAATACGCCTGATGCCTTGTTAAAGGAAGGCAGCATTGTTGACCTCTCTATCAGCACTGTCACCCCTGACTCTCATGCCCATCTCGAATCCCACAACCACCACCATCTTAGACAGGAAATCCGGCAGACCGTCTCAGACAATCCTGTGCCCTATTCCACGCTTCGCCGCCAAAACGACCAGAAATCAAATTTTACTCAGGCACGACCGCAGCAGCGGGCTCCGCAGGACTATTGCGAAGATGCATTGTCCCAAGCAACAGCAGCGGATGCCCATACTGCCAGCGTGGAGCACGAGTCCATTTCAGTTATTGGATCCCAGAAGAAGGTCGTCAAGCTGGACACACATAGCGATGTGTCTGCGGTGCAAGCGCAATCCCATGCCGTCCATCAAGACATGGAGGCCAAAGCCAGGCTCGAGAATTTATTGATGCCCTACGACATTCGATACTCGATCTTTGGCCATCTGTCACTTCAGGACATTTACCATTGTCAATTGGTAAGGTTCTTTCTTTTATTCTTTTATTGACATGTTGACGACTGTGCTGTACGATGCTAATGCGAGGGCCTGTACTTTGCGGCAGTATCTGCCTCTCGTTCTAAGCATCGCCCGTCCTCATGTTGTGGTTCGATGATGGCTACTGAATAAGGCTACCGGGTTCTATTGTTCGACGTAGGGGTTATCCCGTTCTTTCATTGTCTTTACGTATCATGATCATGATTATGGTTCTGAATAACAATTTTTTTTGTTTTTTTTTTTTATATCTTCACAAAGGACCTTGAAAAAAAAAAAAAAAAAAAAAGGTTACCAAGAAAAACGCGGGGAAGCTCATAGGCATGACGGAGGCGATTTGCCATATGGGATTTACGCCTGGGAACCCTCAATTACCCCGCATTTTGCCATTTTCTGAAGATATACCCTTCTCCCTCGTTCCTTCGTGTCACCATTGTGGTCTTGTACAAACAAACAAACCCCCCGTCCTTCCACATTCTTTCCGCGTTGCACTTTCTACGGATATGATGATGAGATAAAGGGCGCGCAAAGAGTATTTGTTGTCAACTCGAAAATGAACATGAGACCGCTGCTTCTAATCAATTTTTTTTTCTGTATTGCTGCTACTACATCGCATCGTAGGCATGCAAGCTACTCTACTGGGCAACTTCGGATCAATTGATCTGGAAGCGAATCGCACTGAAACTCATCCAGGGCGAGTTCTACTTTGACATCCCACGAGCACTCCCAGCCAATATTCCCAATTGGAAGTTCTTTTGCAAGCGACATCTGCTGCGGCAAAAGAACTGGCGACGTGGTCAAGTCCAAGACGTGATCTCGCTTGATGATAACTATCAAAAGTTGACCACGCTCCAGATCATGGCGCCCTATGTCCTGACTGGCTCTGACGATGGCCGCATCCATTTGTGGAACATCAACACAAGGACACTGCTCCATCGATTCCAGATCCACGGTGAGATCACCTGGGTCGAGCATCTACAGGAGCAGAAGATCGTCGCTGGTTTAGGGTACAATATTGACAAGATGGAGTCCGAGATCCGCCTGTTCTCAACCGAGACTGGGGAGGAGATTGGATTCTATAAAGAGGACTTTTGGGACCTGGCTATATGTGCCATCAATGGGACGTATCTGGTGGCGTCTGATGGTGAGGGCCGATATACCACCTGGAACTGGAAAACAGGCGCCAAAGTGAGCCATTTCAAAGTGAAAGATGAGGTAAGATATGCCGGCGCCTGGACTTTTGCTTCTGCAAAGATCAAAAGCCATACTATCAACCGCAATTGCTCATCCATTTTCCTGCTTATAAACGCGTTTTTTCTTTAGTCATCAATCACCGAGGCTCTGTATCTAGTGCAGAACACGATCCTCGAACTGCACTACGATGGCATGATCCGACTGTTCTCGATCCATGGTGAATGCTACGGCCGCTTCACACTCGACAACATCCTGCCGAACCACCAAGTATCATTCTGCTGGTTTCATAATGATTTCTCAATGGTAGTCTGGGAGTCGAGCAACACAATGGCCCATATCCGTCTACCGCTCCTCCTGCAGGACGAATCCTCCAAGGGTCTCCAGAACAACCGACTTGACCGCTCCATCTCTCAGGAGGAGTGGGATGCCCAGGGTGCTGAGGTCTATTGGAGACATCAACTTGAGCACACATGTAACTTTGCGGCCATGGGTGGCGGACGGTTCCAGCTGCTCTATGTCCAGATCTTTGAGAACTTGATGGATCATGTGCCAATCCGTGTTCATTCTTTGAGGCACAGTGGAAGACCCCAGGGTGCTGGCGCCGATGCAGACTCAGATTCTGTGATAGAAGGTGGGGAGGAGGGTTATGGTTGGCAGCATGGCGAGTATGTCACAGCACACAGCCTGAATCCTGAACTGGAGAAGATTATTCAAGGTCTTCGTCCTTCGCGTATCGACTGCGACCCCGAGTACATTGCCGTAAGTTTACGCGCGCTCTTCTGACCTGGCGCTTTTATTTTTTATTTTTTTTGTTGTGATTAATGCTACCTTTTGCTAATCGCTCCTATTTCTATTATTATTATTATTATTATTATTATTATTATTATTATTATTATTATTATTATTATTTTATTACAGGTCGGTCTGGTCCAAGGTGGTGTACGCCTGCTGCAGTTCGCGCCAGTGGACGAAGAACTCCTGAAGCAGACATCTGCTTTGGCAGAAGATTCGACCATGGGTGGCAAGGGGGATTAGGCAATGGAAGGATGGATTTATGGGACGAATATCTGTACCATAGCAACAAACCCCCCCCCCTCCCCCAGTTAAAAAATGCATGCTTTTCAAAGACGGGGTTGCTTTATTTCAAATGTGGGTGATAAATACGAAATGTAAAGGGTTCCGAGGTGAAGCTGGCTCATCAGTTCCGGACTGAATGACCAAAAAGAAAAAATAAAGAAGAAAAGAAAATAAAGAAAAGATACACTATCAGAATCTATCGTTGTATTCTTTAACGACATGGGAAGATTGGGAGGGTGTTCGATATTGGATTATCCGAGTCGACACTAACGCTTGTCGAAGGTTCAGCACAGCCTCTCATTCCAAGTCCCAAGGAGCACTTTCATATTGGCTGTGCATGCCCGGGACAGCCCCCTCCTGGTTTCCATCTCATTCCTTCGTGAGCGAGAATGTGATCTTCGAGCAAAGTTCCGAGCTCATTCCGGCACGCATATTGCAAATCGTCTGAGCAGGACATGTTGTGTTGGCAGCGCAGGCGCCAATCCTGTTAGCAGACTTGCCGCGATATGTCCAGTACTGCTGGAAGGCGGCACTGTCGGACTCGAACGCGACAGTGACATCGTGCCACCATGAGGCGCTCAGGGGGGCGTCGTCTGCAATGGGCACATAGGAACCATAGGCCTGACGTGCCGAGTATTCCAGGTGCCAGTTAGGTGTTGCACCCGTGGCATCCCAGGTAGTGGCTTGCGAGAGGTCGGCGATGTAGGTCAGGGAATCATAAACGTTCCAGTTGCCGGTGTCGACCTGGTAGATGCGGAAACCGGGATTCAAATTCGAGTGAGGAGTGACAGAGGGTCCAGTCCATGCAGTCGAGATAGCGTTCTGGGCGTCCTTGATGCCAGGCTGGTAGTAGATCGAAAGCTCATCGTAATGGGTATGCCCAAAGAACTGCTCAGCAATGACATGTGGAGAGTAGCGTTGAACGATCTCGTAGTACTGTGCAGACCAGTTCTGGAGGCAATTTATCTGGGAGGGGTTGAAGTGTGCAATAATCCAAACGCGTTCGCCTGCGTCTTCAGCGGCCTGGAGTTGGTTGATGAACCATTTGATCATTCCGTTGGGATCGTGATCATCGACGTCGGCATAAAGATAAAAGTTCATTCTGTAGCAAAAGTTGGTGTTGAGCGAGATGATGCGGAGGCCCTTTTGAGGACTGGCGGCATAGGCACCGTAGTTCTTAACCCAGTCGACAGCATCTGAAGGCAACCAACGGGACCAGTTGTCGGCCAAGCTGGAATATAACCAGGAGAGATCTCCGCCAGAGGCCTCGGTGGGGTACAGGTTCGTGGGTCCAGACTCATGGTTTCCGACAGTGGGATAAATATTGATGCCCAAATTATCCATATTTGCGTATGCATGTCTCTCTATGGGGAGGACGGCGGATCGGTCCTCGAGCCAGACATCGTGTGGAGGGACATCACCGGTCATGATGGAGAAGCTGGGCTTGGCGACCGAGGGAATATAGCTCAGCAGGTCCAGGCCCAGCTTGACAGGGGCGTCACAGCTGTAGTCGCCCCAAGAGGCAGCGGCGCGTGTGATGTTTGAGGGAGAGTCGTCGTACTTTCGGCAGCACATGGGTCTGTTGCAGATAGCATCGGTGCCAGGGACGTATTCCTCGTCAACGTGCCAGCTGTTGATAAAAATAAAGTTTTAAAAACGCGTTAGGGTTTAAAATATCTGGATGTATCCGTCTAAGGGAGACTTTAAAAAAAGAAAAAAAGCCTGGTCAGCTTACTCGGAGAAGTGGAGAACCTCCACTTGAGTACCACTTGGAGGAGGGGCGACAGGGTCAGCGGGCCTGGGCTTTGGGAAGATAACGGTGGTATCGCCGATATCAGGAGCAGGACAAGCGCCGGCGGCCTGAAAGCAGAGTTTTCTACCGTCGTCGGAGGTGAGGTCGGCAGCGATGATCGAGTCGAGGAGGACGGGGCCTTGCATGTAGACCACACCAGTGCACTGGGATTTAAAAAGGACATGATATGGTTAGCCTCATATAGTCAACAACGCGAGAATATGAATAATACGTTAAATGGATTAAACGATCTGACCAGCGACGTGAACATACTACATCAGTAGGGTACATGGACAGGGTCGGGCAGAGATTATTGACAATCTCCAGCACCCTGGACTTGTCCGAGATCGCATATTCTTTCACCCCAACCAACGCAGCAAGACAGTCATCACATCCCAAAGACTCGAGCGCTTTGGTCAGCAAATCACTGATTTTGTCCTCGGCCTCGTCACGCTTCTCAAGGCGGGCGGCATGAGGAGCTGGGGCGGCAATAACCAAAGTGGCGACCACCAGAGAAAGAATGACGGAGGAGACACGAACGCGCATAGTAAATGAGGGTGAGTTAAGGTGTGAATATGGCAAAGGAGAGAGTGAGAGGATTAGGCACTTGATTGAAGGTGCCAATTGATGGAGACAAGGAGGAAGAATAAAAAAAAGACGACGGATTAAGCGCGTTATATAGGCACCTGTTGATGGGATGCGAAACATCATAATAGCCTGCGTCAAACCAAACTGTCCCCTTTTTGGACTTACCTATTTGTAAAAGCGAAGACCTTACCGTTAGGACAAAACGCACAGCAAACACTTTCCATGTAAAGCAGAACGAACAGCCAACGTTTAGACTTGAAAACGAATACTTCGTTTGCACCGTGCAGAATTTTCACGGGCTAATTAATCACTTGGCCTACAGGCTTGCGATATTGATAGGAGTAACGGTGTTGGATAGAGCTTGATCAAGGCTTTCCTGCTGCAGATCGGATGGCGCCAGGTTAGATGTTGGCTGCCCAGTAGTAAGGAATAAAAAATGAACAGCCGTATCACAGAACGCAGTGCGATATTTTACCCTTATTTTCACTTACAGACAAGAAAGTCAAAGCGGGTCCCGTCTGCACCACGTGAAGGGTACTCGTACGTACTTCATAGGTCAATACAGTGCAGATCCTACAGCAGGAAAGCCTTGATCAAGCTCTATCCAACACCGTTACTCCTATCAATATCGCAAGCCTGTAGGCCAAGTGATTAATTAGCCCGTGAAAATTCTGCACGGTGCAAACGAAGTATTCGTTTTCAAGTCTAAACGTTGGCTGTTCGTTCTGCTTTACATGGAAAGTGTTTGCTGTGCGTTTTGTCCTAACGGTAAGGTCTTCGCTTTTACAAATAGGTAAGTCCAAAAAGAGAGGTACATTTTCACGGTCTGGTTTGAGGCAGCCTAATTAAAATGCCAAACTTTGTTTAGCATATACGCGTCGGAAAAAAAGATACTCCTGGTCTTGTTAATGAATCCCCTGAAGCGTCAAATCCAACGACGTGTGGATGCCAGTCATCCAGAGATATAACGAACAAGGTTAATGAGACAGGCACTTCTTTCTCTCATTGGCAGTAACCGGGTGGTGCAGATTAATTGCGCCCTGTAATAATGGTACGTCGAATAAATCACAGGCGCTATGCCTTCTCGCCCAGAAATACTTTCAGAACATCGCCTCCTGACTGACAACTGTAGGCTTGAGCATATGTCGCAGCAATAAGATGCCACTATTAACCCTGCGATATTGGCTAAGAATATGCATTCGCGCGGATGTAGTCTATGGCTTTTGTACATGAAGCTAGAGAAAGGTCTGTTCGAGTAGGGAGCAGAGAGAACAATAGGCCGGCCTGAATTGACCTTGCTCTCATGTTCTGAACTTTTTGACTTGGTCCTTACCGGGGTTCAATGCAAAAAAGCCATTTCCATTCTGCTCCTTCCCTCTCTCTCTCTCTCTCTCTCTTCTCATCGAGATCATGTCTCATTATACTTATGCGACTATTGTCCTCTATTCTCTTTTTTTCTGGACTTTCTTAGAATATGTTCTTGAAAAATTAAACGATGGATGGCCACTCCCTATACAGTGTTTCATTTGAGCCATGTCCGTATATGCACTCTCAATACCGTTAATCACAAAAAAAAAGCATCGACCCAAGCGGCCATTGGAGACAACGCTCAAACAACCCAGCTTGCAGAGCATCGACCGACAGCGCGGAGTGTACTCTATGATCAAGAAAATTGAGGGATTTGGCAGAGGTAAGCACCCCACCACAGCCTTTCCAAATGAAAAAAGACAGCATACTACAACATTGCTTGTTCACATATCCAGACAACTGGTTGACAAGCAACTATGTTTTTCCAAGTCCAGGAGTTGGCCCCCAGTCCAAGAGGACGCGCACTACTGCATTTTCCTTCTACGTCGGTCGCATAGAAAAAAAGAAAAAGAGTCGGCTTCCTATTTATTCAGATGGAGCGTCCTGTCGAGCGCCGCGCCATCTACTTTCTCCATTGAATATAGGAACGCGAGCACATATATGTTCCTAGGAAAGAGAGTGGTTGGGCAACGCGATCGGCCAATGAAGGCGTGTTTAGAGTCATTGCACCACGCGAGGAATACATTCCGCACTGATTAATGCTCAAGATGTACGCAAACAGATGCGGCTGTTGCATGATCGGACCGAATGAAACTCGTTTTCGGGGGCGTCGAATTTATTTAATAAAACCACCCACGCGACCTTTCGGCATCGCGATTGATTGATATATGAATAGCGCATTTCATTGTTATTATAGATAATCAAATATAAGGCGAGAGAAGTTCCCTTTTTTCTATGAAAGTCAACTCGCTACTATATGTGAGATGTCAGTCCACACAGGCTCTTGTTCCAAGGTTTGGGGGCAGTGCGTCTGTAAAGACTGTGTAGTTCCGTAGAATCTGTCGCCTTCCAATCCATGGTCTCGCCTTCATGATCATCGTGTTTGATTCCGAACGAAGCCGTACTGCATTCGTCCGAACTATTGCCCGCACGCAGTTTACAGATCATCTCCTCTGGGCACCCGGATCCGGGCACGCATGCAGCCATTCGGTTAGCAGACTTGCCGCGGTAGGTCCAGTACTGCTGGAAGGCAGTATTGTTGCTCTGGAACACTGTCGTGACATTATGCCACCATGAGGCGCTCAAGGGTGCATCAGCGGCGATGGGCACGTAGGTACCGTAGACCTGACGTGCCGAGTATTCCAGGTGCCAGTTAGGCGTTACACCCGTGGCATCCCAGGTAGCGGCTTGCGAGAGATCGGCAATGTAGGTCAGGGAATCATAAACGTTCCAGTTGCCGGTGTCGACCTTATAGACGCGAAAACCAGGATTTATATTCGTGTAAGGAGTAACAGAGGGTCCAGTCCAAGCAGTCGAGATAGCGTTCTGGGCGTCCTTGATGCCAGACTGGTAATAGACCGAAAACTCATCGTAATGGGCATGCCCAAAGAACTGCTCAGCAATGACATGTGGAGAGTAGCGTTGGATGACCTGGTAGTACTGTGCAGACCAGTTCTGGAGGCAATCTATCTGGGAGGGACCGACGTGGCCAATGATCCAAGCGCGCTCGCCTGTGTCTTCAGCGGCCTGGAGTTGGTTAATGAGCCACTTGAGTTCGCCAAAGGGATCGTAATCCCTGGTGTTACCGTAGAGATAAAAGTTCAATTTGTAGCAAAAGTTGGTGTTGAGCGAGATGATGCGGAGGCCCTTTCGAGGACTGGCGGCATAGGCGCCATAGTCCTTGACCGAGTCGACAGCATCTGAGGGCAACCAACGGGACCAGTTGTCGGCCAAGCTGGCGTAGAGCCATGAATTGTCGCCGCCAGTTCTAGGCGTGGGGAACAGATTCGTAGGTCCAGCTTCGTGGTTGCCAACAGTAGGATAGATCTTACCCGAAAATCCAGAGGCCATGACATCGTACGCTTTCTCCTCTTGTGGGAGCACTGAGCTTTTGTTTCCCAGCCAGACATCGTGTGGAGGGACATCACCGGTCATGATGGCGAATTTGGGCTTGGCGACCGAGGGCACGAACTCTAATAGGTCTTCTCCAAGCTTGACTGGAGAGTCGCAGTTGTACTCACCCCAGGTAGAAGCAGCAAGAGTTGGGGTGACAGGTGAGTCTGCATACTTGCGGCAGCACAAGGGCTTGTTGCAGGCGCCTTCAGAACCAGGCGTATACTGGTCATCAACGTGCCAACTGAAACAGAGAGAAAAAAATAAAGAACCTATTAATGTGTTGTTGAACGGACCGAGAGTTACGTGGTAATGAGTAAAGAGTGCAAAGCGTACTCGGACAAATGCAGGACATCGATTCGCCTCCCGCTGGGAGCAGGAATGTTGGCGTTGACAGGCTTAGGCTTGGGGAATTTCACGGCTCCGGACGTGATAGCAGGCGCAGGGCAAGCACCCAAGATCTGGTAGCAAATCATCTTGCCATCGCCGGACAACAATTTCGCTCGCAGAATAGCGTCGATGAACACTGAACCTTGACTGTAGACCAATCCCTGGCACTAAATCAATTGGAGAGGAGAAAGAAAAAAGTTAATTAGGAGGAGACGGATAGACATTATCCCACAGGGTTGATTTGACAATCGATTTTTTCTCTCATGGAACAAAGAGATTGAAAGCACATACCACATCCGCGTCCATCAACTTGAGTTCTCTGCATAACCCATTGGCAGCTTTGAGGACCCAATCTTTGTTCTGGTGGGCAGCGTCTTTGGCGGCAACTAGTGCAGCGACACAGGCGTCGCATCCAAGATCCCTGAGCGCCTCGGTGATCACGTCTTTCAGATGGTTCAAAATGGTATCCTGCTTCTCGAGGTGAGCTGGAGTAGGGGCAGCGCAGACCGAGGTGGCAGCTATCAATGAGAGAATAACTGCTGAAACACGAATAAGCATTTTTTTTTATGTGTGTGTGTGGAAAGGAAGAGTTGTATCCACTGAGGAGGTCGGTGACCCCTAGAAATGAAATGCTGTGTAGCCCAGAAGGATGATCTGAGGATGTATGAAGGAAAAGAAAGAGAGTCGATTCTGAGATAGGACGGAGGTCAAGGCGGTAACAGCAACAGAACGCCTCGAAAAATGCAGAGCCTTTTATATGGAGCACCGGAATGGAAACTTGTAAACGAGGTTCTTTTTTCAATCTCGCATGCGTTTCTCCATAGTTGTTCTTTTACTTCAAGAGGTTCGGTGCACATGTGCCTGCAAGGAACTACCATCTTTCTTTCTTGAGAGCGCAAGGGCCGTGAATTGTGGGACGAGCTCCGTAGTTGTTGAGATAAAGTTTTAAATGGGACTCAAAACATGGTTCCCAAGCATACGGAGCGAACGGAATGCGAGTGATAGGGACGGACACCAGCCTCTCGCAGCATGGAACCGCGAGTACATCCATCGATATATGTCTTTTTTATCCGCGCTTCAGTCCGTTAGCTGCCCCTTCGCATGGACTCTCTTGGGATGGTGTATGAGTGTGCCGTGGGCGCCATCTCGCCGCGAAAGAAAGAAGAGGAGTATGTAAGCTATGCAGTAAACAATCCAGTTCTTGCCGAAAAATTCGTTCAATCGGGGAAGTGCGCCATATAATCTAGTGAGGCGCTGAGATCCACCGTTTTTGGTGAATCTCAAACGATCTCTTCATTTTGCTGTGCATTACCGCATTCCTGGTTTATGAGGTCGGCTGCATGCAAAGGACCAGAAGCTGAGCAAGCGACTTACAGTAGGCTGACCGCAAGAAAATGGGAATAGGTCGTAATTCGAATTGCCGTATTTGTTATTACAGCTCGCTACATTGGCCATTTTATCACTATGAGCCACGACAAAAATATTAAAGAAAAAAAGTTCATCCAGAGAACCAGCGACTGGGGCTCCTGAATATCAACGCCTGCCCTGGGATCCAAACAAGAACAGTGTGTAGGGCGCGCTAGCCAGCCAGCCAGTTCTCGTTCTTTTTTTTTTGTGCAAGGAACAATGAAGTGGAGGCAGGCTTCCGGGAAAAAACAATACTGAGAGCTGTCATAAAAAATAGTCAGCCGTTGGCGGCCCCGAAGGAACCCTAGCAGCCTCGTTCCACTATGGATACTGCGCGTCTGGAGACCATTGCTTTGATTTCAACATAGGGGCGCCTATCCTGTTAGCGCAAACTAAACTTGATTGAGAGGACCGATCATCGCGACCATTTAAATAGATCCTTCGTCACGCGCCAACTCCAACTCATCTCAAGGCATCAGCCGAGGCGCGATCAGTTCTCACCACGAGCAACGCAAAAAAAAAAACAAAATCACCGGCATTATTTATTTTCTTGCGCTCGCTTTCTGTGATTGACGCTTCGAAACGCGCGTCTGGTGTGAGTCGAACGCGTTTTAGTTCTCTTTGCTAGTTTTACGAATAGCATGTGGAAAAAACATGACACCTCGGTCGTAGCCAGAACACTCAACTTCCTATGCAATGCGACGATTGGCCTTTTGCAAATGAGTCTAGCCCTACCTTCATTACATAAACCATTGACCTGTCATGTCCAATTGTGTCCTCCAGGACACTTCTTTGGACGGGCAAACCATATTTGCGACACAAGGGCAACATCTGCTCTCTTGGTTGTGTGCCACCAAATATCGCTCGGAGCTATAGTGAGAGCAGTGAGAGCAGCGAGAGCGTTCCTGTATTTGGACGTGCTCTTGTGAAGGAATGTGGACCGTGAGGCAGCGATACCTTGCAGGTATGTGGAGAGTCAGGCACTTTGTATTTTGTATTCCTTGCTTGACATCATTGGACAAAGTAAATGTCAAAAGGCGGTAGCACCGTTTTTTTATTTTAAGTATATATCCTGAGCGGATTACCAGACGGTAGAGGAATAAGTAGCAAAGACCACACATTTTGTCGCCAACATAATAGGTGTGTGTTTCATCTTATCTATCAGACCGCGTCCATATCCTGATCTCTGTCATGCAAGTGGTCCGTACAAGGCACGGCTAACGAGACGATCCCACCATCGTCTGTCACGACCTTCCCCGCCGAGAACTGGGGCATGTAAGCCCTTCGAAACTTTGAAGATGTATTGCCCAAACTACAATGCCTCACAAACCCTGATAGAAACACGATCGAGCCCGCAGAAATGTCAACCAGTACAGGGCGTTGCCTCTCGCATCGCTTCATCCATTGCTCGGGATCCGAGACATTAATTGGTCTTCCAGCCTTGTGTTTCAACATGGAGAAAGGATCCTTTTCTTGCGCCTGTACAAGAGCCTTGTCGCGGTCCAACTCTCCTTGGTAAAGGGACGCAAGCCCCCTGTGGAGCTGAAGGTGTGTATCAAGATCGTCCAGCGAGTTAGGCAGGTCAAGGCGTTCCCCAGTCGTGGGGTCAATTGGTATAGGGAACGGCTCAATCAGCAGTGTTCCGTTTGACTAGAGAGATAGGGCAAGAAAAGGATACAAATAAGATGGGGGCGCAGCTTACATTAACATACGTTCATCGAAGCAGCACTACATGACGAAAATGCCTACAATGTTCACATCATCCAAGGCTGTCCAGCAAGACACGATCGGGTACGCTGTTTGAGCTGTAGAGTCCATGTACTGCGAGTCCTAGAAACCAAAGACAGCGCATCAGCTACTGCGCGCCTTGTTCATCGTCTTTATTTTCAGCCATAATGAAATAAACGCTGCGCAGAACAAAGAGGCATACCTGATGCCATGCAAAGGATGATATCGATGCTGATTTTGGTGTCTTTACGATGTATTGTTCGTTGAACTAAAGAGAGCACGAAGTTGAAGACGTCTTATTGGTAGGTGGAAGTAATGGCAGAATGCTTGTACAAAAACGCGATCTCATAGGCAATACGTACCAAGCACAGCGGATTTTCTGACGTATCCGTTGGTAACAAGTGCTTTGCAAGCGCTGGCATCTTTCCAAACAGAACGGGCACCACGGTATCAGGGTCTTCTGTTACCAAGTTCCTGAGAGCCGAGTAGGGCCGTTTGGACAGAATATACATTTGCGAGACAGGAGGGTCGATGTATCCACATGAGATCGGCTCTATATTCATAAAAAAAAAACAAGCATGAGGAAACATTATAAAGTTAACCATGACTACGGACAGGGATCGAGAATGAATGAGTGCCTACCAATGACTCCGCCATAGTCCTTCATAATATCGATGTTTTCTGAGATTAGAAAGTTCACGAGGCAATCGACCTCTCGACGAAAGACCTCGACTTCTTCATGATCCAATGCTATGGCATTAGGGATATATGAAGAAGCGGTTAGGTTAGGCAACCTCAACTTCGATGGCGGACTGCAGCGCAGAAAACATGTATGTCCTTGAAAATGTCTGTGTGGCGCAATAAGATTACCGTTCCTGACAATGAGGAATCCATCGCGATGAAACTGCCTGCGAAGGTCCTTAGTAATGACAGAGTCTTCGTGTTCTGGATTCATGTTGATTAATGCAGCAATCGCGTCCAGTTGTCTTGATTGCAATGAGAAGGTGTTGTGATGTTGCAGCGTGCGAGGAAAAAAAAAAAAAAAAATGTGTTGCCACCAATCTTGAGGCCAGCCTAATTGCCACTAACTTTCGTTGAACTTTGAACGCGTGCTTTTTTTTGTTTTTTTATTTTTTATTGGGAATTTGTCTAAAATGTACGTCAGGTACGGTGTGGGGGTCTCTCTATTGTATGGAGGGTGGTGGCATATGATGGTGTGATATTGTTACGCGGTCTAGTAAAGCGAAAGCAGCTTAAGCGTAGTTGCCGCCGAGGACCTTCTTGCATCCGTAGGTCGACTTGTTGACGGGGCAGTCAGACTTGGTCTTGCAGCAGCGGATGCAGTAGATGTCCTGATCGGGCTCGACCAACTCAACAAAGTACTTGTAGCCGGAGCACTTGGAGCCGACGGGGGCCTTGATGTCGTACTGTCCGCCACCGTCCTTCTTGGAGAGACCGTAGGTCTTACCATTCATGCGTCCAGTGACCTGGACCCAGTCGGCAGCAGTGTTGCGGACAAAGTGGGCGGTCTTGATGAATCCAGCGGGGAGGACTCCAGCGTTGGGCGCGCCAGTCATGTTGGGCTTGGTGCAGAAGGCAACGGCGCGGTCCTCGTTCTCGGAGATACCACCGCCATACATGGGGGGAAGGAAGAGGCAGAAATCCTTGGCGTTGGTGATGACGCCGGTCTGGCCCTTGACGGCCTTGGTGCTAGACTTGCCAGCCGAAGCGACCGAGAGGACGGCGAGGAAAGTGGCGGCGACGAAAGACTTTGTGAAGAGCATTTTGTTGGTTCGTTTGTGGGGGTGGGTTGTGGCGTGTAGGAGTGGAGAAGGTTGAGAGGCTGAGAGAATTGGAGTAAGAAAGACAAGGGATTGTGGAGTAGGCGGTCAAGAAACTCTTTTATACCTTTTCGAAGAGTTGTTCCCTGGATCCAATCCGTCTGCTTTGTTATCTTCAGGGCAACTGGGGCGCACATGTTTACGTTTTATTTTTGTAAATGCTCCCTGGTAATATGCTCTTGGGCTTTAGAGTCTAGCACAGGCGCGATTTCCCGGTAAACGGCCTCGCGGGCCCTTACTGCGACATTTTGCCCTCTCACTTCAGCGATCTATTTTCTGCTTTATGCTTTCATGGAAGAGCACCTTGGTGGATAGATATGATAGTTTTTTTTCCTTTCTTACCCTCGACAATTATCATCGAGGACGCGATGTCAGGCCTCTTTAGCTGGCAAAAACCATTCCGAATGGTGTTGTATATTCGGTTGGTAGACAATAACAACCACAGAATCAGGTGGCACGAAACTACTCTTGCGCGCTACTAGGGCGGATAAAATTATTATTGTGCTACATCCACGGACCATTTATCCTCCCAGAAATGGAGGACATTTTGGTTCCTACATGAGGCGTATGTCTTGAAGGAATGTGATGCATGCCGCATGCAGACATGCAAATCTCGGTAAAAATGGCCCATATGGACGTTACACAGATCGAAAAGCGGAGGTTCATGAAATTATCTGAGCCCTTTACTGTCTATCCCAGGCTATGGCCAATTGGTCTGTCGGCCATCTCCTTTCTTTTCTTTTTTTATTTTCCAATGATAAGAGTAGCCATTATAGCCAGTTGTAAAAATACACCAGCTAGATATACTACACAGATAGATTTAAGGGTCCTTATAGCGCCAAAAGACGGAAGAAGGGCACAGTACCGCATGAGTCCAGCGCCGTACTCATGTCAATGGGGAAGAAGGTCCTCCCTTCACTTTACGGCGCTGCGAGGATTAATTAAACAGTATATGGACAGCCTGTCCGCATTTACACCTTTGCGCGCGAAATAAGACCCACTAACTTCATATAAGGAAGAGTGTGTGTCCAGGTCTGGCCGAGAGGTGTAGTGCTGATTTGGGTTTGAAAGAGATTATTCTAGCCCCAATTGGGTAGAAATGAACAGAAAAGCCATTGGCGTTTGGCTTCATCTGTCCTGCGTGCGTCTATTTTTACGGATAAAGCAACAGGTAAAGGATCCTTCTGATGTTTCCATCCCCAAAATGCTCTTCGCTCTCCACTAAAGGCATACAGCAGGTATACTGCCATTTGCTGTCCACATCCCCCCCTAATTGCTTTCATTTTGGCGATGGCCTCCAGGTCCCGCATTTAACCCGCCATGCACTGACTAGTCCAAAAACGAAAAGCGAACTGTCCATAAAAAGAATGTGATGCATGAGAAAGATACCATTGGAGGCACTAGTGATATTGGCTGCGAGAGCATATGGGCGGAAGGTTAGATGGATAGAAAGGTGTATATGGATAGAGAGGAGGTTTACGGATGCCATGAGCATTTACTTTTTTAGGGCGTCATTGTCTCGTTTCATACAAGCATTCACAAATTTGGGGACTGGCAGAGTGTCCGGTGCAGATACTGTCCAAGCTCCTCTTCATTTTTAACCACCACTCCTATGCTACAGCCCGTGTACCTTTTTTTTTTTTAAAAAAGAATTGAGAGACCCTCAGCTAAAGCAACAGCCGGGAATTCTGAATGCGCACTAATGCTTCCTCTCAGGGATGTGCAGTATTTATTAATAGGGATGCCAGCCTGGCGTAAAGTGATGTTAAAGATAGGTAGCAAAGGAGCTGGCTCGTAAACGGGGAAACGAGAAAGGTGGATCAAATTCATAATGGCGCGCGCGTTGTCTTTTTTTTGTATGGCGCTGCGAAAGGCAAATTGGCCTCGCCGACCTTTTTGGTCACGATTCTAGGGGAAGCATTGGAATAATGGCGGCAGGAGAGACCCCTTCGTTGCCACAACATTAATTGGTCAGAAAGGTATATCTCATTCAACTTTAACAGACGAAGGTTGTGTTTGGGAAAGAGCAGTGGCTGCGATCGACAAAGTGCCGCGGGGACTGGCTTGTGGGATAACGGGGTAGTGGAAAGTATAGCAGCACGGAGAGGCGAGCGAGCACGAGGGCTTCTCTCTTTGGGAATCTAGGGCGGGGCATGGACGCCTCCGCTGGGGAGAGGCGAAGTTGTCCAGCAGCCGCAGATGTCTTTGTTCGACATCCAAATTGGAACAAATCGTGTGCTCTTGGTTCCTTCTTGGGTAGCATTCGTTCTAGCGCCACTGTCCAACCGGACATGAATTAACGTTTTCATACTTCTCCGTACAAATTGGGATAATAATAGAGTCAGTGAGCCCCATATTGCATTCCTGCCTGGGCCCCATACATTAGCCCCTGGCACGTATAAAAGGCTGGATAGCAGGTTCCTCGTCCCCATATCCGCCCATTCCATCTTGACAGACAATCCCTTTCCACTACATTCACGGACACCCTCCCCCACACTCTCCTCTCCCCTCTACTTCCGCTTTACGACCCTCAGAATGATGCACACCCAGCTTAAGATCGTCCTTGCTGCAATGCTCGTGGCCTTGATTGCCACGATGGCCATGGCTGCCCCCGCCAAGGCATCAACGACTCATCATACTACAACCACGGCCAACCCTCACAAGAAGGCCACCCATACCACCACTGCCCTCCACAAGTCAAAGGCCGTCAAGCCCAAGGTTACGACCACCACTCACACCACCAGCGCAGCTCACAAGCCCAAGGCTACGACCACCACTCACACCACCAGCGCAGCTCCCAAGCCCAAGGCTACGACCACCACTCACACCACCAGCGCAGCCCCCAAGCCTACCACGCCCGCTAAGATGGGCCAGACGGGTACGATCTTGAGTCAGACCGATTTCTGTATCTTTTTGCCTCCCAAGTTCGGCGGCGACATTGCCCTGAACGAGGACCGCGCCGTGGCCTTCTGCACCAAGCCCAACATGCCCGGCGCAGCTAACGCCCAGGTGCTCCCTGCTGGATTCATCAAGACCGCCCACTTTGTTGCTAACACAACCGCGAACTGGGTCCAGGTCACCGGCCGCATCGACCGCTCCAAGTATGGTCTTTCACCCAAGGATGGAGGTGGACAGTACGATATGCGCGCCCCCGTTGGTGCGTTGTGCAACGGATACAAGTCCTTTGTCCAGCTGACGGAGCCCGATGCTCAGATCTACTGCATTCGCTGCTGCCAGAACAAGACCGATTGCCCCGTTAACAAGTCGACCCATGGATGCGTGAAAGTTCTGGGTGGCAGCTATTTGTAGAGAATACCCTTTCTTTTTTTTTTTTTTTTTTTTGCCAACGAGCAGGGCTTCGGTTGAACATGAACTGTAGGGAATTACAGCGGCTCATAATATCATTCGCTATTGTTTCATGTTCATTCCATTATCTTTTACCATAGAAAAAATAAAATATGGGTTCAGGGACAGAAAGTTTCATTAAAAGGAGTTTATAGTAACAAAGATGTTGCTTTTCGCGCGTTGCTAGTCTTAGTAAACACCGCCCAGAACCTGCTCGCAACCATCCTCTGACTTGTTCACCGGACAATCCTTCTTGTTCTTACAGCACCTCAAACAGTAAATCCCCTGGTCCGGCTCCGTGATCTGCACGAACGCGTTGTAATCCGCACAGATCGCTCCCACGGGCGCCCGCATATCGTACTGTCCACCTTCATCCTTTGATGACAAATCGTACGTAGATCCGTCCATCTGACCTGTAATCTGGACCCATTGCTCTGAGGTGTTCTCGACAAAGTTCAGAGTCTTGATAAAACCCGTGGGGAGGATACCTGCATTCGGTGCGGAGGCAATGGGGACGTTGCAAAAGGCCACGGCGCGGTCCTCGTTCTCGGCAATGTCGCCGCCCTGGAGTGGGGGCAAGAAGAGACAGTACTCGGAGGCGGAGACCAAGGCGGCAGTTTGGCCGTAGGTGGCTCTCCGAAGAGGAGCGGCTTCGGTGGTCGATGTGGAGAGGAGGAAGAGGGCTGCGGTGGCGACAACAGCGGTGAAGGTGAATGACCGGACCATAATGCTTTGGCGTGCGTTGCTTGTGTGCGGTGTTGTTATTGCTGGTGTTGCTGGTGTTATTGTTGCGTTTCTGATTTGGACTTGATGAGGATGCTGATAACGATGATGGTGAGAAGGGAATTTTGGAGGATCGTTGTCGTTCTTTTTATACGCGTCGTTCTGGTCATCTTCAGGTTGGCTGTTGAAGTCGCCAAAGGAATCCTAGAGTGTGGATGTTACCACCTTCCGTAGGCACACGTATGAAATGGGGCACTGTTTGTCATTCCTATCGCCGTTCGCTATCTTTAGACAGGCGCAGGGCGTGCTACCACTGACCAAGGCGAAGCACTATCTCGTGAGGTGAGTGTCGGCAGTATGGAGGGAGCTACGCCCGTGGATTCGATCCAGGAAGGGTAATGCCAGGGTCATACGCCCTCCCTATGCCCTTCTTGTTTGCTCGTGAGTTGGCATGCGTGTGTGTATAGGTTGAAGAGGATTCTCTTCCTTGTTTGGAAATGACAATGCACGGCTAGTCATAGGCGGTGTGCGGAGCGAGGACCGATAGAGAGTGAAGGTCACTCAATGGCGGCTACGATGTACGCCAGTCTTGCGAAGGCGCTTCTAAGGCGCGTTTTTGTAGCCGTTCTATTTTTGACGTTCTTACAGCCTTTTAGCCCTGGCAGTGCATTCGCACAAAAAGTAAATATGGCCCTTTTCATTCCCTTCGCACAATTTATTTTTTGCTTCTTCGCCCTTTCAATACACATACACCTTCAACAGTTCCCTCTTTCTAGCAGATAGACATGCATGGATACGGCCAAACGATATATCCATGCAGGTCTATCTGCCAGAAAGAGGGGACTTGTCTACAGTACTACAAAGAGTACGGTGTGCTTTCTGAGTACTGCCTTTATTCCTGGAAACTCCCATCCCTCTAACGAATTGGACATTATCCGACTAGAAATTCGTTTTTACTCACCCAGCAAGGAAGAAGTTCGTTATGCGCTTCGATACTTTAGAGAAACTATAGTTGCTGTGACAAGACTCAGACAAACTTGTTTGTCTTCATGCAACTCTCTCTCCAAAAAAACAAAAAAAAGCCATGGGGGTTCATTCAGATATAGTTCCTGGGCCTGCATCATCCTGCATATCGACGCTCGTTGTTTTTTTTTTTTTGGCAGAGGCAAGATCTCAACAAAAAATCTGCCAGAAAAGCCTTGGGGGTCTATGAACTTAGCTGTTGAACAAGCTAAACGAGAACTTTTAGCGCCAAATGAGGTGTCCTGCCATATCTTCCTCAGAGGAGTCTAGGTTCATCTGGCCTATGAGGAATATAAAAGAAAAAAAAAAGAATGCCTTAGTCGGAGTATATCACTATATGGACTTGCGCATGCGTGGGAAGTCTGTCCCGAGATTCCGAGTCAGATTAACGTGGTTTTTTGTTTGCTCCAGATGGGAGATGAGATGTGGAGAAAGAAGCTATTATGAAAGAGTGGGGCGAGGATGGATAGCAAGGGGAAAGGGGATTACAGGCACAACAGAGTGATAGGGTTCAAGTCCAGAAAGGGAGGGAGATGTTTGTTTGTGTGATAAAAAGTGTCGATCTCGGACATTGCAGCGATGGTACAACAAACAGACCAAAGAGCGGGGGATGAAAAAAAAAAAAAAAAAAAAAAAAAAGGTAACAAAGCTTCCTGGACCTTGGCTCGTTCCCTTTTCCTGGGTTCAGTTGCCGCCAATTCTTTCTTTGACGCAAAAAAGAGTACGAAAGAGAGAAGAGCGGGTAATGGGCACTACACTTTTGCATTGCGGAGGAAACTAAGGACGAACAAAAAGTAGACATGTCAATGTGCGACAGAGTCATTCTCAGTCATTGCTGTGGAAATGGCGCCACTTTGCATTCGTTATTCAATGCCTTTTTCACTTGGATACTTTTAACGAGTGATTCATCACCGCCATCATTGACTGAAGGAGTGCGGGTATCAATGCAGTTTACAGTCAACTCTTTGAATGCAATGCATCCCATGTCTTCTGCTAAAAAGGGTCTGCTGCGGCAGAACAAACGCGTAGTCATGTTGCTACTGAATAGCGGGAAGGAGAGAGAGAGTGTGTGTACAATTTCTATTGTTCATCCCCTTGTCCTATTTATCTCTACTATGGTGCATGGTGCATGGGGCGCATGGCAGCCATAACGTTACCAAGGAAGCATTGGCCTCTGTGAGTTACACATCGGCTACGCTCGATGAGACTACATCCAGGGAAGATGGGTGTAAAGAAAAGTAGGAAGTAAGGGGGGGGTCTCATATCAGCTCCATGAACTCCATCGAAAGAAAAGAAAACCTGGTCTCCCTTGCTGGTTTCTTTCGCTCACTCACTCTCATCAGCTCTCATCAGCCCATCGCACCAACTCTTCCGCATCGAGCCAAGTTAAGTCGACTCTACTTCCACCCAGCCGAAGCCCATGGGCTCTGCCCTCTGTCCGTTTACATAACTGTGTGTACACAACCATAAAGGACCGGTTGTTGTCAGGGACTATTTAACACCTTTCTCTTCTCTCTTTTCTTTTCATCCTTTTCCCTTCTACTACTTACTGCCATTTATTTCATCATCATCATCTTCGCCAAGCGCTACTTCCTTTTCTACATTCTTTCACCCACCAATCGCCACCAGTCCCTATCAGTCCCCACCAATCCCCATCAATCCCTTTTTGAATATATTTCTCCACCATCCCTCTTCTCTTTACGTTTTTTTTTTCTTTCTCTCTCTCTCTCTCGCAAAATATGTTCACCCAGCAGTTTCCGCAGTCTTCACAGCCCATGAGATTGCAGTTCCCGACAAACTATCACCTTCAACAGCAGCAGCAGCATCAGCATCAGCAGCAGCCACAGCCACAGCCACAGCAGTCCATGCCCATGCCCATGTCCTTCAATAACCAGCATCACAGTGGCAACAACGCGGGCACGCCCAACAACTCCTACGCAGGCACCATCGACCCCGGTCTCCTGCAAGTGACCATGAACCGCATGGACACCTCCCAGCTCCAGAACATGAACCCGCTTTTCCCTTCGTCCTCGGCCACCTCCCTCAATTCTCTTGGCAACCCCAATAGTCACCATCCAGCCGCCCTCGGCCGCTCTGGACTTGGAAGCAAGCGAAACAGCAGCAATTCCACGACTAACCACGCCATCAAGCAAGAGACCGGCTCTCCAGACTTTTTGGCCTCTGAGATGGACTTTGGCGAGCCCAGCAACATGCTCTCGCCCGGTTCAAGCTCGCCCTTGAACTCGCCCAGGAACGATTTCGACAGTCCCGACGATTTCGGTACTACGATGGGTTCCCACGCAAAGCCCTTGCCAATGAACATCCAACACCAAAACTCCTATGGCGAATCTCCAGGAAACGGCTCGCTCTATTCGCCTGTCGAGTCCGACTTTTTCCCCGAGGGCGATTTCAGTCTGCCGACGAGTTCGCGTCCGCTCGACATGAAGTTTGGCCGCCATATGCATCCGGGATCGGTCCCCAACACAAGCAACCCGTTTCACAGCATGTCTATGCCCGTCCCTCGATCAGACTGGTTTGGTGCTGCAGATGGCCATGCCGTGGGATCTTTCGAGAACCCATCTGGCCTTCAGTTTGCGCCTGGCGAGATGACGGGCATGATGAGCAGCCTCTTTGAGGACGAAGGAGAACAAAAGTAAGTTTTTTTTGTGCACTTTCAATTGAAGTTTCTTTTTTTCCTTTTCTTTTTTCATGGGATGGCGATGGCGCTGGTGGAGAATATCAATCGGCGGAGCAAACCTTATAGCATTGGTTTGTACAATGGTGCCACGAGGGCCAATGGGGGCTACAGCATAGGTTGGACGGGGGGGGGGGGGGGTAACTTTTTTTCTTTTGTCCGCAACCTGCCTGCGCTCGTTGTTTGGGGACAAAACGGAAGTAGAGTTCTAGTAATAGGGGGTCGGAGGAGGAAATGATGTACAATTGCATGATATGGATCAGTCAGCTACTCACCAGGCGCGCACATCCCTCCTTTGTATTGTGTATTGTAAATGTGCATGCATACAGTATACAATTGTGGGGTTTATGCAAAAACAACTTGCTCTTGCGCGGTCTGTTTTGCACTCCTTTCGACCCCTTCTTTTTTTTATTTTATTTTTTTATTGATCCTTTTGTCGAGAATCGCCATGACCATATTTTTTTCTGAGCTCTACAACCATCGTGGTGCGCCATGTCCTGTCTTACCGCACTTTTTTTTTTTTTGTTGTTTTTACTGACAGTTGGGTTCGAGACCGAAAAAAAGGGGGAGTCGATGTAGAAAAGAAAAAAAAATCGGGTGGGCAAAAAAAAACCAAAGGACTGAGAGTGAGGCCCTGAGTGACGCAAACACGCATGAAAATAACAAAGAGGGGAAGGATATGGTCAAAGGGAAAAAAAAGTGGAAAAACATCCACGGAATGCATAGCGCAGCACTAATCCATTCTCGCCGTGTCCTAGGGGCACCAACAGGGCTTTGATTATGAACGAGAAGCGACGTCGAAGACGGGAGAGCCACAACGCAGGTAAGAAAGATGCTCCAATGCCAACGCCGCGTATTTTTTTATGTGCAAAAATAGATGTCTGTACACTTTTTTTTTTTTTTTTTTGCTAACCTTCTCATTGTTGCTCTGTTTTTCCATGCACCCCATGACGCTTAATAGTTGAGCGACGACGACGCGACAACATCAACGAAAAGATTCAAGAGCTGTCGACGCTTCTGCCCGATATCTATGTGGACAGCGCTAACAAGCCGAACAAGGGCGTGATTCTCCGAAAGTCTGTGGATTATATCCGACATCTACAACAGCTGGTATCGTCTCAAGCGACCCGTAACCAGGAGCTCGAAGCACAGCTCCAGGCCAAGAATGGTGGAGCCAGCAGCACTGGGGCCGAGGATGCGAACAATGCCAATGGCTCTGGACCAGGACCACAGCTCCAGCAGGATTTCGGAATGATGAGAATCGTCTCTGGGGGCAGCAACGGCGGACAAAACTAGGCCGATTATTTTCAACACGTTACATGGACGAGAAGCGAGAGACGAGAGGGAGAGAGGGATGTAGACATGGATGCAGGATGCAGATGGGCTGCATGAAGGAGGGAGTAGTGCGGGCGATCGAGGCTGCAGCGCGAACGAGCGAGTGTATATATGAACCGAAGCGAAGAGCGAGCGGAGGAAGAGGATGTGCAGCTCTTTTATTTTCTTTTTTCTTTTTTCTTTTTACCCAGTCCCCTCAAATGGAGGCGCTAAGTGCAGTACACCATCGACTTGAACCGCCAGGACGACCGGCGCGACGGTAGGAAGTTGGGCGCAATGGCCTTCTCTTGGACAGGAGAACACGCCGATCATACCCCCGACAGCGACTATTATGTCGACAGCACTTTTTACAGTACAGGGTTCCATGGATCGGAAGCTGGTTAACTCAGGAACTTTTTTTTTTTTTTTTTTTTTTTTTTTTTTTTTTTTTCTTCTGCTCTTGTTCTTGATGCCATGACCCGGCCCTACCGAGCTTCCTCAGGATCTACTTTGCCATGGATGATGATGGTGGCAGAAGAAACGATGATCATGGTGATATGACCTTTATGACAGCATTCTCTTTTTTTTTTTTTATTATATTCTTCCTGTATTTCAGCATCTCGTTCTTTTTACGACAGATCGTGACCAGATTTCTTTTGCTCGGTAGCCGCCCTTTTTGTACAAATATCCCCCCTCCTTCGTTTACTTTCTTTTCTTTTCAGAGGCAATCTTCTTGATGTATTAAAAAAAACATAAAAAAATAAAAAAGACCTAAATTTTGTTATCATTCATGGATTGAAGATCATTTGCAGGTCTCGGTTGCTGCTTTGCCCAAATATATTGTGTCTTGTCCGGCAGGAGCGATATCTTTTTGGGAAAGTACTGTAAAACGTCTACGTCTTGAATAAAGAAAAAAAAAGGGGGAGCTAATTCTAAGGGGGTGAGGAGGGAATGAAGAAGGAAAGAAGGAATGCATGTCTAGTTCTTGGGAGCAACGAGGGTAGTTCTGTGTGTTGCCGTGGTGTGCTTTTCCGAGAGGACTGTGGAAGAAGAGACGGAGCTCAAGATCTGGGAGCTCAAGTCCTTGGGACCCTTCTTTTTGTCCGCCACCTGCCTGAGTTTCTCCGCCCGCTTGATGTAGGCCTCAAGGCCGATTCCGGAAAAGACGACCGCAACCATGCCCCATTGCTTCAGGTTAAGCTCATGTCCGTAAGCGACGACGGACAACAGGATCGTGAACAGCTTCCTCGTCACCGTAACGGTGACCAAGGACAGGGACCCGTAGTGCTCCAGGGTATAGAAGATAAAGCACTGGCCCAGAGCTCCACAGAGCGAGAACATGATGATGTCCTTGATGATGGCTGGATGGGTCTGACAGAAGCTGATGGCGTTGGCGAACTCAGAGTTGTAGGGGTTCAGGAGCCAGAGGGTCATGTATCCGGACATGAAGAGGTTCATGTAGCACATCATCTGTTGTCCTGAGACTTTGAAGGAGTGGAAGATCTGGTCCTGGGTCGAGTTGGTGATGCCGTCGAGGGTGAGGTTGATGGCGACGAGGAACAGACCGTAGAGGGAGCTTTCGACGGCAGCCTTCTTGGATGCTTTATGTTCATCCAGGGGAGCGTAGAGCATGAATCCGGATACACCGATGGTGACGAGGGCGACACAGACGTATTTATAGGTTGGGAACTTGCGGCGGTAGAGGAGGATGTTCATGAACATGACGGGGATGAGTTTACAGGATTTGGTGAGGATCATGGTCGGGTAGTCGATATGTTTGAGGGCCGCATAGGAGAAGGGGGAGGCAATGACCGAGAGGAAGGCGACTTGGAGGTACTTGAGGACGAGGGGTTTGGAGGGTGTGGAGAGGGATTTGTGTTGAAGCTTGAGGTAGAAAAAAGCGATGGTGGAGGCGAAGAGGGCCTGGATGAGGTTGAGGAAGATAAAGAACTTGAACTTGAGGGCATCGGATCCATAGGGAGTAGTCGAGACCTTTTCTTGGAAGTAGCCCCAGGTCAAGAAGCACGAGTAGATACTGTGGAGAAAGCATTAGTGGATGTATTTCCTTTTGGAAGCAAATTGCTAGAAAAGCATAGTGAAGAGGGGAGTTTCATCCTTACCCGACTACACACGCAGTCAGACGCAGCATCCTGGTAGTATAATGTGTTTATGTGTGCAAAGAGGAGGCTATGGGGAGGGCAAGCGAAGAGCAAGTGGGGTGGATGCAGATGGAGTGGGAGTGAGAGATCTGGTTGATGGAAGAGGGACGAAGGAGGTGTGAAGGTTCTCTTTAAACGCATCGCAGTCACTTTATTTCAATTGGGAATGCGCTGGCAGCGAATGAATGGGCTGCCTGCAATGAACCTTATTTGAATCGTATTATTTTTATCGATGAGGCTGCAGCGGAAAAGAGAGAGAGAACGAGAGAAACGAGAGGTGGGGGGAGAAGTCATGCTGACACTGAACCTATGTTGTGTACATGTAGTGGCTGTGTGTCTTTTTTTGGTTATTGCTCACATACACTACTCCACTCCACCACTCTACGCAATAGACAGCTACTCTGCAGCACTACACCGCCCCCTTTGAACGAGGATGAGGGAGGGCAGACAGGCACTGCGATCTCCTCCAGAAGACATAGACCCTGCATTCAAAGTCAAGGGATTGCGCAATGTGCAAATACGCGTCCCTGTCGAGGCCAGCATTGCTAGTGATCTGTACGAAGGATGGGTAGCAGGAACGACAGTGGCATAGGCTATGAGTGAGCACCCTGACTCTCCCCTTCATCCTTTCCTGCCGCGATCGATTGTTCTGTTATCCAACCATAAGTCTGTACTTTTTCTGCAGTTTGCATTTATTTTTTTCCATTTTCCATTTTTTTCATTTTGTCAGGGCGAATCAGCACGCTTCCTTTGAAAGAAAGTGCAAAGTGCACAAGACTTCGCCGCACCACTCTCTCACACACACACATACACACATACACCCCGACTTCTCTCCTTTCTTCCCTCTTTCTTTTTTTTTGTCCTCTCTTTCCCTCCCCCCTCATCACCTTTCTTCTCTCTCTCGACTCGATTGACCCATCTCATTTTGACCAAGCAGGATGCCGACTCATTCATTCCCTGTCCTGAACCAGCAGTTCATCGTCAACACAAAGTACCAGTTCATCCGCGAGATCGGTCAGGGTGCCTATGGTGTTGTCTGGTGTGTGTCTACTCAATTGCCGCCCTGTATCATCGTGTTCGTCCGAGAGGGCAACAAGAGCAACAGGAACAAACAAACAACAACAACGACAATAACAACTGACAATGAAAAAAATGTGGGGTTATTTGTGAAAACGATAGCGCAGCAAAGAATACGCAGACGGGTGAGGATGTGGCCATCAAGAAGGTGACCAAGGTCTTTGACAAGACCATCCTCGCCAAGCGTGCCCTCCGTGAAGTCAAGCTCCTGCGACACTTTTCCGGACATGAGAATGTAAGTAAGCTGGATCCCCAAGAATCGGCTGAGCGTTTTTTAAAAAAAAATCGCGTTTTATGCATGGTGTTGGGGAGGAGAGACCAATTGGGGTCGTTATCGGTTGTGCTCTGAACAATAGCATGACATGGTCAATGTGTCAAGCATGGTCCGTTCACTCCTACCCTAATACTCTGATACTTTGACACTAAACCGATGTTCGGCTTTTTTTTTTTTTTTTTTTTTTTTTCTACTTTCGACTTTTGTTTTAGATCACGTCGATTCTTGACATGGATATCACCAACATCATGGACTTTAATGAAATGTAAAGAGATCACCGCATTCGACCGGAAAAAGAATTATCACCACTCCGTTTATGTGCTCGCAAAAAAAAAGCCCAGCCGGAACTAATCTAAAGTCCTCCATTGAATTGATCGTACAAAATAGTTACTTGGTCCAGGAGCTGATGGAGGCAGACCTTCACCAGATCATCCGATCGGAACAGCCCTTGACGGATGCACATTTCCAGTACTTTATCTATCAGATTTGCCGCGGACTCAAATACATCCACTCCGCCAATGTGCTCCATCGCGACCTGAAGCCCGGAAACCTGTTGGTGAACGCAGATTGCGAACTCAAGATCTGTGACTTTGGACTGGCCCGTGGATTCAGTGAGGATGCGGAGGGGTTCATGACTGAGTATGTCGCTACACGTTGGTACCGTGCTCCCGAGATCATGCTCAGCTTCCAAAGCTATACCAAAGCCAGTTAAGTCTCTTTCATTTCTTACTGCGTTCCTGCTCCTGATGAAACGATTGCTAAAGACACGTTGTTCTCGTGTTGTTATTGACATGCCTCCTTTTATGTTTTTCTCTTCATGCACGCAGTCGACATGTGGTCTGTGGGTTGTATTTTTGCAGAGATGTTGGGCGGGAAGCCACTGTTCAAAGGCCGCGACTATGTGGATCAACTGAACCAGATTCTCCAGATCCTGGGTACGCCCGATGAGGCGACGCTGCGGCGGGTCGGGAGCGAGCGAGCGCAGGCCTACATCCGTAGTCTGCCACGGATGCCGAAAATTCATTTCCAACAGCTGTACCCGCGTGCGAGTCCGATGGCGATCGATCTGTTGGAGAAACTCTTGGATTTCGACCCGGCGGCGAGGATCACGGTCGAACAGGCATTGAGGCATCCTTACCTGGCGGCGTATCATGAGGAGGATGATGAGCCGGTCCATGAACAGATGTTTGACTTTGGGTTCGAGACGACCGATCGGATCGATGAAATGAAGCGTACGTTTTTGTGATACCCCTCTTTCTCTTGAGCATTCTTTTTCTCATCCTCTCCTTCACGTGTTTTTTATTACTAGAACATTGCTTCTAACCCAAGGGAACTCTTTCTTTTTCTTTTTTTTTTCTGTATCGCTTTATACTAATAGGAATGATTGCGCAGGAGGTAATGGCGTACAAGGCGAGCAAGGAACAGGCGATGTTGGGCGCACAACAGGGAGGACTGCGTCGTGCGTCGAGTCTATCGGCCGCTGACAGGAACGCGACGACGACTGCGGCCAAGAACACACCTCAGGAGCAGATTCGGGAGGAAGAAGAGCCGATGAGTGGAGCAACGGCAACAGTAGCAGCAGCGGGCGCCATGGATGTGGATGAGGATCTGGAGCGTGAGCTGAGTGGCCAGACTGTGCCGGCCATGCAGGCATAAGGGTCGTTCTCCCCCATTTTTTTTTTGGTGGCGGTGGTGGTAGTGGGGGTCACGAGTTGCTATTGGGGAACTCTTTCCTCTTGCCCTTTCTGTTTAGATTCGATGGTTCCTTTCATTTTTTTTTTCAGTGCTCGTTAATAATAACTAATGGTTCTCTTACTGATGCTGCCGAGAAAAGAATCTTTGATGAGAAGAATCACGAGTGGGTCACTACTGCTGGGAGCCCTCGTTCTTCGTTTTCCTCTTAGTCATGGTGGTTATTTTCATATGCTGTCCGACGATGTCATTTTCTTCACAAACCCAAAAAAAAAAAAAAAAAAAAAAAAGTTCACAGGGTTTTGCGTGTCCCTTTCCTGCAATCGTCGCAATACTCTCAGCACAAGACGACAGTTACAGAAACAAAAGCAAACTCGCTTTATTTTGTCTTCTTTTTAATCGGCGATAACATTTGTATATACAAAAGGTAGTTGTTCGGTCGAGGAATGTTGCTTCGGGTTCTTAAGCAGTGAGCTGGGCAACCAATGCGATATACTCCTTCTCGGCCTGCTCCTGGGAGAGACCCTTCTTCTCGGTCCAGGCGTTGTGCTTGGCCTTGCCCTTGAGGTCGAACATGCCGGGGGCAGCGGTGGTGTTGTCGCCAACGGTCGCCTGCTTGAAGAGACCGTAGAGCTCGAGGAGTTTGTCGTTGCTGGGTGGGCTAGGCAACGTCTTGATCTTCTCGGCAGCGGCGTTGAATTCGGCGGAAGGCTGCGTGTACCAAGAGGGGACGGAGAGAGAGGAGGAGCAGGTAGAATGCAGGAAGGTCGGGTTAGAAAACTGAGAATAGAACGTAGGGTGCTCCAGAAGAGTAGTTGAGTGTCCTAGAAAGACCGTCATGGTTCTTTCCTGTGGGGGTGTCATAGGTCCCTATCGTGTTGTGCTCTTTGCCTCCCGTTCGTTGCGTCTTTTGTCGTCTGGATTGGTCATCTCGCGCGCGTTGTATCGTGCCATTGCCTTGTATCGTATCATGTCGAGTGTGAAATGTCCACGAACGTCCTGAAGGAAAGTCACTGAAGAACAAGCACTTTTCCAGCAATTTGGACTTACCATGTTGATGTGGTGTGGTGTGAAAGGTGAGGAAATGTGTTGGGGAGATGAAGGAAAAGAAAAAAAGAAAAAAAAAGAAAAGGGCGATGAGGAATCAGCACTCTTTATACGGCACCACGGTCGCGGGAACTTTCTTGACGTGTTGTCCCCCTCTCTTCATTCACACGTGATTCCTCTCACCAGGGGTTACCCATTCCGCATATGAACGTGGAGGGACGCCAAGGGCTCCCTGGTCATCATAATAATAATTATAATAATAATTGAGCAGAAACCATTGTTGCACAATAAAACTGAACAATAATATCAGCTGCCAAACCCAACAAACCAACGCGTATTTTCTATTGCTAAAACGCGTTCCTTCCCACAATCTACATCGAATAGCGCGCGCGTATTGTGCTTTCAGCCTTGTGCCAGTTAAATAAAATAGATCTTTTTAATAATAATGCCAATGTCAATGCCAATAATAAAAAAAATGCGATACGGATTACAAGAGACGGACGTGTTATTGTCATTATCGTTCAATAAAGACCATGAGCTGCAGAAATCAGATATCTAAACGTTTTCAAATCGAGTCCATCCAGAAACCCGTACCTTCGTCCTTCCCGTCCCCATCGAATCGGTGTCCAGAGCGTCCTTGGTATCCTAGAATTTATTGTTCTTCAATTTTTTTTTTTGAATGCTGTATAGTTCTATGTCATGCTTGCTTCTCTTTTCCGTGACGAAAAAAAAATAAAAAATCCCCCTCTCCTTCCTGTTCACCATTTGTGTTTTAACGCAGAAGTCGCATGGCCATCTCAAAACCAAGGAAGGTGACCGCGTTAGCGGGGGCAGCACGCAGCATGCATGGCGCAATACCCTTGAAGAATCCAGCGGCACCCTCCTTGGCCAAGGTCTGACGAACACAGTCCATTGCAGAGGAGTACTGACGCGTCGCGACTGTGAATCCGTCCGTCTGCAACTTGCTCTTGATCACATCGATCGGGTACACCGCCGTCCTATAATCCATACAAGCAAAAAAAAGAAAAAGAAAATTCAGCATTCATGTTCAAGATCAACCATGCCACTACAAAGCAAAAGCAAATTCATCGTCATGGTTAGCGATTCCTTCCGAGTCCTTACCACATGGCATATCCAGCGCAGGCACCATAGGCCACAAACTTGCCCGTACCCAACTCATTCCGCTTCTTATTCTCAAGCTGCATAGCTCTCTGGACCAAATATTCATACGCCGCAAAATAGGCACCATATCCCTGGAACTCCCTCACCATCGTCACCGCCTGGCCCTTGAACAGACCCTTCAGCCCATACTGCGCATAGATCTTCTGGACCGCATCCACAGGTCCCGTAAAGAACAACATATCCTTGGAACCCGCCGTCGCCGCTGCCGCGACCGCACTTTCCGAAGCCGCCTTCGCTGCCACGACCACCGATTCCTTCAGGCCCGAATCAATCGCCGCCTTCTCCGCCGCGCCCACAATCGTCTTGACAGCGGGTGCAGCACTGCTTCCTGTCTGGACCTGAAGTCGTGTACGAATATGTTCAACCGGTCCTGAGACGATCGAGTTCGTGATACCACTAACAGCGCCCGCGAGGTAGAGCTGGGAGTTTGAGAGGAAGCCGTTGGCGCCAGGACCGTTCTTGTCGTTGTAGTAGCGTTTCATGGCCTGGAGGGTCACGAATTGGATGGAGACACAGGCACCGACGCCGACAAGGGGGGTGGTCGTGCCCTTGTAGAAGCCTCGGAAGCCCTCCTTCGCAATGGTTTGCTTAACACAGTCGAGCATGCCGGTGTAAAGGGGTGCCTGGCCGGGCAGAGGAGCCGGCATGGTTTGCAGGCGCTATTGGAGGAATTTTTTAGATTGTGTAACTTAGTATGTGCCACGTTTCTAAGAGAAAGAAAATGCTTCTGTTCATCCATGTGTTATTATCCTCCATGATGTCCTCCATGAAAGATTCGGAAAGAAATGGTAAAGAAGTCGCCTCCACTCCTTCTCTTCATTCTTTATCAATCTCAAAGCGCAGGTGGATCGTCGCATTCCAACTGAAACAGTGCTCTCTCAGCCTACACGTAGTTCTTTTCTTCTTTTTTTTCCCACCTCCTTCTCTTCTCCCTCACTCATTCATTTTTTCCCGCTCTCATTCGTCGTTTGCTTTGTTGTCTTCACCGAAATGAAAAGACATAAGCAAAGAAGGAGACGGAAACATGAGCAGCGGCGTCAAAGAATGCTTCTTTTTCGATTCTGAGTCCTGTTCCTGTGATGTCCTGCCTGATGCCTGCCAATGATCCTGCCTCAACAATCTGAGAATCAAGATTGGTTTCTTACCACTTTAACGGTATCAAAGGGCTATAATTAATTAACGAAAATATAGCAGAGACAGCAACGTTAGTCCAAGCAGTCAACTCTTACATCAGATTGTTTTTTTTTCCCGTTATCTCTTGCCCAGGCTAGCCTGAATCGAGAGTATCTCCAACCTAACCAAAAACGCAAGACATTACCTGTCCAACAAAGACCTGGAGGAACCCTCCGATGGTGCCACTGGCACAGTCCTTGGCAGCTTGCATAGAGTTGCTTGACATGACGTTGGATTCTGATATATGTGTGTTTGTGTATGTGCTCCGTGGGGCAGCGGCTGGAAGTGTTAAAAATTAAGGTTATGCACTCAGGAACCAAAATAAAAGGGTCTGGCACAGGGCAGCTTAAAGGAGAGTTCGAGTGGAGAGGTGGAAGGTGAGAGAGAGAGAGAGAGAGAGAGAGAGAGAGAGAGAGCGGAGAGGGTGCAGAAAGCAGGAAGCGAAGAGTAGCGGTGAGGAAGAGATGAAAAGCAAGAGAAGAATGAAAGAAAGAAAGAAAGAAAGAGAGAAAGAAAGTAAAGAGGGCGAAGAACAAAAGATGACCCAGCAGGACAAAGCGGAGGACGGTTGAGGTTGTTTTTTTTTTTTTTTTTTTTTTTCTGAGCTGGCACGGTGGAATGAGCTCTGACCAATCAGAGGGCCGATCTACGGATATACGGATAGAATCGACAATCCGCTCCAGTTGCCAAAGATAAATGTCGGCAGCACACACTGAGACCAGGTCCAACCGGCTCACTTCTGATTACAAAAACCGAACACATTATTACCGGAATTGTCTGCTCCGCCTAATCTAACAGTCTGCACCCAATTGCAAAGCTGCAGTAGTCGACGTTGACTGCAGTGGATTCGTCAGCGACACATCGGAGCTGTTACCGTCCGGATTCGTGATGGCAGCTGAAAGAGAATCCAAGGTAGGAGTGAAGAGCCAAAGAGCAAAAAAAAAAAAAAAGAAGCCCGTAGTGCACAGACAGAGAGGCACGACGCGCTTTATGATTCCAACCAATTAAGCGGTGCTTGTACAAATTGGATTTCTTAGAATGTTTGGTTCGCTTTACTGTTAACGCAACAAGGGCAACCATATTGAAATGCAAAGGTTGCAAAGGGTTTCGTATTGTTCGAATAAAGCAAGAAAAAAGAAAAAAAAAACCAACGCAATGCAATGTATCATGAAGCAAACGATTCCTTTACTCCTATCCAGCATCGTGTAGCAGGCGGATTAAATCGTCCATGAAGCTGGGCTTGTGGATATGAGCCTGATGTATCCTCTCTCTCGTCCGATCTACTTCTCAGTTATGGTCGGCATGGTCCATGGCGCCAAACATAAGATCAGATCTTTGTCGGTTTTCATGCCCTCAATTAACGTCGCTCCTCCTCTTTTCATATTTGGCGTTCTCTCTATGGCTTCGTACCATCGGCGATACTCCTTCCACACTCAGATCAGATAAAAAAAAAAAAAAAAACGTATTCAGTGCGCGAGTAGATGTAGTACAGAATGCACTATCATATCATCTTTTCTTGCTTAGCCTAGGGCAATTTAACACACTGCTACAATCCTTTTCTCCCCTCAATATAAAACCGCAAAGGAAAGCATCCATAAGCGAACCTTCCAAATACCGCCACAAAGACAGCGAATTGATCCGAGAAGTCGTCTAAGAACCCAACATCGTCAAGTCCACCCCATCCATGGCTGGTCCCGTCAAGGTCCATAAATTATGCGCGAATCCCATAACCGAACCAAAGATGAATGATAGAGGAAGATGTCGATCAAGGATGCATTCTTTGCCAACTCATTGGCGCAGTGTGATCATCTCAACATTGAGGCCGAGGTCGCAAGGTAGTTTGGTGTCTGTCATTGCGACTACATTCATGGCACTTCTTCACCGAGGGATAAGCATCACCGGAATACTGCTTTACAGAAGCAGTATGAGACCTGCCTTGGTACTGCTGGCGTGGGGCTTTCTCCGATCGCTGCTGTTCCTCCGGTTCTACGAACGTGGCCAATCGACCCTCAAGCGGTCTGGGTTTAGAGAAAGGCATGCAGTCAAATTGATTGGCGTCAGTCCTACCACATCGTTGACGTGTACATCTACTCACTACATGGGATCTCCTCCGCAGGATTGAAACAACAGCAACTCGGAGGATACGAGTACCCGAACTTGACACGCGTTAGATCATTGTTCAGACAAGGATGGCAACAACGAGGTCCCGTCTAGATTGCAATATCTCAGGAATGAGAAGCCGCTACGCCTATGACCTGTGCTGATGCGATCATGCTTACATTTACTTATGCAAAGGTCGTATTCGAGTAAGGAAGATGAGTCCTGTTACAAGGCTACAGCGTATGGTGAGTTTGGCCACGACGGGAGCATGAACGACCGATGGATTATTGAGATATTCGATGCGGTCGCGAAGCAGATGGCGGATACAATGCTCGGAGGCGATCAGAAGGTCGAGGCTTTGGAGACGACGTTCAGGATGAAGTACATACAGCTAGGTTGCTATCTGTTCCTCAAAGTGATTCTAAATGTATACTCTTTATTATGTTTCTACAGGCTGTGGTGTTATGAAGGGTTAGTAGACCGAAATGCAAAGCTGTCTGCGGAATCGATCTCGCTGTCATTGTGATTGTAATAGGTCCCCATCTCTGGTGATTCTTGAAGGACCATCCATGAGCTCCATGTCCCTGCCTTGGTCGATAATTTAAGACCCGATAGGACCTCAATCGTCAAGCCGTCTAAGGACAGTCATCGTGCTCTCATAGATACTGAATACAATTCCTCCAGACATCTTGGGAAAAATGAAGTGTAAAAGACGTGTTAGCTGAAATGAAAGATCTAGAGGGCACTGGCTGAACATCAGGTGGCAACCCCTACCGAGAGACGCGCGAGTCGTGGCGTGGCTCCGTTCCAGAAACTCAAAATGCCTTCGCTCTTGAACACCTTCCAGCAGCAATCGAAAACGCCGCTGTAGAGCTCACGGGCGTTGAGTCCCTGCATCTTGGTCTTGACCACATCTAAAGGCATGGTCGTGTACACTGTGATAATTCCAGCAATGGCCCCGATTCCGAACGTATATGCCGCAGGCAGTTGTGTCCCTGGGGCTACTCTCGTCTTGGCGAAGTCGCTCAATGAGGAGTACACGCCAAACCGGACAGCACTGTTTGCACCCTGACGAGCCATCACTGGAATTACGCCTCGGTAGATCCCTCCAAGTCCCTCAGCCTTGACGATCGACTGGACGCCTGTAGATCATAGGAGACCGTATAAAGGTAAGAGATATGTTCACAGAAACGATCTTACTCGAGAGCTATGTATTGTAAACTTTTGGTGTAATGCTTCCGAGATGCCCGTACCATGTACCAATCCGCGGTATTGAGGATTTGGTAAATTTCCGTCGTGAATAAGTTTCGTCCTAAGTGCAGGCCTCTGTGTTAGCGCTCAAATCCCTGCGACTACTAGAAAAAGCACACATGTACTCATGTTTCCAACTTACTTGATCGTTTCTGAAGGTGTAACAACAAGCACCGCCTCCGTCATTCCAGCACCCAGTCCCGCTACAGGAGAAAATCAAGAATAGGTACTGGTTATGAGTAACGGGTTTTTGCTTAGGCATCGCCGAACAGACGTATTCACGTTATCCATGCCTACCAAGAACCGATCTGATCCCTGTGGTCTTGCCTTCTGAATCCTTGAGTAGTTGCTTATACTGATCGAACGCAAAGAAGCGGACGCCTGCCTTGGCTGTGTTGCCAATCACCATGGCAGACAGGCCCCTGTAGATAGCCGTAATTCCATGAGTTCTCACAGTGCCAACCAGGATATCAATCGGCCCTTTGGGAGGCTATCCGTAAAGTTTTTCGTTGTAAAAGTCAGTCATACACTCTTGCCCAGTAAAAGAGCAGTCAGTCCCCTTCCTCAGTGGCGCGTGCCAGATCAGATCGTCTGAATCTTATATTATCGAAGATTGAATCATATCAGATCGTTCCTGAAGTAGTCATCTACAAAAACGGGTGCCCTATGGTCCCCGTTCTGGTGCTGCTAGTTCGACCAATTGACACTGTACTACGGACGATAAAAAAAAGACACAACAAATTGTTCCTTACTGGTACGCCCTGACGGACCGCGCTCTTGGATCCTTGTTGCAGTTGAAGCTGTGTCTTGACGAACTCTGTGGGGTATGTGATCGTAGCCTCAATTGCTCCTGCAAGGGATCCAGCGGTCAGGGTATAAAGTGGAGGATCTTTTCTCTGTGTATACGCGTATGAGGCAATAAGAGACTCGCTGTGTTAGTGTTCCGCTGTGCTTGTGCTGGGAGGGAGCAAGTGGTGACTAAGAACTACTGAGGCATCCTCATGTACCTTAGTTGCCATGGCGAAATGTCGAGAGCAAGGTGGAATGCAAAGTTGAGAAAAGTGTGCGAGAGGGCAGTTTGGAAATATTCGTCCTGAAAAAGTGAAGAGGAAAAACAGGCGAGAACTGTAAGGTGCTCGAATAAAGTATTCAGGTCTGGCGCAATTGGCGGCTTTCATCACGAGACCATGCAACCAAGGTTCAACTATCTTGATTGTTTCAAGTCAATGCAAAACTGCATTTTCAATGGTGCTTTATTTGATATCTTGCAGGCTCATGTAACAGCGGTATGCGTTTCTAAACGTTGATTACGCGGCTCAATTTTTGGACACGGTTCAAAAGAATATCGCCCTGCTTGATGGCCTGCTGGTATTGAGCGTTCTTCGCATCGGGTCTGTTGGTTTCCACAATGCCATTCACTTTATCAACCACGCAGTTGAGACGGCCTGCCGAGATGAACTTGGACAAATCCCTATTGCAGAAATACAGCCCATGGGTCATTAAACATATTGCGATTGAGCATCCAACAGCAGCGAGATCCATCCTGGATTGTATCAGTACCTGTCAATGAACTCCTCGCCAACTCCAAAGGAATGTGCCATGCTCTGCATGGTGAGAGATCGATAGGATTCCAACAATTGGGCGTACGCTCGAATGCGCATTTCACGAACATAGTAGCGGTAGTGTGGGAACAAGACCCAGGAGCGCTTGAATGTAGATGTCTCCAGGGCAGCCAAGGATACAAAGAACTTGGCGTAATCTCCACCATAGAGTGACTTCAGGTAATCCTCCAGATGGGGAATCTCATGCAGTACCTCCAACACCTCTGGCGAATCGATCACCTATGAAAAACACAGATTGGGTGATGGTCAGTACGAATGCCTCGATATCGTGTCATCAATCAAACGACCACTTGCATAAGGGATTAAAATACCTTGTTCTTGATATCCACGCGCTTCAAGGCGAGTACACTGGAGAGAACAGCATAGGTCACAAAGTCCTTGTACTCCATGAGTTCCGTAGATGTGAATGTTGACAGCGTGGCGATGAAAAGATCTGCAGCGCCCTTAAAGTCGCGGATAGTCATCAAGTAGGCGCCCTCGTACACCTTAAGGCGATTCCTGCGGTCCCAATCGCCTCCTTCTTCGATCATACTAGTCAAGCAGGTAAGGGACATCATGTTAGCCTTCCATGTACAAAATGAGATTTCACTTCAGCACTGAAAACCATCCACATGTTGTCATTCATACGTTCTAGCCTTCTCGATGTTCCTGCTGACGATATCGTTATCTCGGTAAAAGAATCCAGTACGGATGTTGGCAAACAAGATATCCAGTCTGCTTCCGAGTGCCACGGTCTTGTCAAATGCCACCCTGTACGCTGTCAAACTCTTCTCCTATTGCATCGAAACATAGCACCAGGCATAGTCAGTATCTGTAACAGATTTCCTCTGATCTATTCCACGCTTCGAAATAATAGAGAAAGAGATGTACCTTTTCGCCAATCTTTGCAAAGTGCTCAGCTCTGGCAAGAAGAGTGTCCGAAATTTCGGTCTCACCCAAATTTTCCTCTGCATCCTTGAGGCGCTCATCCAGCTTCTTCAAGGCTTCCTCGTTCTCCTTCTTCATGTTCTCCAGAAGAGCGGCGTCCACAGGCCAACCCTGCTCTTCACAAATGAGCTCGTAGAAAGGTGCCATATCTATATTCATTGCCACAGCGATCAGTTGGTGAATTGGCCCGTTGGGATAACGCAGTCTTACAAGGATTTCCAACATGGCGCATAAAACATACTGTCTTCCTTGATCTTCTTCATGATAGCCTCCTGCGCCTGGGCATGAGTCTCCTTGGGTCCACTGGTAAGCAGGAATCGGTTCTGCGACAGCTCGATGCTGGGGATCTTTGGAACCTCTTCGGACGACATAGCTTATGTTGGTCTGGACTGTGGTTTCGTATAGAAAGTGGTTGAGTAGGAAGCAAATGGAGGAAGAGTGAGTATGTAGGTACTGGTGCTGAGGGTATGTTAACTGTGAAAGCGAACGCGCATGCAAAGGCAGAGATAGCGTAAGGCACCTCACTGATTTCAGCTGTGACGTCACTTAGGTCGCGTAAGCCTCCTGATTGGCTGGACTCTTTGGACGGAAATAAGTTTTTTTGGAGGATGGCAATTAGGACCTTCAGTGTCTCTCGTATCGTCTTCGCAAACCACCTTTCGCTCCCTAATAAATACCCGCGTGGAAGGAAAAAAAGCATTACATCCTCCCTCTACTGTCTCTTTCCCATTGCCACTATTATCCACATATCCCTCGTCATGGGGGTGCTGAAACTTTGGCAGTTTATCAAAGAACAAGGATACATTGCCCTCCTCAAAGCATTCCCTACCGCCCCTTCACCAAACACTCTTTATCACAGACATTCTCGGCTCTTTCTTTTCAGTCATTCGCCGCTGTTTCCTTTACCCTGACACGACAGTCGCATGTATCAACTTCGAACGACATTTGATCGCCTGTCAGTTCCCCAAGGCAACGACGATTCTGCACATGGACGGACCTTCTCCTGCTGAGAAGAACGCCACCAACGAAGAACGTCAATCAAAACGCACAAAAGCCCTTTCCAAGGCCAACAAGCTCTTGACCAACATGGAAGAGACCCTCGAGAACAACAGAAAACTACGGAAACAGCAATTCAAGTCTGTCAACAAGGCCATTGTCGACTCCTTCTATTTCAATCATGATCTCCGCCAAGTACTTGTCCAGTATCTTGTCACAAATGGCTGGAATGTCTGCAGATGCCGTTCGGAAGCAGATACCTGCATTGGGTCCATTTGCCAGCAACAGGATATTGTCATCACCCGTGATAGTGACTCGCTTATCTACAGCACATCACCACAATCTGGAGACCCTTTGGCCGAAACCGGTACCTCGTCTATAATGTCCCGGAACTGTTACGCCACCTTCAGCTCTCGAGAGCAGGATTGACTACCCTTGGAGTCGTTACCCAGAACGACTACGGCAAGGGGATCCACAAGCTCGGTGTCAAGACAAATTTCATGATTATTTTGGCTCTGGAAAAGGACGGTAAGCCGAAATAGACTATGTATTCTCCCTTGTTTTCATTGCCTTGTTCATCCCCATCTCACCTTTTATATTTTTCTTTTGTTCAGTTCCGTCGACGGCTGCGAGTGTTCAGGAGCTTGTTCAGGCCTACTTGGTACACACTATTATATCTAGCAGGCACCCGACGGAGAGACTATTTGGCTCGGCTATTCGGATCTTTACCGTACAGCAGTGTACGACTCTTACTCTACCTCACATTCAGGATCCCATTAACGAGCTACAGGAGATGACGCAAAGGGTTGCAGACATTCGCCTGCATCTCAAGATTAGCCGACAAACATCAAGATATAGGCCCACGTTATGATAATGAACAAATTCAGGTTTCTTGACGGCAAAAAAAAAGGATCTTTTTTTTAACAGTTGTTGATGGATGCCCAGATCCGTCCCTGGTCTTCAAGAAGAAGAGCGAACAACAAATTTCATTCGATACTCCACTGTTGATCGTCCTCCGAGTCAGTTACCGCCTCTGCACAGCTCGGGAAGACAGTACAAGTATCGGGAACGCTATGCGATTAAAACTCGATCACGTCTCATCCAGCACGAGAAGCCCGACATATTCAAGCAGTACGTCTGGAAGGCTCCAAAAGAGAATACCAAGTCAACCAACAATCCCAGCAGTACCATAAGCACCAGCACTAGTACCGAGGCGGGCCCCAGCACAAGTACCAACGTCGGCGCGACCAATCCGCCACCGAAAAAGAAAAAAAAGTCTACGCCCAAAAAGGATCAACTTGCAGCGGATGAGATGACCAAGATTCAACTGATCAGAGCGATGCAGACAGAGCACCCTCTTCGAACCTTGGACATTGGAATTTTGAAGGCGAATACGTCTCGAGCAATAAAGAAGGAGGTTCCATACGACGAGGATCTACAGGACAAGCTTCGGCACGCTGTGACCACCTGTCTCTCTGATATCTCTAACCTGGCTTCGAAATCGAAACGTGCGTGCCAACAGGTTATTGGTCAGTACCTAGAAAGCCTGTCAGTCGATCACCTTGACGAGGACGACAGAACCATTCTCAGCTACTTGACTCCTCACTTCTCGGTCCAGGAAATCGCCGCGGCTAAAAAAGGCACCACCCCGAACCCAGAAGATAAGTCATCTGACGACGAGGACGGCTCCGAGGCCAGCAACGAAAACAAGAACTCTCCAGTTGAATTCTTCCTGTCGCTTCTGGTTACCGTCTACAAGGCCAGCACTCCTCAGGAAAAAAAGAAGGCGAGTGCAGGTGCGGCTGCGTGCTTGTTCTTACGCAAAGCCAAAGACTATTTGCCACCGAAAACTGGCAGTGGTAGGTTTGTCTCTTGTAATTGTGGCAGTAATGTGACCTATTGAGAACCAACTCTCTAATACTTTCTCATTATCTTCTCCATTTCTTATTTACACGCATTACCTGCAGAATCTTACAACAACCCCTCCGTCTTTCTCCAGTCCACAGCGAAGCGACTCGCAACTGAGTACAGAAGGCACTTCAAGAACGGTTCCTTTGATCTTTCCAAAAAGGTAATAACAATTTAAATGGTTCAAGACCCTGGTTACAAGAAACGTGCCTGACATTTTTTCTTTTTTCTTCTCTTCTTTTCCGCTGTAGATCCAGCAGCAGAAGAAGAATGGACTCTTGCCCCAGAGTACCCCAGATCGTGTCGATCCAGACAAGACCCCAGCGGAGAACTTTATCATTCTGAACAGGGCCATCGGAAGAAGTTGGCGACTATCACCAATGTCACCCCGTGGAAGCAAGTTCGTCAGTCTCTCGGAGGATGATCTGGTCAAGATCTTTTGGAAAGACGAAACGCTACGGAAACAGCTCCAGCTCTATGCCCATTCAACTGTCATCAAATCTGTCCCAGAACCTGGCCGCGTTGCTCAAGACGACGTGGTTGGGTGGCTCAAGAACCTCGACCCAGGAGAGTTAATCAACAGGCTTTTGACCGACATTGGAGGATTTGTAAAGGAAGAGAGGAGGAAAAAGAAGCACTGGTCACGATCCGCGCACCGTATGTCGATTGGCGATATAACTGCTCACATCTCCAACATTCGGCACAAGGATTTCAATCCCAAGGTTTCGTATTCGGGAAAGGGCTATGCTCTCCGAGAATCGATCAAGACGGACGGATTTCGGATCCAGCTGCTCGCCTTTAAACTGAACGAGCTCAACTGCATGAAATACCGACGGCTTGATGCAGATAAGCTGCCGGACAGGCTCACATCGACTCTGGGTGGGACAGACCAGTACCTGACGGAGATCCGAAACGTGGTCAAGACGAAGGAGGACGTTGAGAGACTTTGGGGGTGTGACCCTCTTGATATCAAGATTTTGGGGACCGATTTAGGAAAGGCCTTCGTCGTTGGAGCCAGTGCCCTCTTACCCTCCTCAGCATCAGTGACCGCCACCGATGGACAGGAGCAAGGAGGTATTGCCGAAATCGAGATTCCTCCCATGAAATTCCACAACCTGGCAGTCAGCCAGAAGGCGGTGTACCAGCCAATGTTCAAGCATAGGAGATGGCTCGAACAGAGGAAGAGACGTTCAGCCGAGGGCCAGGAGTCGATTGCTCAGATGGAGACCAACTTGCCGGCACTCCATGGTCCAGAGGCGTCAATCGCAAACCATGTTGAACAGTCAAAAGTCAAGGAATCGGATCTCGAAACGTTTTACAACAACGTTGCCCTCAAGAAACATCTATGGGATGCCAAAAGAGCCAGGGACAGGGAATTCAAGCTGGTCGCAGAACGCCTTCTGGAGATGATCGGAGGAACTCCTGGCAAGAAAAGGGATAGGGATAACAAGGTGGTCATCGGTATCGGACTCGGAGAGTTTTCTTCAACGTCGCGGTTGTCCTCCCTTCACACAGCATTCTCCGCGTACTTTGTGCAGCTGGTAAGTATTTGAGCTTGCTTACAACCTCCATTTCACTGACAATACAAGGATCGACGGTTAAAAATTTTTTTTACTCTGGTATCGTTTTATTTAGGCGCGATCGCTGGATTACATTGTCATGGGTGTCAATGAATATTACACATCCAAGCGCTGTTCGGTCTGCAAGGAGTTTGTGGGTTAGGTCGACATCCGGCAACTCTACTGCCCGACGCCGACGTGTGGAGCAAAAATTCATCGAGATGTCATGGCCGGTCATAATATGTCCAATGTCATTCGAGGACATCTTCTCCACCAGCAGCGCCCTCACTATTTGCAGCCATACGACAAGGAAGCAAACTACATTTGGGAAATGGAGGAAAGTAGTCGGTCTGTCGAGTATATGGTGGCACGATTGGATGTGACGGAGGTGGAACAACCACGCGTCGAACGGATGGCACCAGAAGACGAGGAGACTGAGCCAGGTCGGCGCAAGAGACCAGTGGCATAATTTTTTTTTTTTCAAATAGTTAGACAGACCAATTTGTGTGTATATACAGTCAATCTCCCCTTACTGTCACGATCATGACAGTTAGCCAAGATTCAAAGGAATCGCGCGATGTCATTGGTCAATAGCCGTTTTAATTCAAAATTTTTATTTTATCCTCCTTAGTCATGTGAGGGATCTAACCTGTGTATATGCAAATGAACATTGGTCCACATGGCATGGGACAGACATCAGCATTCCCCTCGCTCATCAACATTCCTCTCGCTCCTTATGACTAAACGCAAGACGCTGGTGTCCAAGGGAGGCGAAGGGGGCCGCAAAACTGTGGAAGAGAGATTACAACGTCTCCAACAATGGCTCGCCCATCGCGATGCCTATCGAGCTGGAGCTGGCTGCGATCCTCCAAAGGCAGAGTACGAGCGAAACCATGGCTGGACAACTCACACCATTCGACGGCTTATGGAGGACAGAGAGAATTTAGAGGCGATGGAACCAGTGCTAGCCAAAAAAAGATGCCGGGTTGTCAAGCGCCCTTTATACGCTGTTGAAACGGTCCTAGTCGATTTGATCAAGGACGTTCGGTCCCGACGCATACCAGTGGACACTATCCTGTTACAGGCGCTGGCGCACGATGTCTATACGATTCTATGGAACCGGATGGGTTTTATGCCATTCCCGCGTCCAGCTTTCGGCAGCTCCTGGGTAGAAGGCTTCAAGAATGCATGGAACCTGGATTATCATAAGATGGAGGGCGAGGCGGGTTCGGTGGACATGGACGCGATTGCAGGCGACGTTGAGCGGATCAAAAGTATCATTGCCGAGTATACACTAGACGACGTGTATAACGCCGATGAAACCGGTCTTTTCCTTCAAACAATGTCTCCATGGACACTGGACTTCGATCGACGATCCGGCACCAAGTCTGTCTCCGCACGCGTGTCTATCTTGTTTTGCGTGAATGCAACTGGCACAGATAAGAGGAAACCATTTGTTCTAAGTATGTACTCTGTAACTTGTTGTCATCATCATCATGATCTTTATGCATATAGCGTTCTGATGCGATTATATATTGTTAGGCACTAGTCTTCCAATCGGGTTCAAGACTGGCGTAGGTGCCCATTTACGGAGCCAGGTGGACGTGCTACCATGGAAGCCAGAGCAGGATAGCCAGGACGGATGAGGCAGCGGCTGGAGGGAGGAGGGCGAAGATAAGAAAAAGAAACGGTCAAGGAAGGGGCGCCCAGACTACATGACCGGGGGTGCTTTCTTAGCATGGCTGAAGCATACACAGCACGACATCGAAGCCAAGGATCCTGACAGGAAGATTCTCCTATTAGTAGACAACCATGGCTCGCATACAGTGGCAATGCGGTCACCTCAGGACTTCCCTAATATCAGGGTGGAAGCGTTGCCAGCGAACTCTACCTCTGTCACTCAGCCACTGGACGCCGGAATCATAGCGGTCTTCAAGCGACGCTACCGTCACCATGTTGCCAGCCGCGCTTATGAAAATGGCTTGCACGCGGATATCAGGGCTGCAGAAGAGACAGTACAAGTGGAGTCGGATGGAAATGAAGAGGAGGAAGTGGAGCAGAATGGCGCGAGGGCAGTTGATGCAACAAATTCGTCTAAGGCATCCAGGGTGGCCATGGCAAAGGTCTCGAATTTTGAGGGCTGGCAGCTTGCCGCCCAAGCCTGGAGCGAGGTCAAGCCGCAGTCCATCAGGAATTGCTTTGCTCACGTCCCTATATTGAACGATGACCAGAAAAAGGAACTGAGGACCTGCGACGAAATCGATGCAAATGTGCAAGCAGCTATCAGGGATGCGCGCGAAGACATCGCTGACCGTGCCTCCATGATGAACAGATATCCGAGGATGACATTAGAGCAACGCTTCCCTGGCGCGTTTGGACCAGCAATCTGTCAATCGACTCAGAACAGCAGTCTTGTCCCAGCAACATATACCAGCGCTGAACGGGACTACTACACAAGGCTCAGCGCGCTTCTGGATGGGTCTACCTTCCTCAACGACGTTATTCATCAACGAAGGAAAAACAGCGATTTTATGGAGTGCTTTGCCATGGAACCAAGAACAGTGCCGCTTGACGAGCTCTTCCCTGACGAGGATGACACGGATGATGAGGACTACGGAAACGACTCTACAAGTATGCGGCAACCTGGAGCAGCCGTACAGTCGTTAGAAACGTGTCCGTTATCCCAATTGCTAGAGGCACCACGTCTCGGATTGACTACATCGTCATCAACGCTCAGGACATCGGACGTGCTTGTATTGACAGAAGGAGCGATCTTATTGGCCCCTGGAACGATTGTAGCACCGTCTGGATCGATCGTGGCGCAAAGGACTCTTCAAACCAAGCACCAATTCTATGCATGGCCTACGGATGATCTGCGTTCTTCCGACATCTCGGAACCGGAATTCCTTTAGTATAATGAGGATGAGACTTGGAGCGAGGAGAAAAGCGAGGATGAGCGAATAGATATTTTATCACGGGCAGCGGAAGTTCTGCAAGGCGATGGGAATAAAGACCTGCGACACGCTATAGATGTTGCTGCAGAGAAGCTAGTCAGCCCTGCAATAGGGATCGCAAAGTCTGGATTTGTAAAGGACTATAACAGCAGAGAGCGTGAGAGGATGGAGGAGGAGCGCATGCTCGAGGAAGAGGAGGTAAGCATCAGGAAGAAATATCCCAACATTCAATTCAAAATACACAGGTTAGATCCCTCACATGACTAAGGAGGATAAAATAAAAATTTTGAATTAAAACGGCTATTGACCAGTGACATCGCGCGATTCCTTTGAATCTTGGCTAACTGTCATGATCGTGACAGTAAGGGGAGATTGACTGTATAAGTAAATACATAGGTCTGCGTTTGGGTGGCAGTGTAGGGCGTGCAACTATGGCACTTCGATGACGTAGTTTACGCCTGAAATGTACTGCTACCAGATCGCTTACGCAGGAGCATAGACGCATTTCTTTGCATGCATGTGCTCCCTTCTCCTTCGTACTTTCACCCAACCGCATACCCTCATACAACACCATGCCCACTGTTGCCTCCATCGCCCAAGCTGAAGAGATTCAGAAGACCTCTCCAGAGCAGGCTATCCCTCTTTACCAAGCCATTCTCGCCGCTGCAGGAACAGGCACGTCAACGCTGGAACAGGACACGCCTCACGAAGGTCGCACACGTTACGCGTTCTTTCTCTAACCGGCCTTCAACACTTCACGAATAATAGACGTTAAAGTCAAGAGTGACCAAGAAGCTGCTCTTTTGAAGTTGGCACAATGCTACCGTGACCTTCAGTATGTGCTTCGTTTAAACTCTGTATCTTACTCTTATTATGAGTAAAGATATCTAATATTTGGTCTCGTCCCTTTGTAGCCGCCCCAATGAGCTCGCCGCCCTTATCCACGATTCGCGCACCTTGATCACCTCCATTCCTAAAGCAAAGACTGCGAAGATCAGTAAGTTACAGGGGGTAGATGATTACGAGCTTTGGACTACCGAACCTGTTCTGTACTAACATCGCTTGCCTTGCTCTACCTTTTATAGTTCGCACCTTGATCGATTATTTCTCAGAGATTCCCAATACTCTCCCGCTGCAGATCGACGTGTGCAAACAGACGATTCAATGGACAATTCAGGAGAAGCGAATTTTTTTGAAGCAGGCATTGGAAACGCGATTGATTGCTCTGTACTTGGACAACAAGATGTATAGTGATTCACTGGCGTTGGTGGCGACATTACTCAAGGAGCTCAAAAAGCTGGATGACAAAATGGTTCTGGTTGAGGTCCAGCTGCTGGAGAGTCGAGTTTGCCATGCCCTGCGTAACCTGCCAAAGGCTAAGGTAAGCCTCTTCATCAAGAACTGCTGTACGTTCCTTTACAGGTGAAGCATGTCCGGATCTTAACGACACCATTTTATTACTCTATATATAGGCTGCGCTTACGTCTGCACGCACATCAGCAAATTCTATTTACTGCCCACCGCTGCTACAAGCAGCACTGGATATGCAATCAGGAATCCTTCATGCGGAGGAAAAGGACTACAAAACAGCATTCTCTTACTTTTACGAAACACTGGAAGGATATTCGTCGTTGGAGGACCCAAGAGCCATTTCTGCGTTGAAGTACATGCTGCTCTGCAAAGTCATGCTCAACTTGGTATAGTCTCAATCTGGCATTGGAATCGGTTCGCTTATATTCCGGTCGGATCGTATTGACATCAATATTTACATCTCCTTGGGTACGCTTTGATAGTCTGAAGACATTCAGTCGATCCTAAACAGCAAAGTGGCTCTCAAGTACCGCGGTGTGGAAGTGGATGCCATGAAGGCGATTGCATCAGCTCACCAGAACCGCTCTTTACAAGAATTCGAGCAAGCATTGGCTGCTTATCGTGATGGTATGGTGCTCATTATTCGTCGCAAGAACTGTCTGCATTTTCACCAGTGTAAGGAAAGTAAGATTAACCCGGCCACATCATTGTTATAGAACTGGGTAACGATCCCATTATCAAGAACCATCTCAACTCGCTGTATGACAAATTGCTGGAGCAGAACTTGGTCCGTGTTATTGAACCGTTCTCAAGGGTCGAGATTGCACACATCGCAAAGATCGTCAAATTGCCTGCACTACAGGTCGAGACCAAGCTGTCGCAGATGATCCTGGATAAGACATTTCACGGAGTACTAGATCAGGGTGCAGGATGCCTGGTCGTTTTCGAGGAGACACCAGTGGACAAAACATACGAGAGTGCGCTGGAAACGATGAAGAACATGGCCAATGTCGTCGAATCGCTGTATGAGAAGGCTTCAAAGCTCACGTAGTTGATTCGATAGAGTATCACGGGCTTGATAGCAATTTGCAAACGCACGCTAGACATGACATCGGTCCGGAAAATAAAAGACAGTTGACTGAACAGAAAGCGCTGCTTCGTTTTATTACAGTACTTTTTATAAATAAATAACTGTTCCGGTATACGGGTATACGGGTATACGGGGATCGATTTCCTCTCTAGATGCTCTTGCTATCCTTGAGCAGGAAAGGATCCGATGGCCAGGCGCCAACGCGCTTCATGATGAGCTTCGTGAAAAAGTCGACGATCCACGAGGGCGCCATCTCTTGAAAGCGGATCAATGTGCCGACCCACCAGAAACCGATCAAGATACGAGCCTTTTTTGCTCCGGCCTTTTTCCTGATGGCGCTGACTGCAGCATCGACGACCCACTTTGAGGGCATGGACTGATTGTACAACTCCTCCGAGTGTTTGCGAACTCCCTGAATAAACTGGGGGCCATACATCTTCTGTGTCTTCAGATCTGATGCCTTCCAGACCTTCTCAAGGACAACGTGAGCCGATGCGACCAGTGGGGTCTTTGCGTAGAAGGGTTCCAGCATCGAGACATCGATTTCCCATGGCGATAGTTCCACGCGCAGCGTATCCATGATCGATTCTGCAGCGTGCTTGGAGGCATTGTAGCCGCCGTGAGCAGGAGGGTTGGAACGGCCTGCGACTGAGGTGATGCTGAGGAGACGCGCACGAGGCAGATGCTTGCCCTGAGGGCTGTGGCGTGATTTGGCAAAGATGCGCATGCTGGGGAGCATGGCCTTGCTGATGCGGATGATTCCCATATAGTTGACGTCCATGATTTTCTGCAGGGCATGGTAAGATGAAGGAGTACGAGATGTTAAAAACATTGTCTAGAACGCGTGCTGTTCATTTGTTCACTCCCCAACAAAAAACAGGAGCAATCCAATCTCAGCCGTTGATTCTGGTGACTGAATGGATTCTTCAGGGGTAAAATGTTAAAATGCTTAAAATACGCGGCACTTGCTTCAAAAATGTCGTACCTGGAAGCTGTCCTCCGAGGCGAAGTCAAAGAATCCTCCGGCATAGATACCTATGAGTGACAATGCATTCATTCCCCCATTAGATAAGCGACAACCCACGCAGAAGATATGATATGCTATGTAAGAAAAGTAGATCCCTTACCGGCATTGTTGAGGATACAATAAACACCCTGGGGACATTCCGCCTCGATCTGGGCGCGGAGGCGGTTGACGTCGTCCTGGTTGGTGACATCGACCTGGATAGCCCTGATGCGCGACGACTGCTTCGCCTTGTAGGATTCCACGGCCTGTTCTGTCAGGCATGTGGCATAGACTGTGTAGCCTCCGCGCTTGTAGAGTTCATCGACAATTTCTGAGCCAAAGCCAGTATCGCAGCCCGTGATAACGACGACGAGGTTGGCGGGGTTGGTGACGGTCATTGTGAAGTGAAGTGAATGGGATGAATGAGGTTGAGAAAGAGGAATGAGACTGAAAAGGACAGAAGAAGAAAAGACGCCGGTTTATGTATCGGCCTTCTTATAGTCTACTGTCACTTTGGATTGTCCATCTAATTAAAGTTCACAAGCCGAGTGGACAACATGCATAGTCAACACATGTGGCAGTTCGGCTTGACTGTGGGGGAAAAATCAGGGATAATATCCATGCCAAGCGTATTCATTATTATTCAGGGCGTCCATGAGACCTGCCGGGATTTAATTATGCTTCGCCTCGCCATGGCTCTGCACGTTGAGACAGACACCGACCCGAGAAGGGAATCCAAAACGAGACCTGGATAAGATCGCTACTGGTCCGTGTGCCGATATTAAAAGAAAGCCGGATTGCGAACCGAGGAGGGAGGACAGCTGGTGTCTCAGTCGCAGTCTTGCTCACGGCCTCGTTTGAGGAAGAACAAATGCCGTCGCTCCTCTCGCAACTTGCCATCGCCACCCCCACCCTAGCATGATAACATTAACCCTAAAAACCTCTAGCTCCCAAAACCCACTCTCATACATGTACTTTGGCTGATGCCCTGTAGGCTGCCAATACATGTTTCTGCTGTGGACTAGGTTTAGTTGGCCCTGAAAGTCCTTCTACGCGTTTTCATACACGCGTAGACATGAAAGAGCCACGGACCTCTGGCCGTAGCCGCCTCCATATAGGAGGGACGCGATGTTGCAGTGGTGTGTGGATGAGTCCATGCGGTCCTCGTACGCGTGGTTTTTTCTTGTTCGCTGGCTGAGTGCATGCGCTTGCTGTGCAGAGGCTCGAACAATTTACCCCTGGCCTGTCTCGCTTTCTCCACTTGCGGTTTGAAACATACTCAATCGGTCAATTATTGCCATAGTCCCCCGCCTGTGCTCTCAACTCCACTGCATCTCCACTCTCCATCATCTCAGCTCCCTCCTATCATCATCCCCGATCTCTCTCCCTCTCTCATCATCAATCCCCACTTTCTCGCCTCCGAGAATCGTTCCTTTCCCGCTCATCCACCACGCCAGTCCTCTTTCCCCCAAATACCTCCTCATCTCATACATCACCCATACAAACATAGAACCGTGCCTCAGGAGCACGAGAGGACTGCTCGCTTTATTTCAGGAGAAACCGATCGCATCAACCCACTTGCTCCTCCAACGGTCTACATCCACTTCGACAACCCAACGCCCGTACCGACCCTGACCTCGATCATCTATCCATCATGGCTATGCGTGGTTTGACCGTCTTCATCGCGGACATTCGCAACTGTAGGTCGGCATTCGGCTTTATGGAATCTTTATTCGCACATCTTGTTGATTGAAAGAACTAACAAGGACTCGATTTCTCGCACCTATAGGCCGTGTCCGCGAGCTTGAGGAAAAGAGAATCAACAAAGAGATGGCCAACATTCGCACCAAGTTCAAAGGTACGGGCATTGTGAATAATGTCGGGGCAAAAGCAAATTCTATGCGCTTTCTCGACTTGCACTCCATCTTTCCAAAAAAGCTTACTATGCCATCTTCTGCTTATCTTTTCATCCGTCGCAATAGAGGGCAATCTGAGTGGTTACGACAAGAAGAAATACGTGTGCAAGCTGTTGTACATGTACATCCTCGGATGGGATATCGACTTTGGACACATGGAGGCCGTCAATCTCATCTCCAGTCCAAAGTACAGCGAAAAGCAAATTGTAAGTGTGTCCCATCCCATTATACTCTGACGATCTGTTTGAGCGTTCGTTGACGAACCACGTCAATAACCATCGCCCTTATCTGGTTGCCCATAGGGATATCTTGGGATAACACTGCTTATGCACGAGAACAGTGACCTTGTACGCCTGGTCGTCAATTCGATCCGCAAGGACCTGGACGACAACAATGAAATCCACAACTGCCTTGCTCTGCATGCCATCGCCAACATCGGAGGCAGGGAAATGGCCGAGTCTTTGGCGGGCGATGTGCATCGTCTTCTAGTCTCGCCGTAAGTGAAGTGCCTACGCTGATATCGATGAACAGACCGAAGGGAGATTTATTGGATCTGAAGACGGCTCAAAGGTGCTCACAATTCTGCGTTTCCTATTTTTAATACATTTGGATAACCGTTAATGCTGCTGGAATGAAAACTACAAAAACCATGGCTTGGCTTTCACAGGAACTCGAAGAGCTTCGTCAAGAAGAAGGCAGCCCTGACCATGCTCCGTCTCTTCCGGAAACATCCCGACGTCATTCCGGCACCAGACTGGGCCGAGCGTATTACCAACATCATCGATGACTATGACCTGGGAGTGTGTCTGTCCGTCACCAGTCTGATCACAGCTCTTGCCCAGCAATACCCAGAGGCCTTCATGATGGCCATTCCAAAGGCGATCATGCGACTTCACAAGGTCAGCATCCCTGAACTCGACTTGGACAATGCTACAAGATAACAGGTGGCTGAATGGCTGGATTCAAGACTGATAAAGCGTATTTTCGTTCTTTGCGCCATGAGATAGGTGATTGTCGAAAGAGACTTTTCAGCCGACTATGTTTACTACAAAATCCCCATCCCATGGCTCCAAGTGAAGCTCCTCCGACTTTTGCAATACTTTCCTCCCACAGGTTCGTCTATATCTCATGAAAGCTTTCTGGCGGAGCCCAAAATTATAGTGACATGCTTATGCTTATTAACTAACCAATGCTTTTTCTTTTCCTTTCTCTTGCCTCACAGAGGACGCCAACATGTCTGAAATGCTCCACAATGTACTCCAGACGATCATTAACAACTCACAGGAGACACCAAGGAATGTTCAGCACAACAACGCGCAGAACGCTATTTTGTTTGAGGCCATCAACTTGGCTATTCATCTGGACTGCGAATCCGACATTGTGCGCCAGGCTACCAACATTCTTGCCAGATTCATTCTTTCCAAGGAGACCAACGTGCGCTATCTGGGTCTGGAAACCATGGCGCATTTGGCTGCTGTGACGGACGAGCTGGACGAAATTAAGAAGCACGAGGAGACCATCATTTTATCGTTGCGGGACAAGGATATCAGTGTTCGTCGTCGCGGCCTGGATTTACTGTACAGTATGTGTGATGTCTCCAACGCAAAGACGATTGTCTCGGAGTTGATCCGGTATCTTCATATCGCCGACTACGCCCTTCGAGAGGAGATGGTACTTAAGATTGCTATCATGACGGAGAAGTACGCAACGGAGCATTCATGGTACGTGGACGTGATCTTGCAGCTCATCAGCTCTGCAGGAGACCACGTTAGCGAGGAGGTCTGGTACAGAGTCGTACAGATTGTCACCAACCATGAGAATCTCCAGGAATACGCCGCCAAGATGGTCCTGCACTACATGCGATCGCCACATTGCCACGAGAACATGCTCAAGGTTGGAGGGTACATCCTCGGAGAGTACGGACATTTGATCGCCAACCTCCCAGGAGCCTCGCCCATTGAGCAGTTCAACACCCTCCATGCCCGATTTGGACTCTGTTCGCTTGCTACGCGAGCATTGTTGCTCTCAACCTACATCAAATTTGTCAACTTGTTCCCAGAGATCAAGGGAGCCATCCTGGCTGTCTTTAACCAGTACCGCCATGTTCTGGATGCAGAGCTGCAGCAGCGCGCATGCGAATACATGGCCATTGCGACTATGCCAACGGACGACCTGCTCCAGACTGTGTGCGAGGAGATGCCTCAGTTCCCTGAGCGCGAGTCCGCCCTACTCTCAAGGTTGAACGAGAAGACAAACCAGACAGAAGACAAGAGAACTTGGAACATTGGTGGCAAGGACTCGAATGAGAAAACTCCTGCAAATCTGTTGGCTGCAAAGGAGAGGAACGAAAATGGAAGTGTGGACGACTTGGTGGCGGGTATTAACAGTGCTAACGTCAGTACTCCCGGCGGTGCAGCCGAAGATGGCGCTAACGGATCCAATGGGTCTGCTTTGCAGCCAGCTACGCCAGCCGCGCCAGCAGCGAAGTCTGGATTGGCTTGGAAGGATCAGCTGGCGCCAGGATACGAGGTCTGGTACAATCGTCTGCGGGATGGCGCCGATGGTGTGCTCTATGAAGATAGCATCTTACAGATCGGAATCAAATCAGAGTACCACGGACATCTGGGTCGTCTCGCCATGTACTTCGGCAACAAGACGCACTCACAGCTCAACTCGTTTGCTATCTCTCTGGAGTCGCCCGAGGGCCTTATCATTACCAGTTCTCATACGTTGGGAACATCTATCGGACCATCTACTCAGATTCAGCAGCTTTACACTTTGGAGTGCCAGCAGATTTTAACAGAGATGCCCCTGATCCGTATCTCATACCAGGCAGGATCGATCCAGAGTATTTATCTCAAGCTCCCTGTGACGCTCACGCGGTTCATTGAGCCGATCCAGCTCTCGAGCGCAGACTTTTTCGCCCGCTGGAAGCAGATTGGCGGGCCCCCACGCGAAGTGCAGGGAATCTTCAAGTCATCCGAGAGGATCAATCTGGAGAAGGCGCGCTCGGTTTTGGCGAATAGCAGACTTGGAATTTGCGAGAACGTGGATCCCAAGCCTGGTAATTTTGTGGCCACGGGTGTCTTGAACACCTCGCTCAATGGTAAGGTCGGATGTCTGCTTCGTCTCGAGCCCAATCGTGAGACCGATGTAAGTTCTTTTTATGTGTCAGTTTTTTTTTTTTTTTTTTTTTTGGGAGTTGCCAGAACCTTTGAACTTGACTTTACTAAGTCGGACTTTCTGATTTCTTCTCTAGATGTATCGCTTAACAGTCAGGACGACATCAGATGTGGTCTCGAAGCACTTGAAGGATATTCTGCAGTCTGCTCTGCTCTAATACCACTACCGCGTCTGAGCCTTTCGTGCGGGGAAAAAAGAAAAAGAAGGGAAAAAAAAATAATCAAAGTCAATAAAGATAAAGAGACAAACCGAACCACTTTTTTTTTTTTTTTTTTTTTTTTTTTTTTTCAAGCACGATCGTGCCAAGGAGTTGTGTCATATCACTCCAAAAAAAAATAATCTGAAGACAGGTATGTTGAAATCGTACTGGCAACAGAGCGAGTCTTTGAGGTAGACTTTTTTTTTGTATTTCGTTTTATTTTGATGGCATTGCTACGGGTACAGATGCCATTCCAGATATCGGTGTTGTGCAACACGAAAGTGGAGCAGGGTGACGGTACTGGGCTAGTACTTGGCACGTCCATGCTTCCGCTCGGAGCTCAGACGAACCACATCACTACAGGAAAAGAAAGAGAGAGAGAGAGAGGCAGAAAGGATCTGGTTCTTAACAACAAAAAAAAAAAAACATTGTGAAGAATCATTTACCTTTCTGAATATGTCGGTGGATGCTCATGTACGAGCCCGTATCTCCAACGCTTGTCTCTGAACTAGCAGACGATGCCGTGTCCAAGAAATGATCCTCTTTCGCATGAAACCTCGCTCGTGCTGCGACTATATGGGCATAATACGCCGGCGGAACCACGGACACGGATCGAGTGCATCGCGCAAACAGGTAACAAAGCTTGTAGGTCACATCCTGAAGTTCGTCCGGCGAAAACTTGTTGTCGTCCAGAAGTACATAGTAATGTGCAGGGCGGGAGGTACCCAAGAGACCGCTATGGGACTGTAAGTAGAAATCGAATTCGAAGGGATGGACGATCTCGGTATCGATGATGGTGCCGGGATGGCAGTTGCCGAGTCGGTCGCCCTCGGCGCGTTGCATGGGGAAGAAGCGAGTGTGGTGGCGCTTCTGGACAACGACGAAGGTCAGGGTGGGCATGTAGTCCTTGTCAAGGCGGCTGCAGGCGGCACGGATGGCTGCGATCTCGGTTTTGAGAATGTCGGCGAACTGGCCTTCAGAGACGCCGTCGCGGTAGAACAGAATGCGTTCGGGCTTTTTGCCGCAGCTATGAAAAAAGATGTAGAGAAGAAAGGTAGAGATCAGATAGGCAGAGGAAGAGAATAAAACAGTGTGAAGATGGGGAGGGCACGCACAATGACTTACTTCTGGTAAAAGGTCTTGAGAAGCTCGACGGCCATATCGGCGAGATCGGCAATCGTCTCCGTCCTCGCGCTCTGCACGCGGACGGTGGCAGCATAGCGAGCAGCATAACTGTCCATCGAGCCCACAAGCGATGCGATCGATGGTCGAACCGTATCTCCAGCCTGTGGATGCGAGACATCACCGCCGAAGATGATCGTGGGTTTGGCCATGATGAAGGGGATACCCTGGGCCAGATGCGCGTTCATACCGCCCAACTTAACGTTCATCTTGAGACAGACATTCGCACAATATTGCTTCTTGGGTTCACGCATGTGCTTGATCTGCAGACACTGCGAACTCAGGCCCAGGATCGTATCCGTCACCCGCTTGATCTCGGCATACAGCGGCGTGCCAGTGTTGGGCAAGATGCAGACCAGAAGTTGCGGCACTGACTTGACGGCGTTGCCAGCTTGGATCCAGGCGCTCTTGAGGGTACCTTCGATGTTGCTGTGCGGGTTGGCATATGAGATAGGTGGGTCCATGTTGACGATGTTCATACCGGTGTCCATGCAAGTGACGGCAAGTTCTCGCAGGAAGTACTTGATCTGCGCTCGCGGGAAATCGCGCTCGGTAGCAAACGCCACGACACCCCAGGAACCTAGCACGGCGCCCTTGGCGATCTTCTTGTCCTTCATGTTCCAAACACCTTCGCGCGGGGTAACGTTGGCTTCACGCGACGAGTGATGGTAGCGGATGACAGGCGCCTGCAGGATACGGGCCTTGATGGAGACCATCTCGTTCGAGACCTTCATCCCAAAGTCCTGGAGGTACTCATTGTCGTCGTAGTTGAGCAGCCTGATACCCTCCTTGATTCCGTTGGCTCGGATGTGCGGCGCCTGGGACGTGAACTTGATCATATCGGCTGTCTGACGTTCGTCCAGCTTCCGGACGTAGCGCTGGCCCTCGACGACCTTGCAGACCTCCAGAGGAAGCATCGCGCTCTTTCCAACGGTCACGCACGGCAGCATCGGGTAATTGAGGGTCATGTTGTACGTCTGTTTGAAGTAGGTGGCGATATCGATCTCAACTTGGGATGCAGCGCCAGTGCAACCTCGTGCCTCCACGGACATCACGAAGGTGCTTTCGCGGGCAGACTTCTTGGTCAGGCCAAGGATCTTGACGGAGCGCGGAGACCGCTGACGGTGCTCGACCGTGATGCGAAGGCCTTTGATCATCCTCTCGACCTTAATCCAGTTCACTGGTTGGCTGGTGCGGCGAAGGTCGTCTTTTGGATATTGTTAAAGAGAGAAGGGGGAAAAAAAAAGAAAAAAGAAACGCTTTAGCATTGAATAAATTCGATGCAAAAAAACCGAAGGTCATAACAGATCGTACCCGGACTTCGCAGACCAAGGATCTTGACAATGATCTCGAGCAACGAGCCAGATTGATAGAAAGCCGTTGCAGAGGTGTCGACGTTGATCAGCATTCTCCCAAGCCCAGGACGCACCGATTGATAGTATCCTCTCCATGCCTCAAGTGGGCCTGCAAGGGTCTGTCTCGATGCAGGCGTATAAAACGCGCGGCCGACGGTCACATAGAGCATCGAGGGCTTGTGCCGAATGACCTGGTCGAGAGCCATGATCGATGTGAGGATGTTGTTGGTCACTGGAGTTTTGCCTAGCAGAAAGCGATGGAGTTCTTCGAGGTTGATCTGGGCTGCTTTGCGAATCTTGATTTTGAAGATCTGAGGCTGGCGTCTCGAGCCAACATCCTCAGGGAGGGTGACCTTTTTAGTTGCCCAGAAGAAAAAAAAAAGAAAGAAAAGAGAGAAAGAATGAAGGATAGGCAAGTAAATAAGAATGTTAGCATCGTACTTGAAACGCAATGCGTTGTCCATCTGCTGCAGCGCGCGTGTGGAGAAAACAAAATGTAGCAGAAATCTCTCGCTCTTACGTCAAATGTTCGACTGTCGCCGAATGGCAGGGTCCTGGACGCGAACATGTTCTTGCGGCCATCATAGACTGGCTGGACGTCCATAAGATCCGTTTCACGGTATTGGTTCAGGAATTCTGAGTAGATCCTTCGGTTTAGGGCCCGTGGCACGTCCGGGGTCACCGTTACATCGTAGTGGTGGATGACAATGTCAGGAACCTGAGTGACCTCAAAGTGATTCGAACGAACCTGTATCGGCTTGCCAAGTATTCCAAAGCCGGGGCGCTTGGCAAAACCGGTGATCTGCAAGGCCGCCATGGTGTTGTTATATGTTCTTGATGAGCTTTATACGATGTACCGAAAAGAAGTAGCTCGAAATTGATAAGTTTGTGTTTGAAGTGAAATCTGAGAAGAGCGGAAGAGAAAACTGGGTGCAAGAGCGTGTTTATAAGCAGAGAAGGTGATTGCTTGAAAGCTGAGAGCTTACGATATTAGCCTTTCTGTCCATGATAGCACCCTCAATTGTCTCCATTGGTGGTTATCACCAGCGAATATCATCATTGGGAGCAGGGAAGGGAGGGAGGGTACCATCGCAGACTCGATCACCGTTGCGAACACAGCTTTCCAAGCGCGTTGCCATACAGACAAAATCTAGGTCGATCGCCCTCTGTAATTGATGAATTCTTTAAATGAATGTGAGATAGAAGCATTTCACTGGCGCAATCTGATTGGGTGCCATTGCTCACAACCTTGTTTTCCGCAACCCAACCTCCTTGGCTCTTTCTTCCATCGCCTCCATCACCTCCATCCATCCTTCTCTTCTCCTCCACCCAAAACGACACATCCGATCTGCCATGGTAATACTTCAACCACAGTCTCCCGGATATCCTCAACGACTGAGCCAACGACACTGAATATGCGACCACCTTGCGGTGTTCATCAAGACGAAGGCGACTTCCACAGTGTTCTCATCCGCGGATCAACATCTAACCTGGACCTTATTCTGGTTAATCGCTTGCTTAGTCTGACTCTGCTGCTTCCCCAAACCTCGCCGGCGCCTCTCCCCGCGCTGCCGCTGTCAGGTACTTGTCAACTGTCAATTGTCATCGCACACTTTGTTTCGATGGTCGGTTATATCCTAATGCTGAAGATGTTGCACTCTCTATTGCCTTCCGCGCTACATAGGAGACGTACAACTACCTCTAAGGCCCAGACCTCCCGTGCACCTGGCCCCAGCACCTCAGGAATGATGCGCATCTACACCGATGACTCCCCTGGACTCCGTGTGTAAGTCGTGTTTTTTTTTGTTTTTTTTTCAAACGGGCCGGCATTGGATCGTCCAAAGCACTGTTCAGTGGATCAGGCAGGAGTTCTTTCGACTAATGGGTTATTAACGACGCTGTCACCGCATTATTCGATTGTAGTGACCCTGTCGTCGTCCTCGTCTTGTCTCTGGCCTTCATTGCCTCCGTCTTTGCTCTTCACATCTACGGAAAGCTGACCCGTGCTTAATACCGAACGTAATTGCATCTCACCGTTAAAGGATGCCGGCGTTATTCGACCTTTCATTCTCCTTTCTTAAAAATGTACTATTATCAAAATACAACCGTTTTCTGAATAAACCATCAAAAAACATATCTGGGATGCTTGACATCTTTTAAGAAATGATACGATTTATTGTCGAGAGGAGGTTCTTTGAACATGATGGAATACAAAAAAAAAAGTCCGGATTCTACTTGTCAGTTCCGAAGTAGCGGCAGCCGAAATCGCCAAGACCCGGGTCAATGTACAGCTTCTCGTCCAGTCCAGCGTCGATCTCGGCAGTGACGATCTTCATGGCAGGGAAGCTCTTCACGACCGCGTTAATGCCCTCAGGACAAGAGATCAAGTTCAGGAAGAGGATCCTCTCCTCGGCTACTCCATAATCAATCAACGTCTCGATAGCCTTGATAGCCGAACCTCCAGTTGCTGTGAATTGTTGAAGAATAGATCAATACAAAAATGTTAGCAATTGAAAGTTCCTTCTTGAGCCTTTAGAAAGTAAGGTCCATTCGTTGGTATCCTGGTTTCGTAGATCACGGAAAAGCTTACCGAGCATGGGGTCCAACAACAAGCAGTAACGCGAGGCGATATCGGGGGGAAACTTTGCGTAGTACATCTTGGGCAGTGCTGTCTCCTCATCTCTCTGGATCAGAATCTTGCCAATGCGAACACTTCTGCAGACATCGCGGAGACCCTGTTCCACTATTATCATTTGTCCGAAAGAAGAAATAAGATGGTTAAAGCTTTCCGTTGTCCAATTGTTGCGCGAAATGTACGTTCATATGTACAATATACCGCTCGTCTTATATTTTCTTTCCACCTACTTGACTCTCCTGCGCGCATGATCGAAATACCACAGATTCGTCCCTGAAAGTCGATACCATGGAACTCCTTACCTAAAATACATTGGGAATTTTTTTTAGGAGAATAAGAAGCATCAAATGAGTTTCCATACGTCCAGCTTCCGACTTAGCGGTGTGATGTGGTGCGGTTCTTTTTTTTTTTTTTTTTTTCAACTTACCAGTAGGAGTGATGACGGTCTTCTCGACAACAGGCAAGTGGTTCAAGCCTACGTCCATGGATATGCATGTCGCACAGAACGTTCAATCGGTCAGTATCGTCGTCCCACTCACTCGACCATCGTTCCTTTGACCGTCTTTGCTTGACATACCCTCCTCGACCAAGATACGGATGATGCGATCTGAGTAAAAGATGAAATCCGCACGCTGCGTGTTCTTGTCGCGGATAATGGTCGTCAATGCCTTCAGCTGCTGCGTCTGAGGCAAGAGAATCACTTGGGAAGGAGGTTGGAACGTCTAGGATAAAAAAAAAAAAAAAAAAAAAGAACCAGGAGCAACCGTGTGAGTGCTTCTGTCCAGTAGGATATTTTTCTATGTAGTTCCTTAAAGCCCTTGGCTCTTTGACGCAAAAACTACATCGTCCTTGAAGGCCCCTGAATGCCAACGAACGTCCATGGTGGAATCGACTTGGTGGTCAATGAAAGGGCGGTCCAGACATAGTTACTGGCATGCCAAGGGTCCATCGCTTTGCCGCAACAACCTAGAGTCCGAAGGCGCTTTCCATGGTGCTTCTCTTGACTTACCATGGCGAGCTGAATGAAAAAGAGAGTAAAGAAAGGAATTGTTTTTTCTCAGTCCTACTTATCTTGTGACTGAAGTACTTCAGTCCGTGGAAAAAAAAATAACAAAAAAAAATGGGTTCGGGCGGGGAACCATGGAGTTGGCTAGTGGCACGTACAACACGTTCAATTGCGCTAGGCCGCTGTCTACAAGCCCTCCCCTCTCTCAGACAGCGGTACCTCAGGTCAACATTGTTGCTGCACAACTCTTTGTGCTGCAAACGGCCTTCTCCTGGTCCATTCGAATAACACACGGTGTTTACTAAAGCATCTATCGTCTCTCTCATTTTTCTTTTATTTTTTGGGTTTCTATGAGTTTTTATAATGGTAGCAGAAAAAGTCTACATGATAATTATTTACAAGTTGGTGAATAGTGGTGGTTGTTGCACATTAGAGATTGTACAGGTGTAAAATAGACTGAATGAAAAGAAGATAGGGTAAAGAACCGAATGGCAAACCACAGGAGGAAGAATAAGAAAACAGATGCCCCTCGATCTAGATCCTGAACAGATTTTGTTTTGCGCCATAATTCAACAACTGCAACGACGCAAGCGTATCCAAAGCGGAGCAAACTGTCGACCTACACCTACTCACACATGTCGTCCGAAATCTCGCTTCCGTCCTCCAGTTCCCGCATGCGCTGCTGATGCTGAATCATATCGCGGATCTTTTTCAGAAGCATCTCTTCCTCGTAATGCTGAGGCTTAATCGGACGCCGCTGGTAAGGATTGAAGTGCGCAATCACCTGGACCACACCAGGTTCCTTGCCAGGTAGCAATCGTGCTCCATGCGACGTGTGCATCGTCCGATCCTGAATTTCATGGACCGCGCTTGATTCTGTCCGGATAGCGAGTTCCTCGTCGCTGATCGTCACTTCTGGGTGCATTTTGGCCGTATGCGTCTAGAGAATCCCTCCCCCCACGAAAAGAGTTTGGTTAATAGCTGTAAAGATGCGTTGGGTTCGCCGCTGTTGGAACAAGTTCTTGCGGAATGCCTCAGGCGAAACATACCTTCAGGTTCCCCAGTTGACTAAAAGTTTTGCCGCATCCGCGAAGTCGACACATGAATGGCTTGACTTCATCGTGGATGCGCTCGTGCGTCTTCAAGTTGCCAAGCTGCGTGAAGGTCTTGTCGCAGTCGGGATGTGGGCACTTGTAAGGACGTTCGCCAGTGTGCTTTCGTTCATGCGTCTACCAGTGTTGCGAAAAAAAAAAAAAGACATTTGAGTATCATTGAAAAAAGAAAACCTCCACAACCATTCATTCGGAGCAGAAAACTCTTACCTTAAGATTACCGAGTTGCGTGAAAGCTCGATCGCATCCATCGAATCGACAAACCTGTATTCGCCCGCAATGCACGATACCAGCGCGCATAGAACAAAGATACACCCCCCGAACCAAAACCACAATACCCAAACCAAACCACCACAGGGCCAATATCGACGGTAACAAAGCACAAAAGAGATGTGTACAACGCGACACAAAACATTCGCGCAAAGAACCAACGGCCCCAGATTCCGATCAAGGTAGCCAGCAATACAACAAAAAGCACCCAAACAACGCCAAGGAGCAGCAGCGGAGTGAACAATAACACAAGAACAAGTGATCATGACAGCATTTGAGAATAAAGAGAAGAAGCAGCGAGGGAGGGAAAAGAATAAGAGAGAGGATGGACCGTGAGTCGTCAAAATCTTAGTTACGTTCGTCAAACATTTCTTAGGAGGAATCAAAAAAGCAACTTGAGAAAACTGAGGTCGAAGAAGAAAAAGGTAGACAGACAACGTTGGAGGAGATGCGACGATGATATGTATGGGAGGAGGAGAGAGACGAGTCGAGGAGGCGAGAGTGTCGGCTGGATTGGGTGGCGAAATGGTGTGATAATTGGTGATGTGTTGGTCGTTGTCTGTTCTTCTTCTTTGCTTTCTCATGGTTTTTCTCGTCATCACTGCTTTTTCTTTCTGGCGCTCCTAAGGCCTGGATAAATGCTGTGCTCGCGCTGACGTCTGTACCAGCTTTTTCATCACGGCCGATAGATTCGTGTATAAGGTAAAGATGCCAGGACTAGACACCCTGAACGCACGATGAAAAAAATAAAAAAGGCAAAAAATGGAAGAAATTTCGTCCGCAAGTGCAGACAACTGCAACTGTGCTGAGAAGCAAAAGAAGCAAAAAAAGAAAAAAAAAAAAGGAAAAGAAAAAGCAGCCGTCAAGTGGCCAAAAGAAAAAACGAGGAAAGAAAAGAGCTGCCATGTCCGTCAAATATCAGGGGCCTGCCTTTAGTTCTCCACTGGTGATCTTCAACGCAAAAATACCACCATAATCGAACACATTGAGATCACTCGGGGCTGAAGAAGGAACAATGCAAAGTCGAATGATTCCCCATGAATAAAAAAGGTGGCCCTTTCACCTCCTTGGCGAAAGGGATCAAGTCGCGCTTGATTTGACGTCGGGTCAACCATCTTTCGTTTACTCCCATAGCCGTTGCTCCAATTACTTTGACTGTTCCTCTCCAGTTACCCCAAAGACAAGCTAGTGATCCTTCTCCTCAAAGATGTTGATTAGGATACTTCGCAGTCGATCATGTTCATAAGAAAGGCCCCGCTTAATCTCGCGCTCTTTTCAATTCCATCATCATTTCATAGTTCAGCTCGGTCCTGATTGAAACAAGTGAACATGATAGAGGAAAGATAAATGTAGATCTGGAGATAGAAGCAGACTTACATAGGGCCTTGTGCCAGAGTGACACCTACTTTTTAAATAGATAGGATGAGGAATAATGAATGTTTAGACAGCGCATTCAGCAAGGTGTTTGTGTTCGAGGGTAGAGTCGGGGCGTAGGAGTGGCAGAAGACGGGTCCACCCGTCACGCGTTGGATCCAGGGCGTACGATTCGCCAAGGGAGGGAATAATTCCAGCCCGTGGAACAATGGCCGCTGAGTGGACCAACGTGTCGGGAATTTTGTTTGATGGAAGGCAAGAGAACGAAGGACTGCCGTCTCCCCGCCTCAATTTCGCCATTTCGATGCGTCACGCGGGGAGTGCTCTCTTTTGTTGGTAAGTAAGAAGGAAAGTGGGTGGGAGAGGAGCAAGTGTCCCAGCGATGCTGAACGATGCCCAGGGACAATTGATTGGGGGAGTCAGCCAGTAGATGGAGCAATTGCAGGGATATTGAACAAAAAAAATACGTAGGACGAAAAGGGGGAGGAATGCCATTATGGGTGTGGTTTGTCAACCACAACATAGAACAGGCGCCTTACCGTTCGTGGGAGCGCAGATGGGCGACCTGATAGAACTTCTTCTCGCAATTGCCAACGGTGCAGGCGTACTCCTTAGTGCGCTCGCTGTTCGAGTTGGCAGACGAGGACGAGCCCTGGCTGCTGATTGACATCTTGCGCTGACCAAGGCTGCGACGAGAAGAGTCGTTGGGGAGGGTGCTTGGGGTAAGGCCTGAGGATTGGGATTGTAGCGCAGACATGGCCACTGACTCGGGTAGCATCATTGTCGGCAAGTGGTGAAGCGATGGCTCCGCTGAGGGCCTCTTCATGAATACCGTGGGAGACGAGGGAATAGTGGCATCGGGGTCGTCGTCATCCTCCTCAGTCTTGACGTTCACACCTGTTCCGTCAACCAAGGATTGGTCTCGTTCGAGAGTCCCCTCTTCTTCCTCAACGGTAGCCTCCAGTGCCATTACGAGGGCATCCAGGGGAGATGCCGGGGGGTTCGAGGAGCTGAGCAGGGCCTTGACCGACGGCCTGCGTGGACTGAAAGCGGCGGGTGTCTGCTGCTGCATATTGATAAAGAAAGTGGTCGCTGGCGACAGGGAGGGGGATGGGTAGACGTTTGACACTGTGGGGACCGGCGAGTCCTTGAGGGCGGGCTGGTGAAGAGGGCTGGTAGCTGTCATGGTTGCTTGGCTCGTCGAAGGGTGAGGGAGTGAGATGAGAAAGCGCGGGTTGATGAAAGTTGCCTGTTATTGCTATTGCTTGTTGTTTATTTGGTTGGTTGGTGAGTTGGTGTTGTTGGTCGCTGTGGCTGTAGCTGTAGCTGTTTGTTGCGAGATGAGGTTGGGGTGATGGGGGAGGGTGGAAGCGGGATGTGGAAATGGGATGTGTCAGTGTGTGATGGTGCGTGCTTAAGAAGTATGAATAGCATGGGTGGCCATACCCTTCGCGCAAAAAGTCCAGGGGTATGACAGGACCTCGATCGAAACGCGACCTTTTTTCAGAGTCCGAGAAGCAGTGCTCGACATTTTGGGATGATCTCACTCCCGAGGACAGGAGGGACTGCTTGCTCCCTGCTCCGTGCACGTCCAACGGTGCACGTACACGGGGCCTGCTCCCGCTGCTCTGGTCACCGTACATAATTGGAAGAACTTGTCCATGGGAACAATATTCATGTGTCTCACGTGTGAAGTGTCGATGGAGCGATCGGCACTAAGGAAATAGCGGCATTCGTGGGCCCATACACGACACATCCACACATCGAGGAAGCTGTTGCAGTCGATCTCGGCCTCGCCTCTCGTACTCTCGCCGTATAGTTCTCTGCGGCATGCTGACTTCCCTCCGTATGCGTGGCCCCGTCTAGTAACCATAGATGCGACTAAATCGCGCGTGGCCTACAACTGTCTAAGGGAGGTCCCACCCCGTATTCGTTCCCTGTCTCCTGTAATCTCTCAAAAAACGAGATGTTGACTGCAGATTATATGACGACAGCTTTCCCAGCTGTTGCTCTGTCTCCTTTGGCATCTACTGCATCTGTGTTCGTCCCTCGCGAACCACAGTAAGACCCAAAGGTCGCCAGGCAGGTTCATCTGCTGAAAGGTTAACGACCAATTGGGCATCAGATATGCAGCCGAATGTTTTCTCTGATACCTAGGTCTGCCCTTACTTCAGAACTATAAGGGAGTGCCCCCTTTCACTGGCTACCCGCCCCTACCGACTGCCTCCTCTATCTCTACGATCGCCGCTCCCCCCTTCCTCATGCTTTCCTTATTAAATTACATCCTCGAGATCATCCTTTTCCTCATCTTTCCTTTCGCGCTCCTCGCATCCCCAGTGTTCTCTCCTCCACTGACAATCCTAAAACAACAGAAAATAGGCTCTGACTATCGTCCATCACAGACGCGTCCTACTTTACAGCTTCATCTTGAAAAGAACCATCAATCATCCACGCGGCACGCACAGCCTCCATCGACGCCGCTTTTTTTTTTTTTTTTTTTTTTTTTTTTGGAATAAAGAAGAGTGGGCTTGCGACGATCTGATGCCAGCTGTCCTTGAGAGAGGCGACAATGTTGCGCAATGGAATGTCCGTAAGGCACTGGATAGCTTCACACCGCCTTGTCCTTTATACAGTGGATATCTTTTGAAGCTAGGCTCGAATAACCGCTGGCAGTCGCGGTTGTTCACGTTCGATGGTGCAGGTAGGTATCTCTCCGCCTCTTCCCCCCTCTGTTCTCTGTCTTCTTTCTTGTCCCTCTACCACTATTATATGCTGAAAATGCTATGATCGTGTTCCTAACCTATGCCGCACATACCACGCTCCGCGTATTCACATTCGAATCTAATAGTGTTAACCTGCATCGGCAAGAGACCAAGGACGCCTCCTATCATAACTTACGATCCCCATGTGTCATCACCGTTTGTCTCTGCGTCAAAATATCCATTGTTCCATAGTCCGAACATAAAATGGTTCCTCAGGTTGATCTCCATCGCCGACATCCGTCTCATGTCCTCTACGAGGGCCTACCACTGCATTCCTTATGGTGATGCATCACGCTCACTTCTGATACGGACTACGGATGGCACAACATTGACTCTGAGGGCCAAGAAAGATCTAGAGCTTGAGCGCTGGTATTTTATTTTGTCCAAGATGTGGTCCTACCATCAATTGCAGAACCAACAGCCGCCGCGCGAGAACCTACCTGTTAACAATGAACAAGGAATAGAGCAACATAATGGATCACAACAACAACAGCAACAACCTCAATATCAGCAGTATCGTCGGTATATCCCAATCACCAAACCCCATCCTGACCACCTCCAATTTGGAGACCACCACCCCACTACCATGTCCAGTTTGCTACCAGCGCACGAGCAGTCTATCCATCTATTTAACAAGTATCTAGAGCGCCAACAGCACGAGAACGACTCACAGAGATACCAACCCGCGCAACTGCACCCGCCCCGACAGCAGCAACAACAACGCGTTTTGCGCCCATGGCAAAACCAGCATTCAGCACCCTTTAGTGACGTAAAGTCGTGTGCGAGTTTTCTGCAGCATCAGATTCCACCCCCCAAAGTGTCTGCGTTCTTGCCCAAAAATTTGGATTGGTCTCAGTGCTACTACCCCCAGCAGCACGAGGGCAGCGGCAACGATAGCGATTCCGGAGAAGACCTTGAGAACAGCGAGGAGGATATTTGTGTCTTTCTAAAGTCACCTAGCCAGAAATCCGTACCAATTGCATCTCAGACCATCGGCTGGCGAGGAGCAATGGAGCCCGCCAAAGCTGCTGTGGTTGACATGTGGCGCCCGAGTCTTTTGAAAAAAATTAGGTCATGCTCTCCCCATCCAGACAGCTCGGAGAGCCAGATTGTGAAATGGGCTACGAAGTTCAAAATCCTTCCTGGTAAAAGATGTCCCAGTCACGAGCTAGGCTTTGAGCTGACACGGAATAAGGCCCCGGAGCCTGGGAAGGAGGATGACGCATTCAGCTCTATGTCATCTGCCAGTAGCAGCAGCCGCTCAAAATGGCCATCGCTCACGAAACAACTCGACCGACCGCGTCAACTCACTGGGGGCTTTCCAAGAAAATCAACTGCCTTCTATGATCAAAGTCGTCAGCAGCTGAGGATATCGAGCTATACCGACGACAACGTTCCTTTGGGGATGGTAAAGTACAGACACACTGGTCATGGAAGAGGGGAGGTCCCCGTTACTGGACCTGGAATCCAGCATCAGCCGGTTCTACAGAAGCAATCGCATGAAAACCAGGCTGCAGCAAAGGATGGTATTCTTGATCCAGAACACTCGGATGTGGGCCGGTTCTCACGGTGGCAAAAGACACAGCTGCCTTCTGAGGACGACTCTGGCACTAATCAGGAATCGCTACCTTCTGAGGACGGCTCTGGCACTAATCGGGAATCATTCTCAGCTCTGACCATGCAAGGCGCGAGTCGATGCTTGTATCTCGCGCCTCCTAATCGCGACCTATACCTGAGCTCGAACCACCGAGACTGCGAATCACGCACGACCTTGTTCAACAATCGCATCAGTAACGACAGGAACGACAGCCATAGCAATAACTACAGTAGCAAGGTTGACCCAACTCGAAAAAGTCCGTCCACATCGATTGCTGTCAGACCGTCACCACCACCACCACCACCACCGCCACAGCACAACAGCAAGGTTATCCCAACCAGTTCAGGAAGGTGGCCTTCGATTTCCGCGCTGGAGATAGTTATTCTGAAGACCACAGCTGTCACTAGCGCTTGTTCTCTTGCTATGGCAGGATCTGATTGCAGCTGCGAGGAAGCAGGGGCGACGATCCTCAGTTCATCTAGCCTGCGCACCCCACATCGCCTGTCATCCTCGTGTTCAGTCCCCTCGCTAAGTCTTCACGGCTCCAACTTTTCCCATTTTTCAGCCCACAAGCCTAGCTGTGCATTCCCCTCGCAGGCCAATGTGTCTGAGGGCCGGATGACGAGCAGGCAAGCGTCCTTGACCTCGACCAATGCACTATCAAGCCCTCTACCATGCAAGAACGAAGCTATCTCTGCATCTATCCAAGTGCCTGGAAATAGATCGTCGGTACCTCCACGTCTCGTTCCTTCCTATGCTACCCCTCCACCTCCACCGCGGCCTCCGCGGAGGCGGCCCGCTCCTTCTCGACCCTCCAAGAATGCGTATTCTCTAGACAGCAACGAAAGTATAAGACCAATCTTCGCATCGCTGGACTTGAAAGGCAACAAGGAAAGTGAATCGATGTCCACTTTCGATCAGGCATCCTCGCTAGCAAGACTTTCCCATTCGATGTCCGTTCCGTCAAACTCCCAGGGGGCTCAGGGTATAGGCCAGGGCTTGGATCTCGGTCAGGGACGCAACGCGCCGGCTCACGCTTCAGAAGGTGACATGAATGGGTTAACGAGGTTGGGAAGAACAATGCGAGGACAAGATTCAGAGCAAAAGCAGCAGACCAGGCAGGTACACGATCCAACGACAGCAGGTCGTTATATGGGCAGACTCTCATTGCTCCTGTTGACAGCCTCGGATGTTGAAGACGTGGTGGATGCTGACATAGAATCTGTGCTATCGGATGAGAGTTTCTGTTACTTTTAGAAAGAAAGAAAAAAGCGGTTGCAGTGTCAAGGAGCCGAATAAAACTTGTATTCAGCATTCAATCCGTAGTACCTGTCCACGCACCCGTCTCAATTTTTGGCAAAGGAGGCGGAGTCAGTAAGGAATTAGGGGAAACAAGCACGAAAAAGGGAGAAAGCACACAATGCATGTTGGTGCATGGTCGTTAGAGTATGCATTGCTTTCTTTTTTTTTACCTCTCTTTAAAGAAGAGAGCGCTGCGCGGTTCTTAGTTACGAAATCAACTAGCCACCCATCACAGAAAAGCTCAGAGAGGTAAACGAGTGCCTTTAGCGATGAGTCCCTAGGCGACGAACGCGTCTTATGATGGATGCAGGGGGCTCTTGGGCGCAACGAAACTTTATTTCCCCCTGGAACGACTGATTCGATCTTAACCTATGAACCCAATAGAAACTCGTCTCAGTTCGTACAGAGGTCGACGCGGCCGTGGCTCGTGCGTAGATAGCCGAGATGGAGATCAAGCAAGTCAAGAACGAATATATTAAAAGAACCACGAGATCGCGTCCCTGGAGAACAAGCTGGCGAGGGCCGAGAAGGAGCCTTTGAGAGACGATGTAATTGATAAACGCGCAGCGGGACGGACACCCGGTAACAACACATTCCAACAGGATTTGTAACCGTTCCTCAATTGATTGCACGGCAAGTGCTGTCTCCCAGATGCCGGCTAGGGTTTACAGGCAGATTTGCATCCCCATCGCGTTTTATGACCTTTTTGCTAGAGAAATGACGATGGTTACTTCCTCGCTTGGTTATGGTCCTTTCGACGGAGGAAGGAAGGAAGGAAGGAAGGAGGCGCAAGCGCACAGGATACGGCTGCAATTGTTATCGTCATTGTTTACACAAGGATGAGCCATTGGCCCACACAATCCACTGCAGATTATAATTACACGCCATGCACACACACACGCATCGCGTTGTCGTCGTCTTTGTCATCATGGCAGAGGTACAAGTGCGTGCAGTCGGCAGTAGTTATGGGGTCCAACTGCTGTCCACCATCGCCACTCCTCACAAATACCCCCTTCCCCTTCGCCTGCCCCTGCCTCTGCCCCTGCCCCGGATAGTTACTTCTACTGCTGCTTCCTAAGCTCACGATACTCGCCCCCCCCCCCCCCCCCCCTTTTTTTTCCTTCAGACCAGGCCCTCTTTCAAAGTGCTGATCAGCCCCTGAGCCCATCCCATCCGCTTGACCTGCGGTCTGCAGCACATTTCTTCCCCGCACAAACCATTACCTTCTGCTCATCTTTGGTTAGATTGTTAACGCATAGCCCTGCTCCAACAGCTTCATTACCTCATTCTTCTGCCATTTTCCTCCATTCTCCACCACACTCAGGAACAGGTGCTATATCAACACCGGCACCCCACTATTTTTTTTTCCTTTTTCTTAACTAACCAGCTCTTGATCCCATTCCCCGCAATTAGATCTGTTCCTTCATCTTTTCACTCCTTCATTTTTTTTTTCCTTCTCCCTGTGGACACTGCACTGCACCCCGTGGTTGAATTAAACATCGCAAACACCGAAGAGCATCACCGGTTCTGCTCACCGCCCCTGTTTTTTTTTTTGTAGCCCACCCCCTTTTTTCCTTACTATTTCTTTACGACAAACTCCATCCTTTCACTCTTCACCTTTCGCCTTCTCACTACTCACCCACCTACCCTCCGTCTTTGCACATATCCCACCACCCACAATGTCAACAGCACAGGTCATTGCCCCAGCACCGATGGCAGGGAGCCCCAGGAGGGGACTGTCCACGATTAGAACGATCTTCAGCACCAATACCCTGAAACGCCATAGCATCGCGCAGTTCCCCTCAGACCGCGCCTCAGCTACGCCTACGACCCCGTCGTTCGCGTCAAGCATAGTCAAGAGCCCCTCAAGCATGTCTTCGCTCTTTCCCACAAGCAATCCCCGGCGGTCAATGGACAAGGCTGCGGAACGGGATTGGAAGGAGCAGGCCAAGCAGGTCTTCCAGTTGAGCACGATCAATGACCAGGGCAACTTCTTGCCCCCACCACCGCTCGAGAAGGGCATCAAGGAGGACTTGGACGATGTATTGGAGGAAGATTTCTTTGCGACGATCATCAGCACTCCCCCAGAGAAGGTCCGGACTTTCCTGTCGACAGAGTCGACTATCAGCCCCGGCATGTTCTCGTTGCCGTCGAGCAAGATCAAGCGAAACACCATCCCCGCGTTCTCGTCCCCGCCCCCCTCCCCAACTTCGACTGCGCGGCCATACCAGGATGATACTATCGAGCACAACAGCAGCAGCAGCAACAACAACAACAACAACAACAACAATAGCAGTATGAGCGACAACAAAATGAGCACAAGGCCGAGGTCCGAACACACATTTTCAGATGTGGATATTACTACAGCATCTTCACCTTCTATTCCTGCGGATACCATCGCAACACCTGCATCGACCCCGCCTGCCGCCCCCTCCATAGACGCATACTTTGCACCCTCGCCTCCGGGCACGCCACGTCCACGCCAGCTTCGCCCTCAATCAATCTCAAATTCACCAGAGCCACAAGAACATGGGGCGACCCAGGTCAAGAGCAACGACCAGGGCAACAACAGCAACAGCAACAGCAATAACAGTAACAATATCCGGAGCAAGACTCGGGCCCAGCTCTCGTTCCTGACTGGCGCTGCGCGTGACGAAGACATCCTCGCGGACCTGCTCTCGGATTCACTCGAGTCGCTTCTATCGTCGTCCCCGTCTGATCTGATGATGGGATCGGAGGAGAGCTCGGATTTGTCGCCTTCGCCAGAGGTGTCATCATTATCGTCGCCGTCGGTCCAAAAGGAAAAGATCCGAAGACTGAACGCACAAAGGCTTCGAGCGCAAAATAATTTCAGAGGAGAGCTGCGTGTATAGGGCCATGGATGCTTTGTATCCTTGACTATATTTCCACTACAACTGTAGCGCGCGCTACCTTTATGTACAAAGACACACACACACACATACCTTTCCTTATTCTTTTATTCGTATATATCTCTATATCCTATCCTGTCCTATCATATATTCCTATATTACTATATATCCTTAATGAATAGCGCTTTACTATCGGGCAACGGGCTTTTGCTGCAGTAACTAAACATGAATATCATGGGTTCGCGCCCATCCGAGGAGGACGGGTTTACCATTTTGGACTACCATTATTTTATGGGTGCATACATTTGAGTTGACTCAGGCGTCATTTGAGTGGACATTAAAGCCGGTCAACCCATTTGTTTTCACCCATAATATATCCGTTCACTGATTTTCAGCCGTTTAAAGCAATGCTTTATTTCGTTTGAGTGCGTTTGAGCATGTCTTTATCGCACAGAAATGGCTCGCCAACCATTTTAGTGTTTCTTTTTCTTCTTACTCCCTGCCGGCACGAAAGTCTCTTTGCTATTACTGTAGGTAAAGGCAATAGCGATGAAGAAAAAAGAATTTCTTCCGCAGTGGATGTCTCTTTGTGGACCTCATGTTCACTGTGTTCTTATCGTTTATTCTTGTCTTCTCCACGAGGAACCGGGTTTGTCAAATCGCAATCGCTTGCACGCACTGGCCGAGGTGATATTAGTATAGAGACAACGTTCTTGTCCTTTCATAGAATGGTGGCGCTGCGTCCGCCGCCTCTTCTCTGCTGCAGTAAATATGAACCATGCAGCACAACAAACGCACATCGACGCAAACTTTATTGGCAGTGTTCGCTTGGGCTGAGTCGCGTGTGGTAGGTGCGCTATTTGTTTGCACTCCTTTTTTAAGGCTGTTACGAAACCACGCGAACAGAACATTAGCAACCTTCAACAACCTTCAACAACCTTCAACGTGAAATTGGTGGTAACATGTTCGCGACCATGCGCTTTTGTTGTTAAAGGTACACTCATCGCTGGCAAAGGCGATGTTGATTTTAGTTGGGCTCATGGTGAACAGCGTTGAATGACGATTCCTTTTTCTCTGATGAGCCGTGCGCGTTGTTTGCTCACTCCCAGGCACATGCTCACTACCGTCTCGTTCCCCATAGTCCACCCCCCAGTTCCCAGCGGCCATATGAGCCCTCCGTCTCCATAGACCCCTTGCTACCGACTCAGCCACCGACCACGCGGCACATTTTAAGCTCGACTTTGTTTTATCTCTTTCTTTCCTTCTTACGCGTTCCTTCTTCCCCCTTCCTCACCTCCCCCACCTCTACCACACTCTTCCCCACTCTTCCTCACGCGCTCTACGGCAAGTTTCTTTCCAGTTACGTATGATATAAGCTTTTTTTCTTTACTCTTCACCTTCCACTCTCTACTCTCCACCCCATACCTCTTCTCTTCACTGACACAACCTCGCCTTTCGTCCTTTACCCAGTCCCATTCTCCTCCACCCACTCCCACCCTCCTCCTTCCCACTCCCACCTCTTGTGCTCACTCTCGTCAGCAGCCTTCCTCCACACGCACTCTCGCCAGCAACCCTCCTCCACATGCACTCTCGTCAGCAAGCCCACTCCACTACTCCCACTCCACTACTCCCACTCCACTACTCTCTCTCCACCACTCCCTAGATAGAAAATATAGAGGTCCCAGAAGTTTTGACTTCGATCCTGGGACTGTAACCCCTCATCTTTGCGTGCCCTCGGCAATATAGAGGTCCCAGGAGTTTGGACTTCGATCTTGGGACTGTAACCCCTCACCTTTGCGTGCCCTCGGCAATATAGAGGTCCCAGGAGTTTTGACTTCGATCCTGGGACTGCAACCCCCCACTCTTGCGTGCCCTCGGCAATATAGAGGTCCCAGGAGTTTTGACTTCGATCCTGGAACTGTAACCCCTCACTAATTGCGTGCCCTCGGCAACCCATCCCAGGTTTTCAACCTGTGGATTATACCCGCTCCCCAGAGGGTTTATTAACCCTAGTAGTGCATTTGGGCCGGGAGCACCAAATTTCCCCACTCCCCTACTCCCCTCAGGTTATCATCACCTCTGGTCGTGCCTTCGGGCCAAGGAGCTTCGCCTTTTCTTCACGCAAAAACAAAAGAGTTCCTGAGAATGTTTCTGAACCCATTTTTTTATCCACTTGGTCTCTTTGGGCTTTGTGCGGTTTTTTTTCGGAGTACGATGACTTGTAACCTGCCCGTGGTGTACTCTGCACAACCTTAGCAACCAAGGTTGACTGATAGCAAGTTGAGCCGATGGTGCCGATAGGAGGAATAACAGACAATGCAATAAAGAATGGCCCCTTCAAACAATCTATTTGAGTGACTTTATGGTGGCAATGACATACAAACGAGTAAACGAAGGCGCATCTATCTGCATGCTGTGCTAGTAATTTGGATCACGATCTCTTTGCTGCGATCTCCAGGGCAATGCAAAGAAGTCAACTTTATTTGGCAACGCCGGTACGACGGCCTACTTCGACGGGTCCTTGCAAGCCCAACTTGAATACCGCATATCGTCTTATGCATGGAATGGTATAATGCAAGCGCTTCAGCCTAGACGAAAACGCAAACGCGAACTAGCGATATGTCCTTGCCAGCTAAAAAGGAAACCAGCTTTGATCTTGAACACTGGAAGTATCAGGCTAGAGTCGACAACGGACGATGTACAAAGATAATCTCGCGGATGCAGATCAGCATATTTCCTCAAGCAGGGCACATCAAACGATGCAGCCATCGCCTGCTTGTTTACTTAAAGTGCTGCTTTGGCGCCAGCACGCCGGTTAACTATGGTGTCTGGGGCCTTAAAGATTCAGCGCTGCTCGCATTAAACCATCCAGCTCATGTAAAAAACCAGAGGTCAACTTCAATCACGAAGATCAATCGCACACTAGGCGGTTCGAAAGGTTGTATTCCTCAAGCAGGCGTCTTTTTTCTTTTTTATTAGCATAAAGGCTGGCGAGTTGACCGTGCAACTCAGGTCAGCTCATTTTCACCCTTTAGTATCCACTCAAATGACGCCTGAGTCAACTCAAATGGTGCCTGCGCCCAAAAATAAAGACAGCCTGGATCATCCATCCCATTTCTCACTCCTACACTCCCAACTCACTCCCATACTCCATTTATTCGCTTCCATAGGCACCACCAAGCTCAGCATCAGCCTGATCTTCTTCGCCTGGGGTAAGTGTAGCTCTGTTGATGCATGCCTCCTTGAAGTGGCAGAACATGGTGCTGGTACGGTTTGATCCATATCTTCGATGAAGGATAAGGTGCATGTCTCCTCTTTCAATCTCGCTGCTCAATGGCGTATGATCATCGCAGCCGAATAATATTTGTTGCATCCCTTTGCAAAGGACTGTCTCAGCTGCAGATAGTGCAACACTTCGCATGGCTGCATGAGGTGAGAGGTACAGAGATCGAGCAGGGGAGAAAGGCCGTTTGCGCCGTTTGTTTTGAGTGGGCCTTTTATTTTTATTTTTGTGCATACGCCTTGCTGACCCGAGTTGCCCGGTCAACTCAAATGTATACACCCTTATTTTATACATGCTGCGCGTAATGAACAGGGCAGAGTCCCCCCTCTATTTGAGAGATCAGCCAAACCAATCCCCAGCGAAAGGTATATGTTTATCTTGGTATAGCCTGTACTCCAGTGTGCTTGAATTGGGGAAATAGAAAATAATAAACGTTCGATCGCGACTGGCAGTGGAGGTGGTGGAGATGGTCACGGCAGAGTTTACTATTTACTGAGGGGCCACCAAGTTTTCGCGCTGATGTCCCAGACGACAAACGGACGGGAGAAGGGGATAAGTTCATATCGTTTTGAAGAGAGGGACGCATCCTCGGGCACTTTACTTGATATCCACCGTATGAATCGTACATACGCATAGACTAGACTGGCATCTATAGCAGAACAAACAGGAATGTTTTATATATTTCAAACAAGCATTCTACACAAAGCATCGCCATCGAGCGACCCCACCATAAACATATAAAGCTCGTCGCCTTTTTTCACTTTTTCCTTTCTCACTCTGTGCCATTATCGTGCTCGAGAGGTGATTGACCAGGCCTGGGGAAGAAAGTCAATAGATCGACGCCCGTCCCGCCTGCAAGGCCACTATTCCGCCGTCTCGCAGCAATTGACTGTGCCACAGTATTGCTAGGACTGTGTCGATGTCCGTAAAGCCCTCCCTGTGCAAGGTCTTGGTTCCCGCTCGGTGGAGGTGTCCTGATCCCCAACGGTGCTGCTGATGATCCCTCAAGACCCTGCTGTGGACCCTGCGGGGTGTGTGGCAAGGCGCCGGTAGCGACCAGTGGTGGTTTTTCCTTTACAACTGATGCCGCTTCCCATGTTGTGTTCTCCGGATTCTCTCTCAATACCTCTGTCGTCCTGTCCGCGGCCGTGTTGATATCGCTCCGGAAGCCAGGTGCGGACTGTTGAGGCGGTGCCGAAAGAGACGAAGGCTCCATGGGCTCATGAAGACCGCTCGAGGGTCTCGTCAATCGGTTCGACCCCAGCGATGACTCCTTGATCCCCTTCTTGACCAGAAACGGATTCCCGTCATCCGTATGGTCATTCTCATCTGTCGCGACCACGACCGTGGCACCCGAGGGTGATCTGTCCGGCGAAGGAGTCGATGCCGCGGTCTGGAACTTGACCAGCGGGGAACTCGTCATTGGAGAATACGACGCCATAAGGCCGATACCAGCTCCGGCTCCGGCTCCGACTCCGGCTCCTGAACTTGCTGGCCCTGTCACTGGTGAGGCACCCGTCGTTGCTGATGATGGGGACTTCAGGTTCAAAAACAACGGCTCTCCAAACATGGCCTGCTGTTGAACCGTTGGCGACGGTGATGGCGAGGCGTGTCTGCTGCCAACATTTAAAGTTCGTGGTGGCGGACGCGTCGGACTCGACGCTAGTAACAGAATCGTCCGTGCCGCCTGCGTATCCGAAGGACCTCCCTCTCCCTCCTCCTCCTCCTCTGCTTCTCCATCCTCTTCCTGCTTATCCTGGCTGCGCATAGTCGGGCTAGAAGTCATAACTGGTGATGCCGGAGTTGAATATGTCGTTGACATGGGCCGATCTCTTCCAGGTGTCGCGTCTCGAAATAAGGGTCCCGCAGTCCCGAACCCACCTAACCCCGGTATCTGCAACTGCTGCTGCTGAGGCATATACGCATATGCGTGCTTGGGTCGTGGAGAGGTTGAGGGTGAAGGCGACGAGGTCGCGATCTCCATCAGAGACTTCGCGGGTAAGAAGAGTTCCGAGTCCTTAAACTGAGAGAACGATGGGCGGGTTCGATAAATCCTTGGTGGCGGATTCATATCCACCTCTTCCATGTCCTCGACGTCATCTTCTTCCTCCTCGTTTTCGGCTTCGTCTGCGCCACTAATGTCTCTGAACTTCTGTTGAACAAGGACAGAATGCCCTTCGTAGTCCGGATACTCTTTCCGGGTCCGTTTGCGTTCACTTTGACGAAGCCCACTTCGACTTCCTGGTCTGCTGCTGCTCGTGATGATGGTGCTGCGACTAGAAGGGGAGCGCGTGCGCTTGTAGCCAGGATGGGACGCCGAGGAGAGGCCTGGGACTGTTGTTTCGAGGAGGGATTCGACCTCTTGGAGGGTGTATTTGGACCAGCCGCGACGGATCTTGAGGACCGCGTATTCGAGTCGCGTACGGAGTCGTCGCGATACCTTTGTAAGAGAAAGCAGTCCAGAATGAAATCATGGTCATTCTCATTGAGCATTGAAGCGCGTTTGTCAACCCAAGGAAAAGCAGGAGGAGGAGGGAATACCTTGAGGATCTTGCCGCGCTGAATGACATGTGCAATCATCTGTTCCTTACTTCTTTGGCGTTGTTGCTGTGCTGTCGCTGTCGCTGTCGCGGTCGAGTCCAGGGTGTGTGTAGCGAGCGTGTCATTTGACACCCCCGCCGCGCTCTGGGCCGTGTTCAGAGTGCCTTCAATGGGTCCCTGTGGCGGCAATTGGTCCAGTAGCGGTAAAGAGAACACAGCAATAGTATCTGTAGTGGAGTCGCCACCTCCTGTGGTTGCGTTGGTGTGGGGGAGGGCGTTGCTGGCAGAGGAGTTCAACACGGCATGGTCATTGAATGATGCTGCAGGTGCGACATGGACATGAGGGGAGCCCATGGCGAGAACAGGACCTTCAGTAGTGCTGGTACTCGGAAAAACAGCCACAAGTTCAGGATTGGACTTGATATCGAGCGGGTTGTGGGTCGTTGGGGTCATATTCATGAACGAAAAAACCGAGTGCAGTGCGCTTAGTTTGGATGGGAAGTGGTGGTCTAGAGTCTATCAGAGGTCTCTATTGACGTTTAGTGGTATCCAGTGATGTTTAACACTGTCTATGAAGCAAAGTCGGGTTGTTCGAAGCGGATAATTGAAGAGGACGAGGAAGAAGAACGAAGGAAGCGAGTGGGGAAGAAAGGGATATATATTCAAATATCAGCCAGCATACAAAATCCTTCATCCCTCAATGATGTGCACGGCCCATTGCTGAACAAAGACATCACTCCCCCCTTCGCCCAACCTGAGCACCGAGGAGATGGTAACGCCACCATCCTTGTGCACCATGGATGTATACCAGCATTTTTGCCGGGGATAGTCCCTATCGGCATGCATCCCGAGGGTGCTTCTTCGGTTCACATCTCAGTCTGTCCTCTTCTGCCGACCCAACGACGGTTATGGCGGTTCAACGTTGTCTTTTCTTTTTTATTTACAAAGGCGTGTTCGTATTGTTGCTCTCCTCGAAAGACTCTGTCTCCCCTGTTGGTGACTATTCAGCTCTTTAGCAATTGGCCTCGGCTCTCGTCGTCGTTTATGCGGTCTTTCCAACAACGGGATAGCGCTTCTCGAAGAACACGACCCAGTCATTCAGCGTCTTGAGCTAGTTGGACAGGTTTATCAATTGAAATAGAGAGAGAACGCGTTAACGACCGAAGAAATGCTTAGAAAACAGCATAATCTGCTTTATCCTTGCTTCCTGTGCCAAAATTGAGATTACCTCCGTTTCGTTCAAGTCGCTGTAGTCGGCAATGCAGTCTTCGGGCTTCAGAGAGCTCTTTCCGAGAGCCTAGGGATTACGATAGCAATAGACGCGTGTAAAAGAAAAGAAACCGCTGTGTCAACAGAGCATCCTGTAGATGCGCCTTCTTCATTCCACATCAATTGAGTACGACCACATTGTGCGTACCTTCGAGGCGTCCTTTCCGGCAAAGCAGTGGTAGCCAGCTCCGGGGCCATACATTTCCTTCTTGGAGGAGACGTCAAAGACAGCACCCTTGATGGCGACATAGATGGGAGCGTCGGCGTTGGTGCCGTCGTGCTTTGCGAGTTCCTCGGCGGTGAAGATGCGGGACATGGTGAGGATCTGCTGCGGTTGATGTTGAGGGGAATGAGTGAATCGAGTGGAGAGAAGAGAAAGAGAAGAGAGAGAGATGGAGGAGGGGAAAGTATGAAAAGTAGGCTAGGTTCAGGGCACGGAAATGTACATCCCATGTCCATGTGCAAGTCCGAGCCAATTTGCTCCAATTGCTCATCCAAAAGTGACAAAAGCCACTCCACGCGCCGGGGCTGCATCAAAGGGCGCGTGCTACTGGCGGCCCTCTTGTTTCTTTCTTCTTTACTACTTCCCTGCTTATCAACCAGATATCACACCCACGCAACCATGACCAGCTCACGCTCCACTGACAGCAAACTTCTCAATAACAAGGCCGCAACAAGCATCAACCAGACCAATGCCCTATGTGGGATTATCCATCCAGCCAAGAAAGCCCTGCAAGTAACGGTGGAGTGTGAGGACCTGCAAGTGAGGCTGCAGTGTGATGGCCTGCAAGTGAAGGTGGAGTATGAGGCATGGACGGATGAAGAGGATGACGATGAGGCGGATATCGATAGCGATGAGGACGAAGATACTGATGAGGACGAAGATATTGATGAAGACGAAGATACGGATGAGGGTACGGACGGGAATGAATATACGGACCTCGATAGCGAAGAAGATGACGAAGAAGAGAATGAAAGCACAGTAACATCAATCTCACAACCTGCGATTGACTTTAAGACCGAAGCTCCCGAGCTTGCTCAGTGGGACCACTTTCATGCCCCGGTCGCACAAAAACTTCTTTCCCGCATCCCTTTCGAGGTTTGGGAGATGATCCTCAGTCACGTTCCACCCTGTCGTCTTGCACGGCTTCTTCCTGTCTCCAAGGGTTGGAAATCAATGATCGAGAACCTCATACTCTGGAAGGACATCGCCACCAACTGCCACATCGGCGACTCTGCTTTTCCAGCATCCAACCACATGCAGCCTGTCCTTGGCCACATGGTCGTCATCTGTGACCTGTGTCTTCAAAGGAGCTACCAATTCGGGAGTGATATCCCACTTCCTGTTCGGAGACCAGATCTGCTGGGCCTGACCTGGATGTGCAAAAACTGTCGCCGATGGTACAGGGCCGCACACCCCGAGGTGATGTCCGACCTCACAAGAGCATCGCAGGATTTGGACGTATACGAGCAAGGGCCATGCGTGAAAGTGACCCGGGCACAAACCTACAGACGTTCACACTGGCAGCCCGAGCGATTGGATGACTTGAATGATTTTGACGGCTATGGCGAGAATGACGAGGACTACGAGGATGATGAGGCCTACGAAGATGATGAGGACTACGAGGGCGATGAGAACTACGAAGACTACGAGGACTACGGGGACTACGAAGATTCCAAAGACTACGGCAGCGAGGTCTTGGATTCGGACCAGGAGCACTACTACCAGCCGGGCGAATGGCGTCCGACTTGGAGGAACCGTGGTGCGGACGAATATAGTTGGTTGAATCAGGTCCTTTGTCGGGGTCGAGAACGTATGCTTAGAACTATGCTCGCCATCTACGGACTGGAAATCCGTCCAGGTTCTCGTCTCTGCACAGATTTCATTGAGGGTACGCCTTACGACCCCGATAAGATCGTAAAGACGATGCGGGAATTGACTTGGTACTTCAAGCACACTAATTATCCGCGACACAACAGGTTTGGACAGGAGAAGGCCAAGATAAGGGCGATCGCCGCCTGGTGTGAGGAATTCGAGAGCATGGAAGGGCTTGATAGCATACCAGAATACAAGGCTCACAAAAACGCGCCTCCAGAACCGTTATGGCCAATGGTCGACCTCGCGTTCGGTGTGCTTACGAAGTATTGGGAAAAGCAATATCGCATAGAGGAGGCTCATGCAGAGTTTGGGGCTCAGGTAGCAGAGGCAATGATCATGACAGAGGACAGCTCTGACGAGGACGACGAGGATGAAGAGGACGACGACGACGATGATGACGAGGACAATGACTCGCAATTGGAGACCGAGGACGATGGCTCGCAGCGGGAGACTGAGGACGACTCTGATGAAACAGGCTCGGGAGCTGAGGACCCGTATGATGACTTGGACCCGAACCCGGGCACGAAGTGGGATGACTGGGATGACGACGAGGACGAGGAGGTGTATTCGTCGGAGGAGTATGAAAGCGGCGAGCCCAGTGCGTGGGAACTGATGTCGCAGGCGGTTCGGGATAAGATGCGCAGGGCACTAACGCGCAACTTTGACTTCACGATCGACTGTGCGGTCGAGGCGACCGATGGCCAGTAGGAGTGAACAAGGACATTACTTTCCACATGACATGTTAGCTGTGCTGAAAGAAATAAAGTGCGCGTGATTTTTACAAAACTGTACCTGCTCAGCTTTTTTAACATATTCTATTCTTTGCTCTTCCTACGACCATTCACCATAATAGACACAACCATGACAGGCATACTCCCCAGCGACGAAAAAGCAGACAACGCCGCAGCAACACCCAACCAGACCGACACTGCGCACGAGACTCACCCACTTGCCAAGCAAAGCCTAGCAAGAAAGGAGCTGGATGAGGATACCGAGGTCGATATGGATGAGAATGTGGATGTGATAGAAATCGGCAAAGGGCAGGAAAATCCAGATGTCGTCGACGATGACATTGATATGGCCCAGGATAAAAAGGACGACAATGCAGAAACGACCCCAGAAGCCGGTGCTCCACCTGCTCCCGACTTCACGACTGAACCCCCCGAGGTCGCTCAGTGGGATGTCCTTCGAGAACCAGTTCCACAAATCATCGTCTCCAGTATCCCCATCGAGGTCTGGGCAATGATCCTCAGTCATGTCCCCCCCTGTCGACTTGCACGAATGTTCACCATCTCCAAGAACTGGAAATCAATGATCGAACAACTCCCGCTCTGGAAAGAAATCGTCATCAACTGCAATCTTGTCGATATTTCGCGGCCCGTGCCCAGCTATATGAAGCTCGTCCTCGGATGTATGGTCGTGATCTGCGATCTGTGCCTCCAAAGAAGTTCCCAGCTCGGCGTTGATCTCCCCCTGCCGCTCCGAAGACCCGATCTGTTGGCTCTCATTTGGATGTGCAAGAAGTGTCGCCGATGGTACGGGGCTATGCACCCAGAAGTGATGTCCGATCCCACAAGAGCGCACATGGATTCTGATGTCTACGAGCAAGGGCCCTATGAAAAGATCCAGCCGAGACGTTCTTACAGACGATATGATCGCTTTGACGACTACTACAGCGAAACCGATTCCGACGACTCTGTATACTGCTACGAGGTAGGCGACCTGCGTCCGACCTGGAGGAACCGGTCCGCGGACGGACACAGTTGGTTGAACCTGGTACTCTCCCGCGGTCGGGAGCGGTTGCTCATAAACCCTGCTCGGCCTGTACGGACTCAAGCTACGCAGTGACTCTCGACTCTGCATGGATTTTATAAACGGCACACGCTACAACCCCGACAAGCTCGTGGTGACCATGCGGGAGATGGCTTGGTTCTTTGAGCACACCGAGTACCCCGTGTACAATCAGCAGGGCTCCGAGACCGCCAAGGCCAAGGCGCTCACGGACTGGACGTGCTCGTTGTTGGAGAAGTATGGCGATCAAACCGCGGAGGCGTACAAGACCGTGGAGAACGCGCCGCCAGAGTCACTGTGGCCGATGATCGAATTTGCGTTGGCCGAGAATGTCAAGTTTGAGGAGAAAAAGGGGGTGATGCTAAAGGAGGTAGAGGAACGAAGGGTGCGTGAGAAGGAGGAGGAGGAGCTGTGGAAGAAAGAGCGTGAACAGCGACGAAAGGAACGAGAGCAACGAGCACTGGAGCGAAAGCAGAGAGAAAAGGAGCGGGAGAAGCAGAAAAAAGAGCGCGAAGCGGCGAAGAAGACAAGCACTACAATCAAGAAGGACGCTGAACCGGTTGGGAATGTCGATGGAGGTGAGGGTGAGGAGGCCGGACGCAGATCAGGGACTGAGAAGGAACAGGTGGATGAGGCGAGACAGAGCATCGACGCCGACGATGATGGTGCGGAGGAGGATTACCTGGATGAAGTATCAGATCTTGACGAGGAGTATTGGGGCGACGAATGGACTGGCGAGTCGGATGAGGCCTCCTATGAAGAAGACTACGATGAGATCAGCCTGGAGGCGCGCATGGCTCGAACATGGATGCAGGGCGCGCTCATGCGTAAGTTCAACTTCAAGATCGACTGTGCGGTCATGCCGAACGATGGTTAGGTCCTATCCAGGAGGAGAAGCGACCTTCGCTGCTTGACAGCAGCTATTTGCAATACGACGAGTCGTATTGTGGAGGGAGACATTCCTTTACGTTTTTTTTTCTTTTTTTCTTTCTATCTTTCACCTGCTTAATCCGAACGTTGCGAGTCAGTTGCAGTCTTTGCTTCAGTCGCCACAGGCACCCTCTTCAAAATAAAGCGGATCAAACATCCTGAACCGTCCATCTTGTGTAACGCGCCCTTGGTTTCTATGCACAGTGCGCGCCCATTTTCTGTCAGTCCTTTAATCTGTCCTCTGGTTAGCTGGAGGCGGAACAGTGCTGGAGACGCGTTTTCTATTTCCTTTTCTTCGCTCTCCACTCTTCCCAACACATCGCATGACCATGGGAGATTTGCTCCCCAAAAACAACACAGGAACAACGACCCTACAATCAACTCCTCAGCTTGTCTCCGAATTCAAGGCCGAGTCCCCCGAAGTCTACTATGATATGCACGCAGATATGCCTATGGCGAATGAGATTACGCTCTGGGTCCACAGATTGGCGGGGCGGTATGCCAAAGATGCAGTGAAGATGTATAAGTCTTTGGAGGGGGGCTCCACCAGAGTCGCTGTGGCCCGTGTTTAAATACTAATTCAAAGTGAACGCCAAATATCAGACGATGAGGGACATCGAGTTGAAGGAGCGAGAACAGAGACGAGAGGAGCAAGAACAAAGATGACAGGAATGCATGAAGAAATCAAGGCAAAGCAGGGCTTCCAGAACAAGCAGCGACCGAGGATGCCGATGGTGATTACGACGATAATGATGATAATGAGGACGAGATTATTTCCAATGACATGGACACGGATAGAGATTCTTGTGGAGATGATGAATACGACCGAGAAGTGCTCCGGGCCATAACGTGGCTTCTGGAGGTTCTTTTTTTGCGCAAGTCCAAGTTCAATATAGATTATTCCGTCAGGGCGAAATGATGGCTAGAAAGTGCCGAAGGAAGGACCAAGAAGTCGGTCTTTGGCGGAAAAAAAATAAAAATACAATGCTCCGCTCATTTCAAGAGCCATTCATAACTAGGTCCCTATACAAACCACTGTTGAACTCCCTCGCAGCCTTTGGTTTGGCCTTACTAGTCGTTACAGATTGTTCCGTCCTTAAAAACATATCTGGACAGTCTATTTTTTTTTTTTTTTTTTACTTTTTTTTTTGTGCAACGTTGCGCGCGATACAGACCCCGCGGACTTCGATCGAAAAAAAAAAAAGGCTACAATATCTTGATTTTTTATTATCTCTGCTCGAATAAATAGGACATAAATGACGATGACGATGGCGATGGCGAAAACGATGAAGATGGAGATGGGGATGGAGATGGAAGAGTGCAGAATACAATAATGAACAAATTGTTGATACATAATTTTTTTTTAAAAAAAAGAAAGAATAAGTACAGTGTTACAAAAAAACAAAAAAAAAAAAAAAACGCGCTCGCAGAGCGCGTCATTGGTATTCAATAACAGACAAAAAGGAAAACCCAGAATACAGACACGCCTGCAGTAGTATCCTTGGTGCCGCTGGTGCTGCTAACGATGGTAGCAGCAGCAGCGGTGACCGCTTAGACGGCGGCCACGGCAGAGGTCGAGCAAGTGTGTCGAACTCGATTTTAGGATCCTAAAGATCCTTGCCGTGCGAAGTAGATATCGGTTGCGAGAAAACCACAGAGGTGACCGTCGCCGATTGTAATGACCGGTGGTTATTCGGATCTGTAATCCGTGCTGCCGTTGCTGTCGCTATCGCGGTTATGGGGCGGTTGTGATTGTTGCTATGGGCACTATCGTCCGATGATGGCGAGAGCTGCGCTCCAGATCCCTGCTGCTGCAGTAGCTGTTGTTGCTGCTTTACACTCTCATGATGGTGGTGATGATGGTGCTGATGATGGTGATGCAGATGGTGCTCCGGAGTCGGTGAAGAAGACTGTTGATGGAACTGGGTCCGGATATCGATCCGGTCGCGTCGTTGCAGGGTCGGCGAAGGTGGCGGCTCAAACATGTCCTGAGGCGTCCGTCTCCTCATCGATCGCTGCTGTCGTTGATAATAGGCCGGTTGGCCCTCAGTCAAGCTGAAGTCTGAATCGAAATCGTCCGGGGGGAACACGTTGGCACCGTTTCGGGACCAACGATTCTTCTCCACCCGAACAGTCGCTGATACCCGCGTCTTCATGAACGAAGACGAGGACGAGACTGGGGTGATCGACCTCGGAGCTCCCTGTGCGACGGTGGCGGTCTTGACTGAAGGGCTAGGGCGAAGCAGGAAGCGCTTCAGTTTCGATAGGAATTTTTCCCGCTGCTGTTGTTGTTGCTGTGGTTGTGGATCGTTACCAGAGCTCTGTTGGACTCCATGGACGTACCCTCCGAACTCTTCCTCTTCCTCATCTTCATCACTCAGTCCCTCCAGGGGAATCTGTCTCTGGTTTCTTCTACCACGGATGGTCGCTCCCATGGGGGCATAGGGCCCATCCTTGTGATAGAACATCGTCCCGTCTGCACCTTCATATCCCTGATACACATACGACGAGATCGGAGCGCTCATGCGTCTGAGAGTCCCATGAGATGGCTGCTGCTGCTGTTGTTGTTGCTGATCCTTCTTCTGCTCCGCAAAGAATCGCTTCCGCATCGAGGACGTCATCGACATCGTGCCAAGGATACTCATCCTCTTCTTGTTCACAAGCGGTTTCATGCTCCTAGTGCCATCCTCCGAGGGTAGTGCAAACGAACCAGTGTGACCCTCCGAATCAAGGGCAGATGATCGTCTGCGATGTGACCCAAACATGCTGGATAACAGGGATGAGCCCTCGGGACGACGCTGATGGGAAGCAGGGGGGCTGCAGTGCTGTTCCAGCGGTCTGGTCTCGTCCCTGTTCGGTTGGATCGCAGGCGGGCCATGATGACAATAATAATGGTGATGGATATGGTGCTCGTGAACATGTACGATCCCGCCCTGAGTCTTCAGATCCTCCGACACTGCCTGCGGGAACGTACTGTCAATCAACTTGGCCCCGCCGTCGAGCTCGTGTGTCTTCTCCACCTCCTTGCCCTTGCTTCCCCTATCGGGCGAACTGTCCAAGGCCATCAACAATGGGTGGGATACTGATCCAGCCACCCGTGGTTGCGCAGCGACTCCGAGATCACTGGATTCGCTCTGATGGTCTGTATACAATGCATGCTGAGATTTCAAAGAGAATTGGGATGGGGACTCCAATCTGTCCAGCTGTGTCGAGCGCCTTTTCTCTGCTTGTGGTGATTCCTGTACAGAGACATCGGGACGGTTGCTGCCTACCAACTTTTCCATCGTCGCCACCGAAAACGGTCTGGGTTTGTTAACCTTTGTCCTGCGAAGGTTTGCGGGCACCTTGGTGGCCATGGGGCGTGTGAGATCATTCGAAACCAGAAGCGAGCTGTTGTTGTACGGGAATCCCATCATGGAGTCCGCCGGTGGACTGTGGTTCACACCCACATAGTCGCTGCGGCCTATCGAGGGCGATCCCTGGCGTCGATTGTGCGTCTGGGCTAGGATGGGAGAGCTGCCAGATCGAAGGCCAGATCGCTCATCGATGCTGAGGCGATGCTCCCGCAACGAGGGAAGGCTATCATACGGTCCAACTGCACCGTCTCTACTCGCCGTCGAGGGCATCGGAGACGAGCTTCCGGTGCCGCGTGTGGCCATTGCCAAGAACCGCTCTTTCGTGCTCGCCCTGCGACTGGAGCTACCCGTGGCGCTGCCATCGGGTGACCGACCCTTCTGATCGTGCTCCTGCGATTCCGCAGAGAGACCCCTCGCTAACATATTCGGCCGAGGTTTGGAAGCGGTGAAAGACGAAGGAAGCTGCTGGTCTTTCTTGGCCAAGGTTTCTGGCATGATTCGGGACCAAGCATCCGAAGTCGACCTTGATCTGGATTGCGATTGTGTGGATGGCGCACTGAGCAATGAAACGGGCCGTGACCTGGACCCAGACCGTGATCTCGACCGCGACTTTGAACGCGCTGGAGATCTGGAACGAGTGTCGTACGTTGGGCTCATGTCGGGTTCGTGATTGACCACGCTATTGGATAAATGGGCACGATTACCGCTGTTACTGGGCAAAGTGGAATCATCCACAGGAGGGTTGTCATTCCTGTGTCTGTTGCTGTTCCCGTTACCGCTGTCGTTACTGTTGCTGAAGGTATTGTAGAGCTCCGTGGCCCCTGAAGTCATCGCAGAGGAGTCCCGGTTGTTGATGCCTGAGATGCGTTCGCATATCGAGTTGCGCTTCCCTCGGGCTTGTTCAGTGTCAGAGTAGAGTTTTGCGTGCAAGAGATTGGCTCCGTCGTAAAAAAATATCTGTTCGCCATCGCTGTCGGTGCTGGTATCTTGCCGCCGAAGCTTAATTCGGGCGGTATCTGCATCGTGCGAGGGACTGTCTGGACTGAGGCCATAGTTGGTCGTGGTCGTGTTGGCGATGATGGTGGTTTCTGCATTCTTATTGCTGCTGTTGCTGTTGATATGGCTGCACAGTTGTATTTGCATATGGGCCTCATGCGACTCATGTTCCTGTGAATACAGCGTGTGATCATTATTGGTATCAATGTTATTGTTATCGCTATTGTTGTTGTTGTTGTTGTTGTTGTTGTTGTTGTTGTTGTTGTTGTTGTTGTTGTTGTTGTTGTTGTTGTTGTTGTTGTTGTTGTTGGTGTGATGTGGTTTTGTATTGGAAGACAGGGAAATATCCTCTTCGTTGCTGTTAGACCGGTCTGTGTCCCTGTTGTCGTCGTCGTAGTCATCCTCAAATGAGTTCGCGTCCTCGTCGTCTGTGCTGTCCGTCCCGGCAGGTGGGCAATCGTCCATATCTTCATAGAACGTGGGAGGCTCCTCAATCTGACAAAGCGGTATGAGCGAGGCGTGATAGCGGGTCATGGTGTAGGTCCATTGATCAGGAGGTGGATAATGATCCATGCCACTCTCTCCTATTTTTGCATGCAGTTGTTTTTTGTTTGTGTTTGTTATTCGTGTTCACATTTGTATTTGCGTGTTCATTTTTCATACTCATATTAGTTTTTGGGTATCGAGTATTGAGTATTTTGTAATGCAATGGGTAATGGGTAATGGGTAACGGGTAATGGTAATGATTATTTTGTGGGTAGTGTGAATATGATAAAAAAGGGGGGTGGGGGCATGGTTGGGCCCAAGTGTTAATAAGGACAACTCAATTGCAAAGAATTCCCGCACCTTCAATAAAGTTGGTGCAAATCGTCCTCTTTCATCATCCTCTGTCAGCACACATGTAACTGCAGGGCCCGACCGAAGTCAAATGGTCAAACTTCGTCTTTCAAAAGTGCTCATGTCATGGATGGTCATGGGAGAACAATCTTCGCATCGTGTGTGTGTGTATGTGTGTGTGTATCAGCCCAAATTTGCTTACCCATCAAAGGCAGACCCGAACCGCTGTTGTGAAGGAAAGTGCTCCCTGGGGTGGGCGAGGTCACCCTCGTTGTGGATCGAGACGTGAGTTGCGAGGGCGACCCTCCATCTTCCCTGCTGCCCTGACCTGCACAGTCCATCGAGCCGCTCGCTCGTTCCTTTTCGCCCTCCCCAACTGTGTCGTCCGATAGCGCACTCGGCGAACAATCCTCCATTGACAAGGGGTGCACGCCATGCTGTTGCTGTTGCTGCTGTTGTTGCAACTTCAACTGCCGCTGATGCTGCTGTTGTTGTTTCTTGAGGGCGACGTTGATCTGAGCATGGTGAAGCTGCTGCAATTGCTGTTGCTGTTGGAGGAGTTGCTGCTTTGTCGACAGAAGAGAGGTGTGAATGGTCAGGTTTTTGGATGTCAATGGCGGAGGGGGTAAGAGCACCAGTCCAGAGGCCGCAATTGTAGACGACAGAGAGGCCGCTGTTGGGTTGCCACCGCCTCCGTGTGCCTTCTGCAACAGCTGTGCCAGTTGGCCCTGTCCCTGACTCAGTTGGTCTGGTCCTGCAAAGTATTCCGTCGTCCCGCTCGCTTTAACTCCGCCAGCTCCTGTTCCTGGCCCCTGGCCCGAGGAGGACACGGCATTGGCTTCTGGCAGTATTGAGGCCGCGTTTGTGATGGGCAGTGGTAAAGGCAGGGACATTGCGCCCATGAAGGGGGGGAGGGGAGGGAGGGGTTGCTTGGGCGAAGACGTAAAAGAACGTGTGAAACTGTGGAGGTCTTTGATGTGAAAAAGGTAAAGAAGGTAAAAGGAAGTATCAAAGAATAGAAGGAAACGAAATCAGGGCAGCGATGTAAGAGGACAGGTTTAGGATGAGGAGCGCTCAGGCAAGAGAATATCGTGGTAGTCACCAGTCCAGCGGGGGAGGCTGCAGTATCCAACACAATCCCTTAGTATCGTAATATCACAATATCAAATAAGGGGAAAGAAAGAAAACAGCGCGCGCGAAGTGATAATTCTCAGGAGAAGAAACACTGCCAGGTCACCGATAGGGCAGCTTAGAAAAGGATAAACCAATTGAGCGTATAGCGAACGCTGAGAAAGAGAGGGAGGGGGAGGAGAGAGAAAGATGTGAGAGAGAAAAGTGTGAGAGAAAGAAGGAACGATGAAAGAAGGAACGATGAAAGTCGTTGACCAAAAGAACATGTAATAAGTATCCGTTCGCTGCATGTAATACGGTGGTGTGTGTTTTCCCCATCGAGATCGGATTTTTTTGTCATCCACTCTGCTGCACATACACCACACAGACACAAACAAACACCATCGATAGACTAAAATATGACGATCTTCTTCCACAAAAAACGCGTCGAAAAAAAAGAAAAAAAAAGCACTGACACACTCCGGCAGGAGTTGCTGCTGCTGCAACAGTTCCCAGCTCTTTGTTAGTGTCCTTCGGCGAATATCCTCTTCTTCTCCTTTCACCATCCCTCCTTCGATTCCCTTTCTCTTGGAGCAACCGTTACCATGCATGGGATGTGCAGGTACAGCCTTTCATTAACAAGGAGAAGGACAAAGAAGCAAAGCAGCACTTTTCTCTACCTTTTTCTTTGTCCTTGTCCTTCTCTTTGTCTTTGTTTGTTCTTTGAACGCGCATATGACGCGTAGTTCTTCCGTTCTTTGCTTCGAAAAGGGACCATCTACTACAGATAGAAAGAGTAGTATCTGGTCAACCCCCCATTTCGAGGATTCAAAGGTCAACAGAAACGCACATAGGAACTATTAATAAAGCAATAGAAGGCCGACTCCACACCTCTTTTGTTCACCATCACTATACAGTTCGTTCTACATCTAATAGGCCTGTCTCCATGCCCTTCCTTCATTGCTTCTTTGCGTCGAATAAAAAAAAAAGAAAAAAAAAGAGTGTATCTGTTGATCTATCCTGCTCGTTCATTTTCCAATCCTAAACGCTTCATAAAAAGGTCTTCATTACCCCTGAGCGAATTGTCGGTATCCAGACTTGATCTTCGTTTCTTATTACATCATTTCGTAATGTCCGTCCGCTTCGATAGACTAGCAGCAGACGATGGTGCTCTCTTACATGCGATATCCCTTTTCTATCCTCTCCCAATTTTTTTTTAGTGTTCAGCGATTACGAGTGCTCTCTTTCCAGAACCTGGCAATGCCTCATCTCAATTAACGCATGAGCCAAGTTCATTTTGAGGCAAGAGTTGGTCTGAAGTGCAACGCAGGGAGGAAGGGATCGTCCTTCGGACGGAACTAGATTTACAGTCGGACTCAACTCAGTCCACAGAATAATGATGCCTCCTTGCTGTGCACAACCTGCAATTGAATTTTTAGTGGAGTGGTATTTACAATTGGTGTGGCATCAAACAGAATACGAAAGAAAAAAAAAAAGAAGGCAACGCGCGGGCTGAAGCAATAGCAAACTGAATGGTAATGATGATAGATGAGCGATGGCAATGAACTAATACTACTATACTATGAAGCACACTGGTTGCAAAGAACAGGGAAGACACGAAAGAAACAAACGGGACACACAAGTGCAAAAATGGAGGGACGAGTGGATATAATATAACATTAATAACAGACAGAAATGAAGAGTGGAAAGAAGAGGATCCATCAAAGTCGCAGCTGAATAATGATCCTGCTAGCGTGTACTCAATCATCGCCGTACCGACAAAAGGAGGTCGCAACTTTGCCAGCCCTTCAGCCAATGATGACTCACCATGGAGATCTAAATGCTGGCAGTGGGTTGGCAAAGTCAATCCTGTGACTTAGCCTCTCCAGGGCTCATTACCCAAGTCGCCACCAGGTCCAGAGGTGCCGTTTCCAGTACCACCATTAAGAGGGTGTCCTCCTTCCGATCCAGGAGTCGTCGGCGCTGCTGCATTCGCTCCTCCGTTGGCGTCATACGACTCCATCTCAGACTGGTATCTCTTCTTGTCGTTCTCTGCCATTGATCCGTACGACTCCTTCTCGGCCTCTGACAACTTTTGCCATTCCTCTCCAAGCATCTTGGTAATCTCGGTTGGTTTGAACTCGGGGTGCTTCTTCTTGATATCATCTCTGCAATGTAGTGCAATCAGAATTTGATTAATTCAAGCTCAATTAGAAAAATTGACCATATCAACAAATAGGAAAGATCCTGAATACATACCTCTTCATGAGCGTGAAAAAAATATAAGAGTTCCTTGGCCTCTTAGGGCAGTTTTTATCCTTGATAACTGGAACGATAGGCTTCTTCAGCTTCTTCTTTGAAATACCTCCTCCTATCACAGGCCCCATGGCACCTGGCCGTCCATGCATGCCCATGTGTTGCTGCATCCCCTGCTGGTGATGAAGAAGATGCGGTGGCTGCTGGTATGGATGTTGCTGTAGTCCATGAGGGTGGAATGCCTGCTGGTGCTGTAGTGGCTGCTGTGCGTGGGAATTATGGCCATAGGGACTCGAGGGAGCTCCGACCATACCACCCCATCCCATGCGATCGCCTCCCATAGGGTTCATGCCAGGGATACCGGGCATTCCTCCAAGTGCTCCCATACCTCCCATACCGTTCATCCCATTCATCGCCATACCGCCCATGCCATTCAAGCCGCCTAAGCTCTGCTTTACTGGTGCCCGCGTCTGGGCTCCTGCGACGTTTCGGATAGCCCCTCCTGCGTGGTTTGTGCCCAAGAGATCAGGTATCATTCCATTGGGCTGCGTCCAGGTCATGTCTCGAGAGCCATTTCGAGCCATCATCGGCTGCATGCCTGGATCCATGTATCGCTGCGTTTGAAGACGAGAGTCATAACGGGTATCCCCTGGGTATATCGGGTGACCATGCATCAAGTTGGGCATGCCTGGATGGTGTGCCTGCGGTGATTGTTGATAAGGCGATTGTGCTGCATTGACGGGTTGATGAGCTTGGCGTTGGAGCTGTTGTTGTTGTTGTTGTTGTTGCTGTTGTTGCTGCTGCTGCTGTTGCTGATGCTGATGCTGCTGCTGTTGCTGCTGTTGATGTTGCTGTTGATGTTGCTGTTGATGTTGCTGTTGATGTTGCTGTTGATGTTGCTGTTGATGTTGCTGCTGCTGCTGCTGCTGCTGCTGCTGATGTTGTTGTTGTTGCTGCTGCTGCTGCTGTTGTTGCTGTTGGTGCGACGGTTGAGGATGCTGTTGAGGAGGTGTAAGCTGGTTTACCTGCAACTGTTGCGCGTGTGGTGAGTTCTGAACATCGATTGGAGTACTAAGAGGCGCCGCTGAGGCTGCTGCTGCGATAGTAGCCCCGGAACTGGACTGTGGCGCTGATCCGGCGTCTGTGTGGTAAGAGAACTGAAAGTTTGCTCCTGCGGAGGCATAGGCGACGTTGTTGTGCATGGGGGGTAGTGATGGTGGCGTTGCCGGACTCGCGACGGAGTAGGATCCTGGGTGGGAGAAGTTCATGTTACTGCCGTTCATGTTGCCGTAGATGTTCTGGTATCCGCCGTAGGCCGATCCTGGGGCTCCGCTTGCGGCCATCAGAGCGGGGTCCGAGTCAAACTGTATGGGAGGGCTAGCCATGTTTGAGGACATTGACCTGGTGTGGGCGCCTGTTTATGTCTCGGGAGGGAGTATGTCGTCCGCGCTTGTTATTGCAGTTGTTGGAGTCGTCGGCCTGAATTGGTGGCGGATATGGCTGTGGTTTGCTTGGAGTCGTCCTCGATGCTGCTCTTGTTCCTGGACTTGTTCCTGTCTTTCTTGCAGGCGCGGAGGGTACGATGAGGTACAGACGGGAGCAGGAAGAAATGAAAGGAGAGGGGGGGGGCGAAAGGAGGGGGGAAGAGAGGGGAAGAAAGACTGCAGTGGGGGGAAGAGAAGACAAAGGAAGGAAAGGAAAAGGAAAAGGGAAGTCAAAGAGTCAAAGAGTCAGCCTTTTTTTCAAATGTAATGTTCAAAAAGGGTTGGTTAGAAATGTCGTGTCCGTTTGCCCCTAGTTCTCACGGGTAAAAAAAAAAAAAAAAAAAAAACGCAAATGCAAATGCGCTCGAAACAACACACCATCTTTCCCGCACCCCCAGATGTGATGTGTCTGTACGCTGTACGCTGACATCGTCTCCCTCTTTCTGTGGCAGCTTCCCTTTGGACAGTCTGCACAGGAGCAAAAGATAATAATAAAAAGTGGTGGCAAAAAGGAAGCCCCCCAAGAAAAACAAAGAGCTGGCCGCTCCATCGGGTGACAAGAACATCCAAGGAACCCAAACCTTTTGAGCCCGACACTGGCTATCTCGTGCAGGATGGATCGCCGGTACAGATAGCCCGTCCTCCTATTCCCTGTACTCCCCAGGGTCGGTTCCCGTGTGTTTTTGATGAACTCCCACTGCTCGTTGTGGTCACAAAATTTTTTTCTTATTTTTCCATCGCAGACAGCAAGCGCAGTTTTTTTTTGGGAACTTATTGAGCGCTCGTATTTCATTGGGCGCAATATGAATAGCAGTGAGTATACAGGAACAAACAGCACCGGCAGTGGCCAGGTGTCGTCAAGGACGATCAGGAATGACCAGATGAATCTGAAAGCAAGATCCCTCCCTATCCAGGAACACCGACTATCAGGCTGTCGGGATATTTTTTGTAATACAAGCGCGGATAGACTAGGTAGGATGCAGTAGACATGATCCCGAGTCCATAAACATAAATTTTCTTTCCCTCCTTAACTGACTTTCGTAGCCTGATATTGGGCGGGAAGCGGAAGTGGAGGATCGCAAAGAGTAGTAAAAAGAACAACTGAGCGGGGATGCACGACAACCCAGTGAAGTAAGGACCCAGCTATGATCAGGTATTCTGAGTGCCTCCTCTTCCCTCTTGTCTTAAATCAAGTCTATACGCGATCCGGTTATTTTTGTGCCTGATCGGTAGCGTACATCCATTAACGTAGAGTACATTTCCTTCACGAAACACCATCCGATGCTTATTTGTTTTTGTTTTTTCTTACGCCCAAAAGGATAATCATCAAATGTTACTTGCCTTTGGGAGAAAACAAAGGAATTCAGAGGGACGGGATTCGAGGCGGGCTTTTTGGGACGATTAAAGTTGATGATGACAAGTGCTCTCGCCTTTTCTTTTGTTGGTCCGGATATACGCCTGTGTTGTTATCTATGTGCATGACAGAGAAAGCGAAAGGATCGTCGTTAGCAACCATGATTATCTATATCCTTGAATGTGTACTCGCTTGGCGGAAGGCATGAGAAGGAAACAAAAGCGAAAGCGAAAAAGAGGAAAGAGAAGAAAGAGGAAGACGGAGATGGCGGCAACAAAAACAATCCTGCAGGTACGGGGTCTGTAAACGATGAATCGATGAGACACGGTCGATCGCAGGCAAGGAACACGGGATGGCTTTCTTGTGCGTGCGTGGGAACAGACGAGCACGCGCGTGTGGTGGTGCTTCTTCATCGTGGGGAGGAAGGGATTGCGGCGGTATTGGTAGTTATTACTGTAATAGACGGGGCTATTGTTGCTTTTGCTTACTGTTATTGCTATAGATATGACTGAATACAGACACACCCAGGAGACAGACGACCCAGAGAGCACAGAACAGAGAAGGACGGAGGAAGGACGCACCAACAATCCACAAGGGATCGGACAGAGAGACAAGAGAGAGAAAGAGAGAGCAGGCACGCGCGTGTCTGCGTGTGTATGTCCACTTGTGTGTGTGTATGTGTGTGTGTGCCTGTGTTTGAGTATATGTACGTGTGTTATGCAAGGAAGGAAGTGGTTTGAGGGTAGCGGAGTGAGACGACAGAGAATGTGTATGTGTGCGTGTATTTGTCTTTGTAAGCACAAGCCAAGAGAGGATAGGATAGAAAGAGACAAAGAAACAAAGGATGGAACGGGAGAGCGAGAGAGTGAGAGAGTGAGAGAGATAGAGTACTAACCACAGGCAGAGGAACAGTCCGATACGCACACAGACAGACAGAGAGACAGGCGGACAGGGATTATAAATAATAATAGTAATAATAATAAGAAAGAGGAAAAGGGCAAAGGGAGGAAAGGAAGGGGGAGAAGAAAGAGAGCGAAGAAAAAGAAGGAGCTGAGCAGAGGAAAAAAAAAGAGAAGAGACCAGGTGGAAGCGGGAGATAGAGAGAGAAGATTCCCACATCGCGCAAGCACAAGCACAAGTACAGGCACAACCGCAGTCCAGAGCAGGTTTTTTTTTGTTGTTGTACTGAGCACTCAATAGACCTCATTCAATGAACTGCGAAACCCCCCAAGACTGGACGTTCTTTTCCTCGCTTGTTGTTGCCATGGCCGTTGCCATACCAATGCAACATGATATGTAGAGATACGGTTGGATAACAACGCAGACGGTGCTTCTTCTCTAGGGCCGGGGCCCTTGCTCTTTTTCTGTGCAGGGCCAGCAATTGCACAGCGGCACAATGTATTTTATATCAAAACTGAGCCGGGAGGGGGAGAAAAGAAGAGCAGTTCCTTTGAGGTAACCCTCCCTAAAGAAGGGGAAGACACATCCTTGTCATTGCCGTTTCCCCTTCGCTGTCTTTTTTTTTTTTTTGCTCGTCCCCAATAGTAGTGTAAAGGTTTTCACCCTTTTCCCCCTATTTTTATGGAGAGGAACCTGGTGATAATAACCTGCGGAGGAAACTGTTAAGAAAGAGTTTATAAACGACCTTTATTTTTCTTCGTCCCACTACCGACATGGACGCCAGATATGTCTATACGGTTCATGAACGCCTTATCCAAATAGTCAGCTATGTCCAGACACCAGCACGTAAACTCGGCCAAAAGTGGGCGTTTTGAGACGAGGGGTGAGCTGTATGCAAAGTGACGAGGTGTGCGTAACATTGCAAAGAAAAAAGGCGGCGTCATGAGCCGCACCGGACCATTGTGCAGGTACCATGACCACAGGGGGAGACAGTCTCTGGGTTGCCTGGTTCTGGAGGGGACTCTGACATGTGCTATAGATTTTGCAGCCATGTTCACTATTCAGTGTATATACACCATACTGGCGTGCGGCCACATCCACTTCCCTAGTTTTGCGTGTGTGTGTGTGTGTGTGTGTGTGTGTATGTGTGCATGTGTGTATGCTGCTGTAGATCGTATGCGCAGAAGACACATAGCATTTAGCATTTTATCACCCTCAATTTGGCTGTACTTCAGTGCGTCCTCTTTTGTCGTCCAACTTTAAGCAGGACAGAGTGAGAGAGGCGAGAGGCAGCTGTGCAGCTGCGGGTCTGAAGGGAAGGAATAACATGTGCTCTCTAGATCATCATAAGAAGCAGGGGCCACACAGAAAAGGAGAGGGAGAGAGGAGAGCGAGAGAGAGAGAGAGAGCAAAGAGAGAGACCGATGGAGAGACAGAGAGGAAGGGCAATGAGTGGGCCAGAGGAGGGAGATGACCCAACTCTAACTCTCTGTTCCACAGACGGACCCTCACCCGTCGAACAAGCCCGATAAAAAGATACAACACAAACATGTCTGTGCATTTGAGTTGAATTGGACACAACACGTCCAGGACCAATCAGAGGCCTGCTTCTCTCTAGCCCTGCCTCCTCCCTCTCGCGCGCCAAAACTGTGTTCCGTTCTCATTCCTCTATACATATTGCCCTGCCTGTGTCCCGCCTGTCCTCTATCGCTCTTCTGTCGCATCCAAAGACACGCTCGCACTGCTTCTGGTCGGGCCAATGCGCCTCGCCCAGATACCTCCTAGAGCCCCTTCAGCTCCCGTAGAGAAACCCATACGTACTATACTTAAACTGGCCTTTTTTTTTGTCTTCTTCAGGAGCCCACGGCTCTTGATTATCCCCTTCCATATCCCTTTTTCAGCCTCCCTTTGACTCCGATATGGATTGACTAGTCGGAGTTATTCAGGCTCTGGAGTGCTGTCTGATCTCTACACCGCCCTTACGGCCCGCTGAAGCAGCCTATCGTCGTCAACTGATCAGCCACGACTACAGTCGCACGGGCCCTCCAGCACCATGGCGGCACCTCAGGGACCAAGTCAGCGGAGGACAAGGGTTGAGGTAGAGATGTCCGCATTTGGCCTGCCCTACACTCCTATTCGTTTTTAACGCCATCTACCTTTGACCTTTGATCACTCGTGTCCGTCGGGATTCCTTCGCTCTCTTTCCCAGTCTCCCGTCTTTGTTCTTTGACTTGTTCTGTCATCTTTCCCATTTCTTTCGTCGTATGATTGTCATCCTATTTGCTACCTGGAACCTATTCTTTTTTTTTTTTTTTTTTTTTTTTTTTTTTTTTCATTACATTCCCTCTTTTATTATATCTTCGGCCATTCTTTTCTACTCACATTTCAGGCTGCTCCACATACGTTCTATTGCACGACCCAAAGAGCAACTCTTGCGCACCCAAAAGGCTCCCCGTTTTAATTTTACGGTGCGCGAAATTTGATGCCATATTTCAACGACCCTCAGCACTTATCGAGTTTATTTGAGACGACAACACACAGAAATATGTCCGAGCCAGCACTAACGAGTTCCCAACCTAACAACGTCAGCTCCATCGTCCCTGGATCCATCTTTCAGGATGATATACCACCACCGACACTCACGGACGGTTCTGGGGATGTGTCCGCTCCTTCTTCACAGTATACACCGCCTGACATGGGAGCTGGTGACGATGGGGGCACGACTCAGATCAAAGTCAGTAACACGACTCAGATTGTGTTGATCTCTCTGGGGGCCGCTATTGCGGTCTTGGTGCTGTTCGGTATTGCGGCATCGTTTTATATCTCGCACAAAAATAAGAAGGCAGAGAGGTTGAAGCAGGAAGGCAAGCATCCAGATGGTAGTGCAGACAATGGACATCCCGAGGATGATACTATTGGACACGAAGGTATTGAAAGCGGCGAAAAAGGACAAGTCCATACTGTTGATACTGACACAGGTAAGGAAAAAAAAATATATATGTGATGCGAACCTGATAGGATTTCAGACACTTGCCATTAATGCTGTTTATCCATCCCCTTTTAGATTCTGGATCGGAGATCGAGAGCACAGGCACAGGCATAGGGACAGAGTACAGAGACGCAGGGCCATCGAGTCCCAGTATAGGACTATCGATGACTACCAGGGTTGGCGCCAACCCATTTATCACACCACGCAGTAGCCAATCTGAAGCATCAGGGCTCGCCGCAGCGGGAGTAACAGAATCTTTGGTGGCAGCGGCAGCAAGGAGTGCAGGTCGCCCTAATCCCTGGAACTCGATCATCGGTGTTGCACAGACCTACAGTGGATCGCAGGGTATGATCCATCCCCTTGAAACGGTAGGGCCACTGCAGCGTACATCGATGGTCATGAACTTTTCGAACATCGGTCCAAGAGCATACGATGAAGTCATGACTTCAGCACCGATAACTGTGAGCTCGAGTAACTATAATCGCTCGAATCCCTTTCAGACCAAGAACAACAGCACCACAATCCTCGATATCACGGCTGACCCGTCTTTTAATGACCTACAGCAATTGGAGAGCGATAGTCAGGAAGCTCAAGAACAGGAGGCGATCATCGATAGCCTTGCTATATCACAGGCCACTGCAGTTCTCGATTCCACACTCGCTTCAGGATCACTGTTTACGGTTCCCGGAGAATGGTACATCCCTAGACGAAGCCAAGACGACAACAAAACATATTGCTACACGTCATCACACACCCCAGTCTCACCATCTATCGTCCTTGACGGCGCAGACAGCACCTCGTCCATCTCCGGTGATATCTCCTACCAACCACCCCCGCGGCCCACAAGTCCCATCAGTCGTCGCGGCCGCCTGCCTAACAAAGTTTGGGGGCCCACCGCTCAACCATCATCCCACGCCTTCAGAAACGGCGCCGCCGTCTTCGAGGGCGTGTCCATCCCCCGCCCACAACAGGCTCGCTCACCTTCTCCCGAGCGACAACGACGACGACCCCAACGACGATCCATTGACGATTCCGAAACCGTGATCGTCTCTCTACCGAGTCCACGCGGCTGTCTCCTTGAGGCCAAAGAAGAAGAAGAAGAAGAAGAAGAAGAAAACGAAGGAGGACGGGGTCGATTACAGATTTCCCTGGGTCAGGATGATTCTCTAGGCGATCTTCCCTACCTGGAGTATGGGATCCATCCGCAACACCGAGGCCGTCCGCAGTTCCAGACGCTCACTCATTCTTCAGACGAAAACAGCTCTCCTCATGCGAACCCGAAAATCGTCCGCAGGGTGTCTAAGCAACAGAATGAGAGGGCAAAAGGGACAGTCAAGAATACTTATTTGGATGATTATCGTGAATCACGACAGCAACTGTCGCAATAGCAGTAGTAGCAGCAGGATCAGCAACAATACAAGCAATATCGATCACATCAACTGCTGCAAACAATCCAGTCTGGATAGAATCCTGTGGGACTGGAAGGCGAGTTGCGAAAAGGACCTGGGTCTGGACTGACCCAGGCCGGGAGGAGACTTGTCGACGATGCTCCAGAGTAATGCCTTTTTTTTTTTTTTTTTTTTTTTTTTTTTTTTTTAAAGCGCCAGTGTATATTCCTTGACGGAGAATGATCGAGTGTGGACAGGATTTTCATGGCTTTCATACAATACCTTAGCATTGCTTTTCTAAATTATCATAATCATAACCATAATCATAATCATAATAATCATGAAGGATCTTTATACTAGGAAAATCATGGCCCGTATACGAACTTCAAGGCACTAGTCTTTTTTGCTTTTTTTTTGGAGCTGCGGACCAAATTATTTCAGTGCATATTATTGACGATAACGCTGGTAGATGATCATGTTTAATGCAGCTTTGCAGAAATAGTGGGTATATACAAAAATGAAAAAGAAAGGCAAAAGAGGAAAAAAAAAAAAAAAGAATCTAGATCAATTCGATGCTACAATGTAAAAGAGAGAAAAAAAGTGATGGCGAGGCATCCATCGAAAGTAAACGACAGCTTAAGCAGTAGGAGTGGGTGCAATATGCGATGACGCTAAGGACCCTGTAGCAGTGGGTGTAGATTGCGATGATGAAGATCCTGGTGCCGTACGACTCGCACTTGCAGTCGTTGCGCCCCCTGTACTCGAAGATGGCTGCGGTTGCGGTTGTGGTACCACGACCGGTTCCGCCGAAGGATCTCTTGCGTTAATGGGACAGGGAACACTATCGACGTTGAAGCTGAACTCTGGTTTCCAGACCCAGGACAAACCCCAGACCTTCAGCTTGCCACCGAATGTAAGGTTGATTCCCTGTACTATCGTTCCAGAATTGAGGTCCACTGGTTTGCACGCACTGATCAGTTCCTGCAGCGTCCCGTCCGCGTTGGTGTCGATTTTGAGCGAGGTATAGTCGAGCATCATCGGGACCGAGATCACCTGGACCGTCTTCGGCTTGATCACGAACCTAGACGGGAGGTTATCGTTGTTACCGATCTTTGTCTGGTCGATTTTCAGCCATACCTAATGTACCAATGGTAAGGAACTGGATGCGTGAGCGCATGCATATCTCTCTGGGAAATCTGTAGCCATCACCATAACATGACCCGCATGAAGATACAAAGTATACACACACACACACACACATACACACACACATACACACACGCACATACACACATGCACACTTACATTCATCTCGATAGAAGTGAATTTCACAGGCAAATAGTTTTCTCTACTATCCACTCTCATCTGAAGCGAGAACGGTTCCTGGAATTGGTTCCCTGACACGACCGGTGGTCCCAACGCCGCCACAGACTCAAAGCTGAAGCCAGGAGATCTCGGTACAATAAAGTAAAGCACCACTGCCAGACAGATTAAGAGGACGAACGACAGGTATACGCACAGCCGCCTTGAACAACAAAAACATCGTTTCGAAGCCCTCTGTCTCATCGTCCCTCGCTCTTGTCCTTCCTCCTCAGAGTCCTCGGATGACGAGTGCCGGCCGTACTTTTTCTTCTTCCCACCGCCTGGTTTTTTTCCGTTCATGGATTGGCCGCTGTTACTGCGGTAACTTCGAGCACCCGATCGTGAAAGCTTCCGCAGGATCTCTGCATCCTCATCCTCTTCTGCCTCCTGTTTAAACCGATCCTGAGTCGCAGAGGGTTGATGGGTAGTCAAACCCATGGCACTACCATTGGTGTGATCCCGATACCGGTCACTCTGGCCTCCGAATTCACTTGATGCGGGAGTTGTTCCTGTCTGTTGATGGTAGGACCTTGACATGGGTTGATTGGAGCCCTGGCTAGGTAGGGCCTGCATTGGATACCGTTGACCCCCAGCATAGGTGCCGTTGCTGCTGTTGAAGGACTGCCTTGAATCGTAAGGTGTGAGATTCGCCTCCTCAGACAGCCTCTGAGACTCATGGTAAGGAGAGAATGCTCCATGGGACAGGTGCTGCTGTTGATACTGCTGTTGCTGAGAGTATGCTGAACGATAAGGATCCGGTCGAGGATCCTGATGGTCCTCCACTGATGGGTACGCCATGTTATCCAAAGGTACTTGTGTTTGCATCAGCGGGCTGGACTGGTGGGATTGATAGGATTGATGAACTGGCTGATATCCGTGTTTGGATGTTCCGTCATCGGCCTCTTTAACGTCGTCCGGCTGTGCATGGTGCTCTTCGTTTTGAGGAAGGAAAGCGTCGTGTTCCATAGCAGAAATTGAGTTAAGGGAAAGAAAAGGACGGTCAAGGAGTTGTAGGGAGAAGAGAGCAAAGTGTGAGTTGGGAGTTGCAAAGAGAGTGAGAGAGAGCGGTTTGTTCAGGGCACTTGGATCTCCGTGGGTGGGTTAGTCCCAATGGGAAAAAGCAAATAAAAACGAGGCGTAGGGATACACATAATAAAAATAGACCGGTGTCGCGTGTATATTTAGCATGTACATGGGGTAACTATGGCGACGCCCCAAAGACCATGCGACCAAGCGACAACGTTCAGCAAGACAAGGGCGATCTCTGTATGGATGTGTGCCTATCATTTGATGCTTCAGCACCACTGACCATTAATGCCCATTGTCGCAGTGTTTCCTGTTGCTATCAGGCTCAACCATCCAAGTGGCCAGATATTCCCTGCAGACAGCATAGAGGCTGCTTCTTGAAGTCCCTTAGAGTGTATCCTTAAATGTACCCCTCTACAAGCGATATCCCTTAAGCCTTTCCTGACCCCTCAAACGCAGCATTCGTTGTGTTTTCACGAAAGATAAAGACACGGCGTCGTGGAAACAACCAAAGCCGGAAAAGGAATTTTTCCCAAGCAAGCACCAATGAAATCGATGCAGTGCTTGGCACCAGAATAAGATAGAAAGAGAAACGCGATCGATCAAGAAAAAAAAAGCGCTTCTGGTAGGACAACAGACAGCTGGTGGGGCGATATGGGTTGGAGTGGGGATGGATAAAGGCGGTGTCATCGGACGAAAGCAAAAAGAAAAAAAATGAGTTTACCGCTCTTCGCTCCCTTGCCTAACGCGTTGGGTGTCCGAAATCGATAAGGATCTCGCACCGGAGACTCCAGACTTGAGGTTCGGCGCATACGAGGGGAGCTCAGGCTGCCCGGGCTTCGCTGGCCCGGTGGCTGATAGCTCTGGCCAGGATAGGACAGCGACGAGGGTTCGAGTGGAGGAGACGAAGCTGGCTTGAGTGCAGTCAAGATGACTGGCGAGCAATTGGGCGACAGCCGTAGAGTTCTTGGGCTGGTAGGCGAACCATTAAGGCTCGCCTCAAAACTGTTACTACTGCACGACCTAGAAGGAGCCTCGAACCGGTCTCCTGAGTTTTGCCGCGTCCTTACCGAAAGTGTAGTGGCAAAATCAGAGGCGGGCAGGAAGGCGGGATTCCATCTGGATGTAGGCGTAAGAGGCGGGGATTTAGGTGGACGGGAGACGAGAGGCGTGCCTCGTATGGGCGGAGACGATGATGGTGTCTGGGGACTGTGAGATATCTTGTCGAATGCTGCAGTCGATTGCGAGGCCCTCATCGAGGACGAGAGAGTAGTCGGCGAGTGCTCCATGGCGTGAAAGTGATATTGCTGAAAATGGTCCGGGTATCATCCAGTCGCCCATGTATATAACTTGATATTATCAGCGAGGCCGAAATGCAGCTGCGTTTTGTCCTGGACAAAAAAAAAAAAAAAAAGCGGCGCTTCAGTTGAGGGTGAAGACGAGGCGAAGATGCTCAGACAGCGATAGGAAACAGAGTCGCGATCCTAAGGGAAGGAGGAGGGGTAGGGAGGGAAGAAGGAGTAATGTGGCCATGAGGAATGAATGATGGAGTCGAAGGGAGGACGGAATGTCGACTCTTCTCTCTCAGCAACCTAATCTACTCCGCCCATCTTCATGCTGTATGCTGCATCTTATCAATTGAATGAAATGGCTCTGTTCCTGAAGAGATGCCTCTTCTTGTGCGACTTTCGACTGTCGCAAGTCTGCTGAAGCATGAAGCATTGGTGCGGGAGCGCGCCAAATCATCTCTCAATCAGCATCAACAATGAGAATATCTCTACTGGCATACGTAAACATCCTCCTTCAGTTGATGCAGTGCGCTTTTCCAACAAGTTATTATTAACTGCCCTACGCATGGGGGGCTCTATTACAGTGTGAAAATCAATCATCTATGAATGTGAGACTACAGGGAAATGAGGATTGCTGCGTGCAATTGCGGCCTTCCGAGAAATTAAATATGCTTGCTCTTGGACTTCTTGGGGGGGACAGCCACAGACTTGTCAGCACTTGACTTTGCGCTCGTTCCACGTGCCTTAGTGTTGTATGTTTGGCGGTAGAAGTTGATGAAGAGAAAGAGGTAGCTTGAGAGGAGGCCGCATCCAAAGGCGGCGGAGCCATCAGTTCCGGCGCACTTGCGGGAGTAAGGAGCCCAGGGCCAGTGTGCGGAGGTGAAGTAGTGGTAAGAGCAGTAGTAGATAAAGCCCAGATCGAGGACAAACTGGATGATCTGAAGTGTGGTAAGATACTTCTTCCACCAGATGCGGACACCTGCGGCAGATCGCATATAGTAATAGTACATGAAGACATGCACAGTCAGGTTTAGGGTGATGGGAACCCAAGAGACGGATGTTTGGCCTCCGAGCTGGGTAAAGCACAGAATCATGGTCATCGAGTGATGATAGTAGTGCAGGAACTCTAAGTATGCACATGATCGGGAAACAAAAAGGGTTGCAAAGGTCAGCCTTGAGCGCTGTTGCACATATCTACGGTCCAGTGCAACAATCATCCGTGCATGGATCAAGCAAGGGTTTGATAGACTATCTCTTTCGTGTCACCATGGACCCAAGATTCAAAAGAATCTTGGACATTGGTTGTGCACCAGCATCTGATCGATCGTGAGCAGTTCAGTGCCTACAAAAAAGAACCCATCCCACCATAGTGACCGAAAGACAGGGACAGGAGCTAAAGAGCAGCACACAGCTGTAAATGACATGAAGTATTCGACTTTCAGCAGTTCACGATACGTACCAAGAGGCTTCTTCTTGAGAACCAAGAAGACTGTGTCGGCCAGTTCCCAGTACTTGACGAGGTAGTTGAGGTAGTAGAGCAGCTCCAATCGTTGGGTCCAGGCGCCATCATCGCAGACAGAGTAGAACAGGCCGTGTCTCGCAATGATGGGAACCAGGTTCTCGATGAACAGCAGAAGCAATGCACCGGAGGCGAGGGTCAACAGGAAGTTGTGGAAGATAAACAGGGGCTTCAGCTTGAATGCCTTCTGATTCTTCATGATCTGGCGGCCACCGAAGATGACGATAAGGTAGGTGATAGTCCACATGGTGACTTCATATTGGGTCGACAGAGGCGTGATGCCCTTCTGAAAAGCGAAAGAGTCGATCGATTTGCCGGTGACGAGTTTGTATGCCTGGCTGAAGTAGTCGTCCAGCCTGATGCCGAAGGGCTGATCAATACTGAAGTTGACCTTTTCCAAGAATGAGGCGGCCATTGTTGTGTATGGGATGGCGATCGGATTCGAGAACGGGATCTGAGAATGAGAAAGTAGAGTGAAGAAGAGATGATGAGATTGCCCTTCCCAGAACGAGATCTTATCACGCCTTTAAAAATTCAGGGACAGGCACAACTCTTTTTCTTTCCAGATACAACTTTTTTTTTATTCTTTCCAGACAGCCAATTACGGGCACATGGGAGGTTACCTGACACTCTTAATTGACACGTGCTCCTCAAATGAGATCCTTTCTCTACAGGTGCGGCCATGGAAATGGGCCCTTTAGAACGGTGCCAGAGAATCAAGCTGGTACGCGCTGCATTCCATCTTTTTATAACGTCGATTCTATACATTTTCCGCTCGGGCTAAATATGTTGCCGGTGACCGAATTCATTTCTTGAGAACTATATCTGTGGCCTGACCTGATGCACACATATAGATTGCTCTCATGCTGCCATGAAAGTTTCCTATCGACTCTGTGAAGAAGCGAGGAGACGAGAATGAAGATGGTAGTGGTCGGAAGAAAGAACAGCAAGTGAGACGTCCAGGCAAGGGTATGAAGATGCTTTGTCGAGAGAGCCCGCCGCAATGCCAACACTTTTGTTCTCTGCATCCCATTAGGCTGCGTTTCAGTTGCCCTGGAAGGTGCACTGACCACCAGTACCTGAAGACCATGGGGTGATAAAGGATAAGTCCAGGTGTTGTGCGGCAAGACATTTAAGTTATCGCAAATAACTCTCAATGCCACGAAGGACGTAGATGCCGATGCGGAAATGGCCAAACAGAAGACCTGGGTTGGCCTAATGGATTCAGCATGCATCCGGCATGCCACTGAAAAGAAAATTTCTGTACACGCTGCATGTTGACAACAGTCTAAATGACGGCATTGGCGGCAACCTTACTGGGCATGCGCCGTCAATGGATATGCACAAACACATACGATTAACAATTCAACAAGCAAAAAACAGCAAACAAGCAGGATGAGAATGGATCGAATGGATCAATCTCAGGTTGCCATCCTTTTTGTGCATCGTTTTAGCGCGCCGTCCGAAATGACCGACATCAGCATCGCCACCTCGCCCGTGACAAATGAGAAACCATCGCTGTCTTTTTTGTCTTGAATAGAACTGATCGGGTCTTGCTTTCTTTCTCTCCAAGCACTTTTTTTTTTTTTTCCCCATCCACTTCGCCAAAACAGCAGCCTACCGACAACTATGTACCAAACACCTACTCTGCCTCCTACGGTGCCGACTGCGCCAAAACTTGAACTAAAGATAAAATGCAGGTATGCATGCAACCACAACTGCCCAACTGATTTGTACATACAGCCCTCGAATACTTTTCCTATGGCTAACCAAAGCTGGACGGTACTTCCAACGATCTTAGGGGTCTTGCTGATTTGGACATCCTCTCAAAATCCGACCCACAATGCTTTGTCTTCATGATGGACCCAAAAACACGGACATGGTGCAAGGAGCCGATTGGCAAGACTGAGATGATCTTGAACAAGCTGGATTGCGAGTTCGTCAAAAGTATCGTTATCGACTATCGCTTCGAGCAGATTCAGCCTATCCGTTTCACCGTTGTGGACGTCGATAACCGTAACAACCCTTTGTGGACCGCGCAGGAGCTCATCGGTCATTTTGACACGGAGGTTGGCAAAATTAGTAAGAAAAATCTTTTTTTTACACATATGACAGATAAAATGAACCTCCAGGAATGTCCTTCTAACTGATGTCATTCCTGCCCATTACTAGTCGGAAGCCGCGGAAGGAGCTTGGCTGGCAGATTAGACCACCCGCAGCACCGTAACTCCCATCGAGGAACCGTTATTGTGAGCGCGGAGGAGCAATCGCAGTCAAAAAGGGTGATTAGGCAGGTGATAAGGCCCAGGATCAAAAGTCGACTGGTAAAATTAAGGTTTTTGGATCAGTGTCCCACAAATGCTCACATTCTGTTTTTTACTTGCAGATTCAACATTGAGGCAACAAAGATCGCTAAAAAAGCCCTTTTTCGCTCGGATCCAAGTTCGTTCTTCATCGTCCATCGTGCCTCGGAAAACGGCGTGTTTTCACCCATTTATCAATCCCATGTGGTCAGAAGCAAGAGTAATCCCATCTGGGATGAGTTCTCCATAAAGGAAATCGAGCTCTGCAATGGCGACCCAAACAGGCAGTTAAAGATCGAGGTCAAAAGGTTCAAGGAAAATGGACGTACGTTTCATCCAATTTTTCAAGCATGTTCCTGTTGCTCATAGTTCTCTCCTGGATAAGTCCCATAACTGTGCCGCCTCTCATTCAACAAAGTAGAGCATGTTACCATTGGAATCACCCCCTATTTCACTCTCCAGGATCTGTTGCACTTGCAGAAACCAAAATATTACCCCTTGTCTCCCATGCCTCCTGGGACAGACTTGGTGATCAGGAGGATGATGGTCACTGAACCACCTTCGTTCTTGGATTACTTGGCCGGCGGCATTCCACTCAATCTGGTCGTAGCGATTGATTTTACACAGAGCAACGGCGATCCCCGCGATCCTCGATCGTTGCACTTCAGAAACCCATCGGGCGAAAATGATTATACGAGGGCGATCCGGAGTGTCGGAAACATTCTCCAGTGCTACGATACCGACAAGAAGTTTCCCGTTTATGGATTCGGCGGCAAAGTGAACGGCCAAGTCAGCCATTGTTTCGCTCTCAATGGAAACCCGCAATTCGTAAGCTACAGCTTGTGCAACGACCTGAAAAACAAGTCCGCCGGTGTGAATTTTTGCAGTGGTATCTAAATCAGGGTAATGATATCTCACTACAATTCATTCTTTGTTCTTCGAGCGTAGCCCGAGGTGGATGGCGTCGATGGAATTCTCGCTGCTTACTGGCACGCTCTGCAGTTCGCAGAGCTGTACGGCCCGACCAACTTCTCGCCCGTGATCAACCAGACAGCAGCCATTTGCAATCAACACCGTTCGGGACAGATGGAAGAATACTATGTCCTCTTGATTTTGACCGACGGAGTCATCACCGACATGGACAACACCATACGCGCCATTATCGACGCTTCGCGCCTACCGCTCTCCATCATCATTGTCGGCGTTGGATCTGCCAATTTCGACAACATGAATGTGCTGGACGCTGATGACGAGCCGCTTCGAGCGAATGGAGTGACCATGGCCCGGGATATTGTCCAATTCGTCCCCTTCCGCGACTTCCAGGCTGGAACCTTCGGCAATGAGGAGTTGGCCGAAGCAGTCCTGGCAGAGGTACCAGATCAGTTTGTGAGCTACATGACCCAGCATAGCGTGAAGCCACGGGCACCCCCAAGGGCCGATACAATGATGGCTAGGAGCAATGGCGGCATAACAAGCCCGAACATGAGACCTATGTCCGCAATGCCTGCATATGTCGATACCGCAGCAAGCCCGAATATGAGACCTATGTCCGCAATGCCCGCATATGGTAGCTACGGCGCTTACAGCTCGGTGCCATCGTCACCCACAGCTGCTGGTCCCTCAGTTGGTTTCCCTGCTGGTTTCTCTGCTAATCCTTCTGGCAGCAGGGCGCCGCAGATTGTGCCTGATCGATACTCTTATCAAGGAAAGGCATAATATCGTGGTCGTATGCCGCTGCATACATTACCCACCAAGTTGAGCTGTACAGAATAACTCTAATGCTAATAAATAATATCGCGGACTTTGATGAACGATTATACTTAGTTCGATGACCTTATTTTCGTAACCGCGGACGACGCGACTATGTGATTTATGGTTACACTTCCTACCTACTGCGATGGCAAATAAAAAAGAATTAGTGGCAAAAAATGTACTATGGTATGTAGCATGGTGGTTTTATAGACTCTGAAAGAATACATGCCCGAACGTACGCCTTGCGATGACGGTAAATCTTGCCATGTCCCGATAATACAATGGATGAGTGCAAAAGTTCACCTTGGCTACCCAACAATCGACGTTTTATCTGTGGTTGTGCGCTCTTTCACATAGATAGAATCAGCATTTGACAGCGCGGTTTCTACCCTGCCGTCTGGGTTATCTCTCTGGCACACTTTGATACCACTGTGCTCCTCTCTCTTTGCTTCGATTCAAGAGAGTACACCGTGGGCGATGTAAGGCGCTGTTTATTTGTCTTCTAATCTACAATCATCTATACCTATCTTTAAACCATTGATGCTAATAATAAACAGAGATTTGTGGCGATATATACCCCTATTGCTGGGATCAAGGCGTTCGGGAAGTGTCGAGAGTGGATGAACGCTAGCGTCGTTCGGATCAGAGCGCCTATGCGAGTTTGGATTGATGATCTTTTTGAACAGTTAAGCTTGCGCATACAGTGCTACGCATGGGACAAAAGACTGGGCCGAGACACAGATCTAGGAGTCATACTTGAAGGCCCACCACCTTTAACTCCATCCAGCCCTTTGTGGATCCATAGGTGAACACCATGAAAGTAACGGTTACTGTAAGCAAAAGAGGGGGCAGAACGTACCGCTCAAGGAAAAGGTACTATTTCATGCCGGGACTCACTCTTTCACTGAGACCCAGGTCCATATCAGCCTCTAGAAGTTGAATAGCACCTTGTATCCGACCTCAAGATCCATTGCGTTCCGCGTGCACCAGCCAGTTACACTATCTCATGAGACAGCGCCGGGAGTGCGCCATCTCTTGAGATCCCACTCTTCCACGAATGCCTCAAGGATTGCAGTCTTCCCATCGACTGCCTTCAATAGGAAGACCTTCCTTGATATCCCTGGATTTTAATGACTGGAGTATCCTACTGCTTCCATACCGGCACTGGAGCCTACGTGAGGAGAAACAAAGTTGCGAAAAGGACCACGCCGTTTAAATCGCTTTCCAGGGCTCCCTGGATTCATCTACAACGTTATGCGCTGATCCAACGTTTCGAGACTTTGCTGGGCCCATCAAGCTCCATTTCATAGACAATTAAAATAAAGAAGAGGAGTTGCTTGTGAGACATGACATATTCAATCCGCCCTGTTCAGAAGTCAAGTGTTAGGCTACACTTCATTTTGCACTTGCAATTATCTCAACTCCTCCACTCCTCACTACTTCCCTCTCGTTATCCTGTCCTATCCTCGTGGATGAAAACCATTATGTCGGGAAGGCCGAGAACATGTCCTTCTATGGCGGGAAGGCAGAACGGGACGAAGATACACTAATGAGAATTTGTAACTAGCCGTTATGTGCAGATGCTTGACCACGATCTTCTACACACTCTCCCTTTCTTTACATTGCATCGTGATGCAACAGGAGATATGCATCTCATGTTGTTTGAACACGCGATCGCTTGTTTTCGTGTGGCATCTTACTGATGTTCACCATATTGTTTATCGGGTTTTTTCAGTATACTTTCTGAAATGAATCCGCGAAAGTTCTAGGAATGCCAGGTATGGGACGCATCGCGCGTTGATTGTTACGATTAAGTGCTTGTCAAATTTCGATTAGATCGCTTGCGCTACAAGGCTCAGCTCCCTGTCTTTATTTTTTAGGCCTTCTTGATCTGCACATTCGAATCTCTTCTCTGGCTATAGCAGTAATCATCAATGTCGCTCCTTAGAGCCCAGCAGCTTTTTCGGAGGCTCGCGTTGAGCCCAGTATGCAGTAATCAGTTACAGCCAACCCTCAGTCTCACGACCTCAAAGACCGCGGGCTTAATCTCCCCAAAGCGGTTTTTCATTCCCACACTCTCTACGCGACAAATTCAACCACCACCAGCCACCAACCTCGAGGATTCAGTTGAGGTTCGGCCAAGGAAGATCGCGAGGAGGATTTCTATCACGAATAGCACCAGGCAACGCTGGACAGCTGAGGAGGACCAATTGATAAAGCGCTCTCTTCATAGAGGGTTGACGTCCATGGACATCTACGACCACTTCCCCGATCGCTCCATGACCGCTATCGAGAGTCGGATGTCCTTTTTTCGGTCGAAGGAGAAGGGTAATACGACAACACTGCCTAATACACATAAGCCTTCGAAGATGAAACGGTGGACGCCAGAGCAAGACCAATGGCTGAGGGAGCAAGTTGAAGAGTTGGGCCAAGGGGATGATATTCCGTGGTTGGAGATTGGTACCCAGGAAGTCGATGGCATGCGTCTGGGCCGAACCCCGACCTCATGTAAGCGACGTTGGGACATTATCAATCCCTTCAATGATCGGAAGTCAGGGCGCTGGGATCCTGAAGAGCTCAAAAAGCTGGCGGACGCCGTGGCGGAGCAGCTGGAGCAACTGGAGGATGTGAAATCCCAGGAGGCAAAGGGCCGATTGATCGATTGGTCGATAGTCGCCAGGAAGGTTGGAACGAGATCGGATGTACAGTGCCGGAGTCATATGCACAAGTCGATGCAGGCTGAAATAAAAGGTCGCTGGAAGGAGGATGAGGTTGAGCGGATGAAGGTAGCATTGCAGGAGCATGGTCAAGACTGGAAGAAGATCGCCAAGGTGGTCAAGACGCGGACACCCTTCCAGGTCAAGCAGAAATATTACATGTCCAATGCTAGGCTACCTCGCCTGCTGAATGCCGAACTGAGGCCGGGTAGCGAGGAACCCAAGCCAGCCAAGAGCACGACTACCAACCAGGATACCACAGGCGCATAAAGTGCATAAATTAAAGTGAATAAAAATTGGCTATTATTATGACAGTCATGAATGTTTGCTTTGTATCTTTTCTTTTTTTTTTTCTTTGTCTTTGCATTCCTTCCTTCTGCATTGCACTCACATACACCATGGAAGGAACTCCCGGCTCAAAATTCTCATTAGACTCGCTCATATCTTCGGTGCTACCCTCCATCGACGCCGGCAGCCCTGTGGTCGATGCGTCCACAAAGTTCAGGCGCACGAGAGCCTCAGAAAGAGCAGCGCCACCAGTCGCCACCCAAAGTGCAACCACGCCCAAGCAACCAAACATCAAAAGCACGCCCCAGATACCAGCAGATGTGGCCGCAGCAGCAGCAGCGGCCTTTGAGGCCTTGGCACCAGGGTCAGGCTATGTAGCCATGAACACACCGTACACAGCATCCACAGGGACAGAAGTCACCTCGCTGCCAAAAACGAAGAAGAGGAAGTTCCAGAAAGGAGGAGGAAAAGGAGGGTCGCAGCATGGAGCTCGGGAAACCACCAACACCGGATCGTCCAACGCTCAAGACAAGGATGCCACACCCAACAAGCTTAACCGGAAACGAAAAAAGAACCAGCACACAGGCAATCAAGCCAATACTCAGCATCATCACCAGCAAAAGCATCAGCAAAAGCATCAGCAGGTAACATTGAGCGCGGAGTACTATGCATCCGCGCATGCCCTTTATTCAGCGACAAAAAACCCTGTCCGTCGAACAGCATGCTTATTTTGTTTTTTCTATTCTCTTTCTCTTTCTGTTTCTCTACTTAGAACTCTGGTCCATCAAATCTACCAAATAAAACGAGGCGTCGATTTATGGAAAGGTTCAAGCCGGATCTTGACGCCAATGCCGATGCTGTGGGTGTACGGCCAGACGAGGATTTCACGGATCTCTTAGTTCAGCATATGGCGCATACAACCAAGGAGCTTGAAGAGAATGTGAAGCAACAGGGCAGGCTGATGCAAGAGCAACTCAAACAGAGTTCGGCACAGTTAGCGGATTCACAAGTTCGACAGGGACAACAAGATCAAAACCAGAGACAACCACTGCCATTTCAACAGCAGCAGCTTCATCAAAAAGCGCGGCAACATCAAAGAAAGTCTAATGCGAACACGGAGACGAAGCCGTTTGTGCCGCGCAGGGACTGCATGCATTTTTTGAAGGGTCATTGCATTAATGTAAGACGCTCTGGACGCCTCTTAAATGATATCTCAGTATGTACCTCCATAATACAAATTCATGCTGACTCTCCTTTTTTTTTTTTTTTTTTTTTTTTTTTTTTTTTTTTACTGGCTTATTAGGGAGACAACTGTACGTTCAAGCACGACATTGAAGCGCGCGAAGCCTACCTAGCACAAGAGCAGGAGATGAGGAAGACTCGAGGCGTGTGCAAATACGAGATTACGGGATCCTGCACCAAGGGCGACCTCTGTCCCTACACACACGATCTTTCGCTGCAACCCTGCTCATTCTACCATCTATACGGAGTATGCGACAAGGGTGCGATGTGTCGATTCGGGCACACGCCCATTACGCCAGAGCAGTTCCAGCAATTGGCAGAGAGTCGCAATAAAGGGCCTCAAGCTGCACTTTAAATAAGAAAAAAAAAAAAACTATAAAAAAAAGGCGATACACGACGAATGCAAACTGCCTTGCGCAATGTGGATATCATTTTCAAAGGCATCCAACGCGAGGAATTGGGAATTATGGGCTGGTGTGTGCGCTACGGCTTCTGCTAGCGGGCGATGTTTACATATCTGTTGGATTACCATCTCGGACGCACACTCGCTCGGTCCATCGGCTTTAAGTTGGTCAGCTCTTGTTGATCTTCAGCTATCGCCATCAGCTTGCATATTCAGCCTGTATAGCGTGAGACCCTCAAGAATAAACGTGTTGGCAACGATATTACTGCTTGTTTGCTTGCTCAATGGAGGGGTTTCTTTTTCTTCTTTTCACCTTCGGATTTAGTGTAAGTCGCGGGTGTCCCCATGTTGTAAACAGTGGTACCACTTAAATGAAATTGCAATTTGCTTCTCGACGGGCGAACGTTTACAACCTCAACAGCTAAACAATCAAAAAGCACAAGCTTTTAATGAAAAGTAGGGTATAATATGAAGTGTTGATATTTACCATTATGTTGCTTGTATTTTTTTTTTTCGTCCTTGAACATGAGCACCGTCCTGCTCTACTGTCGTCTAGAAGATCCTGAGCCCGATCCGGATGCGGATGAGGATGTCGATGCCTGATCAGTATCCTTGTCCTGCGCACGCAGCTCCTCTTTCTCTTTCTTCAACGGCTTTTCTACACTGAATGAATTCCTCGACGATAACGATCCTTCAGCGGTCCGTTCATGATCCTGATCGTAAAGTTCTTGTTTTTCTCCTGCAATTCCCGTGCCCGCGTTTGGTTCCACATTCGCTGTCTCTCCTGCAGCTCCCGGTGTTGTTGCTGGTGCTGGTGCTAATGAAGGCTCGTAAGCTGGAGGCAACGATCTACCCTGCTGCACACCTTGACTCGCTGATGGTTCCAGCGTCGACAATGCAGCCGCAGCAGCTGCAGCCAAAGCTGCAGCCTCGGCCTGTTGTGGCGTAAGTGGTGGTGGGTAGAGAGTCCCCGATGGCGCTGGCGGAAGCACTGTGTTCAGTCCAGGATGAGTCATTGGGAAGGGATAATTTTGTTGAGCAGGTCCTATGGCCGTTGATGGGTAACCGCTGGACATTCCTAGTGGTGCCTGGTTCGAAAACGAGTACATGCCGATTTCTTCTGATCCTGGTCCAATAATTCGCTCGTCCCTTCGATGTGCTCCATATGCTGGCAGCTCTCCATTATCATTACCATCTATGGAAAAGGAGCATTGTTTGATTAGAAATCGGTGATACTGTTACCAAGGAAAGAAACCCCCCCTTTCAAACCTTCAGTTTCCATTGTTGTCCATTGGTTGGGCTGTTGTCTGCTTTACCTGGCGGACGATAAACCCCACCATGTAGAAGATAGGCGGGCGTATTATCGTGATAACGTGGCCCAAATGGCTGTCGGGCCTTCTGTCGCCGATACCACATGTACAAAAGCACGAGGAAGAGCACCAACATAATCGAGAGCAGAGAAGTCTTTACCGCTCCCTGAAAAAACGGTTGGTAGTTCTTGTACTTGGCGACTTTGACGCACTTTCCAGAGACGGTCGAATTGCCCACGGGGTTCGACGATGGTATACATCGAAACTGGTCGTTGTTGTAGGAGCCATCTGACTGGATATGCCAGCCCTGGCACATGTTGGACGAAAGACAGGGCTGGTTCTCGGCCTTGAGGCCTTGACAGGTGCCTGGGAGCTGACTCGAGATATTGACGATCTCCAACGACCTGATGGGCTCTGTGTTGACGGGGACTGAGGGCTGGCAGTAAAAATTCTCGGCACAATTGCCTCGGTATTGGACCAGGGTGGATGAAAATTGGTAATCGAACCATCCGTACATGCCCAGGTCATGTAGGAGGATGTTGTCGATGAGTTGGTGATAGAGTTGGTAGGAGGGGACGGGGACGGGGATAGTGGTGCAATTAGCGCCCTGAGTCTGGTTGGCGAGCGAGCCGGTGTAACGGACAGAGGGGTAGGCACTGGCGATGTACCAGCCCGGTGGGTTGACGATAGTTGTGCTGGTGTTGGTTGCGGGGTAGGTATCAGGGACTTGGAAGGGCTGACAGAGGACGTCATTGCTGTAGAGGAAGCAGGCCTGGTTGGGGGGACAGCCCTGTGAGAGGCAGTCTGACATGAGTGAGGTGAAGAAGTGAAGACGTAAAGGAGTGGGGGAGTGTGATGGGATCGAGTAGATGGAAGAGGAGGATCAGGTGGTGGGCGAGGAAGTAGAGGGAGGGGTGGGGGTGGAGGAGGTGAAAGGGAGTGAAGTTTGTTTGTTTGTTTGGTGGGGAAGGGAGAGAGGGTGCAGAAAGCCGAGAAAAAGAATGCTGGCTGTGGAATGGATGGATAGATGGATGGATAGGCTGTGTGTGCCACACTGAACAAGATGCTCTCTCTCCCCTTGTGCTCTTTCTTCTCACTCTTGTGCACGCACACACATACACCTTGTGACCAAGCGCAAATATCGATGTAGATTGCATAGGATGGACTCCAACCTATTATTGCCAGGAGCTACTTTAACTTCAGGAACAAATACGTCCAGAGTGTCTATCGCTGAACATTTCATTCATGTAAATCCGCTTTATTTAATGTTACATTTTAATGTTACATGAGTATGGTCTTATGTCCGTGCCAGGCCGCCCCTCGCTGCGTCGCCAGGATACTCATCCTCGAATTCGCCATCCCAATTAGGTACTTGCCCCTCGTCAACAGCACCGCGTCTAACATCGGCGGGTACCATGGTCCCAATCGCGACATCGTCCCCAGCTTCGTAGTAATAGACATCTTCACCCTCCCCTCCGCATCCCTCTCTTCATCCCCATGGTCCAACAAAATCCAACCCAACTTCTCCAATTTCCTCAGTTCCTCCGGTCGTCCCTCGTTCGTCGTCACCAGCACCGGAAGACGCTTGAACACAAAGTTCTCTTTACCTTCGCCGTCCTGTTGCAGTTGGTGCTCTTCCAGGGCCGCAATCCGTCGCTGCTTCTCAATCTCGTCTACCTTTTCTGCAATGGCCTCGATCTGCACAACACAGTCCTTCTCTGCCACACCTGGGGGGCACTTGTTCACAATGTCTCCACGGCGCAAATGAATAATGATGAACTCAGGATGTGGCCTGAATGGTCTTGAGGCAGACATGGCGGAAGTGTCCTTGCGCTCGCCATCAACAGGTCTAAGAAGTATATCCAGAATATCATCGACCATAGCCTCGGTCTCGTCATTGAACCGCAAGTGGACACCGACCTCGTCCCACGCTCGGTTGCCTAGGTTCTCGCCGCTAAGGAAGTAAGGGCACGAGAGACACTTCCACAGATTGGGATCGACACCATTCGCCGTCTTGGTCGTCTCTATCATAGGCGTGTCCTTTAGAAGCACGTCGCGTGCATATTGGTAATCGGTGGACTTGCCCTGAGTCTTGTCCACAGGAGACATCGCGACCTTGTATTTCAACAAGAATTGTTGCCGGAACTTGTCGTACAGTCTGTTGTTACCGATACCGATGCCGCCATTGGGTGTGCAAGGAAACTCCTCTGAAAACTCTTCCCAGTGGTGATTAAAGTCCTTGGGGACGCTCTCGGGTACTTGCTTGACATCGTGCCACTCAACCATAGAGATGCCGGACTTGGAAGTAAAATGATCAAGGTCATAAAACTGCGAATAGCGTGGGCCTGCCCATACCTACAGAGGATACGTACATATACACGTAAATCATGAAACGCGAAATAAATTGTCAGACACGAAAAGGACAATCTTAAAAACGCGTTTTTTTTTTTTTTTTTATCCGCATGGCTTTTTCAGCAGCGAATGCCAAGTGTTAAAAAAAAAAAAAAAAAAAAAAAAAAAGGAAAGACAACCTTTTATCTATTACACCCTTGATCATACAAGAAACAAATAAACATACAGCCAACGACATGGTTACTTACGGGGATATGGGTGTTGGGACTGATTGGAGGAAGGATCAAGGTGCGGTTCAAGTCCTTGGCAAGGAGTGCAGCTTTCTGAAGGGACACGAACTGGTTGTTTCCTCCGCCCATCGGAAGATACGTGAAATACCGTCCAGGCATCGTGTTCGACGTATTTATCTGATCTCGGTCATCGTCTTCCTCTTCTTCATTTTCGTTCATGTCCTTGCTCTTGCTACCATTATAGTTGTCGTTGCCAAACACGGGTGCTGACTTGCGGGTCCACCAGGACCGCGCTGCAAGGGTCTGCATAAAAGAACCCATATCATTTTTGGCCGCCTCCGGATCTTTGAAGAATGCTGGCTTGAAGACCCTTGTTTGCGTTCCATTTTGATACCGTACCGTCGTCCCCAATGCAGTATCCGAGACGATGATGCCAGATTCATTTGAAACCTTACTGTCAGGAGCAGGAGCAGGGACAGGGGTAGGTGTGGAAAGGGATGGCTGAGGTGCGACTGGGCTCTTGGTAGATTGGTGTGTCCGCTCCCCAGGCATGTATGGTGTCCGCGACGGAAGTAATTCTGGTAACGAGTGCTGCTGTTGTTGGTGCTGCTGCTCGAGGGAGGTCGTTTCTGATGATGTATAGGAGGCGTTGTCCGAGTAATGGGCATGAAAGAGGGCGAGTATCATGAAGGATAAGCTGGCTAATATGGCCGCCTTCGCGATGGAGATTCTACGCTTGCTATGCATGTTGTGGCGGTAGGACGAGGTATGGTCAAAGGTCAATGTGGATGATGGGAAATGAATGCCGGTGCTGTCGGGACGTGACTTTAGGGTGTAGTATGGAATGGAGGGACCGGTAGCCATGGGTATTCACTGTGTGATGATGTTGATAGGCGTAAAAATAAAAAATAAAAAGAGGAACGAGAGTCTACGGCGGTGGTCTGTTGAAGGGATAGGGGGTGTGTATAAGCGGTAAATGGCGTAGTGACCAGTCGAGGTGCGTGAGTATACGAGACAAAGAAGAGAGGAGGTGGTGAATATGTGGGAAGAGAAAGGGATTCAAGTGCCTGTATTTATATGGGTTTTTTCCCTAGGGAAATGAAGGGTTGGCTATCGTATAAGCATGTTATCCATCCAATCAATAAAAGGAAAAGGCACAGCGCGTGTAGAGAACAGAAATAGACGGGGCCTAGCTGTTTGAGTAAGTTTATGCACTGCTGGACAAATGCTTTTTCTACTTGCCAATTCAATGTGCCGAAGTAAATTACAGTAATAATGCGATGTGATATATACGTCGTACCAGTCCCTTGTTACATTCTAATAAATAACGCCTCTACTATCCAACAGCCATCCTCTCAAACAAACAAAGCAGACTATTGTACAAATGTGCGCATCAACGTATATACCTAGTTCGGTACCCATGGGCACCTGCTTGCTTGTAGCTGGACCTGGGCTCGCATCTTCGAATGAACTTTAAAACACGATACAAGGTGGACCCGAAGCAGGGTCAATGCTTTCATACTAAGTTAATCTTGGGCTGTTACCATTTCTCATGAGCAGCCTCTTTACCCCGTTGTCTGTCCTTTGAGGCAGTAGTGCGTACAAACTAAAGATAAGCATTCACTTGAGTCAGTACCGCGATGTATTGGCACTAGCTATAACCAAACTCGGACCACATTGTGCATTGAAGGCTACTCGAAGTAGAGATAGTATAGATTGTCTTATACTTGTCCTCTGGCCCATACCAACCACGTTCACCTGCTAGTTTGCACTGGATAAATTTAGATTGCCACTTCCGGGAACAAAAGAAGCTTCTTAATCTTCTCCCTAGGGACAGTTCCTGCCTAGGATAACTTTTTTTTCTGCATATATGTGGACTCCACTTGGATACGTCCCAATGTGCCTTATGTGTTGCATCATCCATTCATTTGCCTTCTTTTACCCTGGGCATAAAGCTATCAAAGGATCTACTCCGGTCCCTGGATTTGGAGCTGCTATATTAGAACCCACTCCAATAGCCAGTCAGTCAAGGACGTCGCTTTTCAGACTACTTTAAAGCACCTTACCGAGAGACTGTTAAAGATAATAAAACTGACTCGAACATATCTCTGAGGAGAATGTAAGTTGGAATGTATAGCCCCCAGGCTCTGATGTCGGATAGAACGCGCTCCAATTGTGTGGGTCCATCATCGAGTACTGTAACTGGACCGGTGGAAGATTCTATTTTATTGGGGAACCTACCCACTGAGGTACGCCGAAAAGGAACAAGACGAAATGGAAGAATCCAACTGTGAAGAGGCAGTGAGAAACAGGGGATGATGTCTGAGACTCTTCTGCCATACCTGTAACAGCCAGCGAGGCAGTCCCCCATATGTCCATGGATAAGCATAGGTTATTAATGATATAGCTTGCCGTTTCTCTTGAAATAAGATTCAAAGTGCAATATCATCCTACCAGTCATAGTTACGTTGTAAGTGAAGAAAAAGAGAAGCCAGCCTCTCTAAAAACAGTAGCAGTCAGCCTCCCTAAAAACAGCAGCAATCAGCCCCGTCTACTTATCTGAAAGCCAAGGATATGCTGATATAGGGCTCGTAAAAACGGTCATCTTTATTGGTCGCAAGGTGAGGCAGTGCCCTGGCTGGTTAGGCTGTAGTTACCCCGAGTGACTTGGATGTGCTCTTTCATGGGTGAAGGTGCACGTCGGATAAAGCGAAAGACATTATTTAGAAGCTGAAAGCCAGCACTGCTAGTGACTCACAACTACCTTCGTTACGAACAACGATTGCACAGGCCATGTACTAGGCCAGTCGTTCGTAAAGAATATCGTCGTGCTACGCGGATGTGATTGAGATGACAAGCAGGACGTCCTGGATCAGTATTGTAGCCAGGTGAGAGCAAGCACCGAAGTGTTCGAATCATTCAAACAAATTTTCCTCGACAAAATCGAGGCCTCAGAAGAGAGGTCCAAGGGCAACGAGGCCATATACGTAAATGAAAAAAGATCGTGGATAGTGTCTCCAGATGCACCTAAGGGTAAAAGAGTAAGTACTTTTTGTTGCAGAGCATGCGCGATGGTTTGGTATGTCCGCACCTTTCTTATTGTCCAGCGCGCTAATTCTTCTTATTTTAGATCCAACGTCGCCAGCAAGGAGAGCGAGACGAATGCGATGAGCGTGGAGGCCGTAATCAGCGAGGATACCATGGCCATTACGGATCTATAATCGCCGAAGAAACCAGCCGTGGTGAGCGTAGAGGTGGACCAGGGCGACGCGAGCAAGAATAGGACCAAGAAGTATCCTACTGCAAATCTTTCTTTCGTCCTCGAGGACCGTAAAATATGCAAAATTGATCTCTGTCGTCTGATTCTGCATTTCATTGCAGTTAACGTACCTTCCAACACTCGCTTACAAACACAACTTCTGCTTGGTCAGGGGAAAATAGTTGATGAAAACTAGTTCGAGAACCAGGGGACCAGCCAAAGGAAGTCGGGAACAAACTGCCTAGGATGTTCGGAGGATCTATAAAAGGCTCAGGCAATGACTCGATCAGTAAGTTCATATCAAAGCTCCAGACTCAAGTATGTTTGAAGCTGTAGAAATGTTTTATTCGGACTGATGAAGAATGGTACGATATGTGATGATATTTGATATTCTACTGGCACAAACTCTGCTGTGCACATAGGCCACCGATAAAAGGGATGCTGACATGAACGTTTACGTCTTGTTACAAATGTCGCATATGATTTAGCGCACAGGTTGAACCTCAAGGCCGACCTTCAGTGCGATCGGGGACCACAACGCTAGAAAGAGCACTACTAACGCTGTTCTTCAATAAGTAAAAAACTTTAAGTGTTCCGACGCTCTGGAACGACTTACTTGTCAAGAGGCAGGAAGCGCCCATCAAACGGCGCAGGATAGCTTATGTCCTTCTATATAAGGGAATCCAGCATCGCGTGGACGCTACAATTAGTTAGCTAGTTTAAGGTTTCGTGTTATTCCATCATCCGATTTTCAGCTCTCCACGCATCGATCCATGTGGGAATCGTTTAGAATGGTGAGGGGTTAGCATTGGGCATTATCGAGATAAAAAAAACTCCCCTCAATGAACATCTTTGCGGCAATTCACTCACATCAAACATTGACTCAAGAACCGGGGCAGAAATCGTCGATGAAGTGACGATTTTTTTTTTTGTGAAGCCATAATTCCTCCGACGAGCACCGTTTGGTGGGCCTTACTCACAAAAAGAGCCGCTGCTGGAACTGATAGAAATTAAAATCTCCTCCCTCTCATTTACTCAGATAATTGAAGAAAGCAAGACTTTTCTAAGTTGACATTTTGATGGTTGTTCTAATATTGTATAGGAGTCGGGCAAAGAAGGATAGTCTACAAAAAAAATTGAAACATGAAATCTAATACACAGATGGTGCCCAACAAGGCAGAACAAAAGAGCCTGTACCTCTTCACCCCTGATGGACCTCAACCAGGATTCCATCGCGGGGAGCTCTCGATACACCGAGTGCCTCGATCTCATCGTCCTCACTCACCATCTCTCTGATCCATGCCTTAGCTTCGACCTCCATATCACTGTGGCAACGATTGGCTCCATGATCCCCAATCTCAACGATATGATCCAAACCCATCATAGGATCCTGATACGATTGCTCGTCAAACTCCTCCTCAAACTCGCATCCCTCATTATCCTCCATGCCGTCGTGGTGATGATGATCGTGTCGACGTCCTCCCTGATGATGGTAGCGATGGTAATGGGCAGGTTGGCCATGCTGATCCTGAACGCCAGAATCTAACTTGCTCTCAAAAGACCGCTGGTTCTCATGATCGTGGTATCTGTAATCTGGCGCATGCGACGAGTGTGGCAAATAGCCTGGGTTTTGGTGCTGCGAGTGATGATATTGGTGGTGATACTGGTGCTCAATCCTGGCAGGCTGGTGTTTCCCCCATAGCAATTGCTCGATCGATCGGAAGGCACTCGTCTGCATGAACTGCGGTCCATAGAGCGCATTCAGTAGCTCTACCGAAACCTGACCAGGATGGCGGATCGATAGCAGGAACGACATGTGTGAAGGTGTTGTCTTGATCATAGATCGCAGATGAACTAGTTGATAGGCGTAGCAATGAGATTGAACGTTAGTGGATATGCAAAGAAGCATCAAGAATAAAGAAAGGACGGTGCTGCAGAAAGCAGGGACGTGGAGCATCACATACTCTGCAGATTGATGACAACGTTCAGTTGTTCACGCATGCGGTGTAGAACCCTAGTACATTCATCCTTGGCCCTAGATTTCTCAGACGGCCATGGCTCGAGCATGGTACTGCGCATCTTGCACAAAGAGCGAATGCTGCCCCGATGTGGTGTGATCGTAGCATCCCTCCACGGCTTGTGCTCGTTCAGATCATATCCTTCAGAAAGAGCATTCGCTATTAAACCAAGAAGGGAACGGATCAAACTTGTCAGAATAATTATTCTTGAGTAGAAGAACACCGACTCGAAATGCATATTTTATGATTTGTGGCACTCACATCGAACAGCTGCTGCAGGACCAGGCTTCTTCCGCAGTATCATCTCTTGCTCAGCCTGGTTCTGCTGGGACGACTTCGCATCCGATTTCCGTTTCTCTTTGGTATCCTCGTCGTTCTTCGATTTCTCCGTTGCTTGATCAGAGGTCTTGACGTACGACGATGAGGAGGCTGAGGAATCCTTCAAGTCTTTCGTATCCTTTGGAATAATCCACGACACTGGCTGACTTCTGGGAACATTTGACCGAGGAAGGGGTTTCCTGTTCAAGACCTTGCTTCTCATCGTCTTGTGAACGCTCTCCGGAACCATCTGCCGTTGTCGACGACTCCTCTCCTCTTCTTCCCAGAGTCCTCTCAAAAATAGACCTGCATTCGGATGTTGAACTACGGTTCTTCTGCGAGTCTTCAGGCACAATGACCATACTTCATCAGACGACTTGACCTCCTTCGCCTTCATTCCCGTGTCGATATCCGTGCTTTCTTCTCTGAGGGTTGCCCCGGTACCCTTCTTAACATCATCAACAGTGCCCTTGCAGTCAGTAATAATGTCCGTTTGCTCTGTCTCGACTTGAAATTCCTGACAGGTTGATGTTGTGATGGTTAATAGGTCAAGCCAAGACAGATCCAGACGGGATTGCATCACATCCCAAAAATCGCGCATTGCCATCAGTTTCACGTATGGTGAGGGCGACAGAGTTGAAGTCCAGCGTGTTGGATAGTGGTGAATCTTTCGCCGCTTGATCGAACTGAGCCATCCGGCATGCTCGACTGAGGGATCGTTTCCGAGAGGTCGTGTCAGCTCGATTGCCTCCTCAAAGTTCCGTTTGCGACAGGCGCCAAGGAGTGGGAAACAATACCGCAGGCGTCGACAGAACGAGGACGAACGTCGCGTTTTGGTGGCATTAGATGCCTTAGCGCATGCAAACGAGCCCAGGATCGATGCGAATTGAGGTTCTGTCGGTGAAGAAGTTGGCGATGATGACGGTGAAGAAGACGTCGAGGCTGGTGGAGACAATAGCGGCGGCAGAAATCCGTCCTTGCTGTCCAGCGGTGGGATAGTACCCGCAGAGACAAGAGCAGAAGTGGCAGAGAGCAGACTGAGGGATGATGTATCAAGATTGCTGCACGAAGGGGGATCGGTTTGGCAGGGCACAGAGAACTTTGGAGATGGGTCTGCGAGGATGCTCCTCCGCTTTCGGGCAGGCCAGCTGGAAGGTCGATGTGGCGATGCCCTGGAGGGAGATGGTGGCGTGGATGAGGACTCTACTGGTTGCTGAGATTGCCTCCGAGGAGGGCTGGAGGTGTCTGAGGGAGACAATCTCCCGCTAGCTTGTCTTTGCATGAGGTCCTCATTCTGGTCCTCGTCCTCGTTCTCGTCCTCGTCCTCTTCACTTGCCTTCCTGCGTTTCATGGAGATGGGCTTGTGAGGCTCCAATGCTAGCCTCCTTTCAACCTCTGAATCACTGCTCTCCTCGCTTTCGGTAGAGCTTTCTTGCCCAGCATCGTCGCTGTCCTGATCTGTGGCGGTGCTCTCCCTGTGTAGACTGCGGTCGTGCTTCAATCCCCAGCTTCTTGAAGACCCTTGCATGAAGGGCGCCTTGGCACTTTTGTCTCCGTCAATGAGCTCAAAGGTCGATATTGATGGCAGTGCGATTGACGACTCGGAGGCGGCTGTTGATTGCTTTGGTGCGATGATATCGTCGGATTGATGCATGCTAGGGAATATGATATGGGGATGCTCTAGCAGTTGGCTCGTGCTCGGCAGTTGCTCTGGTGATGATGATTGCGATTGGTGAATAGACAGGTCGGGAGCTGAAGCAATTGAGCGCGCAGAGTTGATACTGTTGCACGAAATCTGATTGTGGGGATGCGGTTCGAAGTGAAGTTGGAATAAAAAGGGAGAGAGGCAAGTAAGCAAGAGTTTTTATTAATAAACAAGACCCGTTGTATATGTATAGGACCCTCGTTGTTCCAACGGACAAACGGTTCAGGAGGGGCTCTCGAGCGCAGCGTTGCAGGAACATAGACTGCAGGAAGGAGAGGATAGCATAGCAGGCAAGAGACAAGGAAAGAAAATGGGGTAGGGCGTGGACCAGAAACCAATTGGGTGCAATGGCATGATGACCATGGGTATCGGAGATATATGCATGCATCCTCTCTTCCCCTTCTGCTTTTTTTTTACGTGTCTTTTTGCTGTGCTTGCAGCTGCAACATCCTATCAGCTGCATCACGTATCATGCGTCTCTCTCATCCTCAATATCAACATCCCAGTTCCCATTGACATGCGTACGCAATAAAAAAAACACATACCAAAGCGGAGGCACACGCGGGTGGACAGTCCTCCGGTGAGCCAGGGCCAGCGAGAGCATCGACAGACGGACAAGGTGTGACACGAGCTAAAATAGTGCCTGTTTTAGTTGCACGGCCGCATCTTGTGCTACAAACACTATCTTCACTATCATCCTTGCACCCTTGGCTTTCCCTTGCACCTGCATCACCAGTAGCATTACCGATAGCTACCACAGACCCTTCATCATCATGATAACAGTCCTTTAAGTTTGCGATCGAGGAGTCCGAGTAGTATTCTGAAGGGCGTGCGGGGGATAGATGAGAGCCCTCCTCGTGTCTGATGTTATCCAGTGCAGATACATCGAAGATATCAGGCCTGGGAGAGCCATACAGTTGACTCTGTTGATGTGGTTGTTGAGAGCGATGACACTGCATTGCTGTTTCCGTTGGCGGTGATGGTGGCCTTGATGCTGGTGTGAAATCCTTGTCGCAGGATAAGTGCTTCATATCACAATGGTTGCTCATGTGAGCCAGGGACATACATGAAGACAGGTTAGACTTGAAACGAAGAACGTTCCTGTGTCTGCTATTGCTGTCCTCCCCGAAGTGAGGGCGACAATGGGATTGCTTCTGGGGCTGGGGCTGATCGAGGACATGAAAGGAGGGTGGGGGCGAAGGCAGGGACAATGGTGGAGTAGAATTGGATGGTATGTGTGACGTGGTATGTAAAGACGAGGGAGCGGGGGCGGGTTTTGAGTAGCAGACAGAAGAGGAGTGAGAAAGAGAACGAGGTTCGTGGTGCTTCATACCAAAGTGGAGACGACGAGGGAAGGGAGGCGTGGGAGGGAAAGCAAAGGAGAGGGATGGGAAGGAGGGAGGAGGAAGGGAAGGCGTAAGCAATTGTCAGAATCTAGAAAAAGGTGGGTGCCTGGTAAGGATGGTTGATGCGTCGGCACAAGCGAAGCAAAAAGTGTGTGCAGTGCTGGGATTCAATGTGATAGGTGAGGAGTAAAAATAGGCGAGGAAGAGTGATAGAGTGAGAGTGTAGGAATGCGAGAGTGTGGGAGAGTGTATGTGGGAAAGAATATGTGAAAGTGTGTGAGAGAGAGGGGGAAGAAGAGAAGAGGGAAGGAGGGAAGGAGGGAAGAAGGAAAAGAGTGTTATCTGCGAGAGTGCGAAAGAGAGAATGAAAGAAGGAAAGGGGAAAGGCGGAGAGAAGGAAGAAGGAAAGAAATGAAAAGTGTGATGTACTCAGTCCATGTATCCCCACTTTGCTGTGGGTTGGATGGGACATGATGGGATGTGTTTCCATGTATGCGATGCTTATTACTTTCTGCTTTGCTCATGGTCTTGTGTTGTGCTTCTGCATCTGCTCTGTTGGACTCGTGAATGAGGGATGGGTGCATTGCTTGCCAATGCAATGCATGCATGCATGTACCATGCCATATAAATATATCTTTTTTTTTTTACTCGATTGAAAGTATGCAATGCAATGCAGAAACAGCAAGGATTCCTATGTTAAACTCTGGTCTATCTGCATCGCTACATGTCTTCGGTCACTGTCTTTCAGAAAAAAGAGCACTTACTTTCTTGTGCTCTGTACGGTGCTTCAAGCATTGCTCCACTCGCTCGTTGAAATGACATTTAGGATTTAGCCAAAGTTGGGGGGTGAACTGTGCGCTGTGATCGGAGATAACATAACGCACTCCTCCAATTTGACAATAACAAGCACCACTAACATGGCACAAAAAAGATAGGCAAGTACCAGCTAAGACCAGGCGAGCAACAAATGATGCACAAAAATGAGGGTAAGGGACACCCCCGCTTTGCCAGGAGACAAGAGATGTGTGGATAGGTCAATGAATAATCAGGCACAGAGATGCAAGGATCAAGCATTCGTTTGAAAGGGATCGAAAAAAGGGACTTGGAGAAGCACAAACATGCATGCACACAGACGAGCAGAAACAGTTGACGGGCCAGCCGATGAGCTCAAGGAGAAGAAAGAGTAAAAGTGGAGAAGGAGATAAGGGCCGATTGTTGATGATCCAAGGATGACAAAGGGTCGCTCGGCAACTTGGAATAAACCATCCTCGTTTTTTTTTGATTTTTTTTATCAATCCGATATAGATCGTTGTGTCGCTAGTCTTCTACCCCTATACAGACTTCGCCATCCCATTTTATATTCATCTTTCATGAGCCATTCTTTGATATCGGAACAAAATATCCTCCAAGCTCCATGGCGACTTGCATGCACCTTTTGACCCAGAACAGCCCCAATGGCTATCAAGGCGCACCAAATGATGAAGCAATGTCCAATATACGGAGAAATATACACATGGATAGAATTCAATATTCCTTATAACTCTCTGAATCGGAGTAAGCATCAAGATCTTAAGGAATTGACTGCTTGATATCCATTTGCAGTTACAGTTTATTCATCGCATGTGCCTTACTGCCAACACTATACACACGCACTAAACTCTACAACAGAAGGAATACATACTCTATGTTTTTGTTTTGATTGTTGTTTCGCCAATAAATACCTGATCCATTCAAGGCTCTTAGTCTGCATGCGCATGCTGACGCGAATGTTTTTTGTCATTTGCCCTGCAACTTTGTGCGACATATGAACAAACAAGATTCAACGCTAAAAACCCGCGCGGACGAAAAATAAAAATAAAAAATGGAGCGGTGCAGGGTGTGTGTAGTGGATAGTCTAAGTTGGGCACAAGAGCTACAGACCCCATTTCATCCAGCCCATGTGTCCCCATCCTAGGACAAGTCAGAGCCATGCATGGCGGTTGGGCAGGTCAATCATCTAACTAGGCTTGACCTGCATAGTGGACTGACTGTACATCCCAGGGGAGCAAAGCAGTAGTAGCTGCAATAGTGTTTCGTGCATCAAGGTCCGCATTCTCTTTTATTTTAGTTCCATAAGCATAGTGGATTTACGGACAGACTCATGTCAATTCAAGTCTTGACCATCCACATGAAGTCCAGCAGTTGCCCCAATGGCTCTCGAGAATCCATTGTGCAACTGTTGGCCGACTTCTCCTCGTCTTCAGTCTGTCACCGCTCAGACCAACACATGCTTCCCTCTTTGTAGCAAGAAACTGATGGTAGACCAGGTAAGGACGATGGCAGTGCCCCGGGGATATTTCGGTTAGTTGTAGGTGCAGTAGTAGGATGAAAGATAGAGATTGGCGCCCGATGGACGTTACCGGGTCACTCCTTGAACAGCCTAAATGCTTTACTGCGGTTGCCTGGGGCTGATGTGCAAAGACAGATTAAATCGGGTGGGATCAGCAAAAGCCCAAAAGGGCGTAATGCTATTTTTATCGACTGCAGCACCGTGCACAGCCACCTTTCCTCTCTGTCTGTGGGGATCAAAGTGTTCATCCTTTTTTTATTCGTCCACTCTTGGTAGCACTCATCATCCCATTCCCTTACTCCATTTGGCCACCCTCATTACATCCTCCATTATCAACTCAACTACACCATGGCCCTGACACCAGACCCAGCACAAAGGAATACCCCTAACAGAACACCGCCCTTGAAACCAACCGGCGACCAGGCACAGACGCACACCATGTAGGTATTCATTCTTCCTTCGCACATAACCATCATTTCTTCCCCTCTCCCATGCGACCAATGCCTTCCCCCGACCATTGTCCTATCCATCTTTTAGCCACCAACAAGGATACAATTAAACTGTAGCTGTAACTGTAACTGACGATGTGTCATATCAATTTGTATCATAGTGGCAAAACAGCTTTGGAAGACCTTGCCATTGACAAACTAGCCGTCAGCACTAGACCCTTGCCGCATCAGCAGTACCCGCCTCCACAGCTCGAGCACTACCACGCAAACTATCCTTTATCGTCCCAGCAACAGAATCAGCAACAGTACCAGCAACAGCAACAGTACCAGCAACAGCAGCAGTACCAGCAACAGCAGCAGTACCAGCAACAGCAGCAGTACCAGCAACAGCAGCAGCACCATCAACAGCAGCAGTACCAGCAACAACAACAGCAACAGCACCAGCAACAGTACCAGCAGCAGCAGCAACTACATGGACAATCTTATACCTCTCCTCGATACCCCCCACAGCCATACCCAATACCGCAGTCACAAAGTCCAGGCCCCATAAACCAGAGCTCAGAAGCCAGCGGCACCCGTACGACCATCACCGCGACCATCACCATCGACGATGATCGCCCCAGCTCCATCTCCTTCGACCCCGCTCAACGTCAACCCCAACGTCGAGCCCATTCCACTCAGCTGCCCCCAGCTGTCGCGGCCATGGTCCTGACACCGGCCCAACAGCGTGAGGCCGAGGCGGATGCGTATATCCAACGGGCGATTGAACTTCACGAGGATAATCAGCTCGAGGAGGCAACGTATTATTTCCGACTGGCCGCCCAGAGTGAGAACCCTGTTGGGCAGCTCATGTATGGGCTGTCATTGAGACATGGCTGGGTAAGAGCAAGATCAAACAGAGCCAAAAAAAAAAAAAAAAAATGCATTCCATACATCCATACATAAACTACATGCATGCATGAATGTGCATGTGTATCTCGTACATACATGCAATATTAACCAGCTGGTTTTTTTTTTTTTTTTTTTTTTTTTGAAAAATAGGGATGCAAACCAAACCCGAAGGAAGCCATTATTTATCTACAACGCGCTGCAGCCTATGCCATGAACGAGCTCAAGGACCTCCTTCCCGGGAGCACCGCGAACATCAAAGCGATCCAACGGCAACAAGATCAGCATCAGCAACACTCTGGCGGCGTGTCCTTGCCACCGACGTCCTCATCACCATCTTCTTTTTCTTCTTCTTCCGCATCAGGACCGCAGCCCTTGCGACGGATGGGAACCATTGATAGGCGTTCCGCTATGTTGACAGCACGAAAGGAATTGGTCATGGCCCTTTACGAGCTTGGAATGTCATTCCTGAAGGGTTGGGGTGTCAATAAGGACAAGGTCGCGGCGTTCCATTACTTCAAACTCGCGGCGGATCTTGTACGTTGTACTTTTTTTTATTTTATTTTATTTTATTTTTTTCTTTGTGCATTGAAGTTGAATGAGAATTTCGTCCGCACCGAGTGAAGTTTTTTTTTTTTTTTTACTCATCCGCAATGTTTGCAATTGTTCTTATTTTATATATATATATATATTTTTATTTCTTCCTTTTCTAGGGTGATCCGGATTCCCAAAACGAAGTTGCACAATGCTTCCTGGACGGAATTGGGACGGAGAAGAACGCGTTCGAAGCCGCACGATATTACCGTCTAGCCTCTGCACAGGGAGCCTCTCAACTCGGGAACTCTTGGATCTGGAAACCGAAATACGATCAGTACTGCGAACAGCATGCAGCCAATGCCAACGCCAACGCCACTGCCGCCGCTCCCGCTGCTACTGCTACATCTAGGAAAAAACAACAACATCCAGAAGGTGCCTCAAGTGCAGACACAGCAGGTCCATGTCCAGTGTCGCCTACGAATTCGATTGCCGCAGGATTGGCCTCCATGACCGCCAGTGCTGCATCTATGGCCACTCCCTTGGGTGCAGCTGCAGCCGCAAGAACACCAGACGCGATGTCTCTTCTGTTGGGTGGCGGTAGAAAGAATTCGGAACGGAACGGAATGTCAGGAGCGAGTGCTAGAAAGGATCGCTATAACCTGGCGGGCGATTTGATTTCGTCCAGTCAGTTGGAGCTCAAGTTGAGGCAGGCGGAGCAATTGACAAGTGCCACCATTGGAGCCGTCGTCATCGGGGATATGTCTTCTGGATCGTCGGGGCAGGACCAGACGACGACGACACCGACGACCAAGAAAAAGCATCGGTGGAGTTTGTTTCCTCACCATCTTCAACATCGCCGGTCACCTTCCTCGGGCTAGCTTTTTTCTTTTTTCTTTTTTCGCATTTTTTTTTTTGGCAACTCAGAACCATTACACAGTATCATGGGGATGATGACATTTCATAAAAAAAATTTAGCTTTTTTAAAAAAAAAAAAAGATGGGCCATCGAGAAAAGTATCGTTGTACATGTACAATAGAAATATAGGATGAGATGCATAAAGTACGCGGCAACTGAACAGAACAAGGAGGGGAAAAAAAGAAAAAAGAAAAAATAAAAAATAAAAAACAATGAGCGGAGGTAGCGTTGGGAATTTTTTTTTAAAAAAAAAGAAATGAATAAAATAGGCGGTATAAAATAAAACTATACAAGGTAGACGAAATAAAATACGGAATCTTCAAAAGATCAAAGAAAAGGATGAATGCAAAGGAAAACAAAGAAAAAAAAAACACAAAGAAAAAAAAAAAAAGAGACAGGGGTGAGGACCCCTCCCCCCGGATCCGAACATTTTTTTAGTTGAGACACTCCTCATAGCTAGGATGGCAGCTCGAAAGCAATGCTCCGAGGGTCTTCAGACTCACGGGCTTGGTCAAGTACCCATCCACACCCGACTCGAACGCCAACCGCTTATCCTCCTCGCCCGCGAGACCCGTCAACGCAAAGATCGTCGTCGGACGATACCCCCTCTTCTCAAACTCTGGGATGTCCTGGGCTTCCGAAAGCTTGTCCATCTCAGAGATGTCCGACACCTCTGGTGTAGAGAGTCCATGCTGCTTTGCCATGCTGTGCTCAAACTCGCGGATCCGCTTCGTCGCCAGGTGTCCGTCCATAATCGGCATCTGCAGATCCATCAGCACAAACTCAAACCCGGATCGCCCCTGCCGTCTCCAGACCTCCTCCTGGAACCGTTCCACTCCCAATTTGCCGTTCTCTGCCTCCACCACAGAGACCCCGCGCTTTTTCAAAAACGTCCTCAGAATCATCCGGTTCGTCATGTTGTCCTCCACAATCAGCACCCGTGGAACAGGCTTGAGCATCCCCAGCTGGTCCGAGCCCTCGGACACAAGTGGTTCACCGAGGACAACTGTCGACTTTCCCGAGTTGATTGTCTCTACCTCGTTCAGGCTCGATTTCTTGCCCATCGCCCTCGCTGATCCGCTTCGATGGCTCATAAACTTCCGGATCGATCTCTGGGTCTTGGGCTTGATCACACTTGGGTCACGATCAGTTCTGGGGGCCGTGACAGAGCCATCACTCAGTGAGGATTGAGAGTCGCTATCTGAAAGAACCGTGGGTGGGTCCTTTGGACCAATAACAAGTCCACCGGGCGAATGAGGAGGCACTGGGGCGCTACCAAGTTCCGTGAGAGGCGCAGGTGAGGCTGGGAATTTGAAAGACGACTTGATCATGATTCCCGCAGAAAGCATACGGTTATCCTGGACGCCCATTGCCATGGTGGTGATATGGGGTACTGTCGCAGATCGCATCAGAGGCATCATGCTCGGTTGCGTCATCATCGCGCCGTCCTCAGTTTTGTCCGTCAGCTCTGGATGATCGTGCAGAGACCGGGCATCATCATTCGTTGCAAAGCAGCTGCGTAGGCAGCCCAGCAGCTTGAGTGGACCAAAAGGTTTAGGCATGAGCACCACTGTCGCAGCGCGGTCTGATCCACCACGCTCACGCCAGGATTCCACGTAGGCGTCGATGAGAGCTTGGGCCTTCTTGTGCTTCCAGATGGAGATCAGCATCAGCAGCGGAGTAGGAACCTTGGAAGAGTCAATGTCTTGTCCCATCGCTTTTTGGTGCTCGTCCGTCCAATAGGAGAGATAGGCCTTGAGGCGGGCCAGATCGTCGTTGAAAATCAGTAGATCGCATGGCGACTGGTCGTTCAAGTCGCGCAACATGTCCTCTGGACTAATATCTTGCTCGTTTCCACGTTCCACATTCATGTTCAGATCCTGGGCAATCATGCGCTCGCCCATGATCTTCCACAATCTGTCCGTGCTCAAAGCGGATTCGCCCGTGTAGAATCGGCAGGACTTTTCCTGCCAGGCTCCTTGTTCGTCCTTGAGAGACTTTGTCTCGTTCGTGGCCGGTGTGGCCCAAACCAGGACTCGGACAACACAGCCCTTGCCCTCGATACCCTCGCTGTAAATCTCGAGCCAGCCGCCCAAGCTCTCCACCAGCAGCTTTACTAGGGCCAGTCCCAGTCCTGTGCCAACCTGCAGAGGATCTTCCTGAGAGAATCGTTGAAAAAGATGCAATTGAGCAAACTCGGGCGAGATGCCCTTGCCGGTGTCTCGAACAGTAAACAGAATAGGGCGCAGTTCGGGCTGTGGGGGTCTGAGGGGCAATGAAGACATAGGAGGTGACACGGCCGAGATCTCTACGAAGCCCGTCGTCGTAAACTTGAGCGCGTTCTCGAGGAGCTTATACGTTGACAATGAAAAAAAAAAAAAAAAAAAAAAAAAGAGAGGATGTCGTTAGTTAAAATTTTGAAGGAGTACATCTCGTACAACTAAAATCAAAGATTTTTCCTCCCAGAACATATTCGATACCTGAGTAAGGATGCGCTTAATCACCGGCAGGTTGAGTAAAAAGTTCCAGTGTGCGTCCTCCTCTGGGTCTCTATCTGGCTCATCCATTGCCACTATCAACTCCAGCCCGGCTTTCTGATCCGAGGAATGCTTGGAACCGGTTTGTCCAAAGTAAGAATCTGGAGAGGGCGAGTTCTCGTGGCTAGTTTCGTCCATCGACTGTCGACTGCTTGCGTAGTCTTGAACTGGGGTTGCTGCTCTCACGTTTGCTCCAGAGCTGGAATTAGGTGTAGAATTCGTCATGGACGAGGAGAGCGACACCAACGACGGCTTGGTCCAGGTGGGAACAATCACGAGGTTCTTATCTATACAAGATTTGGTCATCGTCCCGGCCACTTGTTCGCATAGCTCGCGAATGTCGATCTCGGCAACGTGCGTGTACAGCTCTGGGAGTGGACACTGTGCGCGCTGAAAGTTCTCAGAGTCGGCATTGTTGTCGGGATCCAGATCAGCCAAGTCGATAATGTTATTAATGGTATCGATAAGGCCCTTGCCCGACGCTTCTGCAGAGGCTATCATCGAGAGCTGGTGCTCACTCAGTGTTTCCTCGCTACTCGTATAAAGCAGCTCCAGGATGCCCAGAATGATATGCAGTGGTGTCCTGAGCTCATGTGAAATGCTAACAAAAAAGTAAAGAAATGGCACGGTGGTTAGAGGACCAATCACAAGAAATAGGAAGAATGCAGTATGTACAGTTGCGTTGCGCACCTTTTGATAAAGACTCCCTTTGCCTTGTCGGCTGCCTCGACTCGTCTTTTTAGGACCTCGGTGATCAAGCAAGACCCAAAATTCTTAAGGTAGATTCTTTCATGGATCGAAAACTGCTTCGTGCGCGAGGACGACAAGACGACAAAATATGCCCAAGGTTCCTCCTCCTGGACCGATGAGCGGTTGCCCGACGAAGCGCCACGAATCGGCATCACGATACCAGATTTGTAGGGGGAACTGGCGCCAGCTGAGAGCAGGGGTAGCGTGCCCTGGAATGTGTGGCAAAGAAGGGCGTTTCGCTTCGAAGGTTTGGGCGTGGATTCGTTGGCCCAAGGTTCAGAAAAGTCGTTCTCCTCGCTCGCCAGTGAGTAAGTGAATAAAGGGTATTGGTCCGGCGCTATTTTCTCCTGTCGTACATAGCTCAACATTTCCGAGATGACGGGGAGGTCTCGGGTCCATTCTGGTTCGACAGCATCGAGCAGCATGTCGCCGAGGCGGTGGGGCCGACAGCCTTCATCCGTGCAAACCCAAGCACTTCCTTGTCGACGGACTTGATGCGCCGATTCGTCAAACAAGGCGCTGTTTGCCTTGGCAAACCTTTTCGACGAGGCCAGGCAGTTCAGTTCCATCCTCCCGGGGCTTTGAAGCAATTCACCGCCACCAATAGTTCCAACACAGCCTTTGGATCGATCGCCATTACCCAAGTAGTTCCATACAACGTTAGAATCGTTCAGTTGTATGAAGGATTTGTGGACGGCTGCCTGAATCAGATAGACAGCATCCACATTCATGGTCGTCTGAATCATACCGCACGCCGATGGGAACGCCACATCCTCCAGGTGATCTCTAACGCCTTCGACTTCGGTCCTGCTGCCTGATTTGTTCTCTACAGCGCTGGAACCGGGTGTTGGAGAGCCGGTGGGCGTAGGAAAGGCCGCATCGGATGGCTGCGTGGTGGGCTTGTCAAGATCGGTTGATGTGGATCCAGGGATAGCCGCCTCGAGTGATGTTGGGGGAATCGTGGGCTGGGCCTGATCAGACGAATGCTCATCAGTCTTGGAATTTGTGCTCAGCTTCGAGGACAGGGCCGATTCTTTCGCATTAACATCGAGGCGTCCGCGCACCCAGCGTGTGATATCGCGCATCATGCGGGTTCGCGTACAGAGCTGCACCTGATCATTCCAGAGCTCCATCTCCCTCATGACAACGGCTGCAAAGTCGACCAGTAACATCTTTTCCCTTTCTGAGAACTCGGTTCGGGGTTTGGGATCGATAACGCACAGGGAGCCGATGTTGAGACCATCCGACGTTGCGAGCGCTGCACCAGCATAGAATCGTACCCTGGGACCACCAGTGACGGCAGGCAAATTCCTAAATCTCCAGTCTTCCGAAGCGTCCAAAACGACTAGAGGATCGCCGGCTGGCCGCAAGATGGCATGACCGCTTAATGAAACCTCTCTGCTGCACTCCATGTTCTCTGCCCGATGGTTTGCCTTGATCGTGACCTGGCTCTGGTCAACAAGACAGATCATACAGCCACTCACGTTCAGGACAGTCGCCACAAGTTGTGCAACACGTTGAAAGTTCATATCACTGCCGGTTTCGAGAATCTGAAAGCTGTACAGGGCCTTAAGGCGTTTCTCCTCAGTGGGTGGCGAAGGTGCAGCCAAAAAGGGCGGTGGATTAGCAATGTCATTTGGTTTGGCGTAATCTGGGAACGGGGGGAACTCTATTCCATGTCGCTTTTGGGTTTGGGGAGGGAGCTGGACATTGGGGAAGCGGCCTTCGCTGTACGCCTTCAGGAAGTCGTCCCATGAGCCGAACCCTGGATTACGATCGGTCCCTTTTTGACTCTCGTGAGCACTATACAGTATTGCATCGCCACTCTGGGCCCTGTGCTTTGACAAATTCGGTCGCGAGGCTGACGAATCTATTGAGGGCGGCGGTGTTGGGTTGGTTCCAGAGAAGGGTGGTCGTGTGCGCATACTCTGAGCAAATCCAGAGAGCCTCTTCCCCAGTCCTGGTCCAGGTTGTTTTGATATAGAGAGAAGGTTCTGTCCTGACTCTGACGTCCGCCTTGTCCGTGCTTCGTCCCCTTTGAGATGATACATGCTAGACTCGGATGCACTAAGGCCGTTGGACAAGTTTCCTGATACGGAGACGGTGTCCAATCCTAGACTCGCACATCCACCAGAGTGTTCGGAGTCCTGGTAGTAAGCAGCGAGCTGGTGTCCTGACGAGTCAAGCATGGGTTTTTGTGCCGACTTGGGAGATCTGACAATGTACACAAATATGACAGACAGACTGTGAGTACGCTGAACGGCTCCTAGTTTTTCCAACCTTCCCTTCCTGGTGTCGCACACGTCTTTTTGCTTTGGTAGTACAAAGATATTTTAGATGCAAATAGAGATTGCCACGCAGAGCTTACCTGGAAGAAGCCTGGCTTGCAGCGACGGAATTTGGATGAGCATCCAATCCCTCTGCATGGTGTCCTCTTGTGAAGTTAGGCATCCAGTTAAGAGTCTGTCCGTTGGATCTTCGACGATCTTTCAGCAGGGCGTCTGCAATTGAACTTCGTGGGTGCGTGGGACTGGTGGGAGATGCAGGTCCATTGGTTAAGCTAGAATTGGATGAGAAGAGGGTGGAAAGGATGGAGGACGAAAAGGAACGGAGGGAAGGGTCCGGTGTGGCTGATGGCTGGCTTTGTGAATGGTGTTGGTCATTCTGGAGTTGCAGAGGCTGTAACCGAGGCCGTGAGTGCGGTTTTTTTAAGGCATCCTGACTATCAGGGTCATCGTTCCTTGGGTCTGTCCCGCTGGAGTAGCACATGTCTGAACCGTTAGGATGTGGGGCTGTCGCAGAGCCATCGCCCGCAATCTGTGCTGCAAAGGCAGTGAGAGCAGGCAGGGGAGAGGTGATGGCACGCAAGAAGCGCGGGCGTTGTGGTTGTGGTGGAGAGATGGGTGGGACAGCCGAGTCGAGCGGACCATGCGGATGCATGTTCTTTGGAAAGGTCGGTGGAGAATTGGAGGTCATGGCCTATGTTGGTTTGGTCACTTTGGTCCCAGAAGCCCAGGAGAGGGTTTGGCGGCAGGGCAGGGCAGGGCAATGAGGGCCTATTGCAGACTGGTGGAGTGGGAGCCAGATAAGGGAGGGCATGGTGATTGGTTAGCGGGTTAGTGAGACGAAACAGGCAAAGGATGCGACCGATGGTGGGTGCGAGACATGATACGCCAGGAGCAAATTGCAGTTGGCTGTTGGTTGCTGGCTACTGGCTGGCGGTTGCTGGCTGCAATGGATGTATGGGTGTATGGATGGATGTAGACTACGTTGGTTGTGTTGTGGGTCAATGGACTTGATTAGATAAATGAAGCGTATATGATGCGGTAGGATCACAGGATAGAGAGACATGCAGGGAAAGAGGGGATGGGGGTGGCTGTTGTAAAGTGAGATCCCAGGGTATGACGATGACATAGTTATACATCTTGCACCTCATGCACAAGCAACAGCAACAGCAACAGCAGCAGCATATCCAAACAGCAGCATATCCAATTGCAGATGCATCCACATACAGGTTCATATCACACACTCAAGCAACGAGAGCATAACGACGTACAATGAAGGGGACAACGACATCCACAGCCACCGCTGGTGCTTGAAGGACCGAAGGACCGAAGGACAGGGGGAGAGGGAGGAAATAATAGGTGGAGCTTGATCCAAACTAGAAGACTATGTGTCTGCTTATTCTGTGGATGGGTGGTATGCTATCCCTTTTTTGGAGCGTAGGCACGAGGCGGGGCTTGAGTCTAAAGGGTGACTGGATAGGGCTGCGAAAGAGGAAGATGGGCAGGTCGTCTTTCTCGCCTATGTGGTGGCGGTGGGGCGGTGGGGCGGTGTGGAGTGGAGTGGAGCGGTGTGTGGGGGTGGGTTGTTGAGGACGGGTAAACGGGTATGTGTGAATGAAGCTTGTTCCTGGACTAGAAAGTGCGCACTGTTTCAGTGGGTGGGTGAGCGGGTGGGCGGGTGAGAGAGTGAAAGAGTGAGCGTCAGAAAGCGAGTGGGGCGGGTGAGCGGATGAACGAGTGAGCAAGTGGGATTCGAAAGAGGAATGGAGTGGGAGGTGGAAAAGCGGAAATGAAGGCGAATCGAGATGGATGTAGGCGGGGAAGGGGAGGGGGAGGGAAGAGAGCGTGAGTGCGAGTGCGAGTGCGAGTGCGAGGGAAAGGGAAAGGGAAAGGGCGGGAGGGAGAATGAGAGAGCGAGAGGGTGTGAGGGTGAGAGTGCGAGAGGGGAGATTTGACTGAGCAAATGATACAAATGATAATAAGAAGGAAAAGAAGGAAAAAGAAGGGGTCCCTCAGTGGTACAGAGGCAGCGAGACGATGGGTCGAGTATGCAACGCACTGAATCGAGCAGGGTACTCTGCAGAAAAGGAAAGAACAACAACAACGGAAACCCGGATACGAATGAGAATACGTCCCCACTTGGCGGCACACCAGCACACTCAACACTCAGCACTCAACGCCCGACAGCCAGCACCCAACACGCAGCACGCAACACCCATCCCCCACTCCCGTTCACCCCCACTTTCGCTCGCAGCAAACCCTAACGGGATGGAAACGGCTGCTAGTCGACAGTCAAATCGAGCTAAACTGAATCGGAGTGGATCTGGCGCCTTCTACATGTATCTACATGTACTATAGCCTGCACTCCAGCACTGTTCACACACAGACCAATTGTTACCTTGGAATGGCCTGCATAGAACTTAGTTTAGCGCTAGTCTTCAGTCGGGCAAAAGGGTCCGTTTTCTTTGGTCCCCAACTTGTTTGCAGTTTGTGGCCATGGCGATACCTGTATCTCCCTCCAAAAACAAAAGATCTCCCCCTCTCTCCACGCATCGTCGTCATTGCAACGCTCTACCATGCGCAACCAAAAAAGCGGATGCTCTAATGCCACATATAAAAACATTTGTAGAAAAAAGCGCAAAAGCGCCGCATGCGTCCCATGCCACTGGCCGCTTCCTTTAGAAAAACAATCGGTCGATACCGCCGCAAAAAACATGAATGTCGTTAGTGAGCTAATGAAAGTACGAGCGAAATTAAAGAATAAGGCGGGTCAGAATGCTACCACTCCGTAATAACTAAAACCCCGCCCCGCTCAGGATTGGTTCTCTGGCTTCGGATTGCAGATTCATCTATCCATCCGTCCAGAGTCTAGCCGTTTCTGTCTTTTAATTCCTTTCACACGCCGAACGTCTTTTGTTCTTGACTCTCCCGTGAAATTCGTGCGCAACAGACAATCATCACCAGCTGTAACCCCGCAGCGCTCTATCGATCATCAGCCGCTCTCCCAATTTCCACGGGAGTTCCTAATCGCAATCCCACATGGAAACCCTAAAACTTTTTTTGCATTCAACAGAAAACAGGGCGTTAAAAGACCGCTCACTGCTTACACATCTCTCCAGCGCAAAGTCTTCTGTCTCTTGCAAAGGACATTCAACATTCAACTATACGCAACGGCTTGGTTGCTTTTGCGCGTTTATCATGTCCAATTTTTAATGCCCCCTGCGGAACAGTGCCTTTATGTACCTACTGCCGTTCCCGGTGTGAAGTTGCACCATTGTCGCGTCTCCCTTCTTATTTAGAATACGAGGCGGTGTGGAAGGCTGATATAGAATGCGCTGCTGCAAGGCCTGCCATCCGCACGCTCAGTAAGACAAACGGACACACAGCAGCTATACGCGGCTGGAAAATAAGACATGCTCACAATCCACGACTGTTCTGGAAAAAGAAAATTCTTTTTTCCCAAGAGTGCACCTTCCGCACACCGATCAATGTATAGATAGACCTGTAGACCTACCATCGATAGTTAGATTATACATGACAAAAAAACGCTCCCCCAATACGAATGTTATCCCTCGGCTCTACAACGTCACTGAGGACGCCATTGAGTTCAGGTGGCAGGGCTTTACAACGCGCTTCCATCGCTTGTTTTGAAGGTTCTACATCGCTACAAAGTTTTGTCCTTTCTTCTTCACCGCCCCTAGATCTCGCTGCTGAATCGAACTTTTTGCACATCGCAGCACGCCGCTGTCTTTTCAAGCACCTGTTTGCTTACACTAGCCGCAAGCTTTTTTTTTTCAAACCCATTTTTTCATCGAAGCCTTGGATGCTGCGGAAGATGGCTTCGACGACTATATAAAATGGGTATTCAGAAATTTTACGGACAACGACAGGTTTTATGCTGTGGATGAAGATAATTATTCGCTTCAAGTGGCCAAGGCACTCTCCACATCAATAGGCGACGGATACTAAAGAAAAAAATGTCGTAGGCTAAATACCTATTCCTGTTGCCTCCTAGCCTTCCCGCGCAAATGTGCTACGGGCTCGAATCAAGACATTGCAAGACCTTTGCCCTACCGACAGCACGCGCATTCGTATTAACAAGGACAAACGGATTAAAAGAGAAAGCTGACAAAAGAGAAGCGTCAAGCCATTCTATATCGCTAAGAGTATTGCAAAACAGGAAGAGGAAATGGCAAAGCTGCCATACCCGATTCTATGGAACAGTGTCAGAGATGTTGCATTGAACAGAAATATTGAAACCATTAGTATTCAAGACACGCGTCTCCCTTACTTGAACCTCAGTCTTTGCCACTTTATATACCTTCACCACTGAACACTCCCTTTAACTTTTGCAACACCATGCTCCCAGACTTGAACTTATTGCATCCCTAACTGTGTTTTCTTCGTTGCAGTGGAAAGAGGATGGCTATTTTGAGCGATCCATCCCTTTGTTGGTCTCTCTCGGTTCAGAAGATAATGCGACGGAGACAGAAGACGCGTCAAACTGATTATTTCGCAGGATCTATTCTGTGCGCATGAATAAAAGATTTGACGCGAGCTAGCAATCACACCTTGTCCTCCTATTTCCCCGCATCTATCAAGGCCTGCCGAAACAAAAGGCTTCGCGTTCTTAGCAATGCATGCATGCGTTGATGCCTATGAAATCCGCGACTTTTGGCAACTCTCTACCGCTCCTTATATTGCAATGGATCTTCATTTCACCAAAGCACGCCTTTGGCTTTATCCATCCTTCTCCTACGCATCCCCAACTTTTCCTACAGAACCATGCTTCAATGCAAAATATACCTCTTATCCCTGATCTCGGGTGGCATACGAAAGCCCCGAATGACCTGCACACCCAGCTCGCGCCTTTTTCCCGAGCTACTCCCCATCCTAGCACCTCCAGCACCACCATCACCGCCAGTCAGCAAGCACTGGAGTCACCTTCAAAGCTCTCGACATCCAAGAACGATGCCTCAGGGGTCCCCCAAAGTGAAGAGGGGGGTTATGGTAAGATGAAGGAAATATGCTGTTTCAGTGCTTTCGTATTACATATTACTAACAGTTCAACTATAGGTTGTTGCACTCCAAAAAGCGTGTGTACCACAGGAACAAGCTATCTGTACGGACCATGCGTGTTCGCGCGTATGGATCGATCACACACCCCACATAGAATATATACATATCGCAGGGCACAGCAATTTGCCGGGATTGTCTCATTTGAACTCATCAAGAACATCCACAATAATAATAATAAAAACGGAAAAGCACAGTGTATAAAAGAAAAGCGTGCGTCCTCATTGTCCCCCCCCTCCCCCCATCTCTCAACATTTGTCTGACATCGCTCATGTCTTCTCATGCTAATTAATACGGGATTAGAAAAACATAACGTGTTTTGTAATAACCAGACTCCCACAGATGTATATATATCTCTTTAACATGAAGGTATGCAAGGCAACAAACAACAATTTTTTTTTCGATGCAGTGCAGTCTGAACCGAGTTATAAACATCTTTTTTTTTTTTTTTTTTTTTTTTTTTTTTTTTTTTTTTTCGCCGCGTCCTCGCTTGTGTAAAGCAAAAATTTTGAGAATGACACCATGAACAACAATTTAACATAGGCCCCCTCCCAGTATATCTCTCTCTCCCAAGAACTGGAGCGGTTGAGTCTTCCTCCCGGTCCTTCCATGATAGAATCTTTCCTCCAATGGAAGTGATACTCTTTTCTATGAGCAATTAAAAAAAAAAAAGTAAATAATTCTTACAGTCGCCCCGGGGGAAGTTTTGTACAGTTTGTAGTAAACAAAGAAAAACAAACAAACAAACAAATAAATAAATAAATAAATACGAAACGCGATTAAAATCTCTCTACGATCCACGTATGACGGACGCGACTAGCAGGGGACAGAATGGCCAAGGAATGAGAGCGAGTGCCTTTTTTTTTTCTCCGCACACTCTGTTTCCCAAGGAAGAGAAAACAGCATCCCACCTATGATAAAAAAAACCCCCCAGGATCCCGCAAAAGGATGACATCCCACACTCAACGTACCCGTATCACCTCTTTCTGTTCTACGATCGTATCCTGGAGACATAAGGAGTCCTTTTCATGAACCTTACCGGCACACGTACCGTGTCACCGAATGTACAATCTAGACTTGCTGATAATCAGGCTGTAGTCGTTCGATAGTCGAGTTGACTCATGAGCAATTGTGTGTTAGAGGTCCTTTGTTTGATGGCGTAACAGTAGTACAGTAGAGTACAAATACTTGTCTAGGTCTATCTATTCGGACACTGCTTGCCAATCCTTGATTGATTATGTAAGACTAATAAAAGTGTCCATCAAACGAATCGCGGGCTGAGCAAGGCTGCCTTCCTTGCTGCTTGACTTGCCAAGACTTCGGTCCGAGCCCGAAAGACCACGTCCCAGGAATCGTCAGACTGTCCGGTTGCCTCAATAGTCGCCATCAGACCTTCCTCTAATGATCCAAACGTAACGCCATCATCGCTGCAGGAAATATTCAGCCCGTCCTGTAGCAGAAGCATGAGCCTTGATCGTTCGATACTGCCGAGTTGACATCCGATGCGTGATGGCAGGAGGATGTCAGCTATTGAAAAAAAAAAACAAAAAAAAAAAGCGGGATGATTGCCAGTGTCAATTAATGCGTCAGACCAAATAATTACACCTTACCCATCGCGACTATTTGCAACATACCGAGAGGAGTCTGCCATTCTTGGAAGCAGTGCGCAAGGTCAGGAAATCGTGGGATTGAAAATGAGACCGAGTTCATGCCCGCATCTTCGTCTCGACTCTGCTTATGATCAAACAACACATGCACAGTGTTCGAAAGAACTCTCTGCACAGTGCGTGATCTGTCCAGATATTCATCGTCCGCAAGTAAAGAAGACTCCACTTGGATGACACCGAGAAGCAGACTGCAGTTTTTGGGACGCAATCGGGGTATATGTGATCCACGCATGTTATATTGCGAGGCTGACAAACGAATATTGTACAAAGTTTCCTTGGACTGATTCCGTACTTCGACACCAAACCAGACTGAGTCTGGTGAAATCCATCCCGCAGCACTTTTCGTCGTCACTAAAAGATTTCCAGGATCATCAGGACTGACAAGATTGACAGCATCCAAGATCTCTGTATCTGACGTCCCATTGTTTGGTTGTGCGAATAAAGTAGGGGTCAGGGTGTTACCCACAATTGGAATCAATCGCTCTAGTACCCGTCTTTGTCGTTCCATTCTTTTTCTTTGAAGCAAGACCAATCCTTCGCGATTGATAAAATCGTTGAAACTGTGATCACCTCCTGTGTTAAATATGGACCGAAGGGGACCAGCCATCATATCCTGACAGTCCTGTATGATGTCGCCCTTGCTGACAAGAGAGTCCTGAAGACGCTGAATTCTTTTCTGCTTGAGCTCTAGCTGCTGTTCCAAAGCCGTATGCGCGCTCTCCATGTGGATCTTTGCTCTAGCGACGCCTTCATCCGTTGGGGCTGTTTGCAAGCCCATGAGTACGCGTGGCGAGGCTGGGTAAATGGTGCAGTTCAAGGTGGTGTGCTGACTGCGGCCAGTCAAAATCAACACAGAACAGAGTCCCACATCCCGAATGTCGGCCAAGATAGTATCGTCTTTGGTCCCAGTCCAGTCTTGGAGATACACAAAGATTCGCCGATTAGATTAGAATGCATAATAACAAACTATGGTCCCTGAACTTACAAAAAGAAAAAAGAGGACACTGATGCTTACCTTTCAGTAGCCGACCTGTAGTTGCGTCGAGCAAGTAGGCATTCATATCCGCCAGAGCCAATAGACAGATCCGCGAGATGCTGTCAACAGCTTGACATTCGGCAAGGATACTGAGCAGAAACAAATATATTGTACTATCAGCACGCATGTAGATTTCTGGAGAAAACGTGTAGAGAGAGAGAGAACTCCACTTACAGTTCCACTGGCACTGAAGACAGTGCAGTGCTCCACTGCAAGACACCATGTTTGAAAAACACCATTTCTCCCGATCGTGTCTGCGCCCATACGCAACTGAATGACGGAGTTGGTTCAGTATCGTCTGCTACAACGACGCGGACCAGCTTTTCCTTGTACTCTGCAGGAATTGCAGCGACATGTATGGTTGGTGGCGAGTGTTGTTGGTGCTGGATACGACCTACAAGTGACGAGCCTTGGCTGGCGGTAATGCGATTGACATCCGTGGGATGGGCGTAGAATAGACACCAGGGTCGATTGTCAAATGCCTCTGTGATGCCGGCAATGCAGTTCGTCTCCAAGTGACCCTGCAGTAGTCGTTGTTCGCTGGGGGTCCATTCGTACAGGTCGTACCCATCAATACGGTCTCGCCTGCTGCTCTTTGATCCAATACAAATGCTTGTGCTCGAAACAATGCGGCAAACTATGGTGAGAGATACCTATTAGATCTGTCGTCCAGTGTCGAGCCAAAAAATCGGTTCCCATGATATCTACCTACATTCCACTCGTCCTAGACTCAAGCCGATCGCGGCAATGACCGACTGATTCTCCACTTCCACACAGTGGCACTCCAACTGCTGAAGCACATCATCATATACGATTAAGTGAGGCCGCAGGCTGTGGTAAGATGTTGTGAAGCAAAAGACGTGTTAACGTCTCGTGTCATTGAACGCGAAGGTCCACTGAAGATAGTATGAAAACTTACAGTGCGTCCTCGTCAGAACATAGCTTTCCAAAACACAATATCCGAGGTGCTTGCAAGCACTCGGACGAGACTGTCAATTGCTCCTGGTGATTTAACGTCGCTATGCCAGGCGTTTCGTTGGATTCAGTCAGCTTGTAGACGTGAATACGGATACGGACTGATCCCTGGCTTCGGTCCGAGACGGTGGCAAACAGAGTATATGGGGCATGGTGTAGCCACATCGCGTCTGGTCTACACTCTTGTCCCGGTCCTGATCTGCTCCTGGTCCTGGTTCTGGTCCCGGTGTGAATTGGGTCGAAGCGTACCGGATCTCTTTGGCATCAACGAAGCAGGTCTTCAACGTCCAAGGTAGGCCTTTCCACGTGATGGACTCCAAGTCTTCTGCGCAGAGGGATTCTCTCCTCCTCCTCCTCCTCCTCCTCCTCCTCCTCCTCCTCCTCCTGAGTCTCCTCGTACAGAAGCAACCATGAGTCTCCTTCAACGAATTCGGCTAGAGTCCTTCAAGGTGCTCTCATGTCAAGGATCTGCTTCATGCAGGAGAGTCCCAGCTCCAGCATTACGCGCCTCATGTGCCAATCGTTCGCGGTTCCTGTCGACCACCACCTCAACCTCTGGATCTTTCATTCACCTTCCCACGCGCGGTCTCCTGGAGATTCGTGGAAAGGACGCCTCCAAATTCCTTCAGGGTCTGATCACCAACCATATGCCTCGTATTGAGAATGGCGGTAGTGGGTTCCTTGCTGCGTTTCTTAGTCCCAAGGTATTGGATCGACCCTTGTGTGGGACCACCCGTCTGCGCACTTGCTCCCCTGTTGATCATATCACCAACGAAGGATCATCTTGATAACTCGGCACTCCATTTTTTAGGGAAGGGTCATGTACGATGTCTTTATTCACCCAACAAACAGCACTACGGAGGGTGCCGATCCGGCGTTCCTGATCGAGTGCGATGCTAGGGCTCTTCCGGAACTCCATAAACACATTGCGCGATTCGTATTGCGATCCAAGGTCAAGATGGTTGGCGTAACAGAGTCCTTTGACGTATATTCAGTGCTGGATGGCAATGAAGCTGGTACCAGTGATACCTCTGTCCCGGATAACGTCGCGGTCATGGAGCGACTTGGCAAGATGAATGCCACAATTGGCATGCTTGACAACAGGGCAAGCAACAGAATGGGATACCGAGTGGTGATTCCCAAAGGGCAATCCTGTAAGTCTGATTCGCGTCGGTTGTATCGCGACTCTGTCCAAAGAGCTCCATAACTTCTTGAACAACACGACTGACTGAAAAATCGTCTCCTTCAATAGTATCGCTCCCGGGGGACTATAGACAAGGGACATTAGAGGAATACCATGTGCGCAGGATCATCAATGGAGTACCAGAAGGAGTTGACGACTTTATTGCGGGAACCAGTCTACCCTTGGAATGCGATCTCGACTACATGAACGGAGGTAGGCCGGGAGTCTCATAAATTTGATACGATGGATGGTCGTACAAGGCATTGAAGTTGTGATTCTCATGGACCCGATCTCTTTCCCTGGCTATTTCTTTATTCAGTTGACTTTAGGAAGGGATGCTACGTTGGTCAGGAACTGACGATCCGCACGTACCATAAAGGCATCATCAGAAAGAGAGTTATGCCCGTACAGTACTACAAGCCCGAGGATCCGTAAGTCGTAATAGAAAATGAGCTTATTTTACTGATCTTGGACAATGTGGCTGACACATTTCATTTTCGTCGATCTATCGATTTCTGGACCACTGCTAGTGAGCCTGAGGTGGTCCAGTTTAACAAGAGCGCATCCCACGTAATCCCTCCGCAATCAGAGCTGTTTCCTGTCAAAAGCGAGAAAGCGTCGCAGCCTGCTGCGTCGTCGTCTTCAGCAAGGCCCGTCAGGGCATCGGGCAAGACTGGATCGAACGTTGGCAACATTGGTCTGGCGCTGGTCAAGCTGGATGATGTGGCGAACGGAAGCACGTTCAATGTGATGGATCGTGAAGGGACGAATGTCCATGTAAAGGCATTCTTCCCGACATGGTGGCCCCAGCAGCCGATCTCTGAGGAAAGTGCAGGCGACTCCTAGGAATAGAACGAGAGAATACAATAAACCATGTACCCATGCACGATCTCATGCAACGCGCTTCGAAAAGAATTAAAGACAGTGCCGTCACGTCACAGGACGCATCCTCGTATCGTTCCATGGCTCGTTCTTTGTTCGCGTACCTCCTTCAAGAACCCCTTCCCTCATTCCCCTCATTCCCCCTTTCTTCTTCTCATTCCATTTTGTTCCCACACACACCCTCAACACACTCGTCTTCCTTACCCACCAACAAGTAAACGCGACATATGATGGCCGAACTAAAAAAGTCCGACAACAGCACGGTCCCCAGGAGACCTATGCACCATCGACGCAACTTTACAGGTATAGTGAAAGTGGTCGATTCCCCGTAAAGACGCGCTTCTATAATATCTCTACGCGTCTGCAGATGCAGAATGGCATCAGAAATTGCAGAAGAGGGATGCTTCTAGTAGTGGTCGCGATGCAATGCATCTGTCTCTAACCATATCTAACGTTCTCTCTCTCTGCATTTTAAAGGTTTGACCTCGAAGGAACTCGATGCTGAGAGATCCAAATGGCCCAAGAAGACGGTCGAACTCTGGGAGAGATTGAGCAAGAAAGAAGCCAACGGTAAGTTTTTATCTGCTTGAGTGTCAATGTTTACCGTTTACCCATGCTCGATTACCTAGTTTTTCAGTCTTGGAGATAAGCGGACATGCATCGCTTCTTTTTTTTTTTTTTTTTTAACTGACAAAATGTTTCGCGTATTGCCAATTTTCTCTATATCAATGGGGTCTGGCTCTTTGATAACGATAACAATGATGCACTGGCAGACCTCGAGTCCATTGAGAAGAGCATCGTTCACCATGTTACCACGACGCTGGCCCGTGCTGCGTATAACATGGACAACTTTACTGCCTACCAGGCTGTGGCTCTCAGGTACATCCACCACCCAAGCGCATATATCAAGGGCCCTACTGCATTTTTCATAAATGTGCATAACTGTCCTTTTTGAACTCGCAGACTAAATATGTTCACCTCTTTGTTTTTCGTCCTTGTCCCCCCTCCACAGCACTCGCGACCGTCTTATCAGTCGCTGGAACGAGACCCAGGGTGTAAGTACTATGATTTTCTGTCCCGGTGAGGGGGGTGTGGGAATGTTTTTTTACTTGTTTGTAAATTACATTCATTTGGGGAGGTTGTTCTGCATATTATAAAAAAATATGCAGAATTGGAGGACCGATGACGATCTGCCTAGTCCGCCGGCAGGTGGTCGTGGTGATGACATTCCCTCCTTTCTTTTCTTGGTGGGCAGTGTTGAACACAGAAAGACATTATTATCGCTCATGAATGGGTCAATGCGGAGAAAAAGAAACGCCCATTTGCATCAAAAGAGAAAATTAATCTGTCTTTTGTGTGCGCATCTGCCTCTCTCATAGCAACTATCCAAGGCCGATCCCAAGCGTGTCTACTACCTGTCGCTCGAGTTCTTGCTCGGTCGATCCATGGACAATGCTCTGCTCAACATGGGCCTGAAAGATGTTTACGGAAGTAAGTAGTCAATGAAATGTAATCCATTGTTTGAGGTCTCAGGCTGTCCCTCTGCCTTGTGAGCTGGCAATAGAAAGATAACCAATATGTTTATATGCTTGTTCCGGTTGACCATAATTAGAGGGCATCGAGGAGCTCGGTTTCAATATGGAGGATGTGATCGAGTCCGAAGTCGATGCCGCCCTTGGTAACGGTGGTCTCGGTCGTCTTGCGGCCTGTTATATGGACTCCCTGGCCACACTCGATTACCCGGCCTGGGGTTATGGCCTCCGATACAACTATGGTATCTTCAAGCAAAGGTATTGAATCTTTGACTCCGTTTTCGCTTCCTTGTGAATCCATGGTCACACGTGTTACTATACATTGGGCGTGAGGTGCATTTATTGGTTAGGCTGACAATGCTGCAATGTTCTTTCCATATGGTGTTTGCCTCTTGTAGAATCGTTGATGGTTACCAGACCGAGTACCCAGACTATTGGTTGAACTTTGATAATCCCTGGGAGCTGGCCCGTCTCGATATCTCGATCCAGATTGGATTCGGTGGCCATGTCCAGATCACACAGGACGAATATGGTGTAACCCGCCACAACTGGATCCCCGCGACCAGCGTTCAGGCCATCGCCTACGATGTGCCCATCCCTGGATACGCTACCGAGAACTGCAACAACATCCGTCTCTGGCGCAGTAAGCCTACCAAGGCCTTTGATCTGACCAGCTTCAACGAGGGCAACTACGAAAAGTCGGTTGAGGATGCCACCAACGCTGAAAAGATCACCAGTGTCCTGTACCCTAACGACAACACCATGGCCGGAAAGGAGCTCCGCTTGAAGCAGCAGTACTTCTGGACTGCCGCGTCTCTCCATGACATTGTCCGTCGGTTCAAGAAGTCGATGCGTGAGTGGTCCGAATTTCCTGACCAGGTTGCCATCCAACTTAACGATACCCACCCCACTTTGGCCATTGTTGAGCTCCAGCGTCTTTTGGTCGATGAGGAGATGTTGAGCTGGGACGATGCTTGGGACATCGTGACCAAGATCTTTGCCTTCACCAACCACACTGTCCTTCCCGAGGCTATGGAGAAGTGGTCTGTCCCCATGTTTGAGTATTTGTTACCCAGACATTTGCAGATCATCTTTGATATCAATCTGGTAAGTTGTATGGTGGTTTACGTACTATGTCATTCATTATATATCTGATTACCGTACATCGAATCTCACAATCTCATATTGTGGTTGTATTACAGTTCTTCTTGCAAAAGGTCGAGAAGAAGTTCCCCAACGACCGTGGCCTGTTGAACCGCATGTCGATCATTGAGGAGGCCCAACCCCAGCAGATCAGGATGGCCCACCTGGCTGTTGTTGGCTCGCACAAGGTCAACGGAGTCGCCGCCCTGCACTCGAACCTCATCAAGACCACCGTAAGTGATTCTTCTCATTCTTCTCATTCCTCTTGCTTCAAAGGAACGCGATCATAAGCCCGTCATTACGACATCGCATCTAAATTGCCATTTCTTCATGTTTAACTGCATATAGATCTTCAAAGACTTTGTTGATTACTATGGTGAGGAAAAGTTCGTGAACAAGACTAATGGTATCACGCCCAGACGTTGGTTGCATCAGGCCAATCCTCAGTTGAGTGCTTTCATCACCGAGACTCTTGGCAGCGATAAGTGGCTCAAGGAGCTCTCGCTTCTCAAGGGCCTCAACAAGAAGGTCGGTGACGCAGCGTTCCGCAAGAAATGGATGGCGATCAAGCGCGCCAACAAGGTTCGCTTGGCCGAGCTGATTAAGACTCGCTGTGATATCGAGGTCAGCCCCGATGCTCTCTTCGATGTCCAGGTTAAGCGTATCCACGAGTACAAGCGCCAGTTCATGAACATCTTGTAGTAAGTTGACTGTGGTTTCAGTGCCGCTTCGGCGTCAGAGAGCTGCGATGTTACGATGAATAACATTTGTACATGATGCTTCATCTTCTAGCGTCATCCACCGTTACCGCGCCATCAAGTCGATGAGCGCTGCTCAAAAGGCTGGTGTTCAACCCCGCGTTGTCATCTTTGGTGGCAAGGCCGCTCCTGGATACTACATTGCCAAGCTGGTCATCAAGCTGATCAACAGCGTCGCGGCCGTTGTGAACCAGGATCCCGCCGTTGGTGATCTCCTGAAAGTCGTATTTATCCCTGACTATAACGTCTCCGTCGCGGAGGTTATCGTTCCTGCCAGTGATATCTCTCAGGTATATGTACTCCGTGCTGATACCGTCATTTGAGTGCCTACAAACGATCCTCACTAACACATTGACGAATTTTCTCTTCTTTTTTTGGGGCGACAAATGTAGCATATCTCGACTGCCGGAACGGAGGCGTCGGGTACGTCGAACATGAAGTTTGTGTTGAACGGCGGTATCATCATTGGAACTCTTGATGGAGCCAACATTGAGATCATGGAGGAGATTGGTGAAGACAACATCTTCATCTTTGGCTGCATGGCCCACGAGGTCGAAGATCTTCGCCATGCTCAGAGGTGCGTTTTTTTTATATATCTTTCTGTCGTGTAGCAATGGCTGAACGTTGACGACATGAACTTGTGCTGACATCTGGATCATATCTTATCTTTAAAACAGATACCGAAGCGTGCCTATGGACCCTGCCCTGCAGGGCGTCATTTCTGCGATCGAGAAGGGAACGTTTGAGGATCCCAAGATCTTCCAGCCCTTGATCAGCACGCTCACAGTCGGCAAGGACTTTTACCTGATCTCTGCGGATTTTGCATCGTACATCGTCGCGAACCAGCAGGTTGATGCTGCGTACAAGAACCAGCAGGAGTGGGCCAAGAAGAGTATCCTCTGCACCGCCAACATGGGCAAATTCTCGTCGTAAGTTTTAGTGGTCATAAGGACACGACAGTTTTGTTTCCGGATATGGTGCGATAGGTATGTCTTTCCTAACTTTACTTCTATTGTGTGGTCATAATATCCCTAGGGATCGTTCGGTCAAGGAGTACGCTGATGAGATCTGGCACATCAAGCAGCATGCTGTCCAGGACGAAGGATACCGCAACTAAATACGGAAAGTTGCGCCAGCGTTCCCCCAAATCCAATGCGGGCGAGGATTCAAAAGCGCATATTTGTGAAGCACGAAACGGTAGCAAGGACTAGCAAAGCGGAATCTTTTTTTCAAATCTGTCAACAGGGAAAAAAAAGTATTGTGAAAGAAAAAAAAAATAAAGGCAAATAAAGAATCAGTTCCATCGATTCGAAAGAGAATGTGGAGGTGATGGTATTTTTTTTTTTTACAGCTTTGGCTGGTTCTTGGGAATCAAGCCTGGATAAGGCAGACCCAAGAAGGCGGCGATCATCTCGAATCGATCCGATCCAAAGAACAAGTGCTCCTTATTCTCAGGATCGCCCGCCTTCTTGACAATGAAACTGGGTGCACCAAAGACACCGCGGGCCAAGGCCTCGTCGGTGTTGGACTTGAAGGCCTGCTTGACCTCGGGTTGGTTGGCGAGCTGCATGTAGGACTGGACCTTGGACACGTCCGAGTCAAGGATCGGGGTCAAGGCGTTCTGAATGACCTCAGGCTTGGAGATGTTGCGGCCATGAACAAAATATTCGTCCTTTGTTTGTGGGGCAGTAAGTAGTGGGGAGATATGCATGCGCATTTGGAGAGTTAGTTGTACATTTCACAATCCAATCGGTTCCAAGATCGATGGGAAGAGCTAGAAAGCGTGTATTGCCTTACAAACAACTAGGAAGCAGTCCGAGCAGCGTTGACATGGCGCGTCGACCATGAAGGAGAAGAGGAGAAAGAGATGTTAAAAGCAGACAAAGTTAGTATGGTGCTCGGTTTGTTTGGCAGGCCTGGGGCTCGATCGAGGTTAGTGGCCATGTGAGGAGCGCAGTCTTTGTTTGGATGCCATGTTTGCGCCCAACCCGAAGCAGAGTCCAATGCCATTCCTCCTCTTCTCCTCCTCTTCTCCTCCACACAAGTGCCCTTGGCTGATTTTGATGACTGAATATGTTACTCATCCTACCCCAGGGGGTTATTATTATTATTATTACTATACTCTGTTCCTGAATGGATCGAACAAATTCCTCCCACGCTTCAGGGTCCGAAGCTACTTTTTTTTTTTTTTTCCTGTCCTACCTTACCTTGTCAATGCACTGCTCATACTTTTCGGTACTTTCGTGGATCTGCAGAGCCACCAGCACACGCATGGGCAGGATGGTGCTCACAGGGAACTCTGTGGGGAACTTGAAAGGCACTCCTGTCACGGCACTAATCCGGTCCAAATCCGAGATCTGTTTTTTTTTTTTTAAAAATAAAAGAGTGTGAGAGAGAGAAGGAAGCGAATTTTAAATATCTGTACTTTCTCACGGCTTTGACGATCATCAATCTCCCGAACCGAGAAAAAGACGCACATCCACACACGTTCTTCACGCAAAAAAAAAAAAAAAAAGATGAAAGAGTCTAGGAAATAGAGCCTTTGAAAACGTACCATATGCTCTCTCTTGGATACGAATTCAAACAGCGGTTTGTTGCCAATGGACTACAAGTTTATAAATTCCAGGGCATTCGAGCGGGAGGAGAAAGAAATCAGAAATCGGGGGGTTTTTTTTCTGGCGTCAGGGGGGGAAGGGGAACCAGGTAATGCAGGAACAGCGTTTCAAAGAAACCGTTGTTACCCCTCCCCTCCCCAGTAAAAGCAGCCGTAAGTGAAAGATACTGATCACTTTACGTTCATGACGCCGCCGAGGAGCATGGGCTTGAAGGTAACGTCGACACCGGGCCACTGTTGACGGAAGCGATTGAAGAGCTTCACACCCATGAAGGTATAGGGCGAGATAACATCGTAATAGCAAATGATGCTTGCGCGTGCTGCAGCCATGTTGAGTATCTGTGGGTGTAGGTGTGGGTGTGGATGTGGGTGTGTGCAAACCTAAGGAGGTGTTTGGATGTATTAAGACGATGTAGTGTTGGAGGAGTGGGAGTGAATGGACGAGATTGGGGGGACTGTTAAAGAGTACAGGAGTGAAAAAGAGTAAATTAAGAAATGAGAGAAGACGCAGGGAGGGTTTTTTAAAGTCCATGGTTGCGACTGTCCTCTTTGTGCTTGTGAGCCCTGCGCGTGTTGAGATGCATCAGCATCAGAATCAGCATCAGCATGCGCAGTCTTTGTTCATCGCGATGAGTCACGGCAACGGAAGGCCGATGTCAACTGAGGAAAGGCTGTCGCTACACGCGTTTTGTTATGGAGGACCCATTCGCATGGTCCTTCTCCTCATCCCATCCTTTTTTCTTTTTTTTTCTTTTTTGCCACCAAGTAGGACGTACAATTTTATTCACTCCTATCTTTAAAATACTCCTCAGAACACGAATTAGAGGGCCATGCCTCCGTTGACGCGGAGGATCTGTCCGTTGACCCATGCAGACGACTCGCTTGCTATAAATGAAACCGCACCCGCGATATCGTCGGGCTGTCCCAATCGTCCGACTGGACTCAGTCCTGCAATGAACTTGATCTGCTCCTCCGTCTTCCCTGTGCGGAATCCGTCCGTGTCGGTAGGACCGGGATTGATACAGTTGACCGTGATCCCCTTTCCACCAAGATCCTTGGCCAATGTCCGGACCATCTGTTCGACCGCCCCCTTGGTCGCACAATATAAAAAGTTGTTCGGCCCCACACCCGAAACAGAGGTCAACGATGACGACAGATAAATCAAACGCGAGCCAGACTGGAGGTACGGGAGAAGCTGCTTGGTGAAGAACAATGGTGCCTTGACGTTGGTGCGGAAAGCCTCTTCGTACGACTCCTCTGTGACATCGTGGATGGCCTGGTAAACAATCCAGGCGGCGTTGAAGACAACGGTGTCGATGCGTCCAAAGACCTTCAAGGTCTCCTGAATGAGCTTTTCACCTTCTGCGAGGGATCCGACATCGCCCTTGAGGGCGATCGCCTTCGACTCGGAGGAGCTCTGGATGGCCTCAACGACCTCCTGAGCCTTGGATGCGTTGGACAGGTAATTGATGACGACATTATATCCGTCCTTGGCGAGACGCAGGGCAATGGCGCGACCGATACCTCGGGAAGAACCAGTGACGATAGCAACACGCCGAGTGGAAGACATGGCGGATAGAGTGAAAGGGAGTGGGAGTTGTGGGGATGGAGTGGTTGGAGTGATTGTCGAGGTTGCCTTTGAGTGTGAGAATGGACGTGAGAGTGGACGGACAAGAAAGGAACAAAGAGCCTCTTGTAGCGGCCATTTTATATCTCGCGCATGCGCGTTCTTTTTGCTGCCGGCTAAATCGTGCGCATAAACAGATGTCGTTGTCCAGCCAGCCAGCGTGCGCTTCACTTCCATACCGCTATGCCCAATGCGAAACTGGCCATGTCCGCTTGCTGTACAGTACATGAACCTTATTATATTGCAAAAGTAAGTGGCTTCATCCTGCATACTGCATGTGCATGAACAGACTGAGTGATTGGGAAAGATTGACAGACACCCCTCCGTTCTGGGCGTCCTTAACGCTGCGCAGGGCCTGCTAGACCACGCTATTTGAACAACTCAATCACTGGTGCAGGTATCTTCCGGTTCGTATATTCTTCACGCTGTTGGGACGCGCACTGATTGCGTCCTTCGCCAATAACGATCGGACTTTCGACCTAGAGTATGCAGGAGCCGTAGCGCAACCAACAACGCAAGGCTGAGGATAAAAAGTGAAGGCAGGGGATCAGAGTGGATCAGCAAGTTTATACACTACCCGTATTTCACCCGACCATCGCTGGATGTGGAGTGCATTTGATCAAATCGCGAATAGTGGAACAAAACAAGAGGGCGGCGCTCAAAGTTGCCAGGAAAGCATCTCTTGACGATACTCAAGGCCCTTGAACGATGAATGGATGAACGGATGAATGGCCAATGCTTATAAGTGGCCTGAATAAACAAACAGGTTGTGAGCAATAGTGTCTTGAATGCGCAGTGCGCTCTGTTTATATCTTTTCCAGGAAGCAAGCAAGCGCCTGTCATCTTTTTCGGGCACGCTGTTCGTTCTGCACAAGTAAGGAGTAGAAAATTTGTATCACCTTGCTACACCGATAAACGCGTTCAAATTCAGATGCCACCTTGCATACTCGCTCAGCGAATTTTGGGTGCATTGATTTTAGTTGGTGTCAATACACCTACGAATTTTGTTTAACATCGCCATGGTGGCCCGAACTTTGAACGCATTTTTTTGTTTTTTGGGTTTCGCCCCTTACTCCTGCACTTTGCAGGCCTACCCTCTAACCCTCTTCAGCTTCAACTTTCAACATTTTTTCTCACATTGCTCGTGCGCAAGTCAAAATATCCGTCTAAACGGCTTCAAAAAGCATCCTAGACTATCAAAGCAACGATCTTAATTTGGAATAAATTGTTGCTGTTTTTTCATTACAAAAGAAAGAAAAAGACATGGCGAGAAGGATGGCAAAGTGGGGAGGAAAACAATATATGTATAGGCGACGAGTTCTATTTTACTTTCTGTACCACATGGTGGTGACGCGGCTCCTGCGCATCTTCTTCTGAAGCTGAAGTACTCCATATAACAAAGCCTATAAGCAAGAGATAGAGAACACGCCAGTTAGAGTTGTCAAATAATGGGCATCTCTGCCAGTTATCCTATTGCTTCCCATCCTTCCTTCCCAACACATACCTCAGAGGTAGGGGGGCATCCAGGTACATAGATATCGACGGGAACAATACGATCGCATCCGCGCACAACAGAGTACGAGTAGTGGTAGTAACCACCTCCGTTAGCGCAAGATCCCATCGAGATGACCCAACGAGGCTCGGGCATCTACATTCCAGACAAAATGCAAAAAGACCCGTTAGCAGTGGAGCGAGCATTTCCAAAATCCGTCTGACCTGTTATAAGAGGATTTACAAAGTGCATGTCATACCTGATCGTAAACCTTACGAAGAGCGGGTGCCATCTTGTTGGTAAGGGTTCCGGCGACGATCATGACATCGGACTGACGAGGAGAGGCACGGAACACAATTCCCAAGCGATCCTGATCGTAACGACCAGCGGCCATGTGCATCATCTCGACGGCACAGCACGCCAAACCGAACGTCATGGGCCAGATCGAACCCTCACGACCCCAGTTGATGATCTTGTCGACAGTCGAAAGAGCATACTCTGTTTCGTACAAAGCAAACGAGATGAGTATTCCTGTAAACATGATATCTCTGCTGTATCCGTTGGGATGTTGAAAAGCGTTGCTCTATGCGTACCGACGGCATTCGAAGGCTGTTGGAGAGGTCCAGGGTATGACTTTGTGATGGCTGTTGACATGTTGCGGTTCTGTACTGGAGTGTTGGCTAGAGAGGTATTCATAAAGCGACGGCAACCAGGGTCAATAAAAGGATAGGCGACAGCATGAGCATATGCAGATCCATCCAGGTGACGTATTCTTTGTGCTAACCTTGTTCCTCCTTCTCCGTGACCAAGCCAAAGTGGCGAACTTGCTGGGTTGCCATGGGCTTCAAGGCGCTGCGGGCAACTATTCGTAGGAATGATCAGGGCGATTCGCATCAGATACTGAGGTCTGGTTTGAGGCAGAAGAGACTGAGAAACAAATGTCCGAGCTGCCGATCTCCGAGATTCGGGAGATTCCGAAGCAGCTCAAAAGGTGGAAATGGCGGAAATGGCGGATGGCGTTTACCTGCACCCGACATGCGCAAACCAACTGTGGAGAGCATGTTTGTCGTGAGAGAGTGAAAGAAGAGGATGAAGGAGAAGTGGGCGACGAGAAGAGGAGAGTGTGAACGATCGTCTCAAGAACAGCTGGCGGAAAAGAAAGTAGCTCGTTTCTCGCCGAGAATACGTCACCGAAGACATTCTTCCCGCGAGGACGTGCTACCTCTAAACTAAAAGTGTGCTTGCTAACACACATAAATGGAAAATAAAGCTAGACTAGCTAAACTGTTTGGCAGACTCGCTTACGGCGGGCATCTTGTATGGACGCTCTTCGCTCGCGTCCACCGCCAACTCGTCCTTGCCCTGGCTCCACCGCGCTACTGCTGCCGCTGCTCCTGTTGCTGTTGCTGCTACCGGCTTCTGTGTGCGATCTTGCATTCTGCATCCGGGGGTAGTGCCCATTTTTATCCACCAGTTGAAGATAGGGAGGCTGTTGTTGATTGACCAAATGACCATGAATCGCATTGGCAATGTTGTGCCCCGCCATGGTATCGCGGTGCATGTAAGACTTGCAGGTCGGGCAGTACAGCCTGCGGATCTCGACCTGCCTGACAAATTTCTCGCACGTCGGGCACTTCTTGGACGTATAGTATTCATTTAGACCAACCACGATGTAGCCTAGGGTCCTCGCCTATGGGACACCAAGACGAAGTCAGTAAAATATACAAAACGATTTTACACGACTTGGAATCTTTAGTGATAGTACCCCTACCTTTTGAACAAAGTATGACTGGAAGGACTCATGTAGCGAGGAAAGCCTCGTCTTGGTTGAAAACTCGCCCAAACCGACTCCAATAACCACCTTATTAGCTTCATCCCTCTTTCTGCCGATCGACCCGCCAACCAACTTGAGTAGGCGATCCGTTATGAGTCTGTATTCTGCATCTCTGGCCCTTCTTGCATCCCACTTGTGCTTCATGAAACGGTTGTTGCCGTTGTAAAACTCATCGAGTTGTCCCTTTATTGTCCTGAGCTCCGTAACATGACCCGCAAAGCTGGTGCACTTGAGTGGGTCTCTTTTCTTTTGAGGGGCCGCCATCCAGGTAAAGAACCAGGTTCGCCTGGGCTCCAAACTCCCGTACTTTTCGCTCAACAACGCAATGAGCATCCTCCATGGGGTGTGAGGAATACGCGTGGCGGACGGTTACATAAAACGATCCAAGGATGTCGACTCCAATTGCCGAGTTGTGATCAAAGGAGTTGGGAAGGTTCAACAAGTGGAAGGACTGATGGCGAAGAACAGGCTCGTACCCTTCCTTCCGTAGAAAGGGCCACAGGCCCTCAATGCCTATGGTTGTCTACACTACGAGAAGATATGGAATTTTTTTTCGAACAATGGCAGTGAAGAAAGATGAGAGTGTGGGAACAGTGAAGGAGCGTGAGAGTGTATGGATAGGAAAGATCTGGCAAACCGCACAGATCCTTTAGCGCAATGGAAAATGACATTAAGCAGGGGGAAGAAAGGGTTCTCACATGCAATCATCAGGTATCTGACCGCTGACTGCACTTGGTCAACCATTGGCATTCGCATGCAAATAACCTCTTTCTTATCTTTGTTCTTGCTCGCCAGACTCGCTGTTGAGCTTTTCCTTTTTACCTCCGCCCACTTTCACTCACTCTTATACCACATGAATCTCCTGCAGCTCAAAGACATTCTGCATTACTCACTCAACTATGACCCCTCGACTGCTACCGTACCATATGATTTCCCTTGAGAATACGACTCCCCTACTCCATATATCAGGAGAAACACGTTTCAATGGCTGCACTGCTCGCAAGGAAACTCGCGCTCCTGGTACGAAAAGAAATCCCTGAATGGCAACGCACCACTTCCCGTCTACTTTACGACGGAAAACGAGGTCGACCGCGTGAATTAGATTTGTCAGTGAGACATGTATGCAGACATGGGGACTCCGAGAAAACACTCAAAAGGGTGAACCAAGACCGAGTAGAGATCGAGCACCATTGGCGCTATAAGCACAGCAAGTCCCTTGCAGTAAGCAAAAAATTCCCTCTGGGGTCAAGCAATCGGAATTGGTATAGAGAGATCTCGGAAGGATATGACTGAAAAGGGATCCTGAAGCTTTTAAGACCTCGCCAAAGCAACCTAGATATGATACTGTTGACTTGACTGTGCATTCGTGTTTTCTGTCATCTGCGGCAATAGGCGTGGCTCTCCTCACGAAACTGGTTGATTGCTTGGTACATCTTATTGTAGTTAGAGCAGGAAAAAGAGAACCTCCCTTCCAGGTTCTTCATCAGATACGGTCATATTTGGGAAGTCATTTACCGAACGCGTATAAAGACTTCTCAAAAAGCCAAGGATATTGTAAAGAGCGTGGAGGAATGGATCAAACAAATCGGAAAAGACAAAGGCAAAGGACACCATTGACAACGACCCGCAGCAATGCATGATCGCCAGCACCAATAGTTTTAGAATAGAAATTCAATTCAAAAACTCACCAAGCCACAAATCCCATCCTTTTTTTGTTCCCCGAAACCGATCGTCCAGGAGGGTCTTATATTTTTAGAATAAGAAATCAATTCAAAAAGAATCTTTGGTCAAATTTTGTTTCCCCGCACAAATTGCATGTAAACGGCCGGGACATGCTGCTGGCGCATCATCTTCCTCAATCCCTAATGTTGAGAGAAAGAATCCAATGACATATCGGTTATCATATCCTTCATGGCGATTGCAAAGGAAATTATCAATCATAGGAAGTGGTAGCAAGACAGTGATGAAGAAAGTGAATGACTTTATTGTAGAAAATAAACCTCCCGATCAAATGGACACCTCATTTTGTGTAATACAAAGAGGTTACGGCGGCCCTTAGCTGGGACAGTACGACTACAATGGATAGCTGCTTGAAGAAGCTTGGCGAGCCAAAACCTGGTCAACTCCTATTGAGATTGATCGTTCCCATCGGCAAGCTTAGGGAGTATCACTTCAAGAGTCGTGTCGGGGCTCGCCAATCCATAGCTTCCGTACCATCGCGACAGCATGGCCGCCCAAATATGCCTGTTCTCAGCCTGTTGCACAGACGCGTCCACAGATCTACAGCCTGTAAACAACGATGGCAACCTGACCTGGAATCAAGCTTACTATCTAGCAACACCATAGATATGCTTGCTAATGCTACAATACAGCAAATTGCAAAATCGATCCTTGTCGCGATGCCACAAAAAAATATGCGCGGGCAGTTCAGACGTAAGACCAATTATAACACTACCTCACCTTCACCCCTGCCTGCATGAGCCTGTCTGACGAGGGGTTGGCTTAATTGCTTCAATCGTTCCACCTGCTTCAATTATTTCAGTTGCTCGCAATTGACGTGAAAGCTGAAATCAAGCGATGCTAGCCCGGCCTGTGAGAAAATAGTCTTATTAACCTAATACCGGGGAACAATAAAAGCAAGGTATCTCGGTTAAGGACTGGTATGCTTCCAGGATTGAAACGCGATGGGCTTAATTGTTTTGCTGCTCGAGTGTTGTTCAGTTGTAGACGCTTAATCTCATTATATATCGAATTGAGCTGGGTTTAAAGTAGCATGAGCGTAGATCATCATATCAAACAAGGAGTAGCGAGAAAATAATAACAATAAAGTGATCTGATCACAAAGCTGGCAACTTACAATCAAATCACATTTGATCCGCAGAGCAATCGTAAAGGATGAGATCCAATGTCGCATTCGGTTTGATCAGACATGTGATCCTGATTCGATCCTGATCCTGATCCCGATCCTGATTCGATCCTGATCCTGATCTCGATCCTACAGCAGGGTGATCTTGATACATGTAGACAGGTCTGGACTGGTAAGTGGAGCGGATCCTGACGATCCATCGGATGGCAAAGATGTGATATGGCGAGTGGGGGAAATAAGGGGAAGAAGAAGAAAGAGAAAAGAGAAAGAAAACAGTTGGGAGCAATTGAAGGATTTTATACGCGGAAGTCACTTTTTAACTTGGCAAGAGCCTTGCTATGCCCCTGAACACTTTTATTCATCCACTTGCTCAAAAGCCAATAAGCGTATAGCTTTTCCTTGTAATCCTATTCTCTGGCTACTTCTGATTCTTCCCTCTTGCTACATCGCATTCTTTCTCTCATTCACCACGCTCAGCACAAGACAACGACAGGCTTTCCTACAGACTAATCAACAGAGCACAGACATTTCGCAAGCATCCTGCAGGACGAATCGGGCCACACATGCCACAGGACGCAGGTACAGATCTGTCTGACGACCGGTCTCTGGACAGCAGTGACATCAAGCACACCCCTCTTAGAATCACAACGGACTCTTGCTCACCTACATTATCGTCAGTCTTGCTCGAAGGCAACTCTCAACCAGTCTCGCCTATCAACCGAAAGAGGGCCGATGCCCGAGAAGCACAGGATGGAGAGGCAACAACAAGCACCAATCACAGCTCACTTCCACCTTTGAAAAAGTCAAAGACGTCGCTGGTCCTCTCGCAGGCTAGCTTGACCGAGTATCGAACATCTCAAGAAATCGCCGACGATCCAACCTCGCCTCAGACATCGCCACTTCTGGAGCCCGATTCGCCTATGACTTTGGTATCGTCTTTAAATGCACTCAGCGAGGAAAATTTTGACTTGAATGCAGCCGCGGTGACACAAACAATCCCTATCCTTGTCAGATCACGGACCCTGGAGGAGATCAGGCCAAGCACGCCGCCTGCGTTTATTAACCGGGCTGATCCTGGGCTCGAGAGCCTCAGTTTGGGCACACGATTCGGTATTGCGCCAGCTAGAACAGCAGGAATCGAGCGCGCCGTGGGTACTGTTACGATAAGTCGACAAGGAAGTCCCATCCCAGGAATGGCAGACACGCAAAGCCGAGAATCAACTCCAATGCATGTGGATGACGAGGCTTTCCCTCATCCTCAGAATAACAAGCACAGCTGCACTCAGGACGGCGAACAAAGCGGACCAACTGCCGACGAGATGGCGGATCCGGAGGGCCTCCAAGCGCAGAAAGCGTTTCTAGATTTATCGCTGAACTATGAAGGGAACACAGACGACGATTCAGATGAGGACTACGAACTCGCTGCCGACACAACCGTCGATGAACACTTCAACAGAGTGGATACGTCTGAGAGCGACGACGACGACTCTTTCTTGGACATTGATGTCAACAACATTCAATCAAGCAGTTATCATGATGGGTCTACAGGATTTCCTTACCACGACACAGATCCATTATGCCTGGACAGACTTACAGAGGAAGAGAAGGCAAAGATCATGGACGAAGCAAGAGAATTTGGTATGATACTCATCTTCAATTGGTTTATAATGTGCGATCTTGTGTTGTCTCTGTCCATCTCCTGATATTGAACATTTGACACCTAAATGAATTCTATAGGAATCAGTCATATCATTCAGGAATATGTACTAACAGGAGTGTACACTGTGAAAAAACTGTTGCTCATGGTTTCACATGAAGGGGTATGTGCAATGCCGGATAAGAACTGGTGATTTGGATGGCCTGTTTAACATTCATCTAACCATTTTTTTTTCTCTTTATATCTGCCACAGTTCAAAATCCAGGAAAATCTGACGGAAAACGAATTAATCGGAGCACTCACGCAACGCCTGGAGCGTGAACTTCAGCGTCGCCATCGGTTGCTTCATATTCACACGCTTGGCCATGTTGTCGACCTTCTGAAACACTCTAAAAACATCATGGTCCTAACGGGTGCAGGCGTTTCAGTATCTTGTGGCATCCCGGATTTTAGGTCGTCCGACGGAATCTACTCCCGCCTTTCAGAATTCGAACTGGATGACCCCACGCAGATGTTTGAACTGGACTTCTTCCAGGAGAAGCCCCAGGTATTTTATTCCTTCGCGAGAGAAATCTTTCCCAGCAATTTTACGCCAAGCCCATCACATAATTTTATTAAACTTCTCGAGGACCAAGGAAAGCTGTTGAGGAACTATACGCAGAATATCGATACACTGGAGCAAAAGGCTGGCATCTGCCGCATTTTACAATGCCATGGTAGGGATTTTAAGTCTATTTTTTGCTGTTTGACGCTGCGGACAAAATTTCCTTGTATCAACTCGGCCATTAACTGAACATCTTCCTCACTTTTCAACGTGTAGGATCTTTTGCGACTGCCAGCTGTCTGCGTTGCAAGCACCAGGTCCCAGGTGACGATATCAAGGACGTGATTCTTAAGCAAGAGGTTGCATATTGCAAAGTGTGCCAGACCGCGACTTCACCGTTGAACATAGGAAAGAAGGCTATCGACGGCGGATCCAGGACGAATGGTGCTGATGATACCAGACCGGCAGTAATGAAGCCAGATATCGTATTCTTCGGCGAGCGGTTACCAACCGTATTTGATGACAACTGGGACGAAGATCGCGACAAGGTTGACCTGCTGATTGTTATAGGAAGCAGCTTGAAGGTTGCCCCGGTGAGCGATATTATGCGTAAGTCATAAGTACCTATTGCTGGCTGTAAATACTCCAGGTCTGCATCATTGTCGCTGTCAATGCTCATACCAAGCACTTTCTTTGCCTTCTTCGCTTCTATTCTGCTCAATTGACCTATACTACTAGACCAACTTCCTAAGCATATTCCTCAGATTCTGATCAACCGAACGCCGATCACGCACATGGAATTCGATGTGCAGCTTTTAGGAAACTGTGACACAATCGTTGCTGAGCTTTGCAGAATGGCGGGGTGGGAGCTGAGACATGAAAAGCTCCCAGGAGGGACCTCGAATGTACCAGGCATGGACATCAATACGAATGCAGATGGTTCAGGGAAAGGGGGGTGTGCCCAGTGGTCCGTGATTGAGCCCAACACCTATACGTTCGAGGGTGCCATTCTCGGTGATATCGAATACGAATCGAGTCAGAGTTTCAGCAAGGAACGCGCGCGGTTCGGAAGTAGTGAGGCTGAGGGCTATGATGCCGATACCGACGATGACGATGAGCATCACAGGAGACTGACGGGTGAGCGCCGCGGATCGCTGGGGATTATGATACTGGATACGGATAGCGAGAGTGACAGCAGCCAGGATACCATACGAGGCCAAGGATCCAGTCTCCCCAGCTCCTTGAATGACAAAGTCGCTGATGACTCTGTCGACTCTACGCTTTGAACGCGCTATGAACTGTACATATATTTATTCTGGTGGGTCGCTCCATATTTTCACGATGTCCATATCGTTTAATAAACTTTTATTCATTTGGGGGATTTGAATGTCAAAGGCAATGCTCTTTAGCTGGTGGGTTTCTGGTGGTTGGGTGAGCCAATACAATTACGGATGTTGCCTCTTGGACCTCCCGCTGCACGTACTTATAGGAGACCCACCACTTCCTTTTCGAAGGGAACGGCTACTGTAGCGCTGTTGACGGCGGGGAGTGCATTGACGCCCCTCCGATTACATGGCACAGTTCATGGATTCACTTTTTTGGGCGCCACGCAATACCTGACTCCAGCCAAGCTCTTTTTGATCCCTCGTTTGTGTATGGTCTATAGTTTTCGTAACTGTGCCACGCTTAAACCTCTTTGATCCTTAAACTAACTGCTGTGTGTCGCTTTGATAAAAGGGAGGCAACAGCAACTCGATGCGGGCGTTGGAGATCAAGGAGCGCTTGAATAAAATCATTGCTATCCCATTCATTGTCTATAGCGATATATGTTACTTTCCCAGCTTGTTCTTGTCGACGTTCCTATAATCCAATGTTCAGAAGCCTTGAAATGACAGTTGCCCCAACCTTCCAGTTACAGTGCACCCGTGTCTGCTTGATAAGTTAAGGGGCTTATGAAGAAAGTGACCGTGATCCAAGGGACGGATACGGCAACCAGAGTATATACGAGAAACTGGCCTTGGAGCCGGGACTTGCTTTAGTAGGGCGCGACATTAGGGACCAAGAGATAGGTACCGGACCAGTGCCGAACTGAGTGAAGCATGAAGTATATAAGAGAAAGAACAAAGGAATAGTCCACATGAAAAACGACCGAGACTGGCGTGTTTCTAAATAATATGCGTTTACCAAACTGCCTGTAAGGCCAAGGTGAGATAGGGGAGTTGAATAAGCCGGATTCAAAGTGTCACAGATGGATGACAAGAAAAACATGGAGCGATGCGGACAGTGAGCCCCCGGTCAGTGTGTTCCTGGCTTTCAGGAGAGTATAGCAAGTGCTACACTTTTTCCTTTTCTATGTACAACGTTCCAACTATGGAGACGGCGGGATATATTATTGCCTGCCATCACGCAAAAAAGAGCGATCACTTGCTGCCGCCATTCACAACCGTCTTTTCCCTCGTCACCCTCTTCTTTTCTTCTTTTGCGTCTTCTTCTGCCGAGACCTTCCCACATCAGACGGACACAAGCAAAAAAGAAGGTACTGGGGTTTGTGCATGTCTTTTGCTACCATGCATGTCATTGTCCATTCCCAAGAAATACCCTGCAAAAACGCCAATAATTATCCCCACAGTGGTGTTGCGCGTCCTCAAACGAGCGTTTCACACACGCACTCGAACATGCACATGCGCATACACACATCGGGTTTTATATATATCACTCTGTCCTCTCCTCTTTCGTCCACAGCAAACTACTACGTGAATGAGTCAGGTCCCTGTGTGGGGTTCGGCATGAAGCGAACCCTGTTCCGATCTTCCCCGCAGCCTTTCCTTTGCACTTTTGCCATACTCGGCTGAGTACGTTAGCCCCACACTGATCTAGAATTTATGGCTGGGGACAATTAAAGAAAATGTGGGGTCATGGATGCGTCTGTCGCACACCTTGAGTGAACCGGGGAGTATCCAGCAGTCGTATTAACCTTACGTTATTTAACCGGGAACTGTAGAAAAGACTATAAAGACACGTCTAGACCCCACTTCTCTCAACTCCCTTCAGAATCATGTCCGCCAAAGCAGTTCGCGAGTACGACGGAAAGCTGTTGCTGGCACACTGGCTTCTTCGCACACCCGTCCCAGCCTCCAGCGTTTCTGCAACTGGATCCAAGTTTGTCCAGCCTCCAACACGCCTGGCTCACATTAGAATTGACACTGCCCTCCTGAACACGGATAAGGCCGTCTTCGCTCAGCATGTCCATAAGCTGCTTGACAACTTGGAGCAAATCCATCCTTGGCTGTTGACGGCTAAATTGGTCGCTAAGCCCGATCAATTGATCAAGAGACGCGGCAAGAGCGGATTGTTGTTGTTGAACGCAGACTGGCCCCAAGTCAGGACCTGGATCAGCGAGCACGCCGGCAAGGAGGTCATTGTAAGTGACGCTTTGTTTGCGTGTCTCTGGAAAGTCGAGTCGTCCTGTTGTAGTTTATCTGTCGGTTGGTCCAGGCCTAATGCCCTGTATGCTTCAACGAAATTTAGGTCGATAATGTTGGTGGCGTTCTTAAGACATTCTTGGTCGAACCCTTCATTCCTCACCCCGCCAACACCGAATATTATATCTGCATCAACTCGGACCGCGACGGCGACAATATTCTCTTCACACACGAAGGAGGAATCGAGGTCGGTGATGTTGATGCCAAGGCCCTGAAGCTTCAGGTCAAGATCAACGACATCTTCCCCGCACCTGTAACCATCAAGGGCGCGCTTTTGACTCACGTTCCTGAAACCAAGCACGACGTCCTCGTCGACTTCATCACACGCCTCTATGCCGTCTATGTCGATCTCCACTTTACATATCTCGAGATCAATCCTTTAGTCGTCCTGGATCCCACTCCTGAACATCCCGCACAGGTCTACTACTTGGATTTGGCTGCCAAGGTTGACCAGACTGCTGAATTCGAGGCTGGACCCAAGTGGGCATTTGCCAGAGCTCCTCAGAACATTGGGTTGGCCGCTGGCATTGTTCGAGGCGTCGATGCCGGTCCCCCATTGGATTTCCCTGCCCCATTCGGCCGAGAATTGACCAAAGAGGAGGCATACGTTCAGGAGTTGGACTCCAAGACTGGTGCATCTCTTAAGCTTACGATCTTGAACAAGGATGGCCGCATTTGGACCATGGTCGCAGGAGGAGGTGCTTCTGTTGTCTACAGGTATGCTGCTCTCATCGCTGTAATGATTGATGTAACGCTTGAACGCCATCCACTGACCTACGAGTGCATTCCGCCTTATCAATAATAGCGATGCCATTGCTGCCTTGGGTCAGGCGAGTGAGCTCGCCAACTATGGCGAGTACTCTGGAGCACCCACGGAGACTCAGACCTATGAATATGCCAGGACTATCCTCGATCTCATGACTCGCTCCCCGGTGGCACATCCTCTTGGAAAGGTTCTGATTATCGGAGGGGGCATTGCCAACTTTACCAACGTCGCCTCCACTTTCAAGGGTATTGTCCGTGCTCTAACCGAATTCAAGCAGCCTCTCATCGTTCACAAAGTCCGCATCTTTGTCCGCCGTGGTGGTCCAAACTATCAGGAGGGTCTTCGTTCGATGCGTCAACTCGGCGAGACTTTAGGAGTTGAGATCCAAGTCTTTGGCCCCGAGACCCACATCACCGAGATCGTGCCCCTGGCTTTGACTGGAAAGACCTCTGGACTGGATCAAAGCGGGGCTGCCACTCCCAGCGCCACATTGTTATCTGGAAACCTGCTCCAAGACCAGCTCTTGGGCGGCAACACACCACTTAACGGTGGATCGCGTGCCTCCTCGCCACCACCTCTGGAAGACAGAATGACCTACTTCCAGGACCAGAGCGCTGAGAGTGCAGAGATTGGTCGCGACGAGAACACGCCCTTCACCGCACATACTCGCTCGTTTATCTATGGAATGCAACCTCGTGCTGTACAAGGAATGCTCGACTTTGATTTCATCTGCAAGCGTGAGGTCCCCTCTGTGGCAGCCATGGTTTACCCCTTTGGCGGTGCTCACGTCCAAAAATTTTACTGGGGCACCAAGGAGACCCTTTTGCCCGTGTTTACTTCCTTGGATGAGGCCATTGCCAAGTTCCCCGAGGTGGATACCGTTGTCAACTTTGCATCTTGCCGATCGGTCTATGATTCTACCCGCGAGATTTTCAAGCACTCGAAGCAAATTCGCACCATCTCAATCATTGCCGAGGGTGTGCCAGAACGTCGCGCCCGTCAGATCTTGTGGGAGGCCAAGGAACGCAACGTGTTAGTGATCGGACCAGCGACTGTCGGAGGTATTAAACCCGGTTGCTTCAAGATCGGAAATACTGGAGGCATGATGGACAACATTGTCTCATCTAAATTGTATCGGCCTGGATCAGTCGCCTACGTGTCCAAATCTGGTGGCATGTCGAACGAGCTGAATAACATAATCTCTCGCACAACCGATGGCGTCTATGAGGGTGTCGCCATTGGAGGTGACCGCTATCCAGGCTCGACCTTTATTGATCATTTGCTTCGTTACGAAAAGGACCCTGGATGCAAAATGCTGGTCTTGCTGGGAGAGGTCGGAGGCGTGGAGGAGTACAGGGTTTGCGAGGCGATCAAGAACGGCACGATTCGTAAGCCTGTTATTGCCTGGTGCATCGGTACCTGCGCCAAGATGTTTGCTACCGAGGTTCAATTTGGGCACGCTGGTGCCCTTGCTCAGTCTGATCTGGAGACTGCAGATGCCAAGAACCGAGCCCTTCGTGCGACTGGTGCGATTGTTCCCGAGACCTTCGAGAAGCTACCTTTAGTTCTGAGCCAGACTTATCAGACCTTGGTTAAAAAGGGTGCTATTGTCGTTCGCTCCGAGCCCGAGACACCCAAGATCCCCATTGATTATTCTTGGGCTCAGGAGCTGGGCTTGGTCCGCAAGCCCGCTTCGTTCGTCTCCACTATCTGCGATGACCGTGGACAGGAACTACTTTATGCCGGTATGCGCATCTCAGATGTTTTCAAGGAGGACATTGGAATCGGTGGCGTTCTCTCGCTGCTGTGGTTTAAGCGTCGTCTGCCAGCCTATGCTTGCAAGTTTATCGAGATGGTCCTCATGCTGACAGCCGATCACGGCCCTGCCGTTTCCGGAGCCCATAACACAATTGTCACTGCCCGTGCTGGCAAGGATCTGGTCTCGTCTCTCTGCGCTGGTCTCCTTACCATAGGAGATCGCTTTGGAGGCGCCCTAGACGGTGCTGCTGAACAGTTCTCATCTGCTTATGACAAGTCGCTTTCCCCTCGTGAGTTTGTCAATTCGATGAGAAAGCAGAACAAATTAATTCTCGGTATCGGACACAAGATCAAGTCGAGGACAAACCCGGATTTACGTGTCGAGATCATCAAGAATTACGCCAAGGCGCATTTTCCCTCGACCCCAGTCTTGGACTATGCTCTAGCTGTGGAGACGATCACGACGTCCAAGAAGGACAATCTAATTCTGAACGTTGATGGTGCGATTGGAATTCTGTTTGTGGATCTGTTGAGGCACTCGGGTGCTTTTACTCGCGAGGAAGCGGAGGAATACATCAAGATTGGAACCTTGAACGGTTTATTCGTCTTGGGGCGTTCGATCGGATTTATTGGACACTTCCTGGACCAGAAGAGACTGAAGCAAGGACTGTACAGACATCCTTGGGATGATATCTCATACTTGACTCCTGGCAATGAGCTGGGCCGCACGGTTGCGTCTCTGGATTCCATCAACAAGAAGGCTGCTTAAGCAACATTTTTATATTTCCTGCCCTGTCCATATTTGCACCGCTCGTATTGAATATTGAATACTTGAATAAAATGAATAAATCTGCTTCAACTTCTTACTAATTCTCGTAATTATACTTTAATGATGTTGGATCAGTAAGTTGAATGGTGATGAAGTAGGGCCAGGCTGTCGGGGCGTAGCCCTAATTCTTTCCTAGGACGATGTGCCCAACAGCCCTTGGACATGGAAGAAAACTTCCTCCAGTCGGAGGCTGAAGTGCAAGCAGCTCAAAAAAAATACCGATGTACTCAAGGCGTATCTCATTCTAGGCAGTTTCCTTCGTGACCAGAAAGGCAATTCTGCACTGTTGGACATATGCTCTATTTGCATGGTGTGCATGGGATGTCGTTTAAAGTGGTCCATCGCATATTGCGCCAGGGTGTGTGCGTCTAAGAAGTGGTAACACTGCCTCAAATGGATCATGTGGAGCTCCAACCCCCGCGTACATGCACTTTGAATTGTCGTCGCTGTTCATCTCTGATGGATTGCTCACCATTGTTTATGCATGCAGACGGCTTTTCCTTGCCTGGTTGCGTGGCTCAGGCAAATGCCCCTGTCCAGCTGGCCTCTTCTTTTTGTCCGTGTAGTTCCTATTGAACGAATGATTAAAGGGTGGGAGTTAAGATCAATACAAGGGCCGAGGCAGCGACGAGGAGGAGGGCAGGGTAGGCAAAGACATGCATTTTCCATTGGCTCAAAGACGTCTGCAGAGACGAACGAGCGGACCTGGGCCGATCCAAATAGGCTCACTAATGGGCGCAATAAACAGGGAACGCTTTCCAAGAGTGCAAAGCGCATATGAGCGCTTGCGCCCGCTTCGACCCTAGTCCTTCTTCCTCTTCCCTCCTCTCCTCCTCTCCTCCATTGGCTCGCCATCCCTCTTGCTCATTACTAGCCATTGCACAGGCCTGCTGTGAAGGAGCGATCCATTCTTTCATCTCCTTCGCTTTTCACACTCGGCCGGGGAGCTGTTTTTACACTCGATCGAGTCTGCACACACTCCCTCCATCCTTCTCTTCCGAATCTGATTCATAAACCCATCCTTCTTTGTCCTTGTTGTCCATTATACCCTACCCTGGCATTGTGCATAGACATAGCAGAGAGCATTGTGCTTCCTGAAACCTTACGTTCAACCATCCGAGACATATCCACTCAAGCCAGCACAAGATTCAGGAACGATGTTCTGGAAGAAGGACAGCTCAGGAGACTCGAATCTGGGACTCCAGGATATACCCCAGACACCAGCTTCAGCTCCAGCAGTTCTTCAAACCTCTTCCCTCAGGAACCAGCACAAGGCCATGCCTAGCATGGCCGAGATCGATCACCACGAAGGAGATGAGAAAGCTTCTGGAGGGCGACTAGAGGTGCCTGTTGAAATACCGAGATCAAGAAATCCTTGCAAAACTGGTAACCCCAAGTTGTGAACAGACTATATGTTGCCCTAGGACAACCACGCGGATGACTGACCAGCTATTGTTCCTCGCTTCATGTTTTTCACCCAAACACAGCCCAGCGACGATTCTTTTCCTCGAACAGCTTCTCCCTCTCGCGAGCAAGGAACGTTCTGGTTACTGGCAAGGCCGAGTAAGTCTTTGATTCTCAGCGTCTCCATGCGCAAACCTATTGATGACTGGACATGTAACGGTGTTAACTCGAATGAACGATTCCCTCTTCTCTTTCAGAGGACCACGGTTTCGACCACAGTAAGCGTTAGTTTGTGCACCATTTGCTCATGCATATCCTTTAAGCAGTGTTAGGACTCACACAGTTGCCCACAATTATACTTTTAGAGCAGAAATGGCAGCTCACATCCCAGAGAAAACGTCCGCTTTTAAGGTTCGTTGGCGCTAACATGCCCATGCCTGCTGCTGTTATTTTAGCCACAAACAACCTGAAGCTGCGGCTCCTGACCATCGAACAATGCGCATCCACACCACTCTCCATCATCCACTCTCTATCTACTTCATGCTAGCTTATCGCCAGCTTTAATAACTTCAGTGCTGGACACTATACTATCCAATGGCGCGTCAAAGTGCTCCAGGATTTTGCCATCCCGAATGGGTTTCATTTTGTCGTCCATGTCTCGTACGACGTAAGTTACCTTCAAGCGACTGGCGGTCCACTACTATAACGCATAGCTCAGTTAGGCTTACTATCATGCTATGCTTGATTGAAATAGGCAGAGCCAGATATCAGCGGGAGCCTAGATGTTATCATGCCTGGTTACAGATTGAACGTCCTAGGTAACTACGATTGCTAGCAAGAGTTGTTTACAACAGCAGCATTTATATTAACGTCTCTATCTTCTCTATCTCTTTCAATTTCTTTTTTTAACAGCTAAAGACAGATGGTACAACTTGATCCTTGAAGAGAAATTGGTCATCGAGCCACACGTGGGGAATGCTCGGATCCAAGTTGTTCTCTGCAACAACGAGAACATCGATCGGGTCGAGTACTTTGGGTTTGTAATCGAGCATGTGGAGATCAGGCCTATGACAGTGAAGTCAGAGCCGCAAGGTAAGGACAATACACTGCGGCAATTTCCACATCAAACAACCCCATCTTAATGGTGTCAATGCACACAGTAGATGGTAACAACAGTCTCCTTCACTTGGACAAATGCCTCTTTGTTCTATAGCCGGCGTTTCCGATTTTATGGTGTCAAGAGCCGCTATTCCCAACTATACCATCGACATGGCAAACCTACGACCAAGTGATCAGAATGGCTCATACATGCCGCCGAATGCTCCGGTCACCAGGCTAGCATCTTCAAAAAGCAGCCGATTCCTCGCGTCTTTGGCACTCTCTCAGGACGCAGCCTACATTACTGTCTGGGACATGGGTATCATCAAAAACCCACTCAATCCGTCCAGGAACATGTCAAAGTTGTACAGGGGCTGCGCTGTAGCCGTCGTTCCGCACACTGATATCGGCGAGCTCCCCATAGGACTTGCTCTGTCGACAAATGGTGACCAAGTGGCGATTTACCAGGAACCAAAGATCGGAGAGTGGATGGATGGATCCAAAATGAACAAGGCCTCGTTCCCTTTCAAGCTGTTTGACAACCCTCTGGTTCCCCAGGCGTCCGTCTTTGTCAATATCGACGCTGAATCAAACATCAACACGGATGTGAAGAACGAAGCTCCAGCTGAGGATGAAGCGAAAGGAGACCGTAAACAGAGCTACAACAGCGCCAGTCCTGCACCGACACCGTCTGAGATGCGTCAGCTGAAGGAAGTTCAGTGGGAGCACAGCATTTTGCGCACCTTCATCGGATACGGTGAGTTTTTGCCAGAGACGAGGAAGAGTGACTGGGAAAAGAACGATGTCAACGCAGCTCTAACAAGCAGCGGTGATGCTGACGAGGGTGATGGCGGTGACGAATCCAAGGAGACTAGCAACAGGAACAACTCATCGCCATCCAGCACAATGTTCGTTGCCTGCAATGGTCTATACCTGGATGTCTTCAAGATTTCGCCTGAGAAGAGGTGGAAGCGTATGCACACCATCACACTGACGGAGCTTTTGCCAACACTTTCCAGACGCATCACCTGCAAGATGATGATGGAGTCCATCAGCAGCAACACATTCATGTGGCTGGAGGATGGTGGACGCAGCTGCACTATCTGGAATCTTTTAACAGGATCCAACATCACTCACATTTCCAGTATTGAGAACGCCAGATTTAAAGGCCCCACCTTCCACGGACACAGCAAGATGGCTATCTCACCTCACGAGTCCATTGTGGCATTGGCGAGTGTGGACGGCAGCCTGACGACGTATTTTGCTAATACGGGTATGGCTATTGATGACCGGAAGTTCCCTGGGTTCAAGATCGAATACATTGGGTTCCATGGTCAGGATGACCAGCTGTTTGTCATTTTGAGAAGCAGTGTTAATTACGAGCTCAGCGCCTGGATTTTGGATTCACTCCAGCTAAAATCCGAGACTGCTGCTAACCAAGTTCCTATTCCGACTATCGATTCGACCATCCTGGCTTTATTCTATGTCAAGAGATTCTGGAAAAGAGGCATCATTTGCGAGTCCGACGGCACCAAAATCAACTGCTATATCTCCCATCAGCCTACGAGCTCCAAACTCATCAAGGATAGCGAGACTGCTCTGAAGGCCGCACCCGAGGATGTTGTTTACGAGTCTTCGCATGACGTCGATATCCAGTATCGATTGTTGACCGGCATCCACCGAGAGCTGTTGCCTGAAGGCGACGGCAAGTCGTACTGGGTACTCCGTGTCGAAGTGGTGGAGGAGAATCTGAAACAGAAGACGTCCAGAATCATATTCTCCTTTGTGCCAGAGCCATGGATGCGCGTCACCACCGAGGAAGTCGTCCACCCGGAGAACCTGCAGTCAACATTCTTTGTCCCATGCGGAACTCGTTTTGCTGTTGTCGGAATGCAGACTCTGCAAATCTGGAACCTGCCCACGACTGAGAACTCCAAGTGCAGCCTGCAGTTCATCTGGAGTCAGCCCAGAGACGAAAAGGAGCTGCTGCCAGGCGGTGTCGCTTACAAGTCTAGGCGAGTCAGGGACTACTACATGGACATCATGGGTATTTCTATCTTTCTAGATGCCGAAACGGGCAGTACCGTTGCCGAGATCAAGATGAATGACAGGTCGAGGAAGAAGATTGTTCCCATCCCAGGGCCAGGCAATATTGGTGCTCGTTATGCGATTCTCTACTGCTTCCGGAGCGTTCACTTGCTTTCAGCCGCCTATACCTTTTCTCATAACGAGAGTAAGAAGACGACAAGGGATTCACCACAGCTGACGTTCACGTTCGAGGACCATGCAGAAGCCATCGTTCGATTCACGCGAGAGCATATCAATCGCATGATGTCTATCTGTGTTTTTTCACCACGGAGACCAGGCCAAGCACAGAACAACACAAAGGACGCGAAGGGCACGAAGCGACCAGGACCCAGCACTGTTAATCAACCAGCACCACTGAACAACATTCAGCCGATTTCTGACGCCGACGTATTAGAGTCTTCCGCATCAGCTCCCGGAGCTGTGGTGGTGGGAGAGAACGTCACTGTCCATGCCAACGCCAATAGGCATGATGATGACGAGGTCGATCTTCGTCCTCAAAATATCCGTGGAAAACACGATTATAAACGCAGGACACCTCAATCGAAGAGTAGTACCCGGTCTGATGTTGTTACGGTGCTCACGCTTCTCTTGGACCACCCTCACTTGCAACGCACAAATCATGTCTTTGTTGAGGGGCTGCTAAACTCTTCCAATGGCGACTGGATCCCCCGCGATAACAAGGCGCTGAATCCGATCAAGCGCGTGATCGAGGCGAGGAATGGGCAGCTCCTCGAAGCATTTGTCGATTACTGCATCAAGAACGCCAAAAAGTATCACCCAGCATACCTAATGCCAGCAGTCCAGTGTTTGAACGAGCTCTCAGACCGATATCCGAATGTGCTTGCGGACCTGTTCAGGAAGGCCTCTTATGTCCCGGTCCACAACTACGGCTATGTTGCCTCTCATGCCATCATTGCCAACGAACAGTACGGAAAGTGGCTCAAGTCCAAGCTCATGTTCTGGAATATCTTTACAGGGAAGAAGTTTGAAAAGTCCAACAACATCAACGACTATGAGAAGCCAGTTTTCAGTTTGCGTTCTCAGCTCCCGTTCCGCGCGTCGAGTCTCTTGAACATTCTGCATATTGAGACATCTGTCCGCGAGAAGAGAGAGGAGGAATTCCCAGCAAGGCCGGATGTTGTAGAAGAGGACAAGAAGAGCTTGCAGTCGGAATTTTCGCACAAGATCTATGTGTCTCCATTCCCGAAACTGTCCATGTATGGGCCGTATCGTCCATGGTTCAAGGATATGGCATCGGCTAAATCTGCGTTTACCGACATCGCAGGACAAGACTTTTTTGATAGTCCGGCTATGGTGGCAACACTTGAGTTCAAATGGTATGCGTTTTTGAAACCAAGGAATGACTTTTGATTTGCAAGGAATAGGTCCACAACCTAATACGATGGCTCTTTGCTCTTTACTTTGCTTTGCTTTGCTTTGCTTTGCTTTTTTTTTTTTTTTTTTTTCTTGTAGGCAGAAGTTCGGTCTTTTCTACTGGATTTGGCGCTTCTCTGTGGTGTTCACCTTCTTTGTGCTCGTGTTGATTATCACAGCAAAGCAGATTTATACGTCTTCAAATCTTGATGATGTCTCGCCAGCCGATATTGCCAGCCGATATCTACTCGAATGGCGTCCACTCTTCAAGGCTGTGATAATCTTTGGATTCATCTTGATTGTATACGAAATCATGCAGTTTCTGGATTCGCCAAGAAAGTACATAAGGTGCGTCCTAACTTTTTGTCATTTCTAGTTTCGTCAATTTACCGCTACAGACACATTCTTAGCGTTATTTTTCGATTTATTTGGGGTGTAGGTCGCCATATAACTACATGGATCTGGCTGCATATGTCTTGCCGGTCGTTGGGTGCCTCATGTTTTTGCAAACCCAACCAGGGCCCATCGATATCAGCACTGATATAGTCGATGGCGACAGAGGCCCTAGCCAAATTTGGGTGATGAGCTTTGCGATCCTGGCCCTTTATATGAACATTGTAAGTTGTCCAGGGTGTTCTACGGCTTTTTGCGTCTCGGTAATCTTTCGGTGTATTCGCTTCAGTCAATCTGCCACTAACACCAGCGTCTGCTGTACTACACTTTAGTTGTTCGAGCTGCGTGTTATCAAGCAGCTGGGGATTGTTGTCAACATCATTTTGAATATCACACGTAGAATTGGCTGGTTCTTCCTGATCTTTGGCCTCTTCTTGATTGCTTTCACACATGCCTTACTCCATTTACTGCACACTCGGCGTTACGACCCCTGTGTGGCAAATGACACATGTGAAGGCGAAGGGAGAGACTACCCGGACGGATACCCCACAGGGTTCTTTTCAGCTCTGTCTGCAACGTACTTCTTCTTGGTACGAAACCATGTCGTTCGATGAGTGTTTCCAGCTGCAACTGCCATGCCATGCACCGATGCATGTTTTTAATGAGATGACGGGGCTATATGTATATATCTAGGCTGGCCGCTACGATCCCATCTCTGATTCTTTTGACAAGGGCTCCACCAGCTTTCATGTCATGATGGTTATTTTCTTCTTCTTCACGGCCATTCTGCTTCTCAATATCCTGATCGGTAATGATTCTCGGCTCTGCATCAAGTTATACCTTATGTCTTATACTTTGCTTTGTCTATCCAAAGACAGCATCTAACCCTACCGCGTTTTCACTATAGCCTTGATGAACGATGCCTATAATGAGAGCAAGGATCAGGGCCAGCTTGCGTGGCTTAAGCAGTGGTCAGAAGTCATTGCTGGTAAGTGTCTGGCATTGCTTGAGAGATCCAGCGATGATGCATCGATACCGGCTGACCCTGTGTGTGTGTGTGTGTGTGTGTGTGTGTGTGTGTGTGTGTGTGTGTGCCATTTTTGCAACCTAGAGGTGGAGATTTTCCTCATGTCCCAGGGCGCGCGGCAGAACCGCAACTACTTTCCCGACTACGTATATTACGGAGCGAATGAGCAAGAAGCAGAGCTGTACGAGTCCAAATATTACATCGCCAACAAGTCGAACCTCTCGATTGAAAATCGATTCTTGGTGGATACTGTCACTGGGGAGCAGGTTGTGGCCCAGGTGACACAGCGTGCCATCCATAAGGACGTTCAGTTGCTCAAGCAGGAACTGGAGAGGATGAAGAATGCCCAGGACGGCTTCAACCAGGACATGACAGAACTTATGGCAGCCTTCTTGGCCCAGACGACGACTGTTGCCCCCACCAGCCCAGACTGCGATCAACCACCGCAGGTTTCTCCTGTTGAAAATGACCCACCGAACAGCGGGGCATCACCAACGACTGGCTCTGGCATTTCTGTTCCAGGGGGACCTCTATCCGCTCCAGGCACTGGTCTACCCGGTGGTGTAGTCCGATCCTCTGCGGGGGCTGCTGCTGCTGCTGCTGCCGTCTTCTCCACTGCTGGCCAATCAAACAGACGATCCAAAAAACAGTCTTCGGTACCGTTCCGCCGCAAGATTAGCACCACAATTTTGGAAACGGAATCGCCGACATCTTATTCCCCAACTGTGCACTTCAATTCGCCTCAAAGCTCGATCAGCACCTCTCCGATATCGGCAGGTGATGCTGCGAGCCACCTGCCAGGAGAGGGAACCATCGACGCAGGCCCAGCGTCGGTAGGTGCGTCCCCCTCCTCAGTGCCACAAAGGATTGCAGAGCATCCACATCTAGCTGGTCCTGTTCGGCGCAAATCCAGTTATTCGTCCATCAAGCGGCGTCTCCAACAAAAGCTGGCAGTTGTCCGTACAATGGATGACGTTCTCAAGACTCACCAGATGATCGAAGACAACAATGCAAGCCATCCTATCTATATCAAGCCTCCAGGACGCAGGGATAGTGAGGATGATGAGCTTTATGACACAGAGGAGGATGAGGAAGACCTGATGAAGACTGTCACTGTGCATCATGCTCAGCGGCCCTCACCCGATCAGCCGGAGCATCTTAGAAGGGCGCATAGTGAGATTCTACTGAGGAGCATTCCCCATAACCCTATACCGCTTCATACACTTCCCGTACATCCTTCTCCTGGAGAGGATTCTACAGTGCAGAATGAATGAACAATAAAAAAAGCATATCCTCTGCTGATGGAACTGAATTCAGCCCTGCTGGTTCAAAAAGAGTTTCTTGCTAATGTCAACTTTTTCAGCCCCGTCTGTTTACATGCTGCATGGTCTTATTTTCTTTTTCTTTTTCCTTTTGGGTTACACAACTGCATCGTTTCTGAAAAAGTCTAAGCCCAGACTTGCTTGGAGAACAATGAGCCCCCTTGGTTGATTCGTTGCAATTAAACATGGTCGTGCCCCGGTCAAAACCCACCAACAACTCCTCCGCCTCCCGCAAACCTTTCTCATCTCTCGGCTTTGTGCCCTCCCTGAATTCGTTCGAAAAGGGCCACCCTTCAATCTCTTCCTTTCTCAAATCCTTCACCCAACATGTTCTGGAAAAAGCAAAGCACTGAGGACCCGACGGTGCAGCTCAAGGATATGTCTCAGTTCACCTCAGAGAAGCAGGACAAGTCCCCAGAAGACATGGCTCTAATTGATTGTACCGAAGGAGACGGGGTGAATCCTACAGGAGGGCTGCCTTCGATGAACAAGGCAGTCGAAGCCGACAATTCCTCAAATAAGGGTATGCTCGCTTGCTGTTCTCCCTTTTAGCCATCGTATCCGCAGTTGTTGATGGTCTATTGTCCATTTGTGTATTCTACCGGTTCATCATAGCTCAGCGGCGGTTCTTTAGTTCCGAAGACATTACTATTTCGCGATCAAAGACTCTTACGGTCATTGGGAATGAGGAGTGAGAATCTTTGCTTTCAAAACTGTCCTAATATCAACTCGTATGCTCTTCATGCGTTGTACATACCAGCATATGGATTTGACTAACATCAATGCATGGTTTTGTATGTCTTTAATAGAAGTCCACGGTTTAGGCCACTGTATGTATTAGCGTTCGTTTGTCTTATGTGGCAGTTCAGAGACTTCAAGAGGATATGTACTCAGTATTGTTTTTTATGATCCATACATGTAGACCCGACATGGTCGTACATGTCCCTGAAAAGACATCCGCCTTCAAGGTTCGTCCATATCACTCTACAACAACAGAGACATATATACCGTTTCTACGCATCCGGTCTAATCCATTAGCAAAACCTTTGGGAATCTAGTTGACCGCCAACTTTAACACTTACGACGCCGGATACTACAGCATCCATTGGCGTGTCAAGAAACTTCAGGACTTTCACATCCCCAATGGACTTCACTTCGTTATCAATGTCTCGTACGACGTAAGTTGCCATTGTAATAATGTCATTGTGGACTGTATTCGCATAGTAGCATAGTCCGACGGTGCTCACGAACTATCTCCGTTCTATATTGACAGGTCGAACCCGATATCAGCGGCAGTCTGGATGTGATCATGCTTCCCGATCGACTGAACGGCCTAGGTAATGAAGCGACCGGAACCAGAACTTTTTGTTCGATAGCAAACAGAACGGTATGATTGATTCTTTGTATTCCTCGTTTTTAGAGAAGGACCAGTGGTACAATTTGGTTCTCGAGGACAAACTGATTATTCAGCCACATGAGGGAGTCGCCAAGGTGGAGCTGATTCTTTGTAACAACGAGAAGCCGATTCTTAATAACAACGAGAACCCGGATCGGTATGAGTACTCTGGACTCGTGATCGAGCACGTCGAGATCAGACCGATCATATTGCAAGGAGACAAACATGGTAAAGATCTATTCTTTATCTGCCGATATGCTTACCTTTGCATTGCAATAGTTTTGTCTCTCTATTGCCGAGTCTTAACGATCTCCATCCTACCTTGCAATAGCGGAAATCACTGACGTGATAGTTTCGAAGGCAGCCATACCCAAGTTCGTTATCGATTCTGCAGATGCGTTTCCCGTAGCTCAGGATGCAACAGGTATCCCATCGGCAGCACAAATCACCAGACTGTCATCTTCCAAAGCCAGCCGATACCTTGCATCCTTGTCGCTTTCACAAAACTATGCTTACATTGCTATTTGGGACATGAGCACGGTGCCGAATCCATCTTTATCGTCACCGGGCACTTCTGAACCATCCAAAAAAATCGCCACTGCCGTTATTCATCATCGTGGAATTGGTCAGCTGTCGATCGGACTTTCTCTCTCAACGACTGGAGATCTCGTTGCGGTCTATCAGGAACCGAAGATTGGTCAGTGGGTGGATGGTTCAAAAGCGGAGAAACCGACATTTCCTTTCAGACTGTTCAGTAATCCATTAGTTCCTCAACCAGCTGTTGTATTGGACATGGACACGTCGTCGGATCGCGACCCGGAAGGAGTCTATGGACTCTTAGCAGAACACGAGACAGCTACATCACGGTCGTCACCAGCAGTCATCGAGCTACAAGAATTTCACTATGAGAACGAGATTCTCGCTGCATTCATCGGTTATGGTGCATTCTTGCCAGAGAGAAGCAGAAACGAATGGGAAATCAAGGATGCGCCAACACCGTCTGTTGAAGAAAATAATTTTGACGCGGAAGAGGATCTGGAGGACGGTAGGAACGAGACCGACGGACCAGCGTCTAGTTCCATGTTTGTAGCCTGCAATGGCCTGTATCTGGACGTCTTCAGGATCTCACCTGACAAAAAGTGGATCCGCGCACACACCATTACCTTGACGGACCTTTTGCCAACGCTTTCTAGACGTATCACCTGCAAGATGATGATGGACACCATCAGCAGCAACACATTCATGTGGTTGGAGGATGGCGGACGCAGCTGCACTATCTGGAACCTTTTAACAGGATCCAACATCACTCACATTTCCAGCATCGAGAACGCCAGGTTCAAAGGAGCGACTTTCCGGGGACACTGCAAAATGGCATTTTCTCCTGATGAGACCATTGTCGCGCTAGCAAGTGTCGATGGAAGTCTCGCAACATACTTTAAAGATACGGGCATGTCCATCGATGAAAGGAGCTTTCCTGGATTCAAGATCGAATACGTTGGATTCCACGGTCATGAAGATCATCTCTTTCTCATTCTACGCGACAGTGTCACATTTGGACTTAGTACGATGATTTTGGATCCACTCCGGCTGAAATGCGAGACCACTGCCAATCAAGTCCCTATCCCTACTATCGGCTCGACCATCCTGGCGTTCTTCAATGTCAATGGCTTCTGGAACAGAGGCATCATTTGCGAGGCAGATGGCACCAAGATCAATTGCTATATTTCTCACCAGCCTACAAAGCCCAAGGTTAACAAGAGCAGCGAATCAGTCTTGCAAGGCGATCCCAACGTCATCGAATACCAAAGTCGTACTGATGAAAACATTTGGTACCGACTCAAGACTGGAATACACAGAGAGTTGCTATTTGAGGGCGAAGGAGTGGCATACTGGGTCCTACGTGTCGAGCTTCTGGAGGAGAATCAAAGGATGAACACGAAAAAAGTAGTGTTTTCATTCGTACCGGAGCCCTGGATTAAGTCCACCACCGCCGAAGTTGCCCATCCGGAAAATCTTCTAACGGCATATTTCATTCCAGGGGGAGCTCGTTTTGCTGTGATTGGAATGCAGTCGCTTCAAATTTGGAATCTGCCGTCGTCCAAGAATGTCAAGTGCAGCTTGCAGTTCTTTTGGAGTCATCCAAAAGACGAGATGGAGCTTGGACTTGGCGGGTCTGCTTACAAGTCCGAGGGCGTTAGGGACTACTACGTGGAGACATCGAAGACGCTCATTTTTCTGGATACGGAGACCGGCAATGCCATTGCGGAAATCAAGTTGAACGACAAGACCAAGAAGAAGACAGTGCCTATCCCTGATGCGCTGGGGAACGAGACTCACCACGCCTTCCTTTATTGTTTTCGGAGCATTCATCTGTTAGCAGCCGCCTATGCATTTTCCAGCTGTGAGGGCAAAAAGGCCATCATAAGAGCTTCCCCACAGCTGACGTTTACGTTTGAGGACCATGCCGAGGCCATTGTCCGATTCGTCCTCGAATACATCAATCGTGTTATAACTGTCGAGGACTACACGCCACAGAAAGGAGGGCTGCAGCAGGCCAATACGTTGAGACACAAGAAATCAGAGTCCGTCATTGACGCCAAGTCTATTGACGGCAAGTGGAAATCGATCGGCAGGAAATCAAGTAGAAACAAAGCTACCGTCCCTGAGGTGGTGACACTGCTCACGCTTCTTCTGAACCATGACTATCTGTTCAGCGAGAACAATGTCTTCGTTGAGGCTCTCTTGTCTTCAGCTAACGGTGAATGGATCCCCAGGTCTAACAAAGCACTGAACCCGATCAAGCGCGTAATCGAAACCAAGAACACACAGTTGCTCGACGCTTTTATTGAGTACTGCATCAAGAACGCCAAACAGTATCACCCTGCATACTTGATGCCAGCGGTCCAATGTCTGAAGGAGCTCTCAGAGCGGTACCCCGATGTCCTGGCGGACTTGTTCAGGAAAGCCTCATACATCCCCGCCCGCAACCATGAATACGTTGCCTCGCACGCTATCGTTGCCAATCTGCGCTATCCAGATTGGCTGAACTTCTTAATCGAGTTTTACACCAATGGATTCTTCAAAGGGACGTACTTCAAGAAATCAAACAACATCGACGATTACGAGAGACCAGTCTTTTGCTTGCGGTCGCAACTTCCTGTCCGAGCAACGACTTTTTTGAACATCAAGAGCATTGAGACCTCAATTCGAGAGACGCGCCTTGTGGAGTTCCCTCCCAAACGGAACATCGTCGAGGATGAGAAGCAGGCGCGTTCAAAATACTCACACCAGATCTACGTATGTCCATTCCCCAAACTATCTTCGTACGGACGTTACCTCTCATGGTACGAGAGCGACGGAACGGATTTAATGTCGGTATTCACGATGATCGCAGGAAAGGAGTTTTTCGATAGTCCGGCTATGGAGGCTACTCTGAGTTTCAAATGGTGAGTATTCTATGTAAAAGAAGAGCTGTGGTTTGTGAGATCTCCATTGATCACTCACGGTCCTCTTGTCGCTGTCTTCTTAGGAACAAATTCGGTTTCATGTACTGGTTCATCGGCTTCCTGGTGGATGTCATGTTTTTTGCCTTCATCACAGCTATCACCGCACAGCAGGTCAGAAAAGCTACTCTGCCAGAGAAAGGCTCCCCCACGCCGGAAGAGATCGTAGAGCGGTACCTTTTATCGTGGCATCTTTTCATCAAATTCACCATAGCCGTGGGAAGCTACCTGATTTTCCGAGACGCTGTGCGCTTGTTAGTCGATTGGCGCCAATACATCAGGTACGCCTCCCATCAGTCTTGCCCAAGGAATAACGTCGTGTATGATTCATCCACTAACAGTACACATGTGAATGAAAAAAAATAGGTCCCCATACCTCTACATGCGTCTTGTGGCCCATATTCTCCCTATTATTGGGTGTTCCTCGATCCTGAAAGCACACCCAAGCTCAGAGGCTACGGATCCTGGTCCCAGTCAAATCTGGGTGATGAGCTTTGCGATCTTGGCCCTCTACTTGAACATGGTAAGCTGACGAGAAAGAGCTCCCCGCTGGGGGGTTTTTTTTCTTTTTTTTTTTTCTAGGCAAACGAAATTAACTACTACGAATGCTTATCTGTCTCTTAATTAGCTATTCGAGATGCGTGTTATCAAGCAGTTGGGAATCGTCGTCAACATTATTCTCAACATTATGCGCAAAATCGTCTGGTTCTTCTTGATTTTTGGCGTCTTCCTGGTGGCTTTCACACATGCCTTATTACACCTGCTGCATACTCGGAAGTACGATGCCTGTGAGGACGGCTGTGAGGACAGAGATTATCCAGACGGATACCCGAAAAAGTTTTTTGACGCTTTGTCAGCGACATACTTCTTCCTGGTACGGTGAACTCCGAACAATCGATATCATGCCCATTTAAGACTGAGACTTGACATCGGCCGCAGCATGATGTTGCTAATGATGACTACTGCATATATCTGAATATTCATAGGCTGGCAGATTCGACCCCATCAGTACATCTTTCGATAAGGGCACTACAAGCTTCCTTATTATGATGATGATCTTTTTCTTTTTCACGACCATCCTGCTTCTCAATATCTTCATTGGTAAGGCTCTATTTTCTACCAATGATAAAAACTGTGGCATTGATACGGGTCATTGGCTTCGAACTAATATACTGCCTTTGCTCCTTAGCTCTCATGAACGATGCCTTCAACGAGAGCAGTGTACAGGGTGAAGTCGCTTGGCTGAAGCAATGGTCGGAAGTTGTTGCCGGTTAGTATCCAGTTTCGGTTTAGCTCCTGCTTTGATGCAAAACTACTGCTACTGTCACTATTGCTACTGTCAAGAGATTCATTGGCACCTAATTCTTCGACGTATCTTGACCTGCGATAGATGTCGAAGTCTTTTACATGTCCAACACTTCTCACCACAACCACAACTTTTTCCCGGATTACATCTACTACGGAGCAAGCGAAAAGGACGCTGAAGTGTACGGATCTCAGTACTACATTGCGAACAAGTCGAACCTTTCATTGGAAAACAGGTTTGTAGTGGAAGCGGTTTCCGCCGAACAGAATACCATTCAAATGGCCCAGAGAGGAATAATCCACGATGTGCAGAAAATGGAACGACAACAGGATATAGCGACCCAGGAGATCGCAGAGATGAGAGAGCTCATGAAACAAACTAGAGATGAATTATTGAGCGAGATGAGGAGACTGATGGCAGCACCTGCGAACCAGAAGAATGTACTTACCGAAGGCAATGAGCAGTCTGCAACTTCTTCGCCTGTCACGCAAGGTCCATCTATCTCGGTTGCACCTCCAACGCCAGGAAGGGCACAGCACCAAGCTTTAACGAGAGTAGCAGCCGGAGATACGTCAAACAACAATTCGATCAAATACACAAAGCCGACTCAGGGCTCTACCGGTGACCTTTGGAACCAGTTGCCAGCGAGTGGATACAATATGCGCTTCCCAGAATCATCTTTCTCGAAATCCAGCAGGGATATCAGTTCTCCTGATCGCGAAAAGGTCATTCAGAACAAGACCAGCAGCTCATCAGTTCTAAACCAACGACAGCAACAGAACCTGGATGCCATCTACACAGCGGATGATTCGCGCAAAGCGCAGCAAAGACTTGAGGACAACAACGCCAGCCATCCAGTCTATGTTAAGCCTCAGGAGCACCAAGATAACAATAGCGATAGCGATGATAGCGAGAACGAGGACAAGAACGACAAGAGCACTCCTTACCAGTCCTCACCATCTCATGTACCAAGATATCACTCGCAGCGTGACCAGACTCAGCACTATCCTCAGCAGCAGGATCCTCCCAGGAGGGCACAGAGTGATGGCCAGTTGACAAGCCTGCCCCATGAGGTTGTAGAGTAAAACGCTCGCTCTTTGCCTCCATCTGATCACAATCCCTCTGAAATGAATAACTAATACACGTGCAGATGCCATTCACTACTTCATACATGTTGATATCGCAATAAGCGATGCTTTGCTAAATAAACGCCAGCTTGACTATTTTCTGAAACGATCGAGATTACAAGAACCAGTTTAAGGTTAAGGACATTTAAAGTTTGGGCTGAGCTTTTGTGGATGAAACATGACCACCTATTGCGTGTTCATCAAAGATGACCAGCCCCTTCACATCACGAATCCATACGCACCTGCACTTGAATACAACGCTCCATCCTGATTGGATTTGAATGTTTGCTATCCCTGAATTCTCTCTCTCTCTTTCTCTCTCTCTCTCCCCCAAAAAAGGATCAGGCTTGGAGCACTCGATCCGTCTCTCAGGATGTGTGAACCAGAGATCGACTTCTTTCCAGATTGCATTTATTGTGAAAGCAAGCAAAATGAACTTACGTTTCACTAGACCTGGTACCTTCCTTCTTGAACATTGTTTCGTTCTCGAGAGTTGAGATTACCTCATTGCATCTGGATGCTGGCCAACTGGCGCAGAACTTCACTCTGAGAGAAACTTAGCCTCACGCCATGGATATCGAAAGCATAGCAAAGACGCAAGTGCCGTCCAAGTTTCCGTTCGAGCATGATGTAGCTAAACTGAGTGCTTGGATGATCGATAAATGTGGATATGCATCGTGAGACCGCAATATAGGAGACGAACTAGCTAATTGAACCTATGGCGATGTATTGCTAATTGACCCTGGTGCATTGATAATGTTCAAAGGTAAATCTTACCATTTCGTCAATTTTTCTTTATTAAAATAATGCCACAAGGAATGTATATGCGCATGTACATGTATCCCCTCGCGAGCATTATCAGCTCTCTTAAGTTCCTTCGCTCAGTAGGAGCTGGACTCTTTATCCGACTGCAGCCTAGTCGATAACCATGAGAAGTTACAGCCCCAGCAGTCCTTCAAACCTCTTCCCTCAGGAACCAGCACAAGGCCATGCCTAGCATGGCCGAGATCGATCACCACGAAGGAGATGAGAAAGCTTCTGGAGGGCGACTAGAGGTGCCTGTTGAAATACCGAGATCAAGAAATCCTTGCAAAACTGGTAACCCCAAGTTGTGAACAGACTATATGTTGCCCTAGGACAACCACGCGGATGACTGACCAGCTATTGTTCCTCGCTTCATGTTTTTCACCCAAACACAGCCCAGCGACGATTCTTTTCCTCGAACAGCTTCTCCCTCTCGCGAGCAAGGAACGTTCTGGTTACTGGCAAGGCCGAGTAAGTCTTTGATTCTCAGCGTCTCCATGCGCAAACCTATTGATGACTGGACATGTAACGGTGTTAACTCGAATGAACGATTCCCTCTTCTCTTTCAGAGGACCACGGTTTCGACCACAGTAAGCGTTAGTTTGTGCACCATTTGCTCATGCATATCCTTTAAGCAGTGTTAGGACTCACACAGTTGCCCACAATTATACTTTTAGAGCAGAAATGGCAGCTCACATCCCAGAGAAAACGTCCGCTTTTAAGGTTCGTTGGCGCTAACATGCCCATGCCTGCTGCTGTTATTTTAGCCACAAACAACCTGAAGCTGCGGCTCCTGACCATCGAACAATGCGCATCCACACCACTCTCCATCATCCACTCTCTATCTACTTCATGCTAGCTTATCGCCAGCTTTAATAACTTCAGTGCTGGACACTATACTATCCAATGGCGCGTCAAAGTGCTCCAGGATTTTGCCATCCCGAATGGGTTTCATTTTGTCGTCCATGTCTCGTACGACGTAAGTTACCTTCAAGCGACTGGCGGTCCACTACTATAACGCATAGCTCAGTTAGGCTTACTATCATGCTATGCTTGATTGAAATAGGCAGAGCCAGATATCAGCGGGAGCCTAGATGTTATCATGCCTGGTTACAGATTGAACGTCCTAGGTAACTACGATTGCTAGCAAGAGTTGTTTACAACAGCAGCATTTATATTAACGTCTCTATCTTCTCTATCTCTTTCAATTTCTTTTTTTAACAGCTAAAGACAGATGGTACAACTTGATCCTTGAAGAGAAATTGGTCATCGAGCCACACGTGGGGAATGCTCGGATCCAAGTTGTTCTCTGCAACAACGAGAACATCGATCGGGTCGAGTACTTTGGGTTTGTAATCGAGCATGTGGAGATCAGGCCTATGACAGTGAAGTCAGAGCCGCAAGGTAAGGACAATACACTGCGGCAATTTCCACATCAAACAACCCCATCTTAATGGTGCCAATGCACACAGTAGATGGTAACAACAGTCTCCTTCACTTGGACAAATGCCTCTTTGTTCTATAGCCGGCGTTTCCGATTTTATGGTGTCAAGAGCCGCTATTCCCAACTATACCATCGACATGGCAAACCTACGACCAAGTGATCAGAATGGCTCATACATGCCGCCGAATGCTCCGGTCACCAGGCTAGCATCTTCAAAAAGCAGCCGATTCCTCGCGTCTTTGGCACTCTCTCAGGACGCAGCCTACATTACTGTCTGGGACATGGGTATCATCAAAAACCCACTCAATCCGTCCAGGAACATGTCAAAGTTGTACAGGGGCTGCGCTGTAGCCGTCGTTCCGCACACTGATATCGGCGAGCTCCCCATAGGACTTGCTCTGTCGACAAATGGTGACCAAGTGGCGATTTACCAGGAACCAAAGATCGGAGAGTGGATGGATGGATCCAAAATGAACAAGGCCTCGTTCCCTTTCAAGCTGTTTGACAACCCTCTGGTTCCCCAGGCGTCCGTCTTTGTCAATATCGACGCTGAATCAAACATCAACACGGATGTGAAGAACGAAGCTCCAGCTGAGGATGAAGCGAAAGGAGACCGTAAACAGAGCTACGACAGCGCCAGTCCTGCACCGACACCGTCTGAGATGCGTCAGCTGAAGGAAGTTCAGTGGGAGCACAGCATTTTGCGCACCTTCATCGGATACGGTGAGTTTTTGCCAGAGACGAGGAAGAGCGACTGGGAAAAGAACGATGTCAACGCAGCTCTAACAAGCAGCGGTGATGCTGACGAGGGTGATGGCGGTGACGAATCCAAGGAGACTAGCAACAGGAACAACTCATCGCCATCCAGCACAATGTTCGTTGCCTGCAATGGTCTATACCTGGATGTCTTCAAGATTTCGCCTGAGAAGAGGTGGAAGCGTATGCACACCATCACACTGACGGAGCTTTTGCCAACACTTTCCAGACGCATCACCTCCAAGATGATGATGGAGTCCATCAGCAGCAACACATTCATGTGGCTGGAGGATGGTGGACGCAGCTGCACTATCTGGAATCTTTTAACAGGATCCAACATCACTCACATTTCCAGTATTGAGAACGCCAGATTTAAAGGCCCCACCTTCCGCGGACACAGCAAGATGGCTATCTCACCTCACGAGTCCATTGTGGCATTGGCGAGTGTGGACGGCAGCCTGACGACGTATTTTGCTAATACGGGTATGGCTATTGATGACCGGAAGTTCCCTGGGTTCAAGATCGAATACATTGGGTTCCATGGTCAGGATGACCAGCTGTTTGTCATTTTGAGAAGCAGTGTTAATTACGAGCTCAGCGCCTGGATTTTGGATTCACTCCAGCTAAAATCCGAGACTGCTGCTAACCAAGTTCCTATTCCGACTATCGATTCGACCATCCTGGCTTTATTCTATGTCAAGAGATTCTGGAAAAGAGGCATCATTTGCGAGTCCGACGGCACCAAAATCAACTGCTATATCTCCCATCAGCCTACGAGCTCCAAACTCATCAAGGATAGCGAGACTGCTCTGAAGGCCGCACCCGAGGATGTTGTTTACGAGTCTTCGCATGACGTCGATATCCAGTATCGATTGTTGACCGGCATCCACCGAGAGCTGTTGCCTGAAGGCGACGGCAAGTCGTACTGGGTACTCCGTGTCGAAGTGGTGGAGGAGAATCTGAAACAGAAGACGTCCAGAATCATATTCTCCTTTGTGCCAGAGCCATGGATGCGCGTCACCACCGAGGAAGTCGTCCACCCGGAGAACCTGCAGTCAACATTCTTTGTCCCATGCGGAACTCGTTTTGCTGTTGTCGGAATGCAGACTCTGCAAATCTGGAACCTGCCCACGACTGAGAACTCCAAGTGCAGCCTGCAGTTCATCTGGAGTCAGCCCAGAGACGAAAAGGAGCTGCTGCCAGGCGGTGTCGCTTACAAGTCTAGGCGAGTCAGGGACTACTACATGGACATCATGGGTATTTCTATCTTTCTAGATGCCGAAACGGGCAGTACCGTTGCCGAGATCAAGATGAATGACAGGTCGAGGAAGAAGATTGTTCCCATCCCAGGGCCAGGCAATATTGGTGCTCGTTATGCGATTCTCTACTGCTTCCGGAGCGTTCACTTGCTTTCAGCCGCCTATACCTTTTCTCATAACGAGAGTAAGAAGACGACAAGGGATTCACCACAGCTGACGTTCACGTTCGAGGACCATGCAGAAGCCATCGTTCGATTCACGCGAGAGCATATCAATCGCATGATGTCTATCGGTGTTTTTTCACCACGGAGACCAGGCCAAGCACAGAACAACACAAAGGACGCGAAGGGCACGAAGCGACCAGGACCCAGCACTGTTAATCAACCAGCACCACTGAACAACATTCAGCCGATTTCTGACGCCGACGTATTAGAGTCTTCCGCATCAGCTCCCGGAGCTGTGGTGGTGGGAGAGAACGTCACTGTCCATGCCAACGCCAATAGGCATGATGATGACGAGGTCGATCTTCGTCCTCAAAATATCCGTGGAAAACACGATTATAAACGCAGGACACCTCAATCGAAGAGTAGTACCCGGCCTGATGTTGTTACGGTGCTCACGCTTCTCTTGGACCACCCTCACTTGCAACGCACAAATCATGTCTTTGTTGAGGGGCTGCTAAACTCTTCCAATGGCGACTGGATCCCCCGCGATAACAAGGCGCTGAATCCGATCAAGCGCGTGATCGAGGCGAGGAATGGGCAGCTCCTCGAAGCATTTGTCGATTACTGCATCAAGAACGCCAAAAAGTATCACCCAGCATACCTGATGCCAGCAGTCCAGTGTTTGAACGAGCTCTCAGACCGATATCCGAATGTGCTTGCGGACCTGTTCAGGAAGGCCTCTTATGTCCCGGTCCACAACTACGGCTATGTTGCCTCTCATGCCATCATTGCCAACGAACAGTACGGAAAGTGGCTCAAGTCCAAGCTCATGTTCTGGAATATCTTTACAGGGAAGAAGTTTGAAAAGTCCAACAACATCAACGACTATGAGAAGCCAGTTTTCAGTTTGCGTTCTCAGCTCCCGTTCCGCGCGTCGAGTCTCTTGAACATTCTGTATATTGAGACATCTGTCCGCGAGAAGAGAGAGGAGGAATTCCCAGCAAGGCCGGATGTTGTAGAAGAGGACAAGAAGAGCTTGCAGTCGGAATTTTCGCACAAGATCTATGTGTCTCCATTCCCGAAACTGTCCATGTATGGGCCGTATCGTCCATGGTTCAAGGATATGGCATCGGCTAAATCTGCGTTTACCGACATCGCAGGACAAGACTTTTTTGATAGTCCGGCTATGGTGGCAACACTTGAGTTCAAATGGTATGCGTTTTTGAAACCAAGGAATGACTTTTGATTTGCAAGGAATAGGTCCACAACCTAATACGATGGCTCTTTGCTCTTTACTTTGCTTTGCTTTGCTTTGCTTTTTTTTTTTTTTTTTTTTCTTGTAGGCAGAAGTTCGGTCTTTTCTACTGGATTTGGCGCTTCTCTGTGGTGTTCACCTTCTTTGTGCTCGTGTTGATTATCACAGCAAAGCAGATTTATACGTCTTCAAATCTTGATGATGTCTCGCCAGCCGATATTGCCAGCCGATATCTATTCGAATGGCGTCCACTCTTCAAGGCTGTGATAATCTTTGGATTCATCTTGATTGTATACGAAATCATGCAGTTTCTGGATTCGCCAAGAAAGTACATAAGGTGCGTCCTAACTTTTTGTCATTTCTAGTTTCGTCAATTTACCGCTACAGACACATTCTTAGCGTTATTTTTCGATTTATTTGGGGTGTAGGTCGCCATATAACTACATGGATCTGGCTGCATATGTCTTGCCGGTCGTTGGGTGCCTCATGTTTTTGCAAACCCAACCAGGGCCCATCGATATCAGCACTGATATAGTCGATGGCGACAGAGGCCCTAGCCAAATTTGGGTGATGAGCTTTGCGATCCTGGCCCTTTATATGAACATTGTAAGTTGTCCAGGGTGTTCTACGGCTTTTTGCGTCTCGGTAATCTTTCGGTGTATTCGCTTCAGTCAATCTGCCACTAACACCAGCGTCTGCTGTACTACACTTTAGTTGTTCGAGCTGCGTGTTATCAAGCAGCTGGGGATTGTTGTCAACATCATTTTGAATATCACACGTAGAATTGGCTGGTTCTTCCTGATCTTTGGCCTCTTCTTGATTGCTTTCACACATGCCTTACTCCATTTACTGCACACTCGGCGTTACGACCCCTGTGTGGCAAATGACACATGTGAAGGCGAAGGGAGAGACTACCCGGACGGATACCCCACAGGGTTCTTTTCAGCTCTGTCTGCAACGTACTTCTTCTTGGTACGAAACCATGTCGTTCGATGAGTGTTTCCAGCTGCAACTGCCATGCCATGCACCGATGCATGTTTTTAATGAGATGACGGGGCTATATGTATATATCTAGGCTGGCCGCTACGATCCCATCTCTGATTCTTTTGACAAGGGCTCCACCAGCTTTCATGTCATGATGGTTATTTTCTTCTTCTTCACGGCCATTCTGCTTCTCAATATCCTGATCGGTAATGATTCTCGGCTCTGCATCAAGTTATACCTTATGTCTTATACTTTGCTTTGTCTATCCAAAGACAGCATCTAACCCTACCGCGTTTTCACTATAGCCTTGATGAACGATGCCTATAATGAGAGCAAGGATCAGGGCCAGCTTGCGTGGCTTAAGCAGTGGTCAGAAGTCATTGCTGGTAAGTGTCTGGCATTGCTTGAGAGATCCAGCGATGATGCATCGATACCGGCTGACCCTGTGTGTGTGTGTGTGTGTGTGTGTGTGTGTGTGTGTGTGTGTGTGCCATTTTTGCAACCTAGAGGTGGAGATTTTCCTCATGTCCCAGGGCGCGCGGCAGAACCGCAACTACTTTCCCGACTACGTATATTACGGAGCGAATGAGCAAGAAGCAGAGCTGTACGAGTCCAAATATTACATCGCCAACAAGTCGAACCTCTCGATTGAAAATCGATTCTTGGTGGATACTGTCACTGGGGAGCAGGTTGTGGCCCAGGTGACACAGCGTGCCATCCATAAGGACGTTCAGTTGCTCAAGCAGGAACTGGAGAGGATGAAGAATGCCCAGGACGGCTTCAACCAGGACATGACAGAACTTATGGCAGCCTTCTTGGCCCAGACGACGACTGTTGCCCCCACCAGCCCAGACTGCGATCAACCACCGCAGGTTTCTCCTGTTGAAAATGACCCACCGAACAGCGGGGCATCACCAACGACTGGCTCTGGCATTTCTGTTCCAGGGGGACCTCTATCCGCTCCAGGCACTGGTCTACCCGGTGGTGTAGTCCGATCCTCTGCGGGGGCTGCTGCTGCTGCTGCTGCTGCTGCCGTCTTCTCCACTGCTGGCCAATCAAACAGACGATCCAAAAAACAGTCTTCGGTACCGTTCCGCCGCAAGATTAGCACCACAATTTTGGAAACGGAATCGCCGACATCTTATTCCCCAACTGTGCACTTCAATTCGCCTCAAAGCTCGATCAGCACCTCTCCGATATCGGCAGGTGATGCTGCGAGCCACCTGCCAGGAGAGGGAACCATCGACGCAGGCCCAGCGTCGGTAGGTGCGTCCCCCTCCTCAGTGCCACAAAGGATTGCAGAGCATCCACATCTAGCTGGTCCTGTTCGGCGCAAATCCAGTTATTCGTCCATCAAGCGGCGTCTCCAACAAAAGCTGGCAGTTGTCCGTACAATGGATGACGTTCTCAAGACTCACCAGATGATCGAAGACAACAATGCAAGCCATCCTATCTATATCAAGCCTCCAGGACGCAGGGATAGTGAGGATGATGAGCTTTATGACACAGAGGAGGATGAGGAAGACCTGATGAAGACTGTCACTGTGCATCATGCTCAGCGGCCCTCACCCGATCAGCCGGAGCATCTTAGAAGGGCGCATAGTGAGATTCTACTGAGGAGCATTCCCCATAACCCTATACCGCTTCATACACTTCCCGTACATCCTTCTCCTGGAGAGGATTCTACAGTGCAGAATGAATGAACAATAAAAAAAGTATATCCTCTGATTTCAGTAGAGAAGACATTGTTGCCAGCAACCACCGAGAGTACGCAGGATTTGATATAAGGTTTTGAGGCTGGGCCTGTATAAAAGGGCCAAAGCCAGCGATCTTTTGTTCCTCGTTCCATTTGAATAAGAAGACCGCTGTGCTCATCACCCGCTACAGGCACCCTTTGCTTAGATATACCAATAATGAAATATGATTCCAGTTGAACAAGACCGTTGTGCTGATCACCCGCTACAGTGTGCGTAGTTTGCGCGCTAGACCTTCTTATTGCTTCCTTCATATAACTGCAAAAGATCTATCTCCTCGGACAACAATGTCAACTTTCTCAGCCCGTCCCTGCATGATCTTTTTTTTTGAGGGGTTACACAACTGCACATAGACTTACTTGGAGAACAATGAGCCCCCTTGATTGGCTTGTTGCAATTAAACATGGTCGTGCCCCGGTCAAAACCCACCAACAACTCCTCCGCCTCCCGCAAACCTTTCTCATCTCTCGGCTTTGTGCCCTCCCTGAATTCGTTCGAAAAGGGCCACCCTTCAATCTCTTCCTTTCTCAAATCCTTCACCCAACATGTTCTGGAAAAAGCAAAGCACTGAGGACCCGACGGTGCAGCTCAAGGATATGTCTCAGTTCACCTCAGAGAAGCAGGACAAGTCCCCAGAAGACATGGCTCTAATTGATTGTACCGAAGGAGACGGGGTGAATCCTACAGGAGGGCTGCCTTCGATGAACAAGGCAGTCGAAGCCGACAATTCCTCAAATAAGGGTATGTTCGCTTGCTGTTCTCCCTTTTAGCCATCGTATCCGCAGTTGTTGATGGTCTATTGTCCATTTGTGTATTCTACCGGTTCATCATAGCTCAGCGGCGGTTCTTTAGTTTCGAAGTCATTCCTATTTCGCGATCAAAGACTCTTACGGTCATTGGGAATGAGGAGTGAGAATCTTTGCTTTCAAAACTGTCCTAATATCAACTCGCATGCTCTTCATGCGTTGTACATACCAGCATATGGATTTGACTAACATCAATGCATGGTTTTGTATGTCTTTAATAGAAGTCCACGGTTTAGGCCACTGTATGTATTAGCGTTCGTTTGTCTTATGTGGCAGTTCAGAGACTTCAAGAGGATATGTACTCAGTATTGTTTTTTATGATCCATACATGTAGACCCGACATGGTCGTACATGTCCCTGAAAAGACATCCGCCTTCAAGGTTCGTCCATATCACTCTACAACAACAGAGACATATATACCGTTTCTACGCATCCGGTCTAATCCATTAGCAAAACCTTTGGGAATCTAGTTGACCGCCAACTTTAACACTTACGACGCCGGATACTACAGCATCCATTGGCGTGTCAAGAAACTTCAGGACTTTCACATCCCCAATGGACTTCACTTCGTTATCAATGTCTCGTACGACGTAAGTTGCCATTGTAATAATGTCATTGTGGACTGTATTCGCATAGTAGCATAGTCCGACGGTGCTCACGAACTATCTCCGTTCTATATTGACAGGTCGAACCCGATATCAGCGGCAGTCTGGATGTGATCATGCTTCCCGATCGACTGAACGGCCTAGGTAATGAAGCGACCGGAACCAGAACTTTTTGTTCGATAGCAAACAGAACGGTATGATTGATTCTTTGTATTCCTCGTTTTTAGAGAAGGACCAGTGGTACAATTTGGTTCTCGAGGACAAACTGATTATTCAGCCACATGAGGGAGTCGCCAAGGTGGAGCTGATTCTTTGTAACAACGAGAAGCCGATTCTTAATAACAACGAGAACCCGGATCGGTATGAGTACTCTGGACTCGTGATCGAGCACGTCGAGATCAGACCGATCATATTGCAAGGAGACAAACATGGTAAAGATCTATTCTTTATCTGCCGATATGCTTACCTTTGCATTGCAATAGTTTTGTCTCTCTATTGCTGAGTCTTAACGATCTCCATCCTACCTTGCAATAGCGGAAATCACTGACGTGATAGTTTCGAAGGCAGCCATACCCAAGTTCGTTATCGATTCTGCAGATGCGTTTCCCGTAGCTCAGGATGCAACAGGTATCCCATCGGCAGCACAAATCACCAGACTGTCATCTTCCAAAGCCAGCCGATACCTTGCATCCTTGTCGCTTTCACAAAACTATGCTTACATTGCTATTTGGGACATGAGCACGGTGCCGAATCCATCTTTATCGTCACCGGGCACTTCTGAACCATCCAAAAAAATCGCCACTGCCGTTATTCATCATCGTGGAATTGGTCAGCTGTCGATCGGACTTTCTCTCTCAACGACTGGAGATCTCGTTGCGGTCTATCAGGAACCGAAGATTGGTCAGTGGGTGGATGATTCGAAAGCGGAGAAGCCGACATTTCCTTTCAAATTGTTCAGTAATCCACTGGGTCCTCAACCAGATGTCACAGTGGACATAGACACACCACGTTCGTCTCCAACAGTCATCGAGCTACAAGAATTTCACTATGGGAACGAGATTCCCACTGCATTCATCGGTTATGGTGCATTCTTGCCAGAGACAACCAGAAACGAATTAGGAATCAAGGATGCACCAACACCGTCTGTTGAAGAAATTAATTTGGACGCAGAAGAGAATCTGGAGGGTGATAGGAACAAGGCCCACATATCTGCGTCTAGTTCCATGTTTGTAGCCTGCAATGGCCTGTACCTGGATGTCTTCAAGATCTCACCTGACAAGAAGTGGATCCGCGCACACACCATTACCTTGACGGACCTTTTGCCAACGCTTTCTAGACGTATCACCTGCAAGATGATGATGGACACCATCAGCAGCAACACATTCATGTGGTTGGAGGATGGCGGACGCAGCTGCACTATCTGGAACCTTTTAACAGGATCCAACATCACTCACATTTCCAGCATCGAGAACGCCAGGTTCAAAGGAGCGACTTTCCGGGGACACCGCAAAATGGCATTTTCTCCTGACGAAACTATTGTCGCGCTAGCAAGTGTCGATGGAAGTCTCGCAACATACTTTACAGATACAGGCGTGTCCATCGATGACAGGACTTTCCCTGGGTGCAAAATCGAATACGTTGGCTTCTACGGTCATGAAAATCATCTCTTTCTCATTCTACGCGACAGTGTCACATTTGCACTTAGTACGATGATTTTGGATCCACTCCGGCTGAAGTGCGAGATATCTGTCAATCAAGTCCCTATTCCTACTATCGGCTCGACCATCCTAGCGTTCTTCAATGTCAAAGGCTTCCGGAAGAGAGGCATCATTTGCGAGGCAGATGGCACCAAGATCAATTGCTATATTTCTCACTGGTTTACAAAGCCCAAGGTTAACAAGAGCAACAACAAAAAGGTCCGGCGACGCGATCCCAACGTCATGAAATATCAAAGTCGTACTGATGGAAACATTTGGTACCGACTCAAGACTGGAATACACAGAGAGTTGCTATTTGGGGGCGAAGGAGTGGCATACTGGGTCCTACGTGTCGAGCTTCTGGAGGAGAATCAAAGGATGAAAACGAAAAAAGTAATGTTTTCATTCGTGCCGGAGCCCTGGATTAGGCCCATCACCGCCGAAGTTGTCCATCCGGAAAACCTTCTAACGGCATATTTCATTCCAGGGGGAGCTCGTTTTGCTGTGATTGGAATGCAGTCGCTTCAAATTTGGAATCTGCCGTCGTCCAAGAATGTCAAGTGCAGCTTGCAGTTCTTTTGGAGTCATCCGAAAGACGAGGCGGGACTTAAGTCCGAGAGCGTTAGGGACTACTACGTGGAGCCATCTAAGATGCGCATTTTTCTGGATAACGAGACCGGCAACGCAATTGCGGCGAGAATCAAGTTGAACGACAAGACCAAGTTGGACGATAAGGCCAAGTTAGACGATAAGTCTAAGTTGGACGATAAGCCCAAGTTGGACGACAAGACCAAGTTGGACGACAAGACCAAGTTGGACGACAAGACCAAGTTGGACGACAAGACTAAGTTGGACGATAAGCCCAAGTTGGACGACAAGACTAAGTTGGACGATAAGCCCAAGTTGGACGACAAGACCAAGTTGGACGATAAGACCAAGTTGGACGACAAGACCAAGTTGGACGACAAGACCAAGTTGGACGACAAGACCAAGTTGGACGACAAGACCAAGTTGGACGACAAGACCAAGTTGGACGACAAGACCAAGTTGGACGACAAGACCAAGTTGGACGACAAGACTAAGAAGGAAACAGTGCCTATCCCTGATGCGCTGGGGAACGAGACCCACCACACCTTCCATTATTGTTTTCGGAGCATTCATCTGTTAGCAGCCGCCTACGCCTTTTCCATCCGTGAGGGCAAAAAGGCCCTGATAAGAGGTTCTCCACTGCTGACGTTTACGTTTGAGGACCATGCCGAAGCCATTGTCCGATTCGCCCTCGAATACATCAATCATGTTTTAACTGACAAGGACTACACACTACAGAAAGGAGGGCTTCAGCAGGCCAATACGACAAGACACAGGGAATCAGAGACCGTCATTGACATTAAGTCTATTGACGGCAGGAAATCAAGTGGAAACAAAGCTACCGGCCCTGAGGTGGTGACACTGCTCACGCTTCTTCTGAACCATGACTATCTGTTCAGCGAGAACAATGTCTTCGTTGAGGCTCTCTTGTCTTCTGCTAACTGTGAATGGATCCCCAGGTCTAACAAGGCACTGAACCCGATCAAGCGCGTAATCGAAACCAAGAACACACAGTTGCTCGACGCTTTTATTGAGTACTGCATCAAGAACGCCAAACAGTATCACCCTGCATACTTGATGCCAGCGGTCCAATGTCTGAAGGAGCTCTCAGAGCGGTACCCCGCTGTCCTGGTGGACTTGTTCAGGAAAGCCTCATACATCCCCGCCCGCAACCATGAATACGTTGCCTCGCACGCCATCGTTGCCAATCTGCGCTATCCAGATTGGTTGAATGTCTTAATCGAGCTTTGCACCAATGGATTCTTCAAAGGGACGTACTTCGAGAAATCAAACAACATCAACGATTACGAGAGACCAGTCTTTTGCTTGCGGTCGCAGCTTCCGGTCCGAACGAGGACTTTTTTGAACATCAAGAGTATCGAGACCTCAATTCGAGAGACACGCCTTGTGGATTTCCTTCTCAAACGGCTTCCCAAACGGCTTCCCAAACGGAACATCGTCGAGGATGAGGAGCAGACGAGTCCAAAATACTCACACCAGATCTACGTATGTCCATTCCCCAAACTATCTTCGTACGAACGTTACCTCTCATGGTACGAGAGCGACGGAACGGAATCAATGTCAGCATTTACGATGATCGCAGGAAAGGAGTTTTTCGACAGTCCGGCTATGGAGGCCACTCTAAGCTTCAAATGGTGAGTATTCTATGTAAAAGAAGAGCTGTGGTTTGTGAGACCTCTATTGATCACTCTCGGTTCTCCTGTCGCTGTCTTCTTAGGAGCAAATTTGGTTTCATGTACTGGTTCATCGGTTTCCTGGTAGATGTCATGTTCTTTGCCTTCATCACAGCCATCACCGCACAGCAGGTCAGCAAAGCTACTCTGCCAGAGAAAGGCTCCCCCACGCCAGAAGAGATCACCGAGCGGTACCTTTTATCGTGGCACGCTTTCATCAAATTCACCATAGCCGTGGGAAGCTGCCTGATTCTTCGAGACACTAGACGCTTGTTGAAGGATTGGCGCCTGTTAAAGGATTGGCGCGAGTTAAGAGATTGGCTCCAACACACTAGGTACACCTCCCATCAATCTTGCCCAAGGAATAACTTCGTGTATGATTCATCCACTAACAGTACACATGTGAATGAAAAAAAAATAGCGCCTCATACCTCTGCATGCGTTTTGTGGCCCATATTCTCCCTATTATTGGGTGTTCCTCGATCCTGAAAGCACACCCAAGCTCAGAGGCTACGGATCCTGGTCCCAGTCAAATCTGGGTGATGAGCTTTGCGATCTTGGCCCTCTACTTGAACATGGTAAGCTGACGAGAAAGAGCGCTCCGCTGGTTGTTTCTTTTTTTTTTTTTTTTTTTTTTTTTATACAAACGAAATTAACTATTACGAATGTTGGTCTGTCTCTTAATTAGCTAATCGAGATGCGTGTTATCAAGCAGTTGGGAATCGTCGTCAACATCATTCACAACATTATGCGCAAAATCGTCTGGTTCATCTTGATCTGTTGCGTCTTCCTGGTAGCTTTCACACATGCCTTATTACACCTGCTGCATACTCGGAAGTACGATGCTTGTGAGGACGGCTGTGAGGACAGAGATTATCCAGACGGATACCCGAAAAAGTTTTTTGACGCTTTGTCAGCGACATACTTCTTCCTGGTACGGTGAACTCCGAACAATCGATATCATGCCCATTTAAGACTGAGACTTGACATCGGCCGCAGCATGATGTTGCTAATGATGACTACTGCATATATCTGAATATCCATAGGCTGGCAGATTCGACCCCCTTGATACATCTTTCGATAAGGGTTCTAAAAGCTTCCTTATTATGATGATGATCTTTTTCTTTTTCACGACCATCCTGCTTCTCAACATCCTCATTGGTAAGGCTCTATTTTCTACCAATGATAAAAACTGTGGCATTGATACGGGTCATTGGCTTCGAACTAATATACTGCCTTTGCTCCTTAGCTCTCATGAACGATGCCTTCAACGAGAGCAGTGAACAGGGTAAAACCGCTTGGATGAAGCAATGGTCGGAAGTTGTTGCCGGTTAGTGTCCAGTTTCGGTTTAGCTCCTGCTTTGATGCGAAACTACTGCTACTGCCCCTATTGCTACTGTCTAAAGATTCATTGGCACCTAATTCTTCGACGTGTCTTGACCTGCGATAGATGTCGAAATATTTTCCATGCTCAAATCTTCTCACCACAACCACAACCTTTTTCCGGATTACATCTACTACGGAGCAAGCGAAAAGGACGCTGAAGTGTACGGATCTCAGTACTGCATTGCGAACAAGTCGAACCTTTCATTGGAAAACAGGTTTGTAGTGGAAGCGGTTTCCGCCGAACAGAATACCATTCAAATGGCCCAGAGAGGAATAATCCACGATGTGCAGAAAATGGAACGACAACAGGATATAGCGACCCAGGAGATCGCAGAGATGAGAGAGTTCATGAAACAAGCTAGAGATGAACTGAGCGAGATGAGGAAGCTGATGGCAGTACTTGCGAACCAGAAGAATGTACTTACCGAAGGCAATGAGCGGCCTGCAGCTTCTTCGCCTGTCACGCAAGATCCATCTATCTCGGAATCCAACAGAGATACCAGTTCTCCTGGTCGCGAAAAGGTCATTCAGAACAAGATCAGTAGTTCATCAGCTCCAAGCCAACGACAGCAACAGAACCTGGATGCCATCTACACAGCGGATGATTCGCGCAAAGCGCAGCAAAGACTTGAGGACAACAACGCCAGCCATCCAGTCTATATTGAGCATCAGAAGCACCAAGATAACAATAGCGATAGCGATGATAGCGAGAATGAGGACAAGAACGACAAGAGCACTCCTTACCAGTCCTCACCATCTCATGTACCAAGATATCACTCGCAGCGTGACCAGACTCAGCACTATCCTCAGCAGCAGGATCCTCCCAGGAGGGCACAGAGTGATGGCCAGTTGACAAGCCTGCCCCATGAGGTTGTAGAGTAAAACGCTCGCTCTTTGCCTCCATCTGATCACAATCCCTCTGAAATGAATAACTAATACACGTGCAGATGCCATTCACTACTTCATACATGTTGATATCGCAATAAGCGATGCTTTGCTAAATAAACGCCAGCTTGACTATTTTCTGAAACGATCGAGATTACAAGAACCAGTTTAAGGTTAAGGACATTTAAAGTTTGGGCTGAGCTTTTGTGGATGAAACATGACCACCTATTGCGTGTTCATCAAAGATGACCAGCCCCTTCACATCACGAATCCATACGCACCTGCACTTGAATACAACGCTCCATCCTGATTGGATTTGAATGTTTGCTATCCCTGAATTCTCTCTCTCTCTTTCTCTCTCTCTCTCCCCCAAAAAAGGATCAGGCTTGGAGCACTCGATCCGTCTCTCAGGATGTGTGAACCAGAGATCGACTTCTTTCCAGATTGCATTTGTTGTGAAAGCAAGCAAAATGAACTTACGTTTCACTAGACCTGGTACCTTCCTTCTTGAACATTGTTTCGTTCTCGAGAGTTGAGATTACCTCATTGCATCTGGATGCTGGCCAACTGGCGCAGAACTTCACTCTGAGAGAAACTTAGCCTCACGCCATGGATATCGAAAGCATAGCAAAGACGCAAGTGCCGTCCAAGTTTCCGTTCGAGCATGATGTAGCTAAACTGAGTGCTTGGATGATCGATAAATGTGGATATGCATCGTGAGACCGCAATATAGGAGACGAACTAGCTAATTGAACCTATGGCGATGTATTGCTAATTGACCCTGGTGCATTGATAATGTTCAAAGGTAAATCTTACCATTTCGTCAATTTTTCTTTATTAAAATAATGCCACAAGGAATGTATATGCGCATGTACATGTATCCCCTCGCGAGCGTTCTCAGCACTCTTGAGTTTCTTCGCTCAATAGGAGCTGGACTCTTTACTCGCTCGCAGCTTAGTCGATAGCCATGAGATGGTCTTCATCCTCCCCTGTAAACAGAAAACCGTCTAAGATCATATTGGCTATCAAGCCGCTACAAGTTTTGATGAAAAAGTGATTAGTGGAATAATAATACTATGTCCTGCCTACCGTATACACGCATATCTACAAAAAAAAAAAAAAAAAAAAAAAAAAAAAGGCGTAACCAAGCACCTACTTGACTGCCTCGGCACCTCCAGCAATAGGCGCAAATCGAGCGATGATCTCCCGACGATGGACACCCTTGTTATCGCCAGTGCTGTGGGTTTGGGTGGTAATCATCTCCGTGATTTGCTGGGCCACATCCCCGCCCGATGATCCAGCACCCATGCCTCCTGCGCCAGCTATGCCATGACTGCCATAGTTGTGAGAGGAGGACGACATCATGCTTGTGTCTATGCCCGAGTGACCAACCTAATGGACATGGTAAAGTCGATGTATAGTAGAATAGTGTCAGCCTGCATAATTGATTCGCCCACTTCGTTAAAGGTGTTGCATCAAAATGATAATTCATACAGCTGCTGGAAACGGTACCTTGTGGCGCGTGGAAGAGATGTGGGCGTAAATCACCTCCAGGTTGTGATACGTTATTTCGTTCATATCCTGGATTGGACGGATGGTATGGGAGTTGATCGAGAAGCGCTGGTTGAACTGCCTCAATAAGCCGAAAATACGGACATATGTGCCCTCTCTAAGGAAAACCATGTCAATCAAGTTAGATCACGAGAGTTGCAAGTCCTGATAAATTGACGGATTGATCCAACTGTCTTCTCACATACACAACGGAGTTCAGCTCTGCAGGATCTTCATCCTCAGCGCGAAATCTCTTTACGTCGATCGCTCCTGTTCCATCCTCGACGCTGTATGTGTCCTGAGTCGACTGGCGGTTGATAGATCTGACGACCGCAATGAAGGTAATCTGAATAAAAGAAAGAAGGCAAAAATGGTGAAAATCCACAGATAAGCCGCTCCACAGCTGTAACGAGCATTGGGAAAACACACAAACTGTCTATACCTGTCCAAGGTCATGCCCGTCAATTTTAAAGTCTCCATCGGCCTGGGTTTGCGTGGCAGTGATAAGCTGCTTGATGGTTACCGGACGCAGCGCATGATTGATGATTTTCTACAACAGCGCAGTAAAACGACAGGTAGCGAAGGATATTAGCCTGCGTTGAATGCGTTCCGAGGCATGGTGTTTGTGGTGAGTCCAGCTCTTCTGTGGTACCTTCGTTGCGCCTGCATCGCTGCTGAAGCTGTCCTGGACAATTCCCTGGCCAAGGCCGGCATTACTGTAAGGTCTATTAGCTGTGTGTGCGAAGAGGAGCAGATGTGGGAAATCAATATCAGCTGGATAACCTCCAGCGTCCATTAGCATCTGACAAGTTGAAATAGAGATGGCCCTTACTGGACATGGTGGTTGGTTGTGACAAAGAGAAGGACTGAAGTGAATTTCAAAGAGGGGAACGTGTTCTTTATATTTGCCACCAAATACGCGCCGCCTGTATAAACACAAAGCCACTGAATATCAGTGCGCGGCATTTGGCCAATTTATCTTTTCATGTTATTTTTATTACGAGTAAAAGTACAGAAATATTAAAGTTAATATGGTTGCCACAGAATTGCTTGGTTGGGGTGTTCGTAAAAGAAAGAAAGAAAAGGACGCGACCAGCGCTGACTTATCCAAGAAGACACTTTCGCATACAAATGATTATCTAAACGACCATCATCAGAGCTCGAATATCCATACATCCCTACTGAGGCCGTACCATGTCCTGACCAGGAAATATACCGCCTCAACAGGTGCATTACTTAAGGATGAGTGATGTCGTCGTCAGTCTTGGAGGGGGTTGAGGGACCGGCTGGATCTCTCTCTTGACGGTGGTTCGACGGTGTTAGTCTTGTAGTGCGGCGCACAACAGGCTGGCCTCCCAAGAACAACGCCGGTTCAGATTCGACGACGCTTCGGCTGCTCTGAACTACAGCCTGCTCGGTGGCATCACCCAATCCACCATCACTGCTGCTGCGTCGACGCGCAACAGCAGTCTGACCGCCCTCTCCGCCAGCGGCCAGACGGACATTTACATTGTAAATGTTCCGGTCGAGCTTCCGGACGAGCCGGTCATGGTTCTGACCTGTGATGGGGGGACTGACCTGTGATGCCCTAGCAGCGCGTCCTGCGCTCATCCAATCCCAGTTGGGGGTATCAGCCTGTCCTTCAGTACGGCACTCGGTCGCCTCAAGCATGGAGTTGTCTGGGCGCTGGCCCTTCGCGCTACTCTCAGCAGATGACGTGCCGTTTTGGCCTCCAGGACTGAAACGCATCCATGCAAGGTCCACCTCGCTGCCATCGTGCCCACCAGTGCGTGAGTTGGTGAGGGTGGACTTTGTCCGCAAGAACGAGGAGCTCCCATCACCATCCGCATGCTTGAATCGCTGTGTCGGCACCGCCGTTTGCTGTAAATTGCGAGATAGATCGATGCCTTGATCCCTCAATGGTTCCAAACTGTTGGACATGTTGCTATCCACGCCTAGGGTTGCAAATGTACTCCTGTACCGGTCATAGTGCAGCTTCCGCTCCCTGGCATCGATGCTCTGCGAAGTCAGGACATCGAGCATGACACGATATTTGAGGATACGAGCAAAGTCCAATGCGGTGTGCCCGTTTTTGTCCTTGGCGTCAATATCAATACCTCTCGTAATCAGCTCCTTCGCAAGATTCTGGAGTTGCAATGCGACAGAGAGATGGAGCATCGTATGTCCAGTGCTATTTGCAATCGACAAGCCCTCGCTGCTCCTGATTCCATGGGTATCCAGCAACTTAAAGGACTCGAAGATCGTCTGTTCAAGACTGGAGAAGGATGCGGTCGGAGCAAGAGTCACTGAGTTCGATGTTGAGGCTCCATCCAGACTGCTGGTGTTGCCCAAGATGTCGTTCCACATAATCAACTCGTTGGCGCGGCTCATAATTGATTCCAAAGGACCGTCCATACGCGCTGAGATGCTCATTATCCGCTGGAGAGCGAGCTTAACGAGTTCCTTTTCATTATCATCAACGTAAGTGAACATGGTCTGGGCGGGCAGACTCACGGGAACGGCTGAGTGTAAAGCAAAGACTGCAACAGTCTCAGCCTTGCTCCATGCTGGGGTGAAGCACTCAACCATCTGGGAGTGCTGTGGGATCACAGGGACAAAGCTCTCGCCAAAACAAACATACATAATCTCGTCCACGGTGAAACCAGAGCCATGAATGGTGACCAAGGTCCCACCGCGAGTCGGACCAGTGTTGGGAGTCATATGGCTGATGCCGACTGCAGGACCTGCTTGTTGCTGCTGGCGCACTTGAGGTTCAGTTGCAGAGGTCCCGGAACCGAGCTCTGGGAACAAGGATGTCATTGGGTCAAGCTGGGAAGGCGAAGGCATCATGAAATGTTGATCTTGGCCATACATAATACTGCGTGCGTCTGAGGTGACAGCACAATCGATAGGGGAGTTCAGCAAGGACGCCGGAGGGGAGGGTATCTGGTGGGCAGGAGACTCCACTGGATCGTGATGGGTACTCGTTGATCTGCGACTTCTAGGCTCTCGTTTTGTGTTGCTGGACACGGATTTAACGATACTCCGAGTCTTGGCGACAGCCTGCTTTTGCTTCTTTTCAGCCTTTGCTTGTGCCTTGGCAGCTGCAGTTATTGCACGCATGGCGATGCGGCTCTTGTTTTGGTGATAGAACATGAGCGGTGTGGAAACATGGGAGGCGATCGAAGAGTCTGACTGGGACTCGAAGCGGACCACAAATCCCTCCTTCTCCTTCTTATGGCTGCAGTAGCAATTAATCTTGAGTTGGATGTTGGCGACGCCGTTCCGGAAGTTGATCAGAGCATCTCCATCCTCTGTGCGATATAATTCGGGAAGCAAATGTATGATCTTTTCAGGTACACGAAGAAGCGATGCTTGGTCAGCAGCAGAACTCAAAAAGAAGCAGCAAAGCATCGTATCTCCCATTATTCATATGAATAAAAACTCACGCGACTCTCATTCTCTTCGAGCTTGGTAGACATGCGGCGTGCACAACGTACACACGCCTCCTTCTCCACCTGCCAAATATTTGAGGGACACAGCACCGAGACACCCACGTTCAGGATACGTTTCGAGGCCATGTCGTTTGGTGACATGACTTTATCTGGCAAGGTGCAGAACAGGTCCTTTGGAAATCGGATATAGTCGTAGTTCTTAACCAGCATGCTGTCAGCGCGATTGACAATTGACAGCTCCACATATATGATAGTCTCGATACGGAGGCGCTCCTCGCTACGCGTGGGTACATACTCCTGGAGCTCCTTCTTAAAGACGTGAGTCTTAACGTCCAGACGGTAGAGAGGAGCCGACTTGGAATTACCGCTATTATTGGAGATGTACAAGAATGAGAAACTAATTTAGTATCGACGATCGTTCGCAACTAACATTACGTTTCTGCCGATAGGGGAAGCTTGATCGATACCTTTCCAGCGACGTGTCAGCTGGGAACAGTCCAGTGCTGACCCTTTCCAAAGTCGCCGGCTGGGTCTTTTCGAGATTTACTTCTATGGCATGCTATGACAGTATTGCCAGACCATGGAGCAAGAGATAAAGAATTGTTTCAGCCACTGACTTCTGGCGCGAGTGTTCGAGTAAAGTATAGAGACACTTTTGATCCTCGCTCTAATTCGGTTGTACCTCGCGTGGCTGCAGGATGATGGCATTAATTGGCCCATCTTGATTAAGAGGGATACTGATAGCGGGCGAAGCTGCGAATGCGTATGGTGGCATTGTTTGTGCTGATAAGATTGTTGTTTAAAACGCGGCGTGTGGATTCAACGATGTAAAAAAGCGACCAGTGTTCTCATAAATCGATGGAAAGGTGCAAAAGTCTGGTGAGAGTACGAGGGAAAATGTGGTAGAGGTGGAACTTAGGGTGCGGAAAGTGATTAGAAAGAGAAAGTCTGAGGGTATCTATGAGAGGTTTAATGGCGGTCGACCTTGGATGCTGCCGTTGGAGCAAGAAAATGAGCCCCAATCAATACGTACAGCTGCGGGAAATGGTGTACGTACAGCGCTATGAATTTAGAGTTCTGCTCCATTCATTTCGGTCCTCCGGTCATGGTCCATCGCCTAAGAATAACAGATATCCTTCAAGGAGCTGAGCGCCGTGCCTGTACAGAGGAACCAATTACTCGCCATCCTGAAGCGCCAGTCATAATCTATCCGGATTGCATATTAGGGCGCGTAGGATACCGAGGGACAATTGTTTAAGTGATGGAGAGCAGATTAAGCTTGATCGCCATGTCAAACACTCCACATGCGAAGGTATCATCAATTGGAGCAGGCAAGCTAGAAGTCATGGCTGGTGCCGCTTTCCCTTGCTGCGACCAGCTGGCCAATCACGTAATCAAGTCTTTTTCAGCTCTCAGTTCTGATTTTGAATTTGAATAAACCTGTGCCTGGCGATGATCCTTTTGCCATCCAAAAGTGGTACGAGAGGATCTTCGATGCCCAACCATGTTCCAAATTTGTATCGCAACGCGCTTGCTTGTGGTGCTGATCGCCGTCACCATAGACATGTCAAATATGTGCAGCACACGACCATACAGCGCAAATAGTATTGTACGACTCGGGCATTCGCTCGCCTATTTCTTGCACACAGACTATGAGAAATATCCATTGGTATCTCTTTGCAAACTGCCTGACAGCCTTGCTTTAGCGGGACCAAAGATGTGGAAATGATGATGATTGAGGTCATGTGTTTGCATAGTCGTGCTTTTGTGGGCGGGAGGGGGGGGAGAGAGAGGAAGGGAGGAGGAAGGAGAGAGGGTAGTCAATACGTTACACTCAAACACTCTCCAGAGCAGCCTTCATACTTCCTGTCCTAAATGGGGGCCGTAACTTTCTTGTGAGGGTGTGTCCAGTAGACTAGCCGGACAGGCTAATTACACATTGCAAGCGTAATGCATGTCTAGCACAGGTCCTCGTCTCTCCTCATTCCGTCCCTCACTTCCTGCTCCTGCCCTCTCTGCTCATGCCACCCTCAAAACGATCTACCCAACCAAAATCAACCACCAAAACCAAAAACTTGGTTCATTGACCCAAACGTGCACGAGAGCCTGCCTGGCCAGCATCCTGAAACCCTCAGTGTCATCCAATAAGAGAACCTTGGGCGGGACACATATGCTATAGTAAACAAACAAACTTGTTGAAAATAGGTCTATTCCTTTTGCCACCCACCCTCTCTTCGTTCTGGGCTCAGGTTCAAAACGGGGAAACGGATGCATCCGTCTTTTTATTCTGCAGCAACCAATAGATCGGAAAGCTATCGCCGAGCTCGTATCTCCTAGTCTACGTCCATGCAGGTCTCACTCTTTTTCTTTTTGTCAAGTTACAGGAGTCATGTACCTCAAATTTTTAGCATATCGTGTTACAGTTCCATCTATGTACCCCAGGTGGACGACAAAAAGAGATGCTGCTCTCCTGAGCACTGACCAACGCAATCAATGGAAACAACAAACAAAATAAAGAGTACTGTGTCTCAATTTTGGTTCAAACTCCTCTGCTGTGGCATGCGTGTTCTAGGCGTCGATATATTTACCCCACACATGAAGCCAAAATAACGGCACAGGAGTAAATCAGTCGCGCGGATCGACGCCCTAAAATCCGAGGGCAGTTGCGGGTTGGGAATGGAGATGGAACTTATGGCCGATTATGGTCGGCACGATCGTTCGATGCCACTGATATCCCATCCTGGCATTTCTTCACATATCGGGCTGATCTACATGCCCTCGAGAAAAACGTGAGTGAAAGAGATACCGTACCAGTTTTCTGGCACGAGGGGTCGGACGACAAGGACTAAAAAAGATGGAGAGGTTCCAAAAAAGGAGTAATGATGAGTAAAGATCCAGGAGTGGGAGCATATTACAATTGCATCCGAATGCACACACACTTGCATATACGCTTGGTATAGACTGCTAACCGCACGACTAGCTCTCCATGCTCTTCTTCTTCCTCAACCTCATTCCTGAGGCGAGGATGAGAGGACATTGACAACGGCACAGGAAAGGAAAGGAAGAAGAACGGGTAGAGGTAGAGGCGGAGTGCTGATGTATACGTGTTACGCAATGGAGAAGAAAAAAAAGAGAGAGAGAGAGAGAGAGAGAGAGAGAGAGAGAGAAAGTAAGTGTGCATGTATCGGTGTTATGTGTCTGGCGGAGACAGAGCGGGCGAGCGAGAGGGAGCGAGAGGTTGTGTATGCGTGGACTATGAGAGACTGGGAAAAAATAACAAGTCAAGTGAGAGGAGTGCTCTCGGTACCTTTCGTTCCCTCGCGGTCTTTATCAATCCGGCTCATGTCCATCCCTCCGTCCGTCCCTTCGCCTTGCCCGTCCTCCCTTACAGAGCGTCCACTCCTCCTCGAGATCCCGTCCGCACCACCGCATCCTAACTCGCCCCGTCGTCAATGCTGTCGCCGAACCTGACCTCCCGCAACAGCCACGGCTCCTTCCACTGCACACGCGCCACCGCAGACGACTGGCCAAGTGGCCGCAACGACGCATTACCATCGTTGCCATCGCTCTCTTCCCCTCTCGACAGCCCGACCCGCACATCAGCGACAAAATTAACTGCTTCTCTCGTCCCTGCACCATCATCGCCATTGTCGCCTTTATCGCCGCTGTCATCGCCCTCACCTCCGACCCCCCTCGCCTCCGTCGTCACGCCAGCAGGACGACCATACCCCACCCCCAGATCCAAATACCAATCCCCACCCCCATCCCACTCTCACTCTCAATCCCAATTTCAATCAAATACAGATCCTTATCTCCGTCTCCGTGCATTAACCCCTGGCAATAGCCACAGCAGCCACAATTTCCAGGCTAGTGGCGGCAGCAATATCATGCTGATGACAACGCAACTGGGACAGGCCCAAGGAAATCTGCAACGGCCCCAGACTTTGGAAAATCTACAACTGCTTCAGACCCCTTCCTTTCGTATTCAGTTCCATCAACTTCAACAGCAACAGCACCACCACCAGCAGCTGCAAGTTATGCAACAGCAATACCAAGAGCAACGGCAACAACAACAGCTGCAGCAAAAACAGCAACAGCAACTAGTTCAACCATCAGTGCAAGCGCCTCCACCGCCAACGCTACTACAGGAACACCGATCACACCAGCACCAACAGCAACTTCAACTTCAGATACAACAACTGCAACTTCGGCAGCAACAAGAGCCACTAGATGATGTTCAGATGGCCCAGCAACATCCTCAGCTTCAAACCCAGCTTCCGATCGAGCATCGACTCCAGCACCAACACCAGCAACACCGTCTCCTTGAGCGACAATGCAATCCATTCCAGCAACGGACTCTACATCAACAGCAACAGCATGGCCTCCCTCTTGCTCTCTCAATGTCTTTTGAGCCGAACCTGCAGCACCAAGGGAAGTCGCAGCAACAAAGAGATGAGTTGCAGCAGAAAAGAGGCCGATTTCAATCCTGGTCCGCTTCATCAACGCCTTTGACGCCTCTCTCTGCCGATGTTCCCTCGCTCCCGATCCTCAGCATGAACGAACTCGGGCAGCCTCTGTATATTGACCCGCAACAATATCAACACCAATTGCTGCAGCAGCACATCCAACAGCAGCATATACAGCAACACACTCAGTACCAAAGCAAGCAAAAGTATAGACAGCAGCCCTCGTTGCCAGCAGCTACTCCACAAACCGTAACTCCTGATCAGTTTCTGGGGAGCGGTTTTGATTGGGTTACTGGTATGAGCGACCTTGGGATTCCGACATCGAGTAAGGGGAGCCATTCACGCGCCGCTACGGATTCCGGCACTACGCCACCAACATCTGTATCAGATAGCAGCAGCCGTAACAACAGTGCAAGCGAGTTTCTCAGTGCGGTGGCGGCTGCATCAATAGCTTCTGTCAACTGTACTACAGCAATATCCCTTTCAAATGCAGTGTCCGCGAACTTGGATATGCCCTTGTTGAAGACTGAAATTTCCAACATCACCCAGACGAGATTTGCCTCTGGATCAGCAGCATTTACAAATGATTCTGCATTGTTTCGCGCTGGTCCTAAAGGCACTGGAGCCGAGGGTCCAAAGTCAGCATGTCGACGTCGATCCAAGGCTCAAAATGACGCGAGTATTACTGCAAGTGCGTCCACAGCTGCTCAATCGGCAATGGCTGCGGTCAAAGTTGAAAACAAACGGATTTCAGGGTCGGCTCAGCAATCCGCGCAGCCTCCAACGCCCCATTCACCCATAACCTCCTTTCCAGAAAGTCGGGTCCTGCATCAATCCCTTCACAGGAGCAGCATCAGTGTGAAACAGGAGATGCCAGAGATAGAATATGCGTCCAACGTTTCTTCCACCGATCCTTTGGCCACCGCCACATCTGTATCGGCCCTCAGCGCTTCGAGTCTACTCCCTGAACTCTTTCCTGTGCCCACGTCAGGGGCAATGGAGTCGGTATTTGATCAGCATCACAGAGTCCTCTCCACAACATCGCACGGTTCACGAGGAAACGGATGGGAAGCCCTCTCCGGTTCCAGCGACACGCGTTCATCTGTACCAAAATCAGTAACTCACGCGCGCTGTCCGAGTAGCAATAACAGCAACGATACTATTGTATCGTCCCTGTCTGTTCAGTCCGCGCCTTGCAGTGAGGGACTTTCCGCAGCATTTGACTCGTCTTTCATGGTCAACGATGGACATCTTGCGGACGTGAGTCAATTAGGCACCAGTACTAAGGGCAGTAGCAGCACACACGCGAACCTCGACACAACCAACCTGACCATCAAGCTGGAAGCCAATATAGATATGGACGCAATAGCCATCAATAATACAGAGTCACCGACAGCTCGCGAAGGAGAGGATGTTGATTCAGACGCCGACAATACTCGACCTGCAACATGTCCGCATTGTAGCAAAGAATTCCAGTCCAAGGGCCTACTTCGGTCTCATATCGTGAGCCACTCCTCCGATCGGCCATTCGTCTGCTGGGATTGCACCGACAAGAGCTACAAACGGAACCATGACTTGCTCAGGCATAGGCGAGAGAAGCACAATGTGGATGGCATGACCATACCTTCTCGAGGGAGTAGTCGCAGCCATGTGGCGGAGCCATCGGGGACGTGTGAAGGAGGATCTGTTCGGACACCACATCAAGCTACCGTTGCCAGCCAGAGCCGTGTTCCTCATCAAGAGATTCTTTATTCAAACCATGGGATGATGTATTTCGGCAACCGAGGTGCGCTATCGAGTCTACCGTCCTCATCTTCTGGCTCGCCCTTGGATCCGCATGGAGGCATCGAATACGGCCAGCATCACCGCCATGGAAATCCTCTCTTGGTCCCTCATACGCCAAACGTTGGTCTAGGATTAGGTTTGGAACTGGGCATCTTTGGAGCCAAGGACTTTATGGGTGGATTCAGCTCTATGACGGGAGGAGCGAGTACGTCTTCGACATCGTTGATAACGACTAAAAGGAAACGCAAGCTGTCGAATTTGAACTCGTCCACAACACCACAGGTATCCTCAGCAAGCATGATGATTCCACTACCAAATCCAGTCGTCCCGTTCGAAACTTCTGGTACTCAATTTACAACGACTACGAACGTATCCTTAGTCCTCCGTCCTCCACAGCAGCTGTCAACCTTACCAGGAGCATTTGAGGGCTTGGACGCAAATATGGGCCACTTTGGAAGCGGAGGCATTTGAGGCTGTGTGGCAGGGTCCTTGGTCTTTCAGTACACTCTTTTCATATTTCATTTGTAGCACCCTCATCGTTTTCTCCTCTATTGCTGTTCGCTTTGCAGATTTTCTTTCTTTCTTTTCTTTCTTTTTTTATGTTATCCTTTCGTCTCCTACTCTTATGGGTTTTTATTCTCATTTTTACGCGCAATAGTAGCCTTATCAGTAATAATAACCTCTCCAAACAACTCAACAGCTCGCGAGATCTTTTGGGACGCGTTTGAACGCCGTGAATCACGTGGATGATTAAAGGCAAGGACCCAAGGCGTGAAGATCACTGCCTGGCTTCACCAACTCGTCCTTGTAAGTTCATTGGGAAGCAAACATACAGGTGATGGCGCTTTACCTAGGCTGAAATGGGCTTGACACAGAGTACGCTCGTTTCCTGATCTTTCCAGTCATTCCTTTCTGGCAATCCAGTAGCCACGTATGATACTGACAGTCTGCGCAAACTTATTTCTTGCAGACAGCTCATTCATCTTTCGCCTCTTCTCCGATCATCTTTCATAATCAGGATACTTCTGAAAGAATAAAGGCAGTACAGGAAACAAACCACCAGGGCAGCCGGGACTACTGGAGCCTGATCTAACATGGCGGAAGACGAGGAAGACATCGACGTCGACATCGACATTGATATTGATATCGACGGCGAAGCACCAGAAGACGACGCCGCTTCCAATAGGTCATCAGGCGCGATACACGGCAATGGAGCCACGTCAATGGCTAGCATTCGTGTGGATCCAAAAGATGACATTGTCGAGAAGCGCCATGGCACTACCCATGGGAAAGAAGCCTCTGCTGCTGCTGCTGGAACAGACACAAAGAACGTCAATCTGAGCAGCGGAGAGTAAGTCTCTAGTTTTCACAAATGTTCGTGTTCTTGAGACACGTAGAGCATGTATTTGACATTGAAACTTGCATTTGCTCATTGTCTTAGTCTCGACAGTTCTTTCGCAGATGAGTACCAGATCCCTGACTGGGTCACGCAGGATGTAAGCCTTTGATCTTTTATCGCGATTCAGTTTGTGCTGCCAACGGCGCCCTCATCAGTTATTAACGGAATATGTTTGCCATAGTACCATGCACAAGCAGGATTCGATACGGGAGGCATGGATGAGAAATCGAGAGCCATGATCGAGAGCATGCTTGCTGAAGAAGAGTTTTACTCAGGCAGATCATCGGGAGCACCCTTTACATTTTATGGGCAGACAACCTCTTCACCTTCAGAAAGCAAACCATCTGAGCCTGGATCGCAGCTGACCAGCATTCTCTCCAACATTTCGGACGCTAAGGCATGGACAAGTGGTAGCCATAAAGCCGCCGATCGGACCAAAAGCAATGACTCTAGAAAAAGAAAAAATTCGCATGAGAGATCGGGACAGATCAAAAGGACCGCGAGCGAAGGCAAGTACTTGCCTGTATTTCTTCTAGGGCACCGGAACCATGTATTTCTTCTCGATCGCTACTTGCCATGGGACAATCTAACCTGTTGTTTGTTACAAATATAGATTCCAGACTAAATGCCAAGCTATCATCCGCTGATCTACCTTCGCACAATACTCGGTGGACTCCGGAAGAGGATGCACGTTTGCGTCAAGGGATCGTATGTAACGGGCGGAGATAGCGTGCTTGCGCTCGTATACTTGTTCCACGATTATATGCTCATTTATACTGCTTTGATTACTTTGGTTTTCGTAGAGCGTACATGGCTACGGAAATTGGAAAGCTATAGCAGCCATTGTCGGTACAAGGAATCCTCTTCAAGTGAAAAATCATGCGCGTCATTTAGCCATGACAGAAAAGGTACCGTTCTCGCTGAAGTATTATTGTACAAATTGAGATTCTTTAGGCAACGTCTGACAGAGACTGATCTTGAATCCAGATACCCCATGATATATCGACAAACACGAGCGACGGCGAAGCACTGGACAGGCGCTCGTCGGCTGCGAACTCGGCTGAAGAGGATGGAGGCGCAAGGAGAAATCGCAAGCGTCGATCGAGAAGCAAGAACATAAAGCGTATCGATGCAAGCGTAGGCATGGAGAGCGACGGAGATCTGTCCTACGAGATAAACAGCCGTCGCGCACGGAGCATTACTTCAGAATCCGGGAATGACGACTTTACTGGGTCGGAATTCGGAGCTACGGTAAGGGAGACGTGAAATGGGTGTCTTTTTCATATACTTTAATTTGTCAGGGTCGAGTTCTGTATTAATGCATTATTTTTCTGGTGGCCATTCCATCACGATAGAGCGGCTACGATACTGATAATGATGAGGATCGATCGACATCAAAGTCACCTTCACTATCGGCGAGAGGAGGCTCACGATCTGATTCCGCAGGACTCACCACGCCAAGTCCTGGACTGCGCCCATTATTTCCATCCTTACCAATGCCGTATACGATTTCAGCCCAAAGGATAGCAGCATACAGCATGGACGAAGATGAAGATGTTGATGTCGACATTGAGAGTACAGACGAAGAGACAGCAGCCCGCTTGAGTCTAACAAGGAACCTACAGCCCTTTGTGAACAAGTCAAAGTCGCGCTCAATATCACCTTTTTCAAATTCCTCGACACGATCGCGACTGTCCAGTGAGTTTGACAGCGACTCTGATCGGAATCCGGATAATGACGATGGCGATGATATTGTGGGATCGGGAAGTGTCCGAAAGCGATCATCAGCCTCGTCACCTGCGCTGTCTGACTTCCTAGGATCGTCAAGCGACCTTTACAACACTCCCAACTTCAATACGAGTACCAGTAGCATTAATAGCACAGGAGCAGGAGGTATCTTCAAGCCTCTATTGAAGGACTCTCAATTTACGCAACAGCAACATCAGCAATACCAGCAATACCAGCAACACCAGCAACACCAGCAAAAAGGCAGTGGACTATTGGGCCACATATCGACAGAAAAGATGGCCAATTCTCCCAAGGAGAGGAGAACAGTGTCATTTGGTGCAGTTCACGTCGCGGAGCTACAACCCGACCTCAACTCTTACGACGAGGATGAAGTGAATTCGTCAGACGATGGTGGAGCTGACGCCGCCAGTTCCTCGACCATAGATATCCTCAATACACCATCGCAGCTCTCGAATCCTTCATACCAACACAGAGTTTCATCAAGGATGCCACAGAGTGATCAGCTCTTGCCGCACTCGCCTCATCCCTCTTTGGGCGAAAACAACCTGAGTAAGAGCCCAACCTTACAATTCGCCACCCAAGACAGCAGCTCAGCAATCAAAAGGTATTCGAAAGAAGCACATGGGCTTCAGGAAACCGACGATGATGGCGACGAGGACGAAGGGTCTCTCGGAACCGGAGTGAAACGTAATTTTAATTCTGCTGAAGCACCGACCTTGTCTCGTAAAGTGCGCCGGGCGGGAAGTTCCGGTCACTCTTTCTCGACAGGACGCTCCGTTTCTTTTCAGCAGCCTTCGCCAACCCTATCACCCACTCAAACGTCTATCTCTCCAGCTTTGACGACGATCACTCCTTCGGTAACCCGTCGCATATTGGACAAATCCATCATCACAGAGGAGGAGAAGCAAGTGCATTCTGAATTTTTCTGCAATAAGGCCAGCAAGACCCCTGAGCGATATCAAAGGATTCGAAATACCATCCTCCAGGCCTGGGAGAAATCGCCATCGACTTATCTCACCAAGACAAGCGTTCGGTCTGGTCTGAAGGACTGTGGGGACGTCAATGCTATTGGCCGAGTTCATTCCTGGCTCGAATCGATTGGGGCGATCAACGTGGGAATGACAGCGTCATCACCTGGCGCCTCCTTGGCAAGACCCAGGAACGGAGGTAACAACTCCTCCAAGCGGCGAGGATATTCTGAAGAACGGGGCTGGTCATCGTCGTCATCGTCGTCTGCTCCACGACGGATTCATAACGATATTACTACGGAACTCGATGACCTGAATTCTGTTTGGGTCACTCCACCTTTGAGACGACGGCGAGTACGAAACGAGAAAGGAGAATGGTATGGGCTCTGATGATGGTTTTTTTACGCTTACGCTGCTATGGTAGAGTATCAGCAACTAAACAGCTCCTTTGTATCCATGTCTCACTAACAGGGTGGACGAGAGAGAGCTGGGTGGTCGTGTTATTGAGCACAATGTACATATCACCAAGAATGGAAAGCCAGGAACGCAATTCTCTACAAGGACAGACGCTAGCGACGATCTTTTCAAACTCGACGAGGCGGTTTTCCTTGAGCGTCACGGCATAACCAAAGAGGAAATGGAAGAGGAGCTTGAACAGGAGCGACTTGCAGCCTTGAATGCCAAGTATTTTGCATCAACAGAGGTATTGCCGGTTAACACTCGTGTACCGAAGCATAGGCGCGCCCAGCATTTATTGCGTCAGACACGAGGTTTTCATGAATACGAGGGTGACGAAGGGTCTTCAGGGGGATATGATCCGTTTCGGCTTATTCCATTGCACAAGTACAACGTGCAGAATCCGGCACCGTTTCGTGTTAAGGTGTCCTCAGATGCGATGGTATGTCGTTTAGCAAACAAAGCACAGCTTTGAGTCGTTTGATGCGCTTTTTTTTTTTTTTCATTCGTACTGATACCGCGTCTTTCTCTCCTCAATATTTTTTTTTTTTTTTTTTTTTTTTTTTTTTTTGGAATAGCTTATCATGGACTTTCATTCTCATATGGCAGAGACTGAGGTGATCGGTCTCCTTGGTGGACTTTACGATGAGGATGAAAGGATTCTATTCATCCTCGGTGTTTACCCCTGTCGTAGTATCAGCACAGGTCTTCAGTGCGAAATGGACCCAGAGTCGGACGTTGAGGCACGATACTTTTTCTCATCCAAAGGGTTTGTCGTTGTTGGCTGGTACCACTCGCACCCGACGTTTGAGCCCAATCCGAGTATCCGTGACATTGAGAACCAATGTGAGCACCAGGCGATGTTTCGAAGGCACGGGACTGGTGTGGAGCCGTTTGTTGGAGTGATTGTATCCCCATTTGATCCCAGAAATCTGTCCTTCCTCTCCAAGTTCCAGTTCCTGACAGTGTCTGAAGAGTTTGACGAGAACTTGAGTTGTCGATTGCCGTTCGGTTTCGACCGGGAGATTACGCGTACGAACGAGCTCTCCGTATCGGTGTTTCAGCAGCTGTCAGAGATCGTACGACACTACAGGACGCATCAGCACAGGGTGGATCTGTCGAAACCGCTTCGGAAGGGTGAGACGGCGACGCGCCTGGATAAGTTACTCCAGTCGCTGAATCATCATATATTTGTGGATGAGAACGCGGGAGGAGCATTCCTGAGCAAGGTTCGGGAGTTAGTCGTGCGTGGCTTTCATCTGGTGGTCAATCACCATGATCAGCACGGGTCCTCTATGTCAGCTTCTGCGTTAGCAGCGCCATCGTCTTTGCCTTCTTCTACCTCAATTACTTCTTCCGCCTTTAGTACAGCTAATGGCACCCATTAGCTGTTGTGAAATATAATAACATTCTTTGTCGTTTGGAACATACAAATCGTTGTTTAACTTGTTATTGAAAGACTTGTGAAATCTACTTCCGCTTTCCACGACCCTTCTTGCCCTTGCCTCGGGTCTGTTCGTCATCAGACGAAAAGAAATTGTCTGGTGTTGATGTACCAGTAGTCGAGCCGGATGGTACTGCGACGGCAGGTGCGAGCGCATGGCCCGTTTCCTTGATATGTGAAAAGAGTTGGTTCTTTGACTCAAAATCCGTCGAGCAAATGCGGCACTTCAACGCTGATTCTCCAGAGTCTGCGAGCTGTAAATGATCATAAAAAAATGTAAACAAACTGAATTGGACATCTTGAACACTGAATGCAGAAAGCCTTAACAGGAAAAACCGACGAGAGTTCTCTTACCTTTTGAGCCGCACGTTCAGATCGGGCCTTCTTTTTCTCTTTGGCACTCAATTTCTTTGATTTTCCATTTCCTCCGCCGAGACCATCGGGTGACTCTGCTCTGGACACTGGCGCGGTTGACAGCGGCGTTTCTCCGTCCTGATCTTTGTCGCTATCGCCTTCCCAATGATCTTTCTGAGCTCTCGACCGACGGCTATTGGGCGTCGAGGCCCGCGAGCGGCCCAAAGGTGATGACAATGACGACATCCGTACGGAGCCTAAGAGATCGGCAAGGCCATCTTGATCGAGCTCATCGATCTCTGCTTCGTCAATATCCAATCCAGTTGCCATAACCTTCTTCTTTTTGGCTCTCTTCTTTGACTTGAGATCTGAATAGACGGGAGCGGCGGTCTCGACGGGCTCCTCCAGATCATCCAGGTCACTTCCTGCTGATAAGTCTTCGGTTTCGTCTGCTGCCTTGGAACGTGTGGACGGCGTCTCGAGTGCCTCCTCTTCATCGCCGCTCTCTAACTCTCCGTTCTCGACCTGATTCTCTTCTGACGGTTTAGGGGATAGACCCATAAGCTGGTTTTCCTCATGCAGCATTTCCAGTCGGATATCCTCCGCAGCCTTCAAATGTCTCTTGCTCCGCTCATGATTCTTCCACTGCCGTTCGGATTTGAAAAACTTGTCGCAAATGATGCATTCATATTCTTGATCGAACTCGTCCTCGGTGCCGTCATCGTCCGATCCAGACTCGTTGTTCTCGTCATCGTCCTGAACGCGTGTCCATTCCTGTTCCTGGAACTTTCCTGCCTTGGCACGAAGCAGCTCCTTCTCCTTCTCCAGCCTGGCCTTGATATCGGCCTGGACCTGCTTTTGCTTCTGCTTTTGCTGTTCCTGATAGGCGATATACCGTGGATCACGCTTTCGAACATACGATGCAAGTGACTAAATTGTGAAGACGAAAGAGAAGAAGAGGAAGATTGTGAGCTATGGATCCAGCAGAACTTAATGTGTGCATATTGCTTCTCGATTCCACATCGTACCAGAACAGTGTCGTTAAATTCTTTACGAGCTGCGTCCCTGAACTTCTTGTTCTCCTTCTCCATGGCCCGACGCACTCTGCGATCGGGTGCCTCCGTGAGACGATACTTGTCACACCAGGAGAAACTCTTTTGGGACGAAAACGTAAGCCAGGCATTGTAGAACTGTTTCACGTCCGAATCCGAATTGTCATCATATGCGGTGGTGGAACATCCAAAGGATGGATAATGAACATTAGATCCTGTGGACTCTTCATATCGGTCATTGGCGACGGCCTCGACCTCTTCTTGTGCCAGCTTTTCGAAAAGGTTACGGTAGACAGTATAGAATCCCTATATGGTTCATATGAAAAAAAAGAAAGTGACATCATTTAGAAACTGTAAAATGAGGTGCATCTCAAGTTGGATGATACGTCGTACGATTGAATGCCGGAGCCGCTTACAGCGCTGTCATCCCGGAATCCTTTGTAAACGGATGTGCTGAAGAACTTCATAAGTTCCGCAGACGTCGTTCCCGCAGCACCCTCTGATTGCTCTGATTTGTCATCTATTGTGGAGAGTGGTGTTACATGGATGTCAATCACAAAGTTCCTCGCCAGATATCATTCATCATTTCCCTGGCAGCGTAAAGTAGAAAAGTCTAGGTGTTTGCTTTACCTCCACGAAGGATAGCGTCACGATGGGAGTCGTACCAGGCGCGCTCCTGTGGATCGGACAGAACTTCGTATGCCTCGGCAATGAACGCAAACTGCTTGGTGGCCTCCTCGACTCGGTAATGGTTCTTATCTAGTGTGTATTTCACAATGAAAATCCAAAGAAGGCCGTTTTTCGGGGTCTGTCAGTATTGATGGAGCCTTGTTCGATTGATGGCTGCTCAAGAGTTGCTGCTGGCTGAAACGTAGCACGCGACCGCGCTGCGTGTGTCCTTTTTTCCTCACCTGGATGCCATTCTAGTGCTTTGCGGCGATATGCCTTCTTGATATCCAAGTCCGAGGCGTTCTTTTCGATGCCAAGGATAATATAGTGGCATGTCCTCATGGCGATGGGTAATGGTTGTTTGGCGAAGGGAGAGAGAGTGGAGAGGGTTGAATTGAATAAGAAAGGAGAGAGAGGTGTGCAACTGCTGCGGGCGCTGGCATAACCTAAAAAAGAAGATAAACACCAGTCACCATTTTACTCAGCTCAACAACTTTTGGTTCACAAACGTTCCCGAGTCTTCCTTCTCTCCACACTCCCCACAGTCGCGACTCCGCCATGTACACCACTGCCGTCGGTACCACGCGGCAACTCCTCAAAGGGAGAGCCTCGAGCCTGCGCATTGCTCAGCACACAGGTCACCGGCAGCAGCCTTGCACAAAGGCCCTCACTTCTTGGACCCACACGACTTCATTTCCCAGGCATGCCTGCTTCTCGACCTCGACCTCGACCTCGACCTCAGTCAGGACCAGCGCCACAGGAACCATGACCTCGACGAGTTCTCAGTCGCCGATCCGGATCATCCCTCCAGCATTGCCGAACAGGACCATCAAATCCATCTTGACTTCCACAGAACCGGGCACCTCTGTCAAGGTTCAGGGATGGATCAGATCTGCGCGTCAACAGAAGCATGTCACGTTCCTGGAAGTGAACGATGGATCGAGTCTTAAAGGCGTCCAGGCGATCCTTAGCGGTGGACAAGGCAAAGGGTATGAACTCGATTCTTTTTTCATTTTTCATTTTTTTTGTTACTTCTTCTTTTAGTCTCAACTAATCAGGACAGTGATACTGGATCTTGACATCTTCTTTGTACATTACTCCTGTGTACGATTTGTAGATTAGTGGCGGGAACGAGTGTAGAGCTTGAAGGAACGCTGGTCAAGAGTCTTGGCAAGGAGCAGGCATTGGAGCTTCAGGTATCTGACATGAGGGTCATTGGTCCCTGTGATGGTGAGGTAAAGGATCACTCGAACGCTTTTGTATCTTCATGTCTTCGCTAAGAAGACTGGCGTGCTAATCTATCGTTTGTGGCAATCACTATCAGACATACCCACTGCAAAAGAAGCGCCATTCCTTCGAGTTCCTGCGCGAGATCTCACATCTTCGTTCAAGGGCCAAGACAGCGAGCGCGATTCTTCGGCTCCGTAGCGCCTCGGCCTGGGGCTTCCAAAAGTTCTTTGAGGTACGCTCAGTTGTTTCTGAGATCCTCATGATACTACTCACACTCGCACAAAATTGGCCTGAACGATCTGGTCCTAACGACGTTTCTTACTACCTTGCTATTATTATTATTATTATTTTATTCCAGTCGCAAGAGTTCATCCAAGTTCATACACCATTACTGACGACCCATGACTGCGAGGGCGGCGGAGAGGTCTTCAAGATCGCGCCTCGGATATCAGCACGCGCTCAGCAGCAGGCCCTTGAGGAACACCAAAATCAATCCAACCCCACCTCATCGTCTACAACAACCTCAGGCGATAAGGCAGCGAACGCTATCATCGCTGCGCCCGCACCCTCAGACTTCTTTGGTTCACCTGTCTATCTTACGGTCTCTGGACAGCTTCATCTCGAGATCGTCGCCAGCGCAATCTCTCGAGTGTACACCATGGGCCCCGTCTTCCGAGCCGAGCCTTCAATGACTCCTCGTCATCTCTCTGAATTCTGGATGCTGGAAGCTGAGATCGCCTTCCTGGATAAGCTCGATCATCTCCTGGATTTCTCAGAAGCCTGCTTGAGGGAGACGACCCGTTATCTCCTTGAGAACTGTGCCGATGATATCGAGTTCTTGAATACCTGGATTGACAAGTCGCTCAAGAGTCGGTTAACCCAATTAGTGGAGCAGCCCTTCGCGAGAATGACCTATACGGAAGCGATCGAAGTGTTGCAGCGTTCTGGAGAGCGGTTCGAGTTTGAACCCAAATGGGGACAGGGCCTGCAGAGCGAGCATGAGAAATGGTTGGCGGGAAGCCATTGCAAGGGGCCCGTGTTCGTGACGGATTACCCAGCTGGACTGAAGCCGTTTTACATGCGAAAAAATGACGAGCCTGCGAAAGCGATCACATCCTCTGGAGTAGAGGACCGGACGACGGTTGGTTGTGTGGATTTGCTGGTTCCGGGCATCGGAGAACTGATGGGTGGATCGCTCAGGGAGGAGAGACCGGAGGTGTTGAAGAAGCAGCTGGATGAGTTTGGTCTAGATCAGGAAGAGTACCAGTGGTACATGGACCTGAGGAAGTTTGGCACAGTTCCACACGGCGGATGGGGAATTGGGTTCGAGAGGTATATCCTCATGGTCACCGGCATGGATAATGTCAGGGATGTTATTCCATTCCCCCGATATAACCACCATTGTAAATTTTAACCTTTCTCACATAGAAATTGAATAAACTAATCGTTTCTAGCTCTCATAACCTCATAACCACGATGGGCAATTGACAATGGCATTCTGGCGCGGTCTGTATTTAGGAGAAGGTATGTCCTCGTCCTCGTCCTGGCCATTGGCCTGGTTCCTCTCTCAATGTGTCTCGGACGTGGGCGCAACTCGACTTTTGAATTTCATACGATTATCTCTTCCGAAACAAAGACTGTTTGCGAGTATTGTTCCCAGAAGAAAATGAAGGCCAGACTCCCTATCATCTTCTGTCCCATTCATATAATGATAATATTGATCATATAACAAGCTCCCAATCAGAATCAAACGATAGCCAGGTCGTCGTTATGTCGCTATGTATTGTAATCCAAGACATTTTACAAGATCCTATCGGCGTCTGCCTTTCGTTCCTCATGACCTGGAATTGCCAAATAAGGAAAGCTCTGCCCATAGATGAAGATGAAGAAGATGAAACACAGGTTTCGTATACGGGCTAGTGGGAGAGAAGGATTAAGCAACGCCTCTACGACTTGGAGTGTATTCGCAGCAATTCTTTTTGGTTCTTTGGATTGGAGGAAAGGAACTACGGTCATAGTAAACAAACGAATGGATAAACATGCTTGTTTCAATCAATTCATTTTGTTCTCATGTACTTCATTTACTTTTTTTTTGAGTTTTTTTTCTTTTTTATTTCAAGTTGCAATGATGCGAGTGGTAAAAGACAGTGCTTGTTTGATGTGATCAAAGAAAAAATAGAAAACGAGCTGCGGAAAGTATGAGGAAATGGAACGGAAGAGAGATAAAAGAACAGTGTACACGGAAAAGAAAAACTAACAGTTTAAAACACGATAATACTACAAGAGAAGAAATGACGAATAATAAAACAAATGCGCAAGCAGAAACCCTGGTCAGAAACAAAATGTGTCCTCCCCCCTCTCCTCTGCCCTTCTTCCTGTAGAATATGGATAAGAGCCCTCCCAATCGCACCCTCTCTATACGACGATGCTCGATGATTCGATAATGCTCTGCTGCTGTGGTGTCATGGGCAGAGTCGATCCGTGCGGAAAGTTGGCGTTATGGAACGCGTCCGTCTGGATGCTGGCCGTCGAGCTGTACGAGGCCGTGTACTTGCTGATGATCTTCTTGAGCGCATATGGCAGAACCTTCCATGGGAACACCTTCACATCCTTCTCAATGTTGCGAGGCTTGGGGTTCGGGAAAGACATGATCAGCTTGAAAAACTCTGCGCTCTCGGGCTTACACTTTGAGACGGTGATCGGTCGGAATCCCTCGAGATTGCGACGGATTCGGTTCTTTTCCTCGACCGTGAACCGAACCGCGATCAAGGACTCGAGCAGATAGATGCAATCGACTGATGTCAGGAAGCAATCGTTCTTCTCTGCCCAGTAGATACAGGAGACCACAATGCTGTTCGGCTGGCGGTCCGCAGGGGCGACAGGGGCGAATGTGCAGTGAATATCGTTGCCATCCTGGCGTCTCCAGAATTGGACAAGGCGGCGGTGTGACTCCCACTCCTCTGCGGACCAGTTAATGGCCATGTCATCCATGTTACCTGTGAATTTGAGGTTGGCCTTGTTGAGAAGGTTCGCATAAGGGTTGTAGTTGCTTAGGGGCAGACCTGCGTTGAGGGCTGTGCTGGGGTGGGGCTGAGGCATGTATGCAGACGGAGCGACTGGCTGAGGATGGTGTGTCTGGATATAGGTGGTATTGTGGCTCGCGGCTGTGGTCAGAGCATAGGCTGCGGAGGCATTAAGGTCAGCCTGCGAGTACGTCGGCATGTGAGTAGTGATCATTGAGTCTGTGACAAATAGAACAAAAAGCAGATTAGCAAATGTACAAGAGAAGAGAGTGTGTATGAGAGAAAGAGAAAAATGAAGAAGGAGAAGTGTGAGGAAATGAAGCAGCACTTACTGGGGTTGTAGTATCCAGGGCGTGCATAGGTCGAGGTGCTTATGGACGGACGAGAGACATATGGGCTGGTGGACTGCAGAGTCTGGGAGTAGAGCCCAGCATCGTAGGCGGAGGCAGTGGTAGTGGGCAGACTCGAATAGTCATCTGCTAAGAAAAGAAAGATCGCCGAGGGAATATGAAGAAAACAAATAGAGTTCATTAGTATTAGACCATGCATAAACTGTATGAGAGCACTTTGAGTACAGCACATCGACTATCGATGTCGACGTCAGTTTGCGTATCGCAACCCTCAGTGGAAATTATATTTTCCTTTTGAGCGAAGCAAGAAATCATAGAATTCACATCAACACAAACAAACAATAGGACGTAAACTTACGACGTGCCGCAAGACCGTGGTGTCCGCCGAGCGAATTCGGGGTCGTAGGAGGAAGAGGCGAGAGCTGCGGCTGGCCGTTATTCTGTGTGGACGACAGCTGTGGACGAGAGAGATCAAGATCAGCGAGCAGATGCTGCTTCTTGTTGACAATTGGACTGGACGAGCTCTGGTCATACAACAATCTGTCGACATTCGCACGCTTGTTGCCGTTGTTGCCCTGGGAATGATCTGTACGGGAACAAACATATATAGACATGTCAGTACCTGGACCATACGCTCGCCCAAGAGATGTGGACATTGGAATAGTGACAAGGACAATTACCGTCGTAATAGTTGTAGTCGCCAAAGGGCCAGCTCTCCATGACCATGTCGTTCTCCATCTGGAGGACATAGAGCGGCACCTTGCTGACGAACCACTTTGTGATCGAAAAGTTGGGCACAATGCAGCTGAGAGTCACGTATCCGTTGGCTGCATACTGCTTTGTGTCGACGACCAGGGTACCGAATCCAAGGCGGAGGGTTTTGTCTGTGTTCGACTGCAGTGTGACTGTGAAGGTCTGGCCCTCGGGACCAAAATGAGGGTTGTAGTCGAGGACCCGTGGTGGGGCGGTTCCGATGGGTTCGGCCTTGATGGCGGACAACTGCAATGGATCTGTTGTCTGCGCCTGGTTCTGTGTCTGTAGTGTCTGGGATGCCTGCTGGTTCTGCTGCTGCGATGGTGAACCGGACATCGCCAAGAATTTTCTGGGCTCAAAGTCTACAGGGAAGGTGCAGAAGGAGGATGAGTGAAGTTGAGGGAGATGAAAAGAGGTAGAGGTTGCAGGGTGGAAAGTGTGAGAGAGAAAGTGTGGGAAGAGGTGCAGTGAAGTGATAAAATAGGTCAATAAGCAAGCATAATAAATCCCGGGAATACTCATCACAGAGAACTATTAATTGCAGTCCGATTTGGATTGTCGATCTGCATAGGATAACATGGCATGGCATGGTGGCACAGCGAGTTGGCATCGATTATTCGTTGTTGTGTTGTTGTGTTGTGTTGTGTTTGTTTGTTTGTACGACAGAAACAAAAGGTTCTCTGGCGCCATTGTCGGTGTCATTGCCATTGTCAGTGCCATTGTCAGTGCCATTCGCAATGACATTCTAGCATTCCAATGAGAACTGTTGATTGAATGGCCGTGGGCGTATTTGGTTGGTGGGTTGGCGGGTTGGTGGGTGGCGGCTGAATATGGAGATGAGACTGCGGAGGAGAACGTGCGGGAGGTGCGCTGTGTGTGCGTGTGTGTGCGTGTATGTGTGTGTTTGTGTTTGTTTGTTTTTGGGATAGGTGATAAAACGACAGGGGCTGAATAGGAATATGGAGGGATGTAGGGTGAACTTACTTTGGATGGCAGACATGTCCATGATGTTAAACAGGTCGTATCACAGGGATTGTATTGAACGGGTGGAGTGAGCGAAAGGAATTGAAGATCAACTAACTTGTGGACAAAAAAAAAAGGCGGAGAAGATTGTCAGTCAAACAACGTGTGAGATTGGGAGAAGAGAAAGAAGAGGAAATGAAGATATGCAGATATGGAGATATGGAGATATGGAAATATGGAAATATGAAGACTTGAAGGTATCCAATGATGCTTTACATTCACCCGCCTGGAACAAAGGGATTAGGGTAGGGGTAGGGGTAGGGGCAGGGGCAGGGGAAAGAAAGGTAGAGGGAAAAAATAACGGACGAAGACGTACAGCAGCGCTGCCCAGAGAAAGTCATAAAGGACAAACCTCCGGACAGACACTTACTAGCACTTATTAACGCTTACACAAAAAAATTTCTTTTCGTCTTTTTAATACAACTTCAAAGAAAAGGAAAAAGTGCATAATCGAGAAAGAGAGAGAGAGAAAAAAAAAAAGGCGTACACAGAAAAGTCCCTCCCCGTTGGCTGGTCTGGCCAGCAAGGGCCCTTTTCTGTCACGTAAACAGACAGAAAACCAAAGAGAAAGAGTCATCGCTGCGTCCTCTCTTTGGGCAGGCCAAATGGCGAAGACAGAATTGAGAAATCATGGCTCGGCCCTGGTTGGCTGGTTGGGTTATCTCTCGTCTTCTCCCCCGCGCTGCTTTGTATTGTGGTGGCAGTAGTACAGAAATGGAGCGCATGTATAGTATGAACCGGCAGCCCCACTCTCTCTCTCCCTACACAGCTGCAGACATTCGTGTGTTCATGTCCCAACTGGCTCGCGTTCTTATACACTCACATTGACAGACCAAAGAAAAAGGGTGAGGACAAGGACTCTGAGGGGAAAGTCAGGGCTGACGATCGAGGTGGAACGAACGGTTGACATGCAAACAAAAAGGAAGAGAGGGCGAGAGAGAGACCATATAGAAAAACGTCGCTTGCTAACCTGCTCGTAGTTGTCCTAGCAAACCCTCGCTCTTATTTCCTCTGTCTCTATTTCCTCTCTTTGCTCTTTATCTTTGGTTTCGTTTCAATCTTTGGTTACGTGAATCAGTGCAGACCGAGATAATATATCTCTGAATAAAGCACACGCCACGGCTCCCTATGAAATCGACCTGAACAAAGGGCTTCTTCACACACCCCTCTTCCCATTTCTCTGTCGTGGCTTGTTGTTGAACGCATAGGCCGATTTTGATTTGGACCAGGCAATGGACCATCAACATCCAGTACACAAACAACATGAAAAAACGACGATCGACCTGTAGATCATTGATCTGCCAGAAATCATGGAGAACAAATAGAGTAAAGTGCAATACCCCGATCTAAATGAATGAATGATTCCCCCCCTCCGATACCTCATTCTTACACCCCCAACGTCCTCTCTCTTTGACCCCTATTTCACGACGCGCCTTTTTTTTGCTTTTTTTTCGCATGATTAGTGCGCATATATGGATACAAAGACTGACACTATGCCCAATGCATAGACATGCATACTGAAGGAAGGGCAGCACTCCTCCGATCGAAGGCGCCATGTAACCATGAGATATCCCAGTTAAAAAAAAAAGGGCATGGGCATATTCGTCAAGGGGTAAAGAGCAAAGGGCGTGTATTGAACGTGAACAAGAACGAGAAAAGAAGTTTGATCAATCAGAAATTAAACGACAGTTTGAACTGCCAGATCGGGCACTTACTGTGCACTGGCAGAGACAATTTTGCAATGTAGCAATGTGAAGGCGCGAGTTTGAGTGACGGGTCTCAGTGCGGTGGGTAAGAGGTACAAGGCTGTGCGAGGTGAGGTGTCTTAATGGGAGGTAGCTGTGGGGGAGTCAACAATGTCTTGGAGCGATCGATGGGTTGGGATAGGCTGGCGAGATCAAGCAGAGTGCTTTATAAAGCTGAAGCTGAAGCTGAAGGTGGACGAGTGAACGAGTGAAGGAAAGAGAGAGGAGGAAAAGAAGAAAAACGAAACAGATGCGCACTATATATGAAGGACCGGCCGCTGTATGCGGTAGAGCTGATTGAATAGCCCGTTCCCAGTCAGTTGGAGGCCCGTGATAGCAAGAACGGCAATGTGCATAATTCTCGTAATCTTAACAAGCCATCGAGAACCCTCGGTGCACCCTGCCAGTGACTTCCCCTTCGTTTGCACAAACAAATATGCTCCGCGGCCCATCAGGTCGCCCCAGCCAGGCGCGTTCAATTAAAGGATCGAAGCGAGAGCCGTCCTCACTGCAGGAAGGCGCTGCTAACCTGCAGTACACCTAGTGGCTCGCGATGTCAGTTACAATCGACCACGCCGAGGCTTCCGCTCTCTTGGCCAGGGCCACCGGATTCATAAAAGGAGGCTTCTTTCGTCATCCTGCATAAGCGGCACAAGTATTATCACTCTATTGTATATTCAATTGCGTTATCCCCGTCCTCGCTCGCCAAGAGGTTCAATTGACCTGCCCGCAGCAATCTGTATCGCAAATGAACGAATCAATAAGCGCTGCCCAACTGGCGCGTCATGCCTCGTTGTTTTCTCTTTATGCATCCGCTCCAGAGAATCCATAGAAACCTTCAATTGACAAGGTTGCCCTACGAGCTAGCCTTGGCCTTGTATAGTCACGTTGCTTAGCTCACCAAACACCAGAAGATCTCGACAGCCACCGCATCTGTTGTCGATCCTCGACCGGTATCGCTGCATCGTAAAGAATCATTGGTACGTCCAGTTAAATGACAATGAGACACAGCCTTGCTACCAAATCCGGAGACATTGCAGGATAGCATCCAGCACCCAGTGCTCTTGCCCGATGAGCAAGTGGTACGGTGCATACAGTACACTTTGGTGGTCCGTCCTCCCCTGCTCCTGCATCTGTCTGTCGCCACCAAATGCCCCTACTTTTTACGTTCATTTCCCGTTCACTGACGCCAGTTACTAAACTAAAGATTTTTCATAAGGACAAGCATGAATTAAAAAAAAAAAAAAAATGCAGCTCTGCGACCTGGGAGTCATGGCTCAAATAGACTGCACAGGTCCTCATGCTCTGTTAATAAAAAAGATCTGGTCGTTGCTGAGCACACTAAAGCTCCCCAGCTTAGCAATGCATGTCGACCAGTTCATGTCCCCTCCCCTGAAAAAGTATTCAACCAATGCAACTCGCACTCCATGCGTGACACAAACATCGGGAACTCCTTCTCTCTCCCATTCAATCGCTCTCTCTCTTTCTCTCTCTCACGTTGATTTTTTGGGGGATTGAGTTCAACTGCTTTTCAAGATCTTCTTTGCATGAATTGCTCTCTCTTACTGAGCATGATTTTCGGATCAGAAGTCTACCCCCTTCTTTACGGTGTAGACCTATTTGTCATCTATGTATATGGCTATTGTGGCTCACTATCTGTGAGAAGCGAGGCCAACAGGGAGCCAAACTGAGCGCGGTGGTCCGTTCATTTAATTGGGAGGGAAAAGGCACCGACCAATTGGTACAGAAAGAGGTATATGGACAGTGCTCGGTGCCGGAGGGTGTTACAGCCCTTTGGACGATTTTGAGGTTGAACCAATGCAGTTTGTTTCATTTGTTCTTTTTTTATTTTTTTTATTTTTTTTATATTTCTTTATTGAGTAGGAAAAGAAATACACATGAAGAACCCGCTTGTTTTTTCACTTTGTACTTCCCTATCACTACAAAAACAATGCGGACCGTGGGCAGTTCACCTCTCCCTCCCCTGATCAAGGTACTTGTCAACAAAAATTGGCCATTGAGAGAGGTCTGAGACGAAGTACCTTTATGGTTATTGTCGCTTGTGTAGATGTACGAGCGGCTGCAAGGTAGGATAGCTGGAAGTCCTGAGCGCGAGTCAGGAGCAACCCTTCTACCATTGCAGCGAAACATTTCCCGCCAAAAAAAAAAGAGAGAAGGAGAGAGAGAGAGAGCGTGAAAGAAGGAGACGGATGCGATTGAGCCTTGGCTTTCTTCCTTCTGGATTTGTTCCAGTTCTTTGCTCTCCTCGACCTTTTGCTTTGACCCACAATGCACCCCTGTCTTGCCTGCACCGACCAACCGGTAGACTTGCATCCTATCAACAAAGATCTAGACGCACCGAGGAAGACCTATGTCCACAGATGCAAAGGATAAGAAGAAAAAACAGGAACTGGCTCCTCAAACTGACGCTGAATGCATTTGCCAGGTCCAAGAATGGGCTTGATTCGCTAAAAAGAGAGAGAGAGAGAGAGAGAGAGAGAGAGAGAGAGAGAGAGAGAAAGAGAGAGGGAGAGAGAAAGAGAGGGGAAGAGAGAGGGAGAGTTCATTGCGCGTTTAGGTTGTGTCAATGGTCAATGTGTTCCTTGTCTCGTACAGTAGGATCCAGGAATACCAACTCCAAAGACTTTTTTTAGCTTGCGCAATGCCCTTCTTAATTGATGAGGCGCGTCGAACATTCTCTTGCTGGACTCTATGCCCTCTATGAGCCCTCGAACATCAATCTTCCATTTTGCTGCATATCATGACCGTTGCACGTGCATATCGTCCTTCAGGAACCATGCAAGGCCGACAATTGGAGAGTTGTGGTTTAGCACTGACCATCCGCCTGCAGCTCTCCTTTGTTTTTTTTTGTTGTTGAACGGTTCCTCGTCCACTTCTGTCTTGAACTCTGTCTATTCTTGTAGGCCATGAATGTTTCTATCCAGAATTACGCGAAACACGAGTCAGGGGTACACTCTTACGAACGAGATGTTGCGAAGGGGCTTCTTGGACGGTATGTGCGTTTACGGGTATTGCATATCGGTGACGATCCTAAAAGGCATTTAATCTTTACTTATCCATTTGCATGGCTATGGCAACAGATAATAGCCTAAAGTACATGTATTTACATGAGTGTCCGGAGCGCGCGCACCGTCTTCTTCGAGGCGCGTTGGAACGCAGTGGAGCACAAAGGCGGGGCCCTTGAGAGGGTAATGCGTAAAGAGCGGATATGGCCCTGTGGCGTAATAGTTGATCGAAAAAGAAGTGCTGCAAGGGGAAGCGCGTGTAGGATGGAAACGGATGACACTACACGAGCTGCGTAGAAGAAGTGCTAAAGATGGTCTGATAGGTCTTTTTTTTTTTTTTTTTAGTCCACATACAATATGGAACGCGTCTGTCGTGTCGTAGTTTCGTCGTGAGAGCAGAGAGCAGTGGGTGGAATCTGTAATTGTGGTCCAGCGAGGGATACACTACTGACAAGGGGCTCGTTGTCGTGTTCTTTGCCATCGGGATGTGACATCCTTAATCCGCTCCATTCGCCTTCCCAATCGCTCTTCCCAATCCTTTTCTCGACCTCACAGCCAGTCTAGCAAGTGAATACTATCCAGGGACATACGTTCTCTTAAGCTAGCTTCAGTCGTTCTTCGCCTATACTTCTCACTGTCATCACCATAGGATTTGCATGAGGCGATGACCTAAAATTTTTTAAGTTCATTGTTTCAAACTATAGCCAGTGGGCGACAGTTTCCTTTTTTGAGGTAGGTGATACGCGCAACCGCAGTGCATCCGTGTACCATTTCATCGTTGCCCTTGGCCTCGCAGACCATCTCATCTTTCAAGCCAGCTCCCTCAGCTTTCTCTCCTTCATGTATTATGCAATCGACTACGACTCGGTGTGGGTCATCCGAATTCCACCATTGTTCCCCCTGGACAAGATACTATGCAGAAGCTCGAAGGGCGTCATCGAGCACCCAGCTTCGACGGATGGTGGGAAAATCACGAAAGCTGCTCTCGAGAACCTCATTCGGGCTCGGACTCGAGCGAGGAGGGAGCTGGACAGCAAATTCTCTCTTCTATTGCGCACCACTGTACATCCCTCCCATTCTGCATAACTTTCGTGCCATACATAACAAACCTTGTCCATACAAGTTCGTCATGCGTCCACAACCACCCAACCAGTAGGCCACTATCGTCATTTCTTGCACAAAACAAGCTGTTACATTCACACACCGCGTCGAGATCGTAGATCATCCTCATCCTCTCCTCCTGCCGAGCTTTACCTATTATGCTTGGCGACATCAGCGCAGGACCTCCCCTCGATTTGTCTCGCAGGTCAGATTCATGCTTTTGTATCGGAGAGTATCTTGTCCTCGCTGTATCACTATATCCGCAGGATTTTGTTATATGTTATATGCATCCCAGCTTTTCTAATCAATGCAATCATATTTTTAAACAAAATAGCATGCATAGGACACACTATCGAGCAAGCGCAATTCGCCCTATCTCCTGGTCATGAAGAAAGTGACAGTCTTGGAGGGTTGCAAGAAGCTGCAGCGACTATTCTAAGAAGCCATTGCTCGAGCCGTCAATAGGCTGCGGTCAGAGGTCGGACTCTTGCCTGCGATTTGGGAAGACGAATTCTTAAGAGAGATGTCGAATAGTATTGCAAATTACGGGGAAATTGAAGAATGAAAGTTCAATCACTTGTCGCAGCAGCTAGCTGAAGATGGACATGAGGAACCTCGACGACGTTGGAAAGGGCAAGGAGCAATATCGAAAACAGGAGCAGAGGCCGATTGAGTTGACAGGCGGTAATGACGATGAAGATACCCGCAGTTGCACTGCCACCACCGCCACAGTCACCACACCGCCGTCAGCACTGTCGAGGAGTAGCAACAGACTGTCTTCAGGTGATAGTGGAGCTGTCAGTGTTGGCGCAGTATACTCTGATTCCAGTGAGTCAAGCTGAAATTACAGAATGCAGTGGACACATACTTGTGGCATTGAGCACTCATACTTGGTTCCATTTTTTTTGTTCTCCAGGAAGTCGGTGAACAGCACTTTAACAACACTCTTGGCTTGCGCCTGAGTAATTTCAAGACTCTCGATGTCTATGAAGCGCTCTTCCTCGATTTCATGTTCCGTAGAGAGGTTGATCCTATAGTAAATGTCGCACTCATACCTCGCTACCTGCAGGATGCACTGGCAAACTCAGGAAAACGATACAGCAGCCAAGGATCTTGCGTCTTTTTTTTTTTTTTTTTATCCGGTTATTATTTTCTATGCCAATTCACCAATTTCATGGGTGGGCGCACCCGTAAGGACATGTATGGGATCAAGCAGCAGATTTCATTCGACAGAACTCGGATTTATTCTATCGCCTCTGGAGAAACTGCCGCTCACTAGACTATAGCCGACAACATCATGGAGCTTTGTCACCGTTACCAAGATGGGTTCTTGTGCGTCTAGTTCTACCGGTTGGATGTCTCGTCCCTCATGTTTAGTGCCGAATTTTAAGGTTCGTTGCATTTTTGAAGGTCCAGTAAGCTGCCTACAAGAATACAATTTTATTGAACTTGAAACATGCAGGCGAGCGATTCTTGTTTGCATGGATAGCTCGAGGATGGCATCACAGCTCGAATAGCGAACACGACAAGAAACTAATATCTGTTCCTGTCCTTTGGACCTCATCTCATGTACAACTTTTTTTTTTTTTTTTTTGAGTCTAGGCCAATGCAAACTACACAAAATTAGTTCTTTGCATAAACGCCATTTTAACACGAGATGGTCGCCACCAATTTCTCGCTAGCTTCCTCCTAACAGCTCAAAGTGTCCAAGGAAAAACATAGCCGAATGGGGGTGTTACAATGCCTTGCGGCAGTCAGTAGCGATCTTTTCGCCGCTCCAGTTTAGTTGGTTTCATGGACTGTCTGCAAAACACGAAAGTATATTTACAAGGGGGTTTATACTTGTCTTTACCAAATATACGTGGGTATTTTACGTTAAAGTGGACGCGTATATTATTCAAAGGAAACCTCATTCCACCAATATCCCTTGATACGCGTCTTTCCTTTCCTCATTTACTTTTCCCTTTCGCCTCAGAGGCAGGGCCAGGTCGCGTTTTATGCTGTAAAATATTGTTCGCGCACTGCTGTTTAGCTGCATGCGCCAGACTCGATGCGCGAGATTCGATGCGCGAGACTAATGGACTGATAGCTGTGCTATTGAGATCGTTAACAAGAAGTTTATGAGTCACTCACTGATATGGCCGATACATACTCTTTAGTAGTAATCTAGCCTCTAGCCGGACGAGTCCAGTATTTTCTGAAGAAGGATGCTGTCCATGAGGATTTGTTTAGGATTCGAATGCATAGACGGAGGTGTGTTTTCTTGTACGTAGAGAATTAAAAAACCCCACTGAGCCAACATCTACACATTCATAGTCGCCCATGGTCCTAGCCCTAGCCCTCACCCCCCCCCCCCCCCCCCCCCTCTCTCTCTCTCTCTCTCTCTCTCTCTCTCTCTCTCTCTCTCGCTCTTTTGCTTTTTCTAGCCCCATTGTGAGTTTAGCTTTTTTTTTTTTTTTTTTTTTTACTCTTATCCTTTGTAAAATGTCATTGAAAAATGGACTCCAACGGTTGTATTCTTTAGAAAGCGTATCCGTGCACTTGACTGATGAGGAGCAAAAAGCCAAGGATCCCCCCTGCCAAATTCTTATTCGCACCCCACATTCAATTTTTTTTTTTTTGTCGACTGTCGACTGTCCACCGAGAGGAATGGTCGCAGAAGAGGTATTCAGGGTGCTGTGGGGCTTGATAAGTAAGCATCTTGAGTTGAGATACCGCGAATACCATGCTGTTTTATCTTTTTTTTTACTAGTAGTCTCGCGCAAAGCTTGAAGACGGAAGGACGGAGTTGGATTTTCCTGATAACTGGCCTGCACTGTCATGGATGAGTCGCCGTCGAAGTACAGGAGGAAGAGAGAGAGAGAGAAAGAGAGAAAGAGAGCGAACAGTATGGGAAGGATAATCGACAGGCTAGGCAGTTTCTGATGGACTGAGTAGAGGACATAACTGTGAAGCGAGAATACAAAGAAAGAGCGCCTCGAGGATACATCCATCGTTGTTGTATTAACTAAATAAACCCATGCTCACCGCTCGCTCGCTGTTGTTTCTTCAACCTGATATGCAAGTGATCTGAATTGTTACCATGCTGTAACATCGTTATCCTCCTCTTCACTCCGGCATCTCTAAGCAATTATTCATCCAATGTATGTAGTTGAGATGCTCTGGTGTATAGTTTTAACAAAGTGTTTGCTTCATGATATAGTACGTCAAGGAGATTAGTCGCCATGGAAAAAGAGAACGCTTAAGTAGTGTGCAGGCGCGAAGGCGGAGGAAGAGTCTGTGAAAGAGTTGAGCCCAATGAAAGACCCACATGAGTCTCAGGAACATTGTTACTGTGTCGCGTCAGACGCGAAACAGACATGGGGCTATGCTATATCACACCTGTTAGTCTACCACTTGAGCGGATCCTTGGGGAAAGATTCACAAGTCTTACTGGGGCAAGGGCACGCCTGTACATTCCTTGTTTTCAAAGAGAGAGATGGATCGACGCACCAATTTTATTTCTCCCTTGATGGATAAATCAATGTACGGAGACCGATCCGGAGACGGCCTACGGCCTGCTCGAGCTTATCCGATAAGAAAAAGGTAGTGTCGTCCGAGCTTGAATGATCTCCTTGGGTGTCATACAGCCTGAGGTGCTTTATGAATGGTGTTATCTTTCTGTTTCCTGGCTGCAAAGATTAGTAAAAAATCTTATCTCACAAGGCGACCCTAATACATAATCCGAGGAGGATCACGTCGGTTGTGTTCTTTCTTTGTCAGTGCACTTCCAGTTTATAGTAAAAGTGCGGGGAGATGGGGAAGGTGAAATGTTCAGACTACCTACATTGAGTGTTCAAAGTGTAGTGTCAGGCGCAGGAAGCTTTGATGGGCGGATATTGTAGAAGCTTGTTCAGCGAGCATGTCTTGAGACAACCATTCCAGCTACAACTTCAACTTCCAACAACTAGAATCCGTTGAGCTATTACTCTGGTTAACTCGGGGCTGACCTTTTTTTGCAACTCGCTCTATCAAATTTTGACAGCGTTCCTTTTCTCGGCCAATGGAATCGAACGATAGAGCATTCCAGACGATCCCTCTCCTAGTGGCTCCCGCGTGAGAGTGCCACATGGATGGGGGCTAGCTGGTTCGAGTCCGAGACGACGAGGCCGTCAATTTGGAGCTGGCCTGGGGGACTAAAGGCCTTCGTTAGCCTTAATGGATTGATAGATCGATAGGTTCATCTGTATCTGCAGTTTCATACTGGAGGGTGTATAGTACACGAAGGAGTGTCGGTGGAGGGAGTAGTGCTGGGGTATCTATAGGGCAACGCGGTAGTAAACTATGTAATGGATAAAATGGATAAAACGGATAAAGGAAAGGCGCCAGGGGAGGGGGAGAACAGCAACTAGGACTTTGAGCAAAGGATGAAGATGGGGGTGATCGTGGTGACGATGACGATGACGAGGATAGGACCAGGGACGGGGGTTGAGGAGAGGGATGAAACAGACCCTCCCTCCTCACGCGTCTTGTCAGCAGATGGGTGGTGGTGAGGAATTTCAGGCACTGGCAGACTGAGCAGCCTTCTCTCTCTCCCCTCTCTCCCTCTCTTCCTCTTCCTCTCCCTCTCTCCCTCTCTCCCTCTCTTCCTCTTCCTCTTCCTCTTCCTCTTCCTCTTCTGATCAGACCCTTTTTTATCCACCTCTCCATCCCTACACGCCCTCACCCGCACAACCACCCCTTTTCATCATCCTCATTCCTCATTCCTCATTCCTCATTCCTCATTCCTCATTCCTCATTCCTCATTCCTCATTTCTCCTCCCTCATCATCAGATGGAAGACTCGCGGGGTGGCCACCATCCCTATAGCTCCAGCAGTGGCCAGGGCCATGGGTCCGATCGCTATCCTGCCCACTCTTCTTCGTCCTCTCAGCACCCACAGCACTATCCACAGCAGCATCCATCCTCCTCATATCCCAAGGACAGTCGCGCCCATTCCCAACAGCAGTATCCTCAGGATCCGGAGGCAGGCGCTGCCTGGAGATCTCCCATCACACCCACAACGACCCGCAAATTCAACCGCATGGCCATCCATGAGGTCCTCGACAGCCATCAGTCTCAGCATCCCTACTACGAGGAGGACTCGCCACCCTACAAGAGAAAGGGTTCACCCGAAGATTTTTCCTTCTCTGACCCACCAGCGTCGTCCTCCACTACTGGTGGTCCTAATTTGCACAATCACTCGTCGCGGTAAGTTTGTTTAGTATGGTTTTTTATATATATCTAAAACGCCTTCGCAATTGAGATTCGAGCTCTTTTTTTCAGTTTTGGGGCAAAGTGAAGGACACGATCTCTGGTGCTAAGCGACAATGGAGATTTAATTGGGTATTGGTACTGGCTCTTTCTACGTTTGGGCGGGTCTCTTTCTTCCTTCCTTGATACCAACCAGGGTACGTTCGCTGCACTGTCTTAGCCAACCGCAGCAGAAAAATGCCTATTAGCACATGGGACCTTATCCTGCAGAACAACCAGCAGGAGCAATAAATATGTTTAGGCCCAACCCAATTGCTGCAGTACCACTCTTTATTGCATTCTTGATTGATGGTCAAGGTGCAGCAACAACGGGGGACAGGAAGGGACAATCGCCTTTTCATATGGGAGCTGGCTGATATTTTATGGCTCTTGTGTCTCTTTCTTTTATTGTTGTTGGCATTGTTATTGTTATTGGTGCAACCAGCGGGGAGGGTCCAATCAATCAAAGGGCATTGTTGTATTTTGTGGGACGGATGGAGATTGTATCCACAGTCGATATAAAATGCAACTCCCTACTCTCCATCCCATGCCCATCTCCGTATCCACCATGGACCATTCATGCAATTTTGTTGATATCGTTTTTATTCTTCATTATCGCCCTTGTTCTTTCTTTTTTTTTTTTTTTTTTTTTTTTGGACCTTGACTCCCTCCACATCCCCCTCCTTTCTTTTCCCACACGGTGGTGTTCTTTCCCTCCCCCTCCCCCCCCCCTCAAGTTGTCGGTTTATCCCTACAGCGCTTGTATGGTTGTATGTGATCACTTCCTCCTCCTGGCCAGTGTCCATATTGGAGAAAGAAGGAAGAGAGGAGCCGAAAAGACCATCTTGCCCTGAACCATGTATCCGTGTGTGTAAGAGTCTGTTTCTGGCGGTATTCATGCACTCGGGGAGTAAATCACGCACATAACAAGAGAGCAGGGGTCTCACGGGAATATACGTGGAGAATACGTCGCTGTCTAAAGAAACGGCCTTAGCATTACTGTGGTAACAGAAAGAAAAAAACAAGGGGACTCAACATACTAATTCGCCATTCTCTTTCCTTTCTCCTGGTCGGCTGTGCTGTTTTAGTCCGTATGGTCGGGGCGACATGCGCCAGCCGTCCGATTACCATCGCCCGCCCTCGCCACGCTACCGTCACGAGTCACCGGTGCCTGGATCCAACTCCGAGGACGAGGACGACGACATTCGGAACTATAAGAAGCGGCGCATGTTCCAGGGGATGTCTGCCCAGAAGAGCGGGCCCCATCAACAGTCGCCCCCTTCGTCTTCAGGAGGGCAACCCGAGGTCATGGATCAGGTGCGGTCAACCCTCAAACTGAAGCAGCAGCAAAAGGCCATCATCGAAGCCAGACAACATGGGGGCCAGCCCTCGCCACTGCCGCCCCAATCGAGCAACGGAAAACCAGCATCATCCAACGGATCCAACCCTCCGCTCACAGAGACATCTTCGAGCGGCCTCTCCGTCTTCCACGGGAGTTCCTCCTTCGCTTCGTTGAACCGCCGCCCGCAGCCATCTCCAAAGAACCCCAAAAACGCGAAATCGCTGACTATTTTTGCACCATCCTACTCAGACTCGACACTTTCGATTCATTCTGCGCCGCTGCAACCCTCACAAAGTCATCAGGCCATGAGTATGGGTCTCCGAACATCACAGCCATTGCTTCCTCGGCACCAGCAGCACCCCTACGCGCCACAGACAAGTTCATATCAACAGCCTCTGCGCTCACCCAGGACCGTGGGACATGCAAAAAAGGCATCCCGCACAGCCCTTCGCCAGCCCGGCACCGAAAGCAGGTACAGTGACAGTTGTGCATCCCAGACTGGTGTTCACGGCAGGTTCGTTTTACTAACATCCTTGCAATTGGACTAGTTCTGGCACTATTCCGGCACCAATTCTGTCTTCGCATACAGGGCCATTGCCCTCGCCGTCCATGTATCCCCCATCGACGCCCTTCTTATCCAATCCAAAGCACATGTTTATAGAGACAGTATCAAACCTCTTTGACTCTGTGGATTCCAGCCGAAGTCTGAAATATACCCTGGAGGAGCAGGTTCGCAAATCAGCCCAATTGCTCCAGACACTTCAGGCCAGTGGAACTATGATCGAGAACCTGGTCCGTGGTCAATTCAAGGAACTGGAGAAGGGTGTGATCGAGCGTTTCGAGAGCGAAATTGAGCACTTGAGTGCTCGTGTTCGACAACTGGAGGAGCACCAGGGATTGACACCTCCACCTAAGAAAGCAAAGGCCACTGCAACATCCAGCCAATCGACAACGACACCCCCGACATCAGCGTCGGCTATGACGGGCGTGACAGCAACACCGAGTGGATCTACGAACACTGCTGTGATATCCGGATCAGCTATGGAGTCTGCTGAGAGCTCAAAAGAGGCACCATCATCATCTTCAGCGACCCCTGGTCGCCATAGTAGCTCGTCTCCAAACAGCGGCACTCTACCAACACCTCCATTGACCAAGAATCAGGAGCCATCTTCGGCCATGGAGGTTGAGGAAGAGGAGGAGGGAGAGACTGGAGAGTACAGTTCCTCAGTCAAAGGGCTCCAGAACCGCGTATCCAACCTGGAGGATACTCGCAAGGATTGATGCCCCCATCCCTCATAGAAAATAAAATAAAGGCTACCACGTGACTTCGTCACCCACTGAAAAACGATGGAGATGGGCGATCCCCTTTCCTTTCTCTCTTCTCATCTTTGTCCTTGTTTGACTGTTCCCTAGACCTTCTTCGTGTCCCCTCCCCTCCATCCTCATTCCCATTACCTACTCACGTTCTTCTGCCTTTTTTTGATTTCTTCCTCTCTATCTCTTGCCCGACCTGCATCCACGTTTACAGTTGCACTCTTTACTGCATTTTTTTTTTTTTTTTTTTTTTTAAAAAGCTGGTGGTTTTGTCGAAGGAGTGGATAACCAGATTTCGCTCGTTTTGCCATCCATCACTGTTGTACTCTATACTCTCTTCCACTTCCCTCACTTCCCCTGTTTGCGATCGCTTTCTGACGCCATCCCTTCTCGCAACAGGAGCCATTTGTCCAACTCGATTCGGATTAACACTATATTTTTCAGCCTTTTCTTTTTGTTCTGTTCCCTTTGAACGCGCCTATCAATTCCCTCCTCTTATTCCGTCTTAATAGTTGTGGTATTGTCGGTCGGTCGCTGCCACCTCAAGGACAGATCTTCCGAGTTTGCCACATAGAAGCAATTCGGCTGGCCAAAAGTACTGTCCCACAGTCTGTTGTTTTACTCAAGTCACATTGACTCGTTTCTTCATCAACAGCACATTCCTTTTTGTCCATCCACCAGCTGTCGCTTCCATTGGTCCCTCCTGCGGTTGGCATACTTACTTTGTTGTGTGCCTGAACCTTCGAAATAGCAACTCGAGCAGAAGGAGGCAGGAATCACCTCTCTACAACCTCATTAAGATCCGCCATCCTTCCCAGGAGACCAAATCGATTTTTGTCAGGGCTGGAGAATGAACTCGACGATGGTTACTGCCATCGAACACCATTCCAGCCAACAACAAGGCTCCCAGTATGGAGCCTCCAGTATCCAAACATCGAGCATGAACAGCAACTCTAAGAGACCAAAGTCGCCTTCCCTAAACTCGCCAAATGGTTTGGTCAGCCCTAACCGCAGTGGAGGAGGGCATAGCAAGAAGACAAAGTCGCTGTCGTTGCAAACAAAACTACAAAACAGCCAAGTCGATACCATCATGTCTGAAAGTCCTCAGACTACGCTATCGTCACCTAGAAGCGCAGGGCCATTGTCTGCTCAAGGACGATCCGGACAATCATCGCGTGGGAAGAAACGGAGCATTGACGAGGCCTACTCTCCAATTAAGGTACAAATGAGACTTGTCGCAATTGCCACCAAATCTACTGGCATGCGTAGCATTCCTTATACTGGACGCGTTTACGCATATCGTATTAATTGTCTGCAATGGGTCTGGCTATATCTTTGTGGTTATGTCTTCATAGGGATCGAGCAAAATGGGTATGGAATGGAGCCGCAATGCCATTGAACCGACTTTGTGAATCAATTGCTGCTATTCAACGCTGAAGCATACTCATGCCTTTCGCGTCCTTTTGCCGATTTAGACCTGCTATCCAGATACAAACGCTCTCCGGCTTCATTCATCATTCATCTCTACGAAACGCACTTTAAGTTTGAGAATCAGGTTCGTTGTGGAGACTTTGGCGGCAATATAAGTGCAATATGTCTGTGCTGTTCATAATTGACGCGTTTATACTGATGGTATGTGGGTTCCGTGGAATAATGTAGGATGGCGTCTTTCTATTTAATTCCCCTATGAAGGTATGATGAACAAAGGCATAACTGCGAAGTAGTTGTAAATGCCGCGTCAAAGATGACTTTATATGTGTCTAACACAACAATCTATTGGCTTCTATAGATATTTTTGAAAAGTATACAGGAAAGAAGGCTGCCTTCAGAACTCTTGGATATCATCAAAAGCGCACAATGTCCATACTACGAAGGTGCGGATGAAATGACTTGCTGGGCACATTCAGTACTGAAAGTCGGACAAAATTATTCGCGATGAGCCGCATATTCTCTGACCGCAATTGACTCTTTCTCACTCGCCAATTTAGGCTGTCTTATCGTGGAGGTCGTGGATCACAGGGCAAGGACCAGGAAGGATGGCGATGTAGCAACAAAGCGGATCGCTCTTACACCTACGCAGGAAACTTTGTGGGCTGATCTTTCATTACTCCACGAGGAATCGGGAGAGACCTGGTCTAGCGACTTGATGCTTGATGTGGAGTCCAAAATCTTGGTAAGACGCCAGTTTGCTTTTTTT